GGAAATGTTCCAAGATCATTGTTTGCTATTTCAAGTATTAACAATGGGAGCAGTGGTAATTTAATGAATCAGTTAAACGGAAAGCCTCTCAATGCGGCTGGGGTAAGTGATCAAACAACAATGACGTTCTTCATTCACACATTAAAAAATGGTCGTAACGATACTATCGGAATAACAGAAAGAGTTCTTCACACAGCCACGGCGATTCAAAAGCATTCATTCAGCACAGACATCAAATTTTACATCCAATGCATCAACGAACAGTGGAATTTCTTTGCCTCCCACAAATGCCATGACAGCCAAAAGAACACCTCTTGTGGCATCTTCAAAAAGAACCATTGTTGGCACAACAGCACCGTCAACTTCAAACGGAAAACGTCCCCAAAGCGCCACAACGCCCAGATTACAGCCAACAAGTTATACAACTCCTTCACCATCAAATGCCACAAACAACATTATGTATTTTAAATATTCTAATCCATCAGGATCACAAGAAAATTTTGCCAATAATATTATTTCCAACACAACGGGAAATACCATTCCAACAGAAGAGAGGGTACCGTCCTCAAGTAGACTAGCACGAGGAGCCTCTCCGAAAATTAACTATTTGATGGGACAAAACACAACAAGTATACCTCAAAAAGAAAAGATAGTGGAAACAAAAATCGAAGAAACAATTAGTAATGAACGGTTAAATTTGGACAGAAGAAATTTAACAAAATGCCCCATTATTACAGGAGACACTAATTTAAAATTGCTAAACTTACAGTATAACGAAATAAGGCATATCAGCAACTTAAACAACCTCACAAGCTTGGTATTCTTGGATTTATATGGTAACAAAATTAAGAAGATATCAAACTTGGACTCTCTTACATCACTACGTGTATTAATGCTGGGAAAAAACTTGATTGAAAAAATAGAAGGATTGGAAAATTTACACAAGCTTGATGTATTGGACCTTCATGGAAACAAACTGCGAGAAATTTCCAATATTTCTGTTCTAAAGGAAATTAGAGTACTAAACCTTGCAGGAAACATGATTACAAACGTGAATAATATTCGTGGACTGACATCGTTGAACGAGCTTAATTTACGAAAAAACAATGTATGTTTTTACTTGCTTTAGTTTGGCCTGCCTCTTACTATTATTACCTTTGAATTTACTCTCTACATAGATTGAAACAGTAGAAGAGATTGATGAATTGCCGAATCTCAAACGCCTATTTCTTTCCTCAAACAATATTTCTTCTTTTGAGGCCGTTGAGAGCGTCATTCGAAGTACTTCCGTTGCGGAGCTCTCATTGGATGATAATCCCCTTCATCAAAATCTGTCTCAAAAATATCGAGTTATTGTAATTGCTGCCATGAAGAAACTCACAGTTCTAGACTCTTCCAAGATAACAGACTCAGACAGAGAAATGGCTCTGAAATATCTTGCAAATGTCAACGTGTCATCAATATTTCCCTTCACCGATTTAATTCCTACTCCCTCGTATGACAAAGATTTTGAGGTTGACGCAACCTTGCAAAATAGTTCTATCCCTCGTCAACCCACACCTGACAGTACAGGCCCTCAAATAACTTCAAGGAGTGTCACACCTTCAGAAACTATTCCTAAAGCTCTAATTACAACAGAGAGGCCAGAAAGTCGAAGCGCCAGCAGTGCCACAAACTACGACAATCTAGAATCGTATAGCAAAATTGAGGGAGACGTACTTCATATATACGGAGAGCCCAATATCACACCAATCAATTATGGAGATTACATTGTCCATTTCCACAACTTGGATTTGGAACGAATATGTGAAACATACTTGTTTCCAAAGAAAGTTATGGCCACAACGCTCATATTTTCCAATAATCGTATTAGCACTCTAAAACAGCTTTCCTTACTTTCAAAAATAGAGTTCGATGTGCTGAAAATAACTTTTAAGGACAACCCTGTGTGCACAACATTGAAAAGAATTTTAAAGCCCTACTGTATATATATTTTACCTCAATTGACTGAAATGAACGGAAAGTTGATATCAGTCACAGACAAATCTAATTCTGAGAAAATATTTGGAAAAAGACAAGCGGTCAGCAAGCATATTGCTCCACCAATTTCACAATCCGTACTTGAAAGATATTCTGGAATTGTCAATTCATATATTGGAAGCGTTCTTAATCATACCTATGTAGTTGAGGAAAAGATGAAACTCGTTGATGATGTTTGGGATCAAGTATTATTTGAATTTATTGTGAAATCACTCTCCTCACTTGAAAAATACCCTTCATCTTTAACCAAACAAGGAATTGAAGTCAACGGCAAAAAGGTGCATGTCGATTCAAAAACAAGGTGATAAAAGAACAAATCTCTTGATTGTATTGATTGTAACGTTACACTGTAGCATGTGTGAAATCATCAAAAGGTGCTCGAGTTTCTCTTGTGTGAGAAGCAAAATCTATGGAACGAACGACACGATAACTAATAGGAAGAAATTGGAACGCATGTTTTCGAGTGAGATGATATTCTTGTAAAGAGTGATCAACAGTATGTCATCAAAGACAATGAAAGCAAAGTACCTACTTAGAAATCGTTCTGGGTTATATGATCCTTCCTTGGCAGAAATAGCATTGATATGATACAACAGAGTGGAGTATGATTCCATAACCTGAATACTTCCAAACCCAATTTGATCATTAAAACCTTCCCAATAATACAATTGAGACGTGTAGAACTTGTTAAATTCAACATTGAAATGTAATAAATCGATATTTTGTTCAAATAGAATGTCTGTTCTTAACCGAAAAACCAGATCATAGTAGTTGGTAGTCAACTTGTGTTCTTGCATCATCTTGTCATTATAGCTTTTCATTTGGACAAAACCGTTTCTAAATAAAGATAAGGACGAAATCCAATTATGACATCCTTCGTAGGTTAAAAACTCTTTACATTTTTCTCTTGGAAAGGGAAAATCAGGATATAAATGTTTCACACGCTCTGTCAAGCGAGTCATATTCAAAAACTCAACGGATTCATATTTAACATTCTTTAAATAGCGTTTCATTTGATTATAAGCTCCCAATTCACTTTCTGAATCTTTATACACGAGTGAAATGTATAGATCTGGATATTCATTTCTTGCAAAAAAGCTATTCCTAATAAATAAATAGACTTTTGGAAACGCTCGAATGGCTCCACTCAGAATCACTGCCATTCGATTCTTTTTTCTTGGAGGTGATGTGCTTTTCTCTTGGCTATCTTTTGGCAATATGCAACCTCTGATTGGTAATTGATGAGGAAATCTATTCTTTAGAGAGTAATAGATTAAAAGATACGTCAGCAACAAGATTCCAACAACTGAAACTAATACAATCGTTGTGAGCTGCTTTCTAAAGGAACATGGGACCACATGCCCGAGTGGTTTGAAGCATGTATCATATATACAAGGAATGAATAACCCAATACATGTGCGTGTACATACTTGTTGACTGTGAAATGAATCAGTGAGGGTGAGGTATGAGAACCGTTCTCTTGCATGATTTTATTTGGATAGAATCTTTGGAACGAGGGTTGAAACTCTTCTGTTAACAAAATGGCTATTTAGAACCAAGCAATTTGTGTTCCTTTCCTATTACAGAATTTGAAAGTTGCACTGCTGTTAGAACTTCACAGTTGTATGAGATGTCCTTTTCTAATTAATCTGCCTTAAAAAGTAATTCGGCTTCAGAAATGTCAAAAGGGCATCCCAAGTTCCAAATACTGTCATGACGATCTTGAAGCATCTGTGAAGTAATCTTAATATTTATTTCCATTCATCCTCTAAATTATTTGTTGAAAGAAATGCTAGTTGAGAAGGAGTGACTCGGTTTGAATGACAAAATGCAGAATAATAAAACAACAAGTCTCTTCTGCGCGAGGAAGAGCCCACGTCAATTTCAATATAGGGCAATTTGTAGCATCGAGAAATGGCCTTGGCTACTAATTTCATTTTAGGATTAATTTCATTCTTTTTTGAATAACTCAAGCCACAAATAACCATACTTCCAGGCTTGACTGTATCAGAATTTGCAGCATTCGTTAATTGTTGCAAATATTCACGAAGTACTTCTCCACAATCAAGATCTTTCTTACAGAATTCCTCGACAAGCTCTCGATCATTTTTGAAATCTGTTTGTGACAAGTAATTGTCGTACATTGTCTCTGACAAGTCTATACATGCTATTTTACACGAGCAATTGGGTCTTGAATTCGTTCCAACAAGACATTGAATTTCAAAAGTAATAGGTGAACGGTCACATCGCAGTTCTCTGACTCGTGTTACTCGACGGTCCAAGAAACGTCTACTTGCTCTCTTATTTGAAGAATCTTCTTGAAAAGGCTCCTTGCAATGTTTGAGGATTGTTTGCAAGTATCGAGCCATGCGCTGTTTCTTTTCATCACAAATGAAATGAACTCGAAATTCTTCAAGATCATTCGCTGTCCTGGGGAACGTTTGAGACAAACGATTGGAGGTCCTACTTGATTCATCGTCACTGTTATTACTACACATGGATCCATCAACAAATTCGTATTGAGATTCAAGCCGTTTCCAAAGCTCTTTGCAATAAAAATGTTTGCAGCAATCTCGCCACGATCGAATTCCAAAAATCGAAAAATCAAATGGTTGAATAGAGAGAAGTTCAGTTTTTGTGGAAGACGGAATAACATTCCTCCATATTTCATCATCCTTGGTCCAGTATAGAAACATTAAGCGACATGTTAACGAGAGAGACAACAAATCTCTAACTGCCATGTATGAAAAAATTGTTTGGTATATTCGTTTGCAATCTCCAAGATGCATGATCAGAAGAGAGTTGGTTTGTCTTAGGATATGAAATTCGAGTAATTGTTTGTTTCTATCAAAAAAGTCATATCGGTACTGTGGCTCATCATCTACGAGAGTCACCATGGAACTGAAGAGCCTGTTGGCTTCAACGAGGTGTGGAAACTTTTGGCAACAAGAGGATGTTGTTGCATCCTCGTCTTGTTGTTTGTGGTGTTGTGTGTTTCCCATTTATGAGACGAGAATGAGAAAGTTAGAAGGAGCGAATGCACTATCACAAGCTTGGTTCAACCAATATGGAAAAATTGAGAGGAGTTGGACTCTATGACATGTAAACAGCACGATGTGGGCTTGTTTTTTTTCTCGCGATTGACCTTCTGCTTCAAACGTCGCTTTAAATGAAATGGTCATCAGCTGTCATGTGAATGGCCATCACAAATGATTCGAACATTGTAATCTGACCATGGCGAATCACTCACCGTTGCGTGAATCATTGTGCTCAACGAATGAGAATATCCAAAATATTTGCCAAAGCCGATTGAGTGGATTCAAAGAATTGAGTATGTCCACAACTCTTACATGTAATTGTAATAAATCTTCTATTCTGCACATTGAAAATCTTTGCAAGCAATGAACCACAACTTCGGACCTCCCCCAACCGATACGAGGAGCCTTTACATTTCTCACAAACAAATCTTACTTTGTGTTTTTCCAATTCTATCAAATCATTACTGATCGGAATGAGTGAATGAGAAGAAGAAGCTTGCGTTGGTGATATGAGCCAAGCACCATCATGGGATGACTGATTATTTCCAACAAGAAGGTTTTTTGAAGAGGATGGAACGAGAGGGTTCGCCATGAGAATGATGATTCAATTTTTTGAGAGTGAATGAACGGGTCGCTTCCTCTTGGTATTGACTTTTTCATCAACTTTTACTGTTCAACTCTCATCAAACAACGATAACACTCACTTAACATCTTTTCCTTCACAGGTTCGTCGTGTGTTCCCAGTTTACAATCCCAGGTCTTATTTCTTCATTTCAAAATCTATAATTATCGTGATCATTAAAAAACAAAATTCAAAGCAATAACAACAAGACGCAATAGACCATGACCAGATCCCGAAACTCTCGCAGAGGTATTGTCAGACACGAAAACAAAACTCCATGGAAATCCATGGTTCATCATGTCAAACGAGCCATGATCCGATCGACCTTTGGCCAAGCTGTAAAATACGATGAATGTATTGATGAGGTCAAATCATTCTCAATTCCAACAAAGACTGAATGTGCAAATATTGGATATGCACCTCAGGATACCTAGTATGTGATTGGTGCCATGTCCAATCATTCATTGATCAATTTCCATTGAGGTTCGAACGAAATCTCCCAAATTTTCTCAATAATAAACCATTGTACATTACAATTCTTGTAAGGAGATGAATTTCCAAGTTGAGGCTTCAAAAAAAACGAACATACAATGACCCGAACCAATCACTCACGTCGTGGCAGTAAGGCAGGCAAGGTACAAATTTTCAACAAGAAGGGGTGGAAAACCTCTGTTCATCATACGAAACGAGTGCTGTTCCGATCCACCATTCAACAAAGTATGAAATATGATGCATCTCCTGATCATCTGATTTATGTTCCATCGAAAACAGAGTATTCCAATAGATTTAATTGGCAGTTGTTTTTAGATTGATCACGACTTGCTTATTTTCCAAAAAAGGCAGTACACATCCACCACGATCTTCTCCGTATGGTAAATGTTTTGGAAGAATTTGAATAAAAGTGAGAAAGTCTCATTTCATGATCCTTAAATACGATGTGAAATATGGTAAACAACATGCAGTTACAGTGAATGAAACCAAAAATTTTAATTTTCCATCTCATGAACACTGTTGGCAGCTCACATTTTCTCTCTCTCTGTGGTGTTTGGGAGAATGGTAAACAGTTTCAAACAACGGTGCGTAAGACGTTATTGTGCAAAAAACCATTCACTTCTCAAACAATTCATTTACTTTTTTGTTGGCCAAAACCATTGCACCTGTCGCTAAAATTTATTGACCGCATTGCCTTACTGATCCAATGTTCCCTTACGAAATGTTCTTCCAACACTTACCAATTCTCTCCTTTCAGTAAGTTATTTCGAAAGGAAACATGCGTCGTTAACTAGAAGAGGAATTAAAAATGAGAACTCTCATTTTCATGGATCCAAAAATGTCAGGAAATTGGGAGAAAAATGGTGAACGAGCATTTAAAGAAATTAAAACCAAGAATTCGTATTTTCCATCTCATGAAAGGGATATCCATGGATTGTTTGCAACAACAAGTCTTGGCTCAGATTTTCTCTCGTTCTTTCGTGATGAGCGTGTGGTATTAAGGTGAGGGGTAAACAAGAATCCTTCATTAATGCAATTTCAGCACCATGTGACGTGATTGTGCAAAAAAACAACCAGTCAGTCCTCATAGAACAGTTATCTTCACACACACACTAGTTCAGTACATTTTCACACATGTTGGTCAAGTCTTTCACACGAATTGTTGCTTCCCATTGGATGATCCTAGTAGCCGCCAGCACTTTCGCCAGTGTTTTGCTTCTTCTTTGGAATTTTTCATCTTCAACACTTGGATTTCTCTCTTCAGTCATCCATACTCTTGAACATCTATCCTTGTATGAAGTATTGGTTGGGTCTTTCTTATTGATTCTTGTTTCTCTATTCGCTAGTTTATGGTTTCATAACTTCTACAACAAGATGGACATTCCTTCAGCAAACAAAATTTGTGTGGTCACTGGTGCCGCTGGTAAGTTGAACTGACCCCTACCGTGTTATATTTATGATTTCATCAACGTATCGAAACAATCATGATACAAAGGAGGAATTGGCTCAGAAATTTGTAAAAGACTTATCGCAGCAGGATGTGAAGTCATTGGAGTGGATTGTAATTCCTTCCGTTTGCAAGAATTGGCCACTGACTTGAACACTTACTCGAGCACTCGATTTCACTCTGTGGCCATGGATTTGAGTCGTGATGAATCGGTCAAGAAGGGTGTTGAACTCATTCAGGACATTCTCAACAAGAGCCGTCGTGATGATGATTTCTCCAACGATTGCCATTTACAGACATCACCAGCTCAACAACGAAAGATATTTGCATTGATTAATAATGCAGCCGTTCCAACCACTTCTCCTCTCATGACCTCCGTTGCAGAGGAAAGACCTGACCGTTTACAAGAAATGATGAATATAAATGTTGGTGGTTATCATCGAATGGTTCATTATTTACTTCCACATATGGTGATCAATGGTGTAGCCAATTCTTTGAGTGGTGAGAATACAGAATCCAAGGATGTGAAAAGTGGTCGAGGCGGAATTATTATCAACGTGTCATCAGGAGCTGGAGTGTTGGCAGGTCCTTTTCTAGGTTTTTATCCCATCACGAAATTTGCAATTCAAGGATTCACAGATGTGTTGCGAAGAGAATTGTCGCATTTGGGACTTCGAGTGTGTTGTGTCATTCCTGGTTTTACGAAAAAAGGAATGACATTTTCTCAGAATATTGATGAGGCAAGCCTTCTGAGAGACAGTATGAAACACATGCAACAAAGTATGAATTCCAAATTGGAATGGATGGGACAAGAGCCAAGTGATGTGGCTCGTGTGGTTGTGGATAATTGCTTTTCATCGAATTGTGGTGCAAGGGTGTTTGCTGATCAATGGATGATGAGATTTGTGTGGCCATTGTTGTTGACGGTACAAATCATGTGTCCTTCTCTTGTAGATAGGATGTTCTTGTGAGCCAAGCATTCTATTGTACGAGGCATCTCAAAATTGTACGAAGTGTCAAAATTTTAAGTCATTTCCTTTTTTATTTGCACTTGCCACAACATCGTAACAATTTCACAACAATTCTCTTTGGACTCTTTCTTCCATAAATATATTTCAATCCAAGATATCCAGCATATTTACATATCAAAAAGTATCCCACTAATACTGCAATATATACCCAACTCATATACCATCTTTCTTCAATATTGTATGCTCTTTTCAAAAAATAGGTTCCATTCGTGAAATACGTTGGAGGTAGCACTGTTCCGTTCTGTACTGGAATGATCACTCCAGCAAATTCATTGATGGCCATTGAACGAAAACCATAATACAAGTATGAAAGATAACTGGTCCATTGCAATCCACTGGGTAGCATGGTCTGTCCATACGCGCCCGACACTAAAATAAAGTAAATATTCACCACAACACACAACCATCCCAATATAAAAGGAAATGGGAACAAGCACACCAAGGCTTGAGCCAATGCCATACATGCCCAATTATACACAATAAAGCAGGCTGAAAAGGTGAAAAATTTGCCAGCATCCATACTCATTCCAGTCATGAAATATACCACCAAGCCAAAGATGAATGGATACACAGTAAAGTCAAATAAATCTTCAACGGTTTTGGCAATGAAAAAGGCACTGATTCTATATGAGGAAGAATTGGTTCGTTCTTGCATTAATGTTGGGATTTGTTGAATTAGGACTCGAATAGCCACACCAAACGTGAGTGACAGATTGTAATTAAGGAAGGCAAATACACGAGCACGCATGGCCATGTTGGGAGCGTCCACTTGCAAGTACAATAAACCAATTCCAATGCCAATCAGAGTCTTTTCAATGAATGGTGCCACAAATTCCGTTTTCCAATTTCTCTTCTTCACAATGAATAACCTCGTGATGAGATAAATAATTGAGAGCCAATAATTAGTGAGATACTTTTCAGTGTGAATATTCGTGAGATGATTGTCCACAAAGGGTTTTTCTTCCAACGTTTTTTGAGGAATATATTCATCGGAAAATCTCTTTTCAAATTCCTCAGCTAAATGATCTCGTTTTTCCATAATGATGGCATCCATATGATTCGACTCAATCATTTGTTTGATCGGCAGATTTTTCTCAGCACTAAAATCATGGGCATTCTTACAAAGTTCATGTACGAACAATACTTGCAGCAGATTTTCCAAACTATTATGATAGAGGCCTTTGCCATGATGAGAGCGGTTGTAATTTTTTTCTTCATCATCCTTAATTAAGGTACAGGCCTCATCTTCATCCTCATGATGATGATGATGAGATTTAAAATCATTCAATTCAATTCCAACGACATGATTAAAGTAATACTCAATCCGATGTGGACTTCCAAAGTAAATTTGTCTTCCCCGATCCAATATTGAAACATAATCAAACAATTCCAACTCCTTCCATGACGGTTTATGAACTGACAAAATCACAGCCATTCCCATCTGAGCCATTACCTTGATCGTTTTCATCATCATCAAAGCCTCTCCGTATTCCATCCCATCGGTGGGATCTTCCAACATGACGACCCGATGAAAATTCACATTCTGCACAGCAATCGTGAGTCTCTTGCGTTCACCACTCGAAAGGGCCGAACACATCACATGTTGCTTGGATTCAAGTCGATAATTTTTCAATAACATGAGTAATCGATCTTCCCGATTCGACCACAATACATTCTCTCCCGTACAACGACTACTACTACTAGTGGATGCAGGTACTTTGAATCGTAGTGCATAGAGTAAGGTTTCTCTCACGGTGAGATTCAAATCCGACAAGTTGTAATCTTTGGCCACGAAGGACACGAGCGAACGATACACGTTGGTTTCTGTTTTCAGACCATCGCGTAACTTGTCTTGAATGACTTGTCCATTCAACAAGATGGAACCATCGTGCAGTTTGAAAGGTCCTCTCCGAGACAAGACTCGTAGTAACATGCTTTTACCGGAGCCAGCTGGACCCACTAGGGCTGTGATCTTTCCTGGCACTGCGAAACCTGACAAGTTATCAAGTAAGGGTTTTTTCATGCTTGGATATGAAATGTTTTTCCATTCCATGAAACATTGTTGATCCCGTGAAAAGAAGTATTGTTGTTGTCTGTTGAGGGAGCTGAGGCCTCCAATGGATTCTCGAGGTGGAGTTATGGGTGGTTGTTGAGGTTGTTGTTGTTGCTCCAGTGTTGAAGAGGACGACGACGAAGAAGTAGAACATGATGGAACGAGTGGATTGGGAGGATTGTCCATATCGATGGGATGGACATTGTCAATGTTGATGATAATAGAGTCTTTCTCTTCGCAACTCAATTGAGTGGCGCTTTGTGCAACCACCAGGTGAGAAGGCTGTGTTTCTTGCAGAGGTATATCATTCATTGGTGTATGTGTGAATTGAGGCTTTTTTCTCGAAAGTACTCGAGCGACGACATTGTCGTGCGATTCTTCAGTGCCAGTTGTCATGGCCGCTCATTTGGTCAAAATTTCGTTCATTCGTACATGAAATACATCCGTCGACACCCACTTCCTAAAAAAGAGATAAATTCGCTTCGTCATAATCTTGCGTACACTTGAAAAGGAGCGATACCAATGGATCATTGAGTTCGAACACAATGTCAAATTTTTTGAAAAGAATCATGCTGGATATTATTATAAAAGACAATGCTACTTATTGAAGAGTACATTTGGTTGATGGTATACACTCTCTATAGAGAGAGGAAGTAGCATTCCATAAATTCCAATACAAACTATTGTGATGTTTTTGAAAGAGGTGAGAGGCAATGGCTGATCCACGAATGATGTGATAAATTTGTTGAGATAATTCAGGTGGCATTTCGATTAAGGACATGGATGGCTTGTCTAAATGTAAAATATCGTTAATACTGTCAATGTGAGGTGTTTCATCAATGGCTGCATCTTGCTCATGATTTGAAGAATATTCTTCTTTTTCTTCTTGTTGTGTTGATTCTTGGTTTGTTGACAGTTGACAATCACTTTCTTGTGGAGAATCATCATCATTCTTGTGAGAAGCAAAACTCCAATCTTTTCCAATGTGAGGAAAAGCATCTATTTCAAAATACGAAAGAATATTAAATCTTTTTGCCAATTGCACACAGTCCATCGCTCTCATGACATATTTCTTTTGATCTTTTAATTGAGATAAAATATGACTGTTTTTCCGTAAATTGGCATGAGTTCCAACTAGTATTACAGGTATTTCAGGAGCTACCATCTCCAATAAATTAATCCAAGATGAAAGAGTGTAAAATAAATTGAAATCCAAAACATTGTAGGTCAAAATGATAGCATCTACTTCTGCAAAAAGGGAAAAATCGTGTGCACTTGGTATTAAATATCCCACAAACTATTTCATATAATTTACGTGTGAATGATTTCGTGTTTTCGATGCTTAATTTGACACTTACATTCATTTCGTATTGAACCGTATGTACATCGTCGATCAAAATTGAGGAATGGTTCTTCTTATTAAACTCTGTTAGTATGTCTTTAGTGTTATATTTCTCGTAAGTAATAACAGTGAATTTGTATTTCTTGGTTGTGTATGCATCAAGAGATGGCATTGAAATGAGTTTGTTATTTTCAATAAAGCCAAATGGCTGAGAGAGTTTTGCTGAAGCGTGTGGAAATTTGGCGTCCAACACCTTTTCCTTTTCTCGGTATTGAAGCAAAACCAATCCCAATAATGTCTCTCTCCAGGAAGTATCAAGTTTTTTGTAAACTTGATCATGCTGCACTGAATAAAAATGATTATACACAAATTGATAAAGTAGTCGATAGTTTGTTGAATCAAAAGCTATGTATGTGTAACATTAAACAAGTTGACAATTAATTAACACATATATAGCGAAATGTGACCTACATTTTTCAAAGGCCTTTGATAGCAGTGTCGATGTGGAAACAGGGAGAAATGAAAAAATGTGCGTTACTAAATCAATCGATAATCGTTTCACATAAATGGTCAATATGTAGTCTGTTTTTTCATTGGAATCATGATTTCCATCACTGCCATATTCAACTTTATCCACAACAACGGCTCGTTCTTTTTTCTTTTTCTTTTCGTTGAGTAATGACTGCTTTGCTTTTTCATTAACATCAATCACCACTACGGAGCTATCTTGATTTTCATGATGGTTATAATGCTCTTCATCTTGCATGTATTGGTTTATGAATTGAAATAGTGTTTCATTGGGATTGGAAGAAGCTCCTTCATAACTGCCACTACTCATCGGAGGAAAATAACCTCTGTCATCATCATGTTGTTGTTGTTGTTGATGTCCAACTCCCTCGGCAGTTTCATTCGAAAATTCGTTAAAGTTTTCTCGTTTGTTGTTGTGCGAGGTTGGATGAGTCTCTCTTTCGGGATTGACGTAATCCAATTCACCAAAGTCCAACAAGGATGACATTTTTTTTGTAACCATGCAATGTAATGTTCTTTCTTACTTCGATTACAATATATTTTGGTGTTTCATAACCAAGATATAAAAGAACTGGTTCAATGTCGTCGTATATATATGTTCAGTTACAATTTATTTATTTATTGCACCCTCAAAGAAAAATGCAATCACTTGTACACGATGAGAACAGACAAATTAAGTTTGGCCGATATTTGTAAATTGCAATACGATTTACATGAGAATAATGATTCCGAACCAGTGGAGAGCAAAAAACAGAAAGAATTTTCTTTGCCATCATCATTAAAATTATCTTCGCTCCAGAACGTATGGATAGTTGTCCGTGATGATAGGGAATATATATTATTTGATGAAGAAAAATTTATTTCCGAACGAGGGAATGCCATCCTGTCCTCTGTTGTGAATGAACATGACCGATCATCTCCTTTTGAAAATTCAATTGATCCTATCGAGTATTTAAAAAGTGGAGAACTTGTGTTATTTCCGAGACCAAAGCGATCCTCAAGTGATGATGGACAGTCATTCAAAATTATCATTTCATTACAAGAACTATTGGAATATTACAGACATTTTCCCAATTTTCATTGGTCCAAATATCCTCAACTATTAGAATTGATTAGAAACAATTTATTGAGACATGAGAAGCGGTCGTTAGAGAGACTGGAAGGAGAATACCTTGAGTATCAAAAACAACAATTGGATTTTATGCGAGAATATCATCGATTTGTCTCGAGATTTTCATTAACAGAATGGCTTTCGAATTTATTTAAAATTCATGTGTTGGGTGTGAAGAAGAAAGAAACTTCAGAATTAAGAGAAGAAGAACCAATCACTTCAAAAGACTTGACAAAATCTCGAATCATGACATCTTTTCGTCACCTTCTTCCATACGTTACCTTAATGGCTCTCTTTTGGATTTTCAAACTACTCACCAAGCTTTTATCATTGAAACGACGGTGACTGTTGTCAACACCAAACAACTATACCTGACACGACACAATAATTCGCCGATTCCCAACAATCGCCACAGCTATCTACATCAATAGCAAAACTTGATCACGAATGCAGAACAGCAATAAGCAAAAAAATGTTCGGAAACAAAACCATTCAAGTTCCTACAGTGTTTGAAATTTCTGGTTCTAACGACACGACTTTGAAATACTCCATCCATTTGGTAGAAAGCAAGAGTGTCCATCTGAACCGAGAAGCTCCCAATAGTTTCAATATCAAATCGGGAGATGATAGTATTCTATCGGTTGTATCAACAACAAACGGAAAGCTCGGATCATCATCAAAAATCGATATCGAAATGAAACCTCACAAGGAAGGAACTACAACAGTTACTGTAGATTGTAAATTATATGTTTGTAGTGATAGTGGAATGTGTTCCATGAAGAATGAAAGTTTTGTCATTACGGTGAAGGTGCATGGTATGAATTCTGGATTGGCAAATTTACCATCATCAAACAATACTTACAATCACACTCTTACAATGGCTTAAGAGCTGTTTTTGAACATCAGCATGAATTCTTGAAACCTGACTTGTCACGTTGATGGGAATAAAAAAGAAATTTAAAATTGTAAAAAAAATAGGACTATTTAAATTTGATCATCACATCGATCGGTGCATCACACCAGATCTGTATTCATCGTTCCTTGCTTAATTCTCAACACTAAAATTGTTACACTTCAATTTTGGAAATACTAGAATACAAGTCCGCCTTTCGGAATATTCGTCATCACGAAAAATCACATTTTCTTGTACATCATAATATTTAAATTACCATTAATTTGAACAATCGAGTTTCCTTCAATCACTAACAATGAATACATTAGGAGATGATGATTTTTCGGAAAAGTATGGTTTTTACAAATATCTCGCCTTGATATATCCCTCGTTAGCTCTATTGATTGTAGAAAGTACTCCTACTTTTTTCAACATTTTCGGACCAGTATTAAGCAAACTGATTTGGTGGAGTTTTTGTTTTTATGAACCTGATGGTTTCTTTGCTGTATATTATATTGTAAAATATTTTTCAAAAAATCAACAGTTTTTTGTGTGGTATCTGTTGGCAGCCACGTTAAGAAGATTATTCTTTTATTACAAGTACCATTTGAAAAACAAGTTAACGTATCAAGATGGATATGTCAATGGTGCAAGAGAGAGTATTAATTTAATTCATGTCAATGATTTTCAATTATTAGATTATACACCTAGCCAACTCAGTCAGCGTTATAATAAGATACAATTGAGCTACATTAAGAAGAAGGTGGCAGATTTTGTAAAAACTCTCTCTATTGTAATTTCTAACTCGAATAATGATCAGGATGACTCTTTGATTAATGAAGAAAATACCAAGACAATAAGCAATGGAAAGTGTTGCGTTTGTTTGGGAGATGAAAATTTGGATATTATTTTCAACCCATGTAGGCACATGGCCATGTGTCAAGAGTACGTACGAAATTGACGTTTTTGATTTTATTCAAATTCCTTATTGTTTGTAATTGAACCAGATGCTTTGAACATTTTTCCAACGAATGCTATGACAACAACAAGCCCCTAAAGTGTAGCTTGTGCAATTCAATAATTTCCTCCATTTCATGCCATAAGAAAAAGCGTTTTGTTGCCAATTACGAGCCCAGTGAAACGTTTCATTCGAGTGGGCAAATGAATGCACAAAAAGAGTTGTTAAAGCTTGGGGCTTATGTCCAACAAAATCCAAGCATCAAGTCGAGATTGCAGAATCCACGGATTTTTGATGAATGATACCAATACATTAGACATAGCTGTGTTGTCACTAATGTACTCTACATTTATTGGTGGTAAATAAATTATTTTCAGGTTCAAATGTTGATTCAAACCATAATGTTTAAAAACTATCGCCAAAATCTGCCCAACCTTCTGACTTTGGAGCTTCTTTGGTTATCACACTATTAGTTTGAGCAAAGTCGTTCCATGGATCGCTAGAATTGGCTGTCTTGTTTGCAGAAAACGAAAAGTCAGAGTCAAATCCAAAGTCATCTTGTTTGGTAGATTTTGCATTGGTTGTCGAAGTGCTGGTTCCAAAATCTCCAAAATCATCAAAGCCTTTGGTAGCAGTGGTTGTTGAGCCAAATCCAAAATCGTCATTGTCAAAAGATGGTGTTTTGGTAGAGGATGGCTGTGACGTCTTTGCAGGCTTGATGTCGAATCCAAAATCATCGCTTCCAAAGCCTCCGTTGGATGCTGGCTTGGAGTCAAATCCAAAGTCATCAAATCCACTCTTTGGTTTTGTGGTATTTGTTGCAGCTGGTTTGGAATCAAAACCAAAATCATCATTGCCAAATCCGCCACTGGATGGTTTTGAGTCAAAACCAAAATCATCATTATCGAATGAAGGTGTCTTGGTGGATGAAGGTTGAGATGAAGGAGGTTTGGTAGAATTTGTTGTTGATGGTGGTTTAGAATCAAAGCCAAAGTCGTCATTACCGAATCCATTACTAGTTTGAGTTGATGGTGGTTTAGAATCAAAGCCAAAATCATCGCCAAAGTTAGCAGAGAACCCACTGGACACTGGTGGTTGAGTTGAAGGAATCTTATTTCCAGCCAAGTTAGAGTTTCCAAAAGCATCATTTCCAAAACCAAAGTCATCATTTCCGAAAGATGAGTTCGATAGAGGTACAGTAGGTTTTGGTTGAGAAGGAGTGGTAACTGGTGAAGCAACTTTGGCAGTGACAGGTGGAACAACCTTCAATTCGCTTGCAGGTTGATTAGGGAATTCTTCTCCAAGAGCTGAGTCAAAGTCATGAATGTATTCTTGAATCTTTTTGATTAATCCAGTCAACTTTACCAGCTTGGCATTAGGAACAGACTTTTGTTTTTGATTCTCCAAATCTTGTTGGCATCTCGAAAGTTGATTTTTAAGATCCTCATTTTGTGAAATAAGTCCACTAAGTTCAGTCTTTGTGTTAAATGTAGATTGTTCGATATCTTGCTTTTGAAGTTGTAAGTTTCTGACCTTAGTTTGTAACTCCTCGTTAATCATTCTAGCTTGTTGCAGTTGTTCTCGAACAGCTTGTAACTCATTCTTTGCATTAGTAATTTCTTGTTCAACACCATGTGCAAATTCATCTCCTTGTTGATTGGAGTTTTTAAGTCTCAATAACTCATCCTTGTGTTTGACAAGCTCGTTCAAATTTTGTTCCAACTCAGATCTCAAAGTTTCAACAATGCCACTAGCACTTTGGTATGAAAGGTTGGCTTTCTCATAAATCTGCTCCAATCTCATCACTTCCTGTTTGACTCTTTGAATTTGGTTTTGGAATTCTAATCTTTCTTGCTCTAATCTGAAACTTTGTGACTCGAGTTGTGCAATCTCTTCAGACTTTGCTTGGTTTTGCATCTTTAAATTTTCAAACTCTTGACGAACTTGGTTCAAATCATTTTCCAAATCAGCCTTTCTTTCTCTCAAGCTGTTCAGTCTCAAATCATTTTGTTCAACCGATTGACGCAATGGGAACATTTGTTGATTGATCATTCTAGTTTCATCTAAAACTCTGTTCACTTGATTTTCCAAATCTCTAACTGGGCCCACAGTAACTGGTCCCGATGATCCTCCCATCATATTTGGACTACCAAAGTTATTGGAAAGTGGAGGTGGGCCACTAAAGCTTCCTCCAAAATTGTTACTCATTCCGAGAGGTGGTGGTCCTCCAAAACCGAGTGTTCCTGATGATGGCACAAGAGTAGGAGGTCCATTATTAATACTATCCATACTTGTGGTTGATTCACTTCTTGGTCTTAATGGTGGGCTGGACATTCCGGAAGGCGTACCTGCACCAACCAACGATTGTTTAGAAGGCGGAATCAACACGGGTGGTAGTTGCATAGGAATTGGAATATTAGGCATCTTTCTCTTCAATCGTACCAAGTGCATGGCAATGACAAATTCATCCTTGTCCAATACCTTGTTTCTTTCAAAGTCAGCCAATTGGAAAATAGTGTTGAGGATGTCGTTTGGAAGACCTGCCTTTGAAAAGAAATTCATACACTCATCATAGGGAATTGTGTATTTTCCTCGTGCTAAATTTGAAAAGTTGGTTTCATACTGATCCCGTTCCTCTTGTTTGATACTGTAATCAAATCCAGGCGATTGTGGAGGATGAAAATTGGCAGGAGAACCACCACTTCCGACAGGCAAACTTCCTGGATTTGTCAGTTCCTGACGAATCAAAGACATGGCATGTTTAAATTCATCAACTGTGAGTCCTGGTGCCTGGCTAGTTTTGGCTGAAGTCCAAATAAATTTCATCACAGGTAGCGGCAATTGGAATTGATCAAAATAAGCTTTTGCTTCTCCAGGGTTGAGAAGATTGTCTCTGTCCCTATCGGCCAAATGAAACTCATTGTCCAAATCGTTAAAACGCTGCATGTGTGGAAAGGACATTTTTTTGTGATGAATTTTTGGGTGTCATTCGGATAACTGTGTTGATGATGGGATGTATTGATGATACCGTTTGTATTCGATGAATTTATACTGAATTTGCTGTAAATATTATAACTATAATTTTAATATGTTCAATTTATATTGTGATAATACAACCTCTGTGCTTGCCCGATCAATTCGTTACGAAAAAATATTTTCGCGCCCAATTCAAAAACTATCTTTTTAAAAAATACAGAATCAAGAAGGCACTGCTTCTGGTTCACTTCGCAACAATTATTCATCACATTCCTACGAGAGTAGAAAAGTCGTTGAAAGAGACTTCTCTCATACAATCCGTGTATATTTATCATTCACACATAATACTATTCCAACTTGTTGTTTCATACAAAGATAATGATGAAGGCTGCAAATTCATCGGAGAGTTCAAGTGCTACCCTGTTTCGATATTTGGAAAAGGCTTCACTGGATCACTACTACTCACAATTGAAATTGAATGGTGTTACTAGTGTGGAAGCATTAGCCCAGCTCTCGGTACAAGATGTGGCCAATAAAGTCGGAGTGGCTAATGGAGCCGATAGAAGAAAGTTCTTTGAGCTCGTTCAAGTTGCCAAGAAAAGCATCTCTACACCTTCTTCCAATATAACGAATCAACCACAACAAGGGAATTTTGAGAATGAACAAATGGCCTTGAATAAGTGTCAAGCGCTAGACTTGAACCCTAAGAATCAGTTACCTTCTCTCTATAATAATAACATGATCAATGATGATGATAAGGAAAATTATGGTGGCAGCAATGAGGAAGCTTTGTATGATTGGGATGCTGCCGTTAACAATGTTGACAATCACTATGATGCTTTTGAGGTTCATCAGGTAAATCAAAACAACAACATTAATAGTAACAATAATAACGTCAAACGACCAGCGTCAGCAGCTCAACCTCAATACGTACCTCCAAAAGTTCACACTCTTCAACAGATTATGCAACAAAATCTCAGCCCTCAACAAGCCCAAAAGCTCAAACCAAAGGTTGTAGAAAAGAAACCGCCAACTGTAATCAGTAACAAACCCCAAAATGTGCCACAACAACAACAACCACTTGTTCGGGAAGTGGCAAATATTGTCGGTAAACAGGATGCAAATGTTGCCGCCAAGCCAAGGCAACGATCTAATATTGTAGTTGCTGTTCGTAAAAGACCTCTCAATGAAAACGAAAGAAATAGAAATGAGACTGATATTTTAGAAGTTTGCAATAATTACGAACTTGTGATACATGAACCAAAGCAAAAAGTTGATCTCACCAAATATGTAGAAAAGCACCAATTCTGCTTTGATGAAGTTTTTGATGAATATTGTGACAACAATGAAGTCTACAACAAGACTGCTAGGCCTCTTGTTGACCATATTTTCAATAAGGGTAAAGCAACTTGCTTTGCTTACGGACAAACAGGAAGTGGTAAAACAGTATGTATCAATTTTTTGTCTATACTTTGTATAACACAACGGCTGTAGTTTACAATGATGGGAAGAAATGGAAATAAGGGATTGTACTTACTTGCTGCGCATGACATTTTTAACAGGCTTTCAGGAGATATGACAGTTTGGATCAGCTTTTATGAAATTTATGGTGGTAAATTGTTTGATCTTTTAAACAATAGAAAGAAAATATTTGCTCGTGAAGACGCAAAGAATATGGTGGCGATTTGCGGGCTGACTGAAACCAATGTAAATAGTGTGGAAGAATTGATGGGCATCATTGACACTGGATTAAGTATTAGAGCTACCGGATCTACTGGTGCAAATGCTGATTCTTCTCGTTCACATGCTATTTTGCAAATAGTTCTCAAGCTCAATGATAAGACCTATGGCAAATTTTCGTTTATTGATCTTGCAGGATCAGAACGAGGAGCTGACACGAAAAACAGCGATAAACAAACAAGGTTAGAAGGAGCTGACATTAATAAGAGTTTACTTGCTCTGAAGGAGTGTATTAGATCGTTGGATCGTGGTAAAAGTCACGTTCCATTTAGAGGCAGTAAGCTTACTGAAGTTCTGAAAGATTCATTTATTGGAAACTCAAAGACTGTAATGATTGCCAACGTTTCTCCTTCCTCGTCATCTTGTGAACACAGCTTGAATACTCTTAGATATGCAGACAGAGTTAAGGAGTTAAGAAAAGACGCTATCAAAGATAAACTGATACAAGCCAACAAACAAGGAAAGCAAGACATTCAACCTTCTCCTACTCCTTACGACAATCCAATTATTCAACCACAACAAGGTAGAAACTACCAAATGGAAGAGCAGGACGACGAAGATATTCAAATGGAGGACGAAAAAATTGACTATGACAGAGCGTACGACAAGCAAGATTACGAAGTTTCTGATAATGTTGTGGATGACGATATAGATGAAGATTTCGAAGATACAGATATGATTCAAGATAATGAAGTTGTGCTTCCACCTCATTTCCAAGATGTTGGAGAAGCAGAACTTGAACGAGCCCATGAGGAATTAATAAGTAAGATCTTAGATGAAGAAGAAGAGGTTATTGCTCAACACAGAGAACACATTGATGATATCATGGAACTCATGAAACAAGAAATGGAACTTTTAAATGATGTAGACCAACCTCAATCAACAATAGACAAGTATGTCACAAGCTTGGATTGTATTCTCGTTCGAAAAATTCAAGCCATTAAGAGCCTTCGAAACAAACTTGCCGAATTCAAGCAACATTTGAGGGAGGAAGAAATTTTGAGTAGGAGTTTTCAATTAAATTAAGTATTCTTAAGTGGATAAAGCATACAATGATATTTTATTGCTCTTCGGTTTTCTGTTGATTTCTATACATTTCTCTATACTCTAAAATCTTCTTCTTTGAGAAGTTTCTGATACCAAAGCTTTTCTTGATTAAATGGCGACAATCGAACATCTTGAGCGCATGGTCTTTGGTTGCTGTGTAAATTGCCTGGAAGTCGTTACTCTTCATTAAATCTTTTTCAATAAGGCTCAAGTAAGCAATGGCAATACGATACAGGATCTTGTAGTTTTCATGAAGGAAACAATCCCAAATTCTGAGAGAGGTTTCAATTGGGAAGGTATTTAAAAAGATACAAAGGAACCAGTTGGGTGACAGCAAAATGAAAAAGTTTGGATCTTGAGCTAGAAGATGTTGCGCCAACTTGGGAATACGATCCAAGCATAATTTCTGTAATACGAATGATTCAGAATAGACTCCTTGCATCTTGCTATCATATAAATCTGGAGGCAAGTAGCGATCAATAATTCTATCGAGTGTGAAGAATGCTTGTTGAACATTCATACCGACGACAAGCATGATACCTGCGAGGAAATTCATTGCTTGACAATATCCAACTTTTGGATTGTGTAGTGAGTAGAGATATAGAACATTTCTTAAGGCAATTTGGTTGTGTGGGTCCTTATAGAAAGGATGTGTAGGGAATGTTCTGTCTACGTCTTTGCAAATACATGAAAAATTCTTGTCTTTTTCTCTTTCTTCTACTGGGATGGATTGTGCTTTTTCCTTCAACTTGTCAAACACGTCCTTATGTGTAAGGAATTGATAGTTAGCTCCACTATAAAGTTTAGATCATTGGGTATAAATGAGTTGTCATTGGTTAAACTTCATGACATCATCCAAAAATACGTACCTGATGATGTACCACATCACAGCCCTGTACTCCATTGGAATACCTTTTCTAACAAGCTTTTTAAATTCATTTGATTCTTCAATAAAGTGGAAAATACGCTGTTGCTCATATTCTTCCAATGTTGTAAAACCGTTTGGCCCGATGTTGTGTTTTTTGATAAATTCCTTCCACCTATTTCTCTGTCTATTAATTTTCTTGTCATTGAAATCTCGTTGTTTTTCGAAAAGAGGCTTCAACAGTTTAGTCATTTCTTCATCTTCTCCAACCTCAAACCCGTAATTTTCCAAATATTTCATAGAAATTTCAACTGGTTTGGTATCAAGAATATCTAAATCTAAACTCTTGCTCACCACTCCAATTGTTCCATTTGTAAAATCTTTTTGTTCTACTTCAACATTCACTACTGCAGCAACCACTGTTTGGCTTTCATTACCCACAACACTGCTGACTGAGGCAGTAGATGGTGTAGCTCCATTCTTCTCTGTGTCTGTTGTTGGAGGTACTGTTGTTGTTGATTCTACGGTGCCATGTATTGGAACCGTTTCAACGTTGTTTGTAGTAATTGTTTCCGAAGGTGCTGTTGTTTGTGGCTCACTAGAGACAGGGACTCCATTTCCGTTTTGATGATGATTTTGTTCTTGCTCAGAAGAGCTTGGAGTTGGCTTTTGTTCCTTGTTATCTTCTTCATCACTGCTCGATAAATGATCACCAGCATCATGAATAGGCTCATCTTCATCTAGCTTGAATGTTCCGTCAATAATACTCTGTTTTTGCTTTTCATAATCATCATCGGAGAGAAGATTTTCTCTATGGAATTTAGAAAGGAGTTCCAGCTGCTCCTTTTGCTCTTTGGAGAGTCCTGTAAAGGTGGAAGATTATAGGAGCACAGAGGTGATGATTGGTTATGGGAATGAGATGATTACAATGTTGTTGTTATTCAGCAAGCAAATTTATGAGGGAATAGATGAACAATAAGTAAACTAAACTTATGACCTACCAAAGTGCTCGACCGGATTATCCTGTTTTCATGGAGAATTTATCACGATGATGATGATAATAAAGTCAATAGGTTTGATGGTGATTGTATCAATTATCCAAAAGCCATACAACAATCACAATAAAAATTTAAACAATCAAAAGATAATTATTCAGCACCACACAAATCATCATTATCGTTCTTTATCGCCTCGTACTGACACATACCATCGTGGTTGGAATCATTTTTTTTCATAAATGGTCAACAAATTTCCCCAACGTTTCTTTTCGCAAAATTGCCAAACAGGACAGTAGTTCGCCTGTAATGAAGAGTTTATTACACTTGTTCTGCGGCTGTTAAATTAATCAATTCAAAGTATTGTCGTAAGGCATCAGCAAGAACTTCTGGAAGGGTTTGAATATCTCTCAAAATAATGTAGTAAGGGAATGGGAATTTCTCAATGTAGTAACTGAAGGTGAGAGGTTGTTTTGGATCATTGGTCGAGTTAATACTCTTCACTTCGAGAATGGATTCTTTTGGATTTGGATTGTCAATAAGAATAAAGACAAACAAAATCTTCTTCTCTTGTCCTTCTCGTACGAGCTTGACAATTCGATCTCTTTCTAACATACGTCCATCTGAAATGATAAAGGCAAGTTGATATTGTTCAGAGTTGTTAGAGAATTCCAAAGACTTGTAATTTTCCATGAGTTGAATGGTATCTGAGAGGAAGGATACAATTTGAGTTTGGTTTTGTTTGAATGTAAATTGAGAAAGAATTTCAGCTCCAGTTTCATCGGTAAATGGTTTTTCAAATGGATGAAGAAGTTTCATCTTTTCACCAAAACTAACAACACCAAGTTGTCCGACTTCTAATTGAGCCATAGCTCTAGAGATTAAAGTTAACGCTTCACAAGCCATTTGACCTGCATGATTGTCAGCCATGGACTTGGAGTCATCAATGGCAAGCAAAATTTGATATTGTCTCTTGTTTGGTTTAGTTCTACGAAGCCAAATCTTATCCTTTCTAAATTGACTGGCAATATAAGGAATAATCTTCTTCATGTTAATTCTTTTACCTGTCTTGTAGTCTCCTTTGAGTTTAGTGGCAAGTGTTGGTTCAAGAATGAGTCTCAATTGTTCACACAATTCTTGTGAGAGACTGGAAGTTAACATGTCGAATTTCTTCCAAATCTCCTTTGAGTTATTGACATTATCTTCATTATTTCTCCAATCGTTGAGAGAGGTTTCAAGCTCTTCTCTCATTCTCTTAATATCATCCATGGTGAGTGGTTTCATTTCTTCTTCTACAAAGTCAATATCCTCTTCCATGGTCTCTTGTTTTGTGTGAATGGTACTTTCAAAGTTTGTTTGTACAAACTCTGCCTTCTTTGATGGAGGATTGAAATCCAAGTCTTCCATTTCTTCATCTTCATCTTGTTGTTCATGCATCTTTTTATCCAATTTCGATGAAATGCTTGGTTTAGAGTCTGCATCTTGGCCATCCTCATTCTTCTTCTTATTTTCTTCTCCAAACTCCTCTTTTTGCTTTTCATCGGTCATCTCTTCATCCTCATCTTCCTCTTCACCATCTTCCATTTCTGGGAATGCCTTGGATTGCTCATCAGTCGCATTGGACAAGATTTGATTCTCTTGTTCATCCTTATCTGCATCATTCTCTTCTACAAATTCAAAGGCCTCACTCTTTTCACTATCTTCCTTCTTCTTTTCCTTTTCCTCCTGTTTGTTTCTTTCGACGAGATTGAGTTTCTTCTTCCAATTTTTCATTGCATCTCCTAAACTTCTGAGAGGGTTTGGATCCATTTGCATTTGACCAGCTTCTGGCTCCTGTTGAGCATTATCATTAGTACCTTGATCCATGCTCTCTCCCATTTCGTTCTTGTTGGTATCTTTACCACTTTCCTCTGCATTGTTGTTTTTCTTTTCTTGTCGTTCTTGTTTATCTTCTGCAGAGTCATCTTGAATTTCAGAAGCTTTACCTGCGGTTTGCTTGACACCGAAGGGTGTTTCTTTGAGATCGGCATTATCTGCTTCTTCTTCGGCGGCGTGAGCCTTTTCATTGTCTTCTTCCTCATTCTCTTTTTCACCTTCCTCATCTTTTTCGCCTTCCTCGTCTTTTTCTTTCTTATTTTCAGATTCAAGAGTTGGATCAATGGCGTCTTGATCCTCTTCATCTTGACCAGAAATATTTTGATCTTCAGGAGCAATATCTTCAGTGTCGACTTGTTCATCAATTTCCTCGTCTTTCTTCTTTTTGAGATCTTCATCCATTTCATCTCCATCCTGTTGGTTTTCATCATGGTCATCGTCACCTTCTCCATCTTGCTCCTTGTTATCCTCAGGTTCTTCATTGTTTTCCTGTTCATCTTCAGAGATTTCTAAATCATCGAGTTGCATTTGATCATTCTTATCTTGATGGTCAGCATCTTCGCCATCTTCTTGCTCATGGTCATCTTTGAGTTCATCGCCAAACTTATCGTCCATGTTATCTTCAAACTCTTCTTGCTCAACTGCCTCTTCATCATCTTCATATTCCATGGGTTTATCATCTTTCTTTTGCTTGTCTTGTTTGGTATCAAGACCTTGATCGTCTGTTTCTTCTTCTTGTGCTTTAAGCTCTGAATCTTGTTGTTGAGGTTTTTCAGACTTGTCACTGCCTTCCTCAGTCTTATCATCTCGATCTTTTTCATTCTCATCCCACAACTTGTCATCGAGCTGTTCTTTATTGGGATCATCTTCATCAATCTCACCCATTTCTTTGTTTTCATCGTCTTCATTATTGTTGTCTTCATCATCATCCTCTTCTTGTTCATCCATTTCATCTTTTTCTGCTTCAAAGTCACCTTCCATTTCAATGGCGTTTTCATTCTGTTCCAAGTCCTTGTTGCCATCTTGCTGTTTCTTGTCTTTCTCATTGAGTAGTTGATCCTCATTATCAATTTGATCACTCACATCATTGATACCTTCTCCATCATCCATACCAGTACCAGAGCTAAACTCTACGCCATCCGATTGTCCTTCACCCTCAGTTTCGTCATCTTTACCACAAAAACCTTGTTTGAATAGAGTAGTAAAGATATTGAGTAAAATAAATGTCAATTTGGATATGCTCTTATGGTAATAAACCATTGGGACTTTGATCGTATCGACAATAATATCCAGACGGTGCAACAGAGGAGTAAGGTTACCGAGTATTTCACTCAAGCTATTGACAATGGATGGATTTCGATCCTCTCGCTTACTGTAGGTGGTGATCGTGTGAATCATCTCTTGGAGGTCATTGTTAATCTTGGTCATTCCATTGGTGATGGCTTGACAACACTTCTCAATATGCTCCTCCAATCTGGCAATGGAATTATTCTTGCTCAAGAATGATAGGGAGAAATTGGTGGCGTCTTGATCTTCTTCTTTTGTGTGCTCTTCTGTGGCTGTTTTGACTACTTCCTCATATTTGGCTTGTTCCTCAGCGCTTGCCTTGATTAAGTCTTGAGTGATCAATTGAATGAACTTGACAGCATGTTTGTACTTGTTGGCAAACTCTTTCACAATAGACATGTCTTGACTTGGTTGTTGTGATGACTCGTTACAAGTGGCCATCTCAAACACAGATTTTACAGAATCAAATTCCAAAAGTAAATGATTCAATTCGGGTGACTTGGGGAGAGTGGAGGTTTCCTCGATGAAGGCACTCAAAACAGTTTTGACCTTGTCCAACGTTGTGAGATTTTCTGAGAGCTCTTTCAAATCTGTGGAACTGAAAATCCTAGTCCTGTTCATCACAGAAGCTACTGTATCCATTGCCCGATCAATTAATTGCTTGGCTTCATTCAGGGTCTTGAGAGGTTTGTTATATTGATCGTCATGCTTTGAGAGAGCAGTGTAGAGAGAATGAATTTGATAAATCAACTCGTACAATTTGAATACATAGTCTGCTTGAGTAGCAACTGCTTTTTCTGAGCTACCTTGTGAAATTAATACATGCTGGCCATTGGAGGATTCAATGGATTGTCTCACATGGTCCAAAGTAGAATAGAGTGATTTGTTAGATTTTTGGCAATCCTCAATTTGACTCAAATATCTTCTATGTTTGAGAGTTAAGAAGAACAAGTTGTCAGGATAACCTCTCATCTTTGTCTTTTGACTCTTGATATCTTCTGCTAACTCTCCTTCATAGGCGACTCTAAAGTTTTGAATACTAAAAATATTCTTGTAGAAATATTCATCAGCCTTATTGAATTCATCCTTCACATCCTTTGAATCAAAAGAAAGAGTAAGGGAGACCGATGGAATCAGGAAAACCTTGTCCATAGTGGTTTCTGTTGCAACTCCCTTCTTGAGATAAGACACTCCCATTTCTTTGAGCTCGGTTAAGAGTGAGACGAGTGCTCTCAATTTCATACTTTTTGATGAATTCTCCTTATTCAACGATTGAGTTTGTTCAATAATTTCTGTACTCAAATCTTCAATATTGTTCACCACTGCATCATACTCTTTAGAAAGAGAGGTCTTGAGGACATGACTCACAAAGTTCTTACCAACCAAATCATGTATCACTGGTAGACGATCAATCATATTCTTTGATGTGGACTCGTCAAGGAATTCAGTCTCAATAGTCTTCATCAATTGCTTGTCCTTCTTTGTGAAGGAAACCAAATTCTTGATGGCTTCATCAGAGTGAACGACACTCTTGGTCTTGTTTAAATATCTTTGAATCACGTCATTAGGTTCAACAGAGTCATTGAGTTGCTTCTTTTTAGACTTTTTCTTTGTTTTCTTGTCCTTGACTTGTAGAGTTTCAGTGGCCGCAGCGAGTTCATCATACTTATCCCACAAGTCTCTTGCTTGTTTCACCAAAACTTCACCAAAACCTTTTGAGAATTTGGCAAGAGCTCTTCTCGACTTCTTGGTTGTGAATCGAATGGCATCAATGTTGACATCTTCCCACTTGGTCAATGTAATGAAATCTCGCAGTTTTTCTTCGAGTGGTTTCTTCTCTTGTTCCAGTCTCTCCATGAGTTTTGGAATGAATTGAGAGTAATATCTGTACATGTTGTGAATAATATCTCTAATCTTGGTTCTAGTTTCAATGTCCTCACAGTACTTTCTCTCAATTTCAGCCGTCAAATGTTGATTAAAGTTGTTGAGCAAACCGAGACGATATTCGAAATCACCAATAGTAGATGTTCTAATAAAATCGTCACAAATACTGAAGAACTCTTCAATGGTCTTGTTGATATCTACTTGATTGAAATCGCTATTACAAATCAAAGTGTAGAATCTGAACCACCAATTGATGGATTTGTTCTTATATTCTCTTGTCTTCAAGTCATAAATTCCCTTCCAATTTTCCAACTCCATTCTTCTCCATCGAACAATGAGAGCTGAAAGCTTTCTAATTTCTTCCTTCAATGAGTTGACGTGTGCAGTGAGATATTCTTCCCATTCTCCTGCCTTAATCAAAAGCAATTCTAATCCAGTCAAAATCTTAATAATAGGACTAGTAATAGGTTGGTTCAAAATATGTTCAATAATTTTAACCATCTCTACGAGCACTGGATGTCCCTTCTGCTCCTCAGTGCTATATTTCTTAATGAGGAAGTTCAATCGTTGAAGCATGCTGAAAAGAGTACTAAAAGCTAGAGTTATTTCTGGAATATTTGGATCGGTATACACTTCGCTGTATGCTTTTAACTTGGCTTCCTTTGAATGATCTACTTTGACCCATAAATTGTTGAGAGCTCGACTTCCAAACAACACCAAAGGTAAATAGCCTGAAGATTTCATATCAATTTGATACTTTCCATTCAAGGTGTTAATGATATGAACAGCTACATTGAAAGACTCATCAAACATTTTGTTTCTAATATTCTCAATTACTTGAACGGGTCTTCCATTACGGTTCAAAGCAGCTCCGCTCAATGAAATAAAACTGAAAATGTCTTTGTGTGTTTCAACGAGATAATCAATCTCCTTCTCGTCATGAATGACCTTATTCACTTTTTCTAACAGTGACATTTCAGAGTTTAAGGATTCTCTCTTTTCACCAAGATTTTGTTTCAACGCGTGTTGTTCTGGCTTTTCAACAAAGACCGAATAATCTTCGGCATAGGTTGGGAACATGGATTCCATTTCTTCCTCTAATATCTCTTCATCCGTTTCAATGACCGTCTTCTTCTCTCGGAATTTATAGAAACTGTCCTCTTCTTGCTTTTTCTTTTCTAATTCATCTTCCACAGTTTCAAATACGTTTGAATACATGGAGAACACTTGATTCAATAATGTAAGATTTTCAATGGTTTTCTCTTGACTTGAGGTTTGAGAAACAGTAATTAACAGACATCTAGACATGAGGACACGAAGTACTTTGGTTGCTGTTTCATATTGCTTGCATTTGAGATGTACAGTTGGAGAGTTCTCAATGGATTTTAACCATTTACGAACAACTTCCAAGTCCGATTCAATGGTCTGCACCGAGTTACATGAAGGGAAGGAAAGCAAATGATTCAGAATTTGATTCACAGTATTTTGTTCAGTCTTGTCTTTCTGTGCAAGAGATCCGTAACACAACAATCTCAAGCCATACTTGATATGGTAGGCACATGAAGCAAATGGAATTGCCAAATCTTCAAAGCCAAATTCATTCTTCAAAATCTTAGTCTTGATTAAACTTTGAGTATTGGATTGATAGGAATCTTCTTTGGTGATTAGTTCGACTTGTTCGTTTTCTTCAGTGTTGCTACTGTCATTGCTTCTTTCGAAATATTTCAACAAGTTATTGGAGAGAGTTCGTAAGACTTCTTGTTGATCGACTAGAGTCTTCATTTCGCGATACAAGTCAATGAAAGAAATTGTGGATGGTCTGTGAATGACCTTTGGAGTGATTTTGTCCATCATGACTTGAATGTGAGACAAATCTTGTTCAATCTTGCTTGTGATGAAGCTGTTATCGCTTCCAGTAATGAATTTTTCAATGGAAGTGATTACTTGAAGCTTGTTATTCAGCATGTCCACATCTTCCTTCAAATGTTTGTCATAAATTGCATATTTGAGAGTTGGATCCAAGGCATTGGCAGGAATAAACAATGACATACGAAGTTCGCCCAATTTGAGCCATGCCAAACCACGATTAACAAGATCCTTATTTTTGTCTGACTCTTTGATGCAAATAAGCTTGCAAATAGAAATAACATCATTCTTCTTGTGTTTGAGTCTGGAATCATTTGAACTTTCAAGAATAGTTTCCAAGCTTTTAACATTGATGTCCTTTGTTGTGCATAACGAGTCTGTGAGTTCTATCAGTTCTGCAAGTGCTTGAGACGTCAAGGTCTTCTTGAAGCTCAACAAAGTGTCACAGTACAAGTAAGTGAGATTGGACCAATCAATTTCCTCAGCTTGGACATTGTCTACATTGGTGCAAATAAATTGAATGACCTTCTTCAGTTGATCAATCTTGATATGTCTAGATCTGATTGGAATGTTTTCCCATCCACTCAACAGCTTCAAGATATGAACAGAGTTTACGTCTTGGAATAATCTATTTGGTCCAATCAAATCATCTCGTGTCAGACTTTCATCAGATTTGGACACATCAAACATTGAATTGTTATACGTGTTATTCCACACTCTCTCGTTCCAATAAATATAAACATAATGCAGCAATGCAGGAATGGAAGATGCAAATTGCTTCAATTCTTCCATTGAAAGAGCATCCAAATTTCCTGCTTTCCATAACAACATTTGATAAGGAACCATATCAAATGGTCCACGAGAACAATTCTCCAAAATGAAGTCAACTAGATGTCTTGACTGGAACACAACAGAGTTCAACAGTCGCTTGACCTCTGTGACATCTGTAGAAGCATCCAATCTCTTACAAAGATATCCAATCTTTGAGAATAACATAATGACATTCATTTCCTTGTGCATACTCTTGTAATCAAAAAGTGGAGAGATCGCCTTTGTCGAATGCAGTGAGGCAGCATTAACACGTTTCTTATCTGGAGCAGTGAATTCAGCAATGTCATGGAAAATAGCATCCATCACAAGCTCTTGCTCAGACTTGTTACTCAATTCTTTGTAAGGAGTATGAATATCTTCAGAAAGTTCTTGCTCCTTTGGCTTTGATTTCTCAAGAAGAGTTGGAACACTTCTCACATAGTGCAACAATTTGTCATAGTCTGGATGTTGAGGATTTTGTTGCAGTAATTTTACAGTGCTCATTGCTTTGAAAAGGAGTTCTTTGAGTTCTCGACTTTCTGTGTGTGCTGATGTGGATGTCAAAAATTGTTGAATCACATCTTCCAGTTGCTTCAATTCTTGAGAAACAGAAATAGTTGGCTTTCCACAATTTTTGTACAGGGTATTCTTCTTTCCTGCGCTATTGAAGTTATTAATGACTAAACTATCAATTTCACCCATAAATGTACATAATTGTTCGTAAAGCTCGTAAGGAGATTCAGTGTTCTTCTTGGATGGTTTTTTGAGCTTGGGTTTTTTCACTTTCAATTTTAGGAATTCTTTGGCCAACCAATTCCAATAAATAAAGAATTCTTCAGTTAGCTCTACAGTATGAGAAAGATAGAACCACAATTTGTCTCGACATCTCAACAGAGCTCTGACTTCATTCAAATCACACACCGAGTCTTCAATAGACGCATTCATCATGCTGTTCATAAACCCATCAATTTGAGTGAAAAGAGTGTAGAGATGAACTACAACTCTGTTTGGAGCTGATCCTCTATACTTTGGATTAATGTGATAATAGTATGAAAGATGAAGCAGTGAGGACTTGTTCTCCACAATAGAACCCGTAAACTCTCCAGCTATTGCTTGCTCTTCTTCGTACTTTCGTTTTTGTTGAGAGGTTAACAAACTTGCAGCCTCAAATAAATGATTATCTTCATCAGTAACAAGTCCCAAGTAGACAAGACGAGAGTATAATTGTTGGCTATACTTTAAATTCAGAGGTTGAGAAGCAATGATATCTGCATACTTGCTAGTAACAGCCAAAGAGATATCTTTGAACACTTTTTGAATCTTCTTGGAGAAGTCGCTGTTCTTGTGCTTGTTGAGAAGCTCCAATCCTTTTGTGAGCAATTCATCGAGAATTTTGTCAGATTTACAAAGTTTGTGAATTCTTTGTAACCATATGGATCTAATATCAATATCCTTGAGAGAGCTCACATCAATAAAGTATTCAAGTGCATATTGCATGTCATTGACTAGATTAGAAATAGATCGTTCGGATGTGTCCATAATTGTACTTGCGATCGTTCGTTGGATGTCGTTTGATTGTAAGAACTGAGGTGGTAGGTCGGCCATTAAAATCTTCCATTGCAAACCATCAAGAATGCTCTTTGTACTATCGTTTTGATCCACCTTTTCAGTCATACATGTACTCAAATAGGTTCTGATCATGTCGTACAGTCGTGCTGCTTGTCTAAACACATTTCTAAAGACTGATTTATCACACTTGAAAGCATTGCAAGCAACAAATGTCGATGGGAAGCTAGGATCATTTCTTGGCAATACAAGAATGCATTCTTCCAACTCTCTTTCAGCAATTTCTTTTGCAGCTTTAGCAGAGCATCTACTTCTAATGTATACGCTAGAAGCTGCTGCTCTAAACGCGTTGGTAATATTAAGACCTTGTTTCACTTCAGAGTTGAATACTTCAGCACATCTTAACAAGTCACGAACGGTTGGTCGATCTTCTTCAGGAAGGAAGATCTTTGAAGTGAATCGTGCATGGTAATCCATCATGACATTACATAAATGTGAAGAGGGTATTCCATGATTTGCCAACAATGTGAACGCATCTTGGGATGGAATTGCAATTGGAAACATGGCAATCTCCAATCCTCTATTTCTCATGGCTCTAGAAATTTCTCCATACTTTGGATCCATTACCATAAAGATTCTAAAGTGAGGATGAGGTTTGACAATACGAATCTCACCATCCACAAGTCCTCTTTCATTGACAACAAGCACACCATCGGGTTCAAATAATGAGTTCAATCTATCCAAAACGGTTGGATTGCAAAAATTAACATTGTCAATAAGAAGCCAATTACCTGCTTCCAACGATCGAATCAACACACCATCATTCCATTCAAATCTTCCCTTCACACCCATCTCTAGCAATTTGCTTAAATTTTCTAATTGAGTGAGGATGGATTGTTTTTCGTCATTTTCATATTGAAGCAAGGAAAAAACTCCTTCACACATACTCTTGAGTTGATCAATTCCTGAGAATGTGGAATCCTGTTTAGAGGTTGCTTCATAGGCTGTCCATTGATTATAAAGTTGCTTTACAGCATCAAAGTTTCGTTTCTCATCATTCAAGAATGAGATTCTTGCAAGTTCATCAATCTTGAGTTTGATAGCAGTCGCAACCTTTTTAACCTTTTGGATGGGATCTACTTGTTCAAATCCTCCCAACAATTCGACAGTATCCGTTGAACTGCTCATTGAGAATTCATTCAACTTGTTACCAGTCATTTGTGCAATGAGTCTGACAATTGAGGATTTACCACATGCAGAAGGTCCATTAATGATCGTTAAATAGTTCATCTCAATACACTTCATAATATTCTCAAGAGGGTTCAAGAATGATTGTAGTAAGATCAAGTCCTTTGAGGTTGTAGTACTTGGGGCATGATTGTCCTTATCACTGTCATCAAATGAATTGTTCTTCAGCAAAATAGAAGAACCAATTTGTATAGCGTCTGGAGAAAGAGTATAAGTGGGATAGGTTTCTGATGGGAATTCTTTTCCAGAAAGTTCTGTAAATATCTTTTCAACATATTGACGATCCTCTCGAGTTCTCATTCTTTGACGATACATGCAATCAACGAATCTCATTGGATCATACTTGAATGATTCATTGTTCTTCTTGTTAAGCTCTTGCTCTTTCTTCAAGAGTTCACACCATCTGAAAACATCTCTCAAGTTGAATTCCCAAGGGCTTCCTTTTCTACCAAATCGGTATAGTTCCATTGTTTCCTTGTGCATTCTTCTGTTAAAGTCAATCATGAGCTTGATATTGTCCTCACCAATATCATCATGAATAGAACGAAGAATAAATGTCAAATCTTCAGGTCGCAATTCATCCACATACACTTGAGTGAAACGATTGAGGAACGATTTTGGTAGACCTTTTCTTCCACCTCCTTGCTGGAGAGGATTTTGGCATGCAAAAATTCTGAATCCTTCTGGGCATTTGACAACTTCATTAATCTCAGGAATGTAAATTTCAGCACGATGATCCAAAATAGAGTTCAAACCTTCTAGAACCGATTGAGAAGCCAAATTCAACTCATCCAACAATACCCAATCACCATTTCGAAGTGCTCTCAGGAAAATACCATCACACCAACGGAATTGACCTCCTGAACTTCCCTCCACAGGTAAATCCGTTCCAAGCAAATCCATCATATCGGTTTGCTCACTGAGGTTAATTCGAACAATATTGTGTCCAGAGGCTTTAGCAATGGCAGAGATGAGACTTGTTTTACCAACTCCAGGACTACCTTCGAGCAGTAGGGGTTTTTTGAGTTGCATAGCTCGCAACACTTTCATGACATTTCTACCTGTCGTAGGTGCATCCAATGCATAGACAATTTTTCGTTCCATGTTAGGACCACACTTGATAAAGAATGGATGATATCCAAAGTAGTCGGCGCTTTCTTTCGTCTTGGTAGATCTAATGGCTGTATAATTCTCATTAAGGAAAACATCCTTGTAGTAGCTGAATTGCTCACTCGAGAGAACCTTCTCATGTTCCAACTTGTCTAGTAAGAAATTGAAACATTCCGTTCGTAAGACTTGTCGATTACGGGCTGAGGCATCGGTACCAACACCAATACTTTCCAAAATGACTGTATCCACACCATGCAAATAGGCTCCATACGTGTCCATATCTAGCTTTGTAACTGACATATTCATGAAATCCACCCAAGATATCACGTCTCTCACACTCAATAGACGTTTGGTACGTTTGGATCTAAAGAATTGAACAAATTCAACCATCCGAATATTGAAAGACTTGATGCTTGCATGGAGTCTACTGGCGACAATAATGGCCAAATCCTCAGAAACTGATAAACTTGGAACATAAATTTCAGTAAAACGATTTCGGAGAGCAGGTGATAATTCTCGTTTACCAAAATCACCACCAGGATTCATTGTAGCCAAAATTCTGAAATTCTCATTCGCAACAATATGTTCAACTTTTTCGGAACCTCTCTCAGGAAGAGTTAATTCTCGTGAAGGCTCCAAAACACTGTTCAGACGTTCCAAAACAGCATCCTCAGCAAGTGAAATTTCATCAATGAGGAAAATATCGCCACTCTTCATGGCTTGAACAAGAGGACCATCATACCAAGTGAAAAGAGCTTTCCACTTTTGATAGGTTTCTCTGATTATTAATTGCTTTTCTAAAAGCTCCTTTTCTTTGAAGTCATTCTTTTGCTTCTTCTTTTGAGGCTCAACTTGTTTTCTTTCCTTAGCAAGTTTTTTACAAATGTCTTCAAGTCTCTTAACCTTCTTGCTGATATTTGTCTCATTGCCAAAATTGATGTCCAGAGAAAATTTGGTATGAGCAACATTGATAAAGTCTTGAATCATTTGTTCAAGTTCTGCTTTGAGTTTTTCTCTACCTCTTACAGGTCGTAGAGAACCAAGAATGTCACTCGTCTCAGTATGTTGATGGCAGTTGAGAATTCTCAAATGTCTTTCATAAATATCAGCATAGATTTGACACACGGTTGTTTTACCTGTACCCGTATCACCGACTAATAATGCTGGCTCTTTGAACTTGAGACACTTTCCAACCAGGACATACATTCTCTTCATGGTCTTGGTCCAAACAATATTGCTTCCTGCAACAGAGACATCTTGCAATTCTTTTGGATTGTACATGGCTTCCAGATCAATCTTTGTCTTGAATACTTTTTCTAAAATTTCTTGCACAATTTGTTTCTCTTCATCTCTTCGAAGTCTCTCAGCCAAAAGCATGTAACCTTCCTCTGCAGCATTTTGATTGTAGTTAATATTGTCTACAGCTCCATTCATACGTTCGGCCCATCTGAATAAATCTCTTGGAGTAATGTTGCTTTTACCAGCAAAGATCTTACTACTCTGTCTTCTTTGTTGGAGTTCTCTCATGACATTGACTAGCTTGGTAGCATGTTGATTAGAAATTTGACATCTCTTGTGAAGAATTGTAATTAATTCTGGTCTTGGAATTTCATCGACATGCAGCTCCAAAAATCTATTTCTGAAGGCACGAGATAACACCTTTCTACCACCATACAATCCAGGTGGGTTTTGAGTTGCAAATAATTGGAAATGAGGATGAGGTTTGACCGTTTCTTGTGTCTCTGGTATGAACAATTCTCGATTGTCGTCTAACAATCGGTTGAGAGCTTCAAGAATATCAGAAGGAGCTAAATTCAATTCGTCTAACACTAGCCAATAACCATTTCGAACGGCTTCTACAAGAATACCTTCTTGGAAAACCAATTTACCTTGTGCATTGGTAATGTAGGTACCAAAATATTCTTGAAGATCGGTACTTTCGTGATTGTTAATTCTCACAAACTTGTGTCCTGTAACTTTGGCGAGATATTGAACCATACTAGTCTTACCAGCCGAGGTTGGTCCTTGTAGCAACACAGGATATTTGTTAGTCTTGATGGCTCTCGCAAGATTTTTCAAATTTTCTTCAACGGACTCTGTAATGATAAAATCGGAGGGTTGTTCAGGTTTGAATTGACCTTGTTGAAGCCAGAAATGTTTGAACAAGACAAAGTCACCACTTGTTGGTTTGGCTGGTGCTTGATTGAGAGAATTATCAACATTCTTGTTCTTAAAGAAGGTGCTTCGAATGAGTTTTTCCACAGTCGAGCAACAAGAGGCACTCAATAAGGTTAAGAACCCCATTGAGAATCCTTCATAGAGTGCTCTTTCAAGACCATAATCTTTAAGAACCATCACTGTATAATCCAAACTTCGTGTTAAGGTACGCAAACTGTAGTGTGGTCTTTGAGAGGCTCCATCAGATAACTCTGCCTCTGATCTCTTTCTGACGTCCAAATAGAAATTCACAATATCGTCAACAGGTGGATGAGGAATGTTTGCGAGGTATCTCGACACAACAATTTTCAAATCATCCTTATCAGTCAATTCATGAACATAGAATTCAGAGAATCTATTTCGTAATCCAGGCGGTAAGTTTTTCTTGCCAATATCTGTTGGAGGATTCATGCAAGCAAAGATTCTAAAGTTGGGATGTCTCTTAATTGGTTCTGTGTCTCCCTTCTCAGTGATGAAAAGAGTACCTTCCTCTCCTTCCAACAAACTGGAAAGACGTTCCAAGGTTTCAGTAGAAGCCAAGTTAATTTCGTCGAGCAAAATCCAGTGTCCCTCTTTCAATGCCTTTACGAGCGTACCCTCCACAAAAGAGAATGCAAAACTATTTTGAACTAGTATTTGTTGATGATTAAACCGATCAACGCTTTCCTTAAATTTAGCCCAGTATTGTTTCAACGTGAATGTTTTCTCCGTTTTTTGCTTCTTGGTTCCAGAATTTGATGAAGAGGCAGCTTGTGACTTTTTTCGCTTCTTTGACGATTCTTCGGATGGTTCTGTCTTTTCAGTCGAGTCATCTTCCATCTTATTCAGCTTTTGTTCTGCCAATTCAATGATCTTGTTGAGGAGCATTACAAATTGAACCCAGTTCTTTTTAGAGTACAAATCTCTGACCTTATTCAAAGTGCTTTCATTCTCTTTTGAGGGAAAGGTAACGGAAAATAATTGCTCAAAATTACTTTTCACAGAAGCAGCAAGAATTTTCAAATCTACAGGTTTGTACCCTCCAATAAAGTCAGCACTATCTGTTTGCTGATTCAAGTTATGTACAAGAAGCTTTTTACCCATCAAAGTTGCCAAATATTGAACAGCTGTTGTTTTACCAACACCAGTCTCACCTGTTAACAACACTGGCTCATTCATCTTGATACAAGCTCCAATTCTTTCCATCATTTTCAAGCTTTGTTTAGTGTGAGCAAAAGTACTTCCTTTGTGTAACAATTCTCCCAAGTTCTTTTCATCTCTCTCGAGTGTTACTCTACCTACAGTCACAACCCCTCGTTCCTCCTGTAATTGGGGTTTGTAGGTCCTCAAATAATCTTCAAAATTGTAAATTTCCCAAACTAGAGCTAATGTATGTACAACAGAGTCATAAATGTCCTTCTTTGCAATCATTCCACAAAACACATCGATGGCTTCGTGGAAAATATCTCTCTTAATTTGGCTTAGCACATAATTTTCATTCTTTTGAATCTTGTGACCATAAAATCGTTGCACTCGTTCGCACCATTTCAATAAATCCCTGAATGAAAATAGCCTTCCAAAGCTTTTGAGTTGTGTCGATTCCTTAGTACTGCTTGCTTGTTGCTTTTGTTCTCCATCAGTGCTGTCTGAAAAAGAAGAAAGATTGACTCCTCTCAGAGCATCATATGTTTCAATGAATTTAGGAACAAGCTGCTGGATGGATTTAAATTTGGACTTGAGAATATGTTCAATTTCTTTCGATGGCAATTTGTTAATCATCACCTTTGTCCATAAATTTGACATGGGCAACACACGTTGTCGAGTAGCCATTCCCGATAACGATTCCATTAAACTTTGTGTAGCAAAAAGTTGGAATCCAGTAGCAGCAGGTATCACTTCATCTCTTGATGGAAGGAATAAATTTCCTGATTCCACAAGTGAAATAATGGAAGATATGATATCAAAAGGAGCTAAATCAATATCTTCAATGAGAATCCATCTACCTTCAAGAACAGCTTTTGTAAGGGCACCTGGCTGCCATCTAAATTCTCCAGGAACATCTGTGCAAACATAAGTACCCAACAGGTCCTTGCTATCGAATGATTCATCCAAATTCACTTTGATGAGATCAGTGTTTCCCGTAATTCTTGCCAACTCTTCAACAAAAACAGTTTTACCAGAACCGATAATTCCTTCTACAAGTACTGGTTTTTCTTGAGAAACCGCCAGAGCAAGAGAGCGCATATTGTCGAATGCTGTGTTGGTGAATATGAGTTTTGTCTTATCTGACGAGATATTTTGTTGTGAGGAGTGAACTTCTCTAAGGTTTTTGTGAAGCCATACTCCACAAACATTAACCATGGTTTCACTCTTGTGAGAAATTACAAGCTTTTCTCTGGAATCTGATGATATAGTCTCCATGTTTGATGTTTCAGTGTCGTCATAGAACGAAAGAGTATTTTCAAGATGCATCTTTTCTTCTGATTCAATTTCTTGCAAGACATATTCTTGAAGATTTTCAAATTTTGAATTGAAAAATGTGTCATCAAGCTCTAGCAGTATCGAAACACATTTAGATGTCATTGATCGAATTTCCTTATTTTTGTGCTTTAGCAGTGAGAAAAACGGTGCCCAATTCCAAAGTTTACAAAAATCGGCTGGTGCACAAATTAATAAACGATACGTAATTTCTAAAAGTGTCAAAAGTTTCTGTTGCTCAATCTTATCTTCTAGATTGTTGTTGACAATAGACTCTATGAGTGAAGGTCTATTCTTGAAATATTGTTTGATAAAAGTTTTAAATTGAGGGTATAAAGGCAGTATTTTGCTCACTGCATTAATTGTGTCGTAATGTTCTGATGAATTATTAGTAGTGCTGCTTTTTTCAACTGATTTGTACAACTTTTCCATGATTTGAGCAACCAAAAGGGGCAAAATTGGTTTGCACACTCTCGCAACAGTATATGTATAGTTGGGTTTAATAAATAGAGATATTAAAAAAGTTTGGATACTTTTGATGATGTATGGATCCGTGTCCGATGAGTTAGCTATCTATAATTGTCAAAAATCACGTCATGATAACATTCCGAACAAGATAACACGTTATTCACAAAAGGACCTTGAAATTGAAACACTTACCTTCTTTTTGAACGAATTCACCTCTTCCTTCAATGCAGGAAACTCCTTCTCAAGGACCACCAAAACATGGCTATAGGAGAAGGTCGTTTTCTCTGATTGATGATGATTTTGGTGTTGAAGAGAAGAAGAAACATGTTTGTTGTTTCCCGACACGGATGAATCTCGGTTGTTGTTCAACATTTTTTTTGTTTCAAATTTTTCCAGTGCATCTCTCTCAACTTCAACAAAAATAAGAATATTTTGAACTATGCATGGAGAGTCATTACATGAAGGTAGGAGGATTGTATTGAATGTAGGAATGACCATATGGTCTTCCTGTGTGTGATTGGTTGTTATTCAGCATTTGATGGCAATATTATAACAGCATTAGGGAATGAGCTGTGAAATATGAACTTGACGCGTCAAAGAAAATGACTTCCACACAACTTCGAACTACACACAGTGAACAACAAAGGAAAGACTTGGCTCCGATAACGTCTCCATCCATGGCCACCATCACATCAGTATCACCCTCCTATGGCATCCTATCTATGGATCTATTAATTTCTCACATATTTCCTAATTTCAGTTGGAATTGGCTTTTTGCTGTTGCAAGACTTGTCTCTAGAGAATGGAACAAGATCATCACATCACCTGATATCGATATTTGTATTGAAAGTATATTGACCATCAATAGTTTTACAATGAGTGACAAGAACAGAATAATATTCATACGACAATGTATGAACAACAAATTTGGATCAGTGACCGGAATAGTTTTAAAAGGATTGGAAATTTCATTCTTTGAAGAAACAGCAATGAAAGTTCATTCCCAATTCAAAAATCAACCCTTTAATTTATTTTCATATTTTCCAAAATTGCAGAGAGTTTTAGTTGAATCCATTTATTCTTTTGAAAAGGTGTTGCCTTACATGGCAAAAGGGAATTTACAATATTTGAAAAAGTTTGAAATCTATTCGAACACCATGCACGATACAGACATGCAAGAATTCAAAAGCATTAATTTACAATCCTTTCAATCGTTGACAATGGTTCGATGTCATATTAACGACGGAGTATGTGATCAGTTATTGAAAAACAATTTCTCAAGTTTAACAGAGCTAAATCTCTATGGAAATGCCGTGAAACACGATGCGTGTCACAAAATATCAGAATTGAGCAATTTAACCATGTTAAATCTATGTCACAACGACATTGGACCTCCTGGATGTCTGCACCTTTCTAAAATGACCAATCTGCGTAAATTGTTTTTGAAAGGTTGTTCCATTTCCAATCAAGGTTGTGAGTATTTGAGTCAAATGACAGAACCAACAAGTCTCACTGAATTAGATGTATCCAGCAACAATATTGATAAGAATGGTTGCAAACATCTCAAATGCTTTAAAAATTTGCTAATACTCGACATTTCAAACAACACCATTGGAGGAGAGGGACTTGCATTGCTTTTCGAGCATGAATCACTTCCAAGGTTGACCGATTTAGATATTTCTAGATGTGAAATTTCGAATGATCTAGAGTCATTTGTAACACATGCTCCTCGACATATAGTTCGATTGAATCTTGCATCCAATACACTTCGAGAAATTGCTCCTCTCTGTGATGAAAAGTTTTCCCATCTTTCCCACTTGAATTTATGTGTGAATCAATTATCAGGAAGTGCATGTAGAGATATTGCCGAGTGCAAATACTTTTCAAAATTGACATTCCTAGATTTGACCTTTAATCAAATTCAGGCCTCAGGCTGTGGCGTACTATCGAACAAAAATCTTTCCAACCTCAAAACCTTAACTCTAGCTCATAATACCATCACTGGAGAAGGATTGAAAAATCTATCGAACGGTACTTTGTCAAGTCTTGAAACACTTATACTTTCTAGTAATTCGATTGGAGATGAAGGCTGTCAATTTCTAGCGAATGGTGTTTTTCCCTCCCTCACTGATTTATCTTTATCTCACAATGCAATTACTGAGAATGGATGTTTGTGTTTTCAGAGAGGAACGAACAATTTTCCTCGACTCAAGTGCATCACACTTTCAGGCAATGAAATCAATGATAACGGATGTAAATATCTTGCAGAAACAAATCAATGGAAGAGGACTGAAATAGATGTTATCATTAGTGGAAACCAAATCAGTGGGAAGGGTCACGAATATTTGTGCAAGGCTAATTATGCAAAAGTATATACAGGAATTTCCACAGTTAAAGACGTTTATTCAAGAAAGTCAGGCTGTTTGCAAATGTAATGACTCTCTTCTTCAGAAAAGCTTGAAATAAAGCTCTCCCTTATTGTTGCAAGAAAGTGAACACAACCACACACGCTCTCGTTCATTGTGAGTGCCTTGTTCAATACAAAACGCGCGCCAACTTGTGTCCGGACATTCTACAAAAAAAATTCTTTCGTGCTTTGAGGGTAGCACCCACGTTTGACAATCAAATCACATTGCAAAAATGATCAATCGACCTTCATCGGGAAAAACTTATGGCAGGCCAACAAGTGCCTACAGCAGCAGCAATAATAATAATAGTGGAACAACCAACATTACATCAACGTCCAGGAAGGAAAATGCAGATCACTCTTCCTCAAGTTTGCCTGCAATGTCCAATGTAAATAACAATAACAACCTTCATTCCATTCTCAATACGAATAGTCGGGAACGAGAGCAATCACCCCTTCATGGAACTACAACAGGTCATCAACAGGCTCTCAACACCTCATCGTCGATTATTCAAAATGATCGATCCTTTTTTTCAAACATTAATCTTAATACAACGACCAACAACGTTTATAATTCAACAACAGCAGTGATGGTAAACAATAACAACAATACAATTTCGAGCGCATTATCGCCGAGCTCATCTTTCTATGTCATCTTGAATGGAGTGATCAGCTATTGTGAATATCCAGGAAATCACAACATTTCATGCAGTTTCCAATTTGTTTATGGGCAAGATTGGGAAGTGGTGCGCTCAACAGGAGAAGGTGCAAGTTTGGAGAGTGGAATCACACAAGTAGCAATGAGACCTAGAGGTATCAATTCGAAGAGTGTTTGGAATTTTCCATTGGAGATATCATTTCGAAGTACCAATCCGTATGGTTGGCCCAAACTCTGTCTCGTGGTTCAAGAAGGAACAAGCAAGCAAACCATTCTCGGGTATGGGTGGGTTCAAGTGCCAGTGGGAGCCGGGAAGCACACAAGGACGGTGAAACTATTCAAACCACAGAGTACATCACTCATACAGAAAATCATTGGTTCCGTGAAAGGAGTGGCTCCAGAGTATTTTGATTCCACACTGGTGTGCAAAGGAGAAGGAAGAGAAGTGACCAGAACTGAATGTGTCGGAGGTGAAGTTACTGTTGAATTCAATATTATGCATAAAGGCATGTCTCAATTCGGATTTGAAACATTTTCACAGCAGTAACAGTAGAAAAAGCTGATTTATAAAGGCGATAATAGAAATTGGGAGTAGATGATGTTGGTATTTATCGGAGAAGAAACAACTCGAGAACTTTTTGGAATGATGACCAGAAATAATTAGCCATTCTTTCTTGTCATGCTCAAAGCGTAATTACCCTCAAAACCAGCCAACTCAACTCAGCTTTGGAAGATCGAAAAATGCCGTTTGATTTGTACCTGCAAGCCTTATAAAAATTTTGGATCCACTTTCATTTTTGCGCCAAAAATTTTCGTTACAAAACAACAAAAAGTCTAGTCTTTAAAGCCCAAGCTTTTTGCCTCTGTTCAATTTAGTCAACAAAAAAAAGACATCAACAACCAACACACAACAATGCCAGCTGCAACTGAAGAACAAGCAACCAAGGACGTTCCACAAACTGAAGAGAAGAAGTCCAAGAAGAAGAAGAACATGGGTACCCGAGCTCCTCCAAAGGGTCCAAAGAGCAAACCACAATCCAGATCCACAAAAGCCGGTCTTCAGTTCCCAGTCGGTCGTCTTGCTAGATATTTGAAGGAAGGAAGATATGCTGAAAGAATTGGTGCTGGCGCTCCAGTCTACATGGCTGCCGTTTTGGAATATTTGGCTGCTGAAATTCTCGAACTTGCAGGTAACGCTGCCCGTGATAACAAGAAGGGAAGAATTGTTCCAAGACATATTCAATTGGCCATCAGAAACGATGAAGAATTGAACAAGCTCTTGTCAGAAGTGATTATTGCTTCCGGAGGTGTCCTTCCAAACATTCACAGTGTTTTGTTGCCAGGTACAACCACCAAGGGTGCCAAATCCACAAAGGGTAGCAAGAAGACCACTGAAGAAGGATCAACAAGTGCTAGCATGTCACAAGAATTTTAAATCTAGGTTTCCAGTATTTGTTTTGCTCCACACTACCTGCTTCCAATTTTCTCTTGTTAATACTTTCAATTTTCCCAACACCCTAAGCTTCACCTGTAAAGATTGTACAAATAAAACCAATCATAAATTATCTAAAACAATGAATTCATAATGCACAGTTGTCATCTTTTCATAATTTACAAGTAATTTCCGCCAAAATCCAAAAATTTCAACTACGAAATAAAATGAAGAAGGCAGACACAAAGGTCGCGTCGTCCGCCTTTTCGAACAACAACAGCTCTGCTGACAACATATCAACCACCTCAGCAGCAACTTCCTCTACACCATCACAACTGTTTGTACATGATCTTTCACTTTATAAAGAGCTCATTGAAAGCATTTCTGTTCCTGAGGATTATTACGATGACGAAGAGCAATGCGAGTGTTTGCAGCAACAACGCGATTCTTCGTCGTCAGTTCAATCGGAACAAAAATCAACTTGTAAAAACACGGGTCCTCTCAACAAGATTATCACTAGAGAAGAAAAACAAAAATTGGAATTAAAAAGAGAAGCAAAGAAACAAGAAACTGAAGCCTATTTTCAAAAAATCAAAGAAACCACAACGAAATTGCGAAACAAAAAGCATGAAGAATCTGAAAAACGATTTCAGGAGCTTTGGAACGACATTCTTGAAGAACGAGAAACGTTTTTAAAAGACCTCAATGAAAAACTTGAAGCTTATCATGAAGGAGATGAGAGAAAGCGACAGCAAATATACGAAGAGTGGTGCGAGAAGGTTTTTGATCCCATCCAAAATCAAATTGATGATCATTTGTCAAAGCTGCCTTTTGAAGAAATTAAGCGAAAGAAGAGATTAAAATTTGAGGAATATCTCAATAAGCTCAATCACAAACATAAAAACAATGGTGGAGTGTTTCGTGACATTGTGCTTGAGGATGAATATGATCCATTTGAGTTGTCAAAGGACACGTTTAAATACAAGACAACTTTAAAGAAAAAGATTGGAGAAATGCCTCCTAAACCATCCATGGGACTTAGGAAACAAGACATGTTGGATGTGGTACAATATGACAAGTTGGATGCCACTCCTTTCGGTCACTACTCCAAGATGATTCATCCAAATTCAAATTCTTCGAAACTTGCCTCAAAGTAAGTACATTTAGACACGAATGAAACGTTCATCATGATGTGAAATATTACAGGAAAATGAAATCCGATGTGGAATTTGATGATTTCACAAAAGAAGAGAAGAGCCCTTGGGAAAATGTTCGAGGGAAGAAAATTCTTCAAAAGATCGAACAAAAAACCACACAACAGCTGGCAAATGGTTTTCAAGAGGAATCTGGAAGAAAGCAAGCCAAAAGAACTACAATACCCGGTGCCAAAAAGTAAAACTCCCTTGTAGATATGTGTATAATGTAAAATTGAATTAAATTATGTATTGAAAGAGTAAATGTATTTGTTACAAAGTGGAATGAGTTTTAAAAGATTATTTCAAATCGTCATCATCAAAGTCATCATCGAAATCTAAAAAAAAGTGAGAGATCATGTATCATACATGGTGATACCATGAAATCATGATCAACATACCATTGTAGAAATCCTTGTCAACTAGCGACTCTTTCAAAAGTTGTTGAATGTTCTTTCCGGCTTCTCCGGCCTCTCCTCCAACAAAATTCATATATTCCTCTTGATCCAACATCATTTCAGGATCAAAATCTCCTTCTATATCAAATTAAATTATCAAGTATTGGATATAATATTATTTCAACATTTTGATCACCAGTCCTCTAACCACAACACGTACCATCCATAGCCTCGCTCTCTGGGTTGAAACTCATTTTTTTGTGTTTATTTTTGGATACCAATGAGGTTCAGAAGGTGTCCCTCCAAATGCAAACTCCTGCCAATCATTTGCTGCAATTTTTTGATGATGGAAGCAGTAGGCAATCCTCAATGCAGAGAGTAAGAACAAGATATTGTTCTAAGGAGCTCTCTGAAAGAGATGAATCATGTTGAGTGTTGAATTGAAAAAAAATGTCCTCTGAACCACCTCTCAATCAAGAAATGGTTGTTAACCACCACACTACGAACACTCATGAAAGTATTATGCAAGAAGGAGGATTTACAATCGTTCATTCTAATTCTTCTTCGGGACGAAGGTTGCAGGCACATCACAACAACAACAACAACAAATATTCATCAATAACAACGAATTATGCATTTTCATCTTCTTGGAAAAGAAAGAAAAAATTAAATCCAAATAATAATACTTCTCAATTTTCATCAGCAATGAACCATCAAGATTTCGTCGAATTTAATCCAACAAAATTTGAAAAGGCTTTGGAACGAGTTCGAGAATCGCTTTCGGAAACTATTTGTTCCATGATTGAGAAATATTTTCATCCTCACCAGTCATCACAAATTTTGCAAGTCATTTGTTATGGAATTGGAGACTTTATTTCAGATAAAATTGCGTTATCACAATTCAAAGTATTATTGCAGATTCTTGACCATTTCAAAAACAAGTACAATTCTCAAAACGTGAATCAACACGATTCATTATCTAATGAAAATCATGCTAGGAGTACATCATCTATTACATTGAAATGCTACATATACGATCCAGTTTTTGAAATTAAAATGTCTACGGGTGACAGAGAACATTTATATCGATATATTAAGGAAAAGTTTGGGATGGAATGGATTGAGAAGAATGAAGAGTGCAAAAGAAGGATTGACATTACAACATTTGTCTATATGCCTCATTGTGCATTTTCAATGTATTATAACTTGCTGATGGAAAATTGTGACCGACTCAATCATTTAATATTACTCTCAAATCAATTGGCAATACGAAAGGAAATTTTAAAAACAATTTTTTCCATGGATGAAAAGAAAGAACTATCTTTGCGCGAGGACAATATAGATTCAAATTCAAAAATTCAAAAAAAGAAAAAGAAATTGGATGACACAGAAAAGTATTTTCTTAACTTTGTTTTTAATAATACCAATATTTACTTTTTCAACGAGCAAGAAAGGCCACTGACTGATATTGAAATTTTTGAGATGAGCCGCAGTGAAATAGATCGTGCTCTCAACAGAGAGTCAGATGTTGAACTTATTCACAAATCTAAATACTAAATTATTTGCACATTGAATATTACAATATTATTCACTGTTTTGCGTTTAAGAATTTCAATTTGTTGATACTTGGTTGTGTTGAGTAGTTCCACTGTTTGTACAACTTCAGAAATATCTTTTAGTGCTACGTTCGTCCAAATGAGTGGCTGCTCAAGTAATAGTATGTACTGCAATATCTGAAAAACGTGCAGTAACACCTTGGATCTTTTGAAAGAGCCTGATGAAAAATTGCAACTTTTCCCTTATTCTTCGAAACCAGAGGAAGGTATTATCAGCTGATGGAGACATGAATATCTTGACAGCAGTTGTACCTCGAGAAATATCAAGTTGAACCGATAGATCCATGTGCAATGGAGAACATTCAACGCTGTATGCTTTAGTATTGGAGCCTAGTTGGCCTAATTCACAATAAATCATTATGCATTGTTGCCATTTGTGATAATGAGGGACAATAGGACATTAATTTAAGACTACCTACCTAGCTCATTCCATCCACATGTATAAATTCTACCACATGCAGTAACCACTCCAGTGTGATATGATCCTGCTGCTATGCTTGTAATGCGGAAATCTGAGAATTGTTGAGGAGGTGTAATTTCAACAGGAGTAATGGTGACCGTTTCAGAGTAGAAAGGTATTTGTTTGTCATCATTTAAGCCACATCCATAAAATTTGGAGTCCAATGTTTCAAGAAAATAATGATTACCACCAGCGAAAATATTTCTAATGTTTGGTATGGAAATTTTGATAGGTTGTGCATACAATGTTCTTTCAAATTTTCCATGCAAATACACTTCGTTTTCAGATGTCAAAAATAAGGTATATCTATAACCTGCTTGAATGGTTTTCAAAGTACAATTAAACTTGTTTTGAAATAGAGGTAATAATTGTGGAGTGCAATAGGCATCACCGTAAATGTCTTCAAAAACGCTTCCCATTCCAAAAACTTTGTTACCATTTTCGCAATAACACACGGAATGAGAGTAACTTGTGGCAATTAAGGAAACATGAGTATTAGGTTCTGGAAACTGTACTTTTGTAAATTCTGTCACAATTTCTTGATCTTCAATACCTAATTGATGAAAAGAGGAATCGCCAGCGACATATACCGAACCATTAGATCCAAGTAACATGGAATGAAAGCTTCCACATATAATACTTGTAACTTTAACATCATCTTTAACAGGAATTCTTATCAAGTTCGATATTAGATCCACATTTTCGGCTCCTGCCAAGTTCGATACATGTGATCAACAAATATACCAATGCAATTCTTAAAGCAGTCAATAAAACTCACCAAGCTGACCTAAAAATTTCATGAAACATCAACAGTTATCACATATTCTCAAAGTTCAAATCAACACAATTTTATCATTAAAATTATAGTATTACCTTGTTGATTATTTCCAATTCCAAACACTTGTCCACTTTTCGTTAAAAACAATGTATGAATATCTCCATTAGCAATTGCTATCACATCATCCATAATTTTGTACCACTCGGAAAGTTGTGGAGTGATCAAACAAGAAATAATGGTCTTATTATTTCCTTCCTCCGATGAAGAAGAAGAAGGCTTGCACATCAATTGATAATGATCATTCTTTCCGCATACAAAGAGCCATGACCTTGTATCCATTGGCATTTCGTGATGATGATAATGTTCCAATAAGGTGAACTCATCAAGCTTCTGAGAGATTTCATGATGATGATTTAACATTTTTTTGAGGAAAGTTTGGCCCTCCATTTGTGTTTGAAAGATTGTTGGCCATTCTGAACCAAGTATTACAATTCGTCATTTCCAAAGTTGACTGGTGCCACATGGTTAAAAAATATCTTTAAACATAATATTTAAATTATTGAAATTTTCGAATCAACAGATACACACCACCATCATGAATTCATCCAAACGAGAAAATATCAAATTGGGAGTCATTCAATGTCATTTCAATCCAGATATTCAAGCATTGAAAAAAGATATTTCCGACAAGGTTCAACAGGCCTCCGAGCAAGGCTCTCATCTCGTTTTATTACAAGAATTATTCATGATTCGATATCCTGGAGATTTAACCAAGGAAGATAATCCCGAAGTGTTTGATTGGGCAGAAAATTTAACAATGGCCATTAATGTCATGGAAATTCAGAATCCTACAAGTGATGAGATTGAAAAACACAGTCCTACTCTAGCATTCTGTCGAGAATTAGCATTGAAACATCGAGTCTTTATTGTTGGAAGTTTATTTGAAAAGTATGAAAATCCAAACGATCTCAAGACACATTATTACAACACTGCCGTGATTGTTCGTCCAGAGGGAAGTTTATTGGGCAAGACCAGAAAACAACACATTCCATCTGGACCAGGCTACAATGAAGTGGATTTCTTTGAACCAGGTGATAGTGATTATCCTGTTCATGATACTGGTAAAATTAAAGTCGCAGTGCCAACATGTTATGATCAGTGGAATCCAGAGCTTGCTAGAATTTATGCACTCAAAGGTTAGTGGAAGGGATACTTCATTATTGTTGAATCTCTCATTCACATTGGAATATTTTGTTATGATTTTATATTCATTGATGATGAAAGGAGCTGAACTCATTCTCTATCCAACATGTATTGGAAATGAACCCCTCTATCCTCACTTAGATACCATGCCCATGTGGAGAACGATCATGATTTCTCACACCATTGCTAATGGAGTTTTTGTGGCTGCTGCTAATCGAGTTGGGAAACAAAGTGCAGGTCCTCGTGTATTGGAGGCGATTGAGGAGAAGAAGGTGTGTCATGATGAGAGTTCAACTATGGCCGAGAAATTTGAATTTAATTTTTATGGATCGAGTTTTATTTGTGCACCTGGTGGAAAGGTAAGTTGTTGAGCGTGGCGGTGAATGTTTTTGACCAATGAATGATTCAAATCTCATCATGTTGTCTCTGATCATGCAATGGTGCCAAAAACAGTTGTTATCAGAAGCTCCTCGTGACCAACCATGTGTGCTAGTGGCCACCCTTGACTTTGAGCAAATGAATCTATGGAGAGAAGCTTTTCCTTTGCTTCATCAAAGACAGCCACACACCTATGGCAGACTTTTGCAAGAGTAAACAAATGTTTATCCTTACACGTCTTCACTCGAGTTATTCAACACCAAGCTGGAAAATTTGAAAAACGAAAAAAATGTCTACACTCCAAGTAGCCAACGATTGGAATTCATCATGTTCAGCTCCGGGCTGGGGCGATATTCCCACAGAAATCTACGGGGAAATTCTTTCCTTCTTGCCTGTATTGCCATATTGTTTCAAATTCTCGTCTGTGTGCAAGAGCTGGAGTGAACAAGTGGATTACCTATTAAATTCCATGAGTAGAAATGCCGAACAATTTAATTTTCATTTGCACTTTGGTATGTGATCAATTTGGTATATTGTTGAGACCGATTGAATCACTAATTTCTATATGATTCCATTATTTGTGTAATGAAATCGATTACTTTAAATCGATGAATTCAAAAAAACATTTCAAACTATTTCGGGATGATGAAATTCAGGCTATGTCAATGCTTCTAAAATTGAATATGTGGATTTGTTACGAATCATTGCCAGATGTCGTGGAGTTAAAAAGATCACCTTGGTCAATATGGTTGTTAGTAACGAAGTCTTGAACGCCATTGCATTAACTCGCGTAGAAACTCTCATTATCAGTGATTGTGCATTGCGATCCTCTTACACGGAAAAGCGTTATGGCAATGATGTTGTACTTCCATTTGGAAATAAGGACATCGACGATCTCTCGACAATATTCCCGTCCTATTGGGGTCGTCGATCATTTGCCAACGCAAGACAGCGTAAAGAGGATTTACAAAATTTCAAACAAATTTTGGGAAATCAAAACAATGATCCAGAAACTAAAATCGTTACACGATTCCAGTTTTTAAAGTATATATTATTTATCAATATCAGTGGTACTATAACTTTGAATGAAACATACAGCGCCAAGTATAGAAAATTAGATGTTTTTGATCCAGGTGAGACTGATCTGACAACCTTAAATTTTGCCGCTGACAAAGAGATTCTCGACAACTTGGACGACTATAATTACATTAAGAGATGTTTCACAACACTTCTTACCGTGAATAATCATTCACCTATTTACATCACTGCTTTATATTTAGAGGACGAACATTCTTCCTCCAGATATTCCCACTATTTGACATTACAGCCCGATCCTGCACGATTATATTCCCAATGGTACACTCTAAGAAAATCAATTCCAATTTTCTCACTTTATTCTTTCTCTGAGTGGGTAGCAATCTTGGAAAAATATAATCTATTTCATTGCTTTGATCCCAGTAATTTAAACAGTATGAGTGACCAGAGACTTAAAGAATGTATGGAAGCAAAGCTTATCCCACCGTTTGCTCTCTGTGATGGTAAGACATTTCTAGAAATAAGATACTTGAAACCAATGTTGGATGCCATTCCCATGCTGTCTAGTGCTTCAAAAAAGGGCAAGAAATATGCAGATTGGAGAAATACAGATCTAGTGGCATCTTGTATAAAATTCATTACATGGATTCATGAAAACCGTCCAGATACTGTTGATGAAGAAGATGCAGCTGTCAAGAAAGCTCTCAAAGCTTGTAAAGATGTAGATAAGAAATGGAAGACATGGTTTGAGTCAGTGACATTTGATACAAAACCCGAAGACATGATTTGTTGGGCACACTTTTTACTGACAGGAAAATATTCGGCCAATTCTAAGAAAACGATGAAAAAAGCACAAACAGAACTAGACATGGAAAGCGATGAGGAGGAAGAGAAGCCAAAGAAAAGAACATACAACAGAAAGAAGAAGAAGCAGATCGATTCTGACGAGGAAAAACCAAAAAAGAAAGCAGCATCAAAAAGAAAAAAGAAACAAGCTGATGACGAATCAACTGAAAAAGAAAGCAAGAAGAAGAAAAGTACTGCCCCACCTCCAACAACAGAACGAAGAGTCACTCGAAGTTCTTCCAAGTCAGTCCAATAACAATCTTAATTTCATCTTTTTTTTGAACTGCCCAATTTTACAACTTGCAAAAAATGAACGCAAATCTTAGATGCAACAATCTTCATTGTTTGGAATTGAGAGAAATATCGGAAAGAGTTCTTCGAAATGAAATTTCAGTACTTGAAGTGATCGATTACTTTATTCAGAGGATTGAACGGATGGACACTACAGTCCACGCTGTTTGTGTGAAATTGTTTGATCAAGCAAGAGAACAAGCTTCCGAAATGGATAACTTTATTTCACGAGAGCGACAATTTGCTCAACAACAGAAACAACATGAATGGAATGAATCTGCATGGATTGAAAAAATGTTGTCAGCAAAACCATTGCTTGGCATTCCATTTACAGTCAAAGAAAGTATTCATGTCAAGTCAACTCCAACCACAAGTGGGCTCACCACGCTCAAACATGTGTTATCAGATCATGACTCCATCCTTGTGACTCGATTTAAGGAATCAGGCGCTATTTTAATTGGAAAGACCAATGTTCCTCAAATGTTGTGTGGAGACTTTAGTGAAAACCCTGTCTATGGACGAACATGCAATCCTTTCAATCGAGAGAGATCCAGTGGTGGAAGCTCAAGCGGTGAGGGAGCTGTGATTGCGTATGGAGGATCGATTTTAGGTGAGTTATTTTTCCATAGTTTCTTCTCAGAAATATATGTTGAATATTCAACAATTCCACACAAAACCTATTGAAAAAACAAAGGTATTGGAAGTGATATTGGTGGTAGTATCAGACTTCCATCGGCTCATTGTGGAGTGTATGGTCTCAAGCCAACTTCAGGACGTCTCACCATGCATGGACATTTCGTTCTCTATGAAGGAATGGAATCGGTGCAATGTCAAATGGGACCCATGGCAAGAAGAGTCTCATCCTTAATTACATCCATGAAAGTACTGACACAATATCCGTATGATGACTATTCGAGTGGTTTTTCACATGAGGCACTCCGGATACCTCCGGTGGAGTTGAGAGATCCAAATCTTGTGGACATTTCCAAGTTACGAATTGCTGTGTTTTATGACAATGAAATTCTTTCCATTTCGAAATCGTGTGAAAGAGCATTGAATGAAACTGTCCATGCTTTGAAAGAGATGGGTGCTCACGTTGAAACTATATCACTCCAACATTTAGATTTGTACTGGGAATGGAGAAACTATGTGAAACTTTTGATGGGGGATGGCATGGTCGAATTTAGATCCAAAGCTCAAGGAAGTCAACTCGTGGATGAAGTCAAAGTTCCCTATTATTTGTCTCTCTTTCCAAATTTTGTGTTAAATTTCTTTGCCACTCTCACTCGATGGATGGGTCAAACCATTATGGGTCATAGTTTCACAACTTTCACAGAAATTAGTGTTCCACAGCAACGACAAGCCGTATCACGAAGAGATGCATTCAACATCAAGTTCATGAAAATACTGGATGAAGGGAAATTCGATGCTGTGTTGTGTCCTGCAACCTCCATACCAGCACATCGTCATGCAGATTCTTCGTTCGTCATTCCTTCCATGGCATATGCTCACTTGTTCAATTATCTTGGATTGCCTGCTGGTGTTTGTCCAATTACTCGTGTTCGAGAAGGGGAAAATGATTCTGTCGAGTTTTCAAGCGTTGCCACACAAAATTCAAAAGATATGACCTTTCAATATTGTAAAAAGACATTGCAAAACAGCGCTGGTTTACCCATTGGCGTACAAGTGGCAGCGCGGTATTGGAGAGAAGACATTGTGTTGGGAATTATGAAGCATATTGAACAGTATTTTGAAAACAATGAGGATTATCCATTGAATCATGATCACACCACAACTCAATGACATTAATCAGTGCTTCATACTTGGGTTGAATAGGTAACTTTTGAAAATGCACCCTCAACACACCTCAACAATCTACGTTCGCAGAAGTGTGTGAAAGTTTCAACTTCCATGTTGATACCTCTTCAACAACAATCAAAGTTCCTCATTTTGAGAGAGATCCAATAAACGACAACCATTCCCAAGCCATCACGTTAAAAAAAATCATCAAGTCGTCATTGAGTATTTTTAATTCTTGTTAATACGACATTTTCATTGAGAGAGTTGATAGATCCCACAACATCAATTTCTCTCTGTACATCCATCATTATAACAAATTCGTCTGATCATTCCGATCATTTATTTTCATATTGATCAAAGATCAATTCTGTTCTCCTCTCAATATTGCAAAGCAATTATCATCTCTCTCTACAAAAATGTTGAAGAAAGTCAAGACCAAGATTGGAAAAACCAAACAACAATCAGCCATTCAAAATGTCGCTACCAAGCGTCTGATGAAGGACTGGAAGGAGATCATTGAAAACCCTTTGAAGGGTATCAAGTAAGTATTATTTTGATTCCAATTCGTTCAGTTTTCTAACAAATTCAACTCGTGATGATTGACCTCTCTCTATGACGACGATGATGATGCATGTGCATGAACTTATTCAGTGCTTGCCCAGTGAGCGAAAAGAACCTCTTTACCTGGCATTGCAATCTCAAAGGTTACGGAGCCTATGAGGGAGGTATTTTCCACATCATCATGAACTTCCCTCAAGAGTATCCTCAAAAGCCACCAACCATCACCTTGTGTACCAGAATTGAACATCCAAATGTGTTTGGTAACACTGTGTGCTTGGACATGTTGCAGGAAAACTCTGGAGAGAAGTACAGCGGATGGTCCACTGCCTACACTGTTCAGTCCATTCTGGTCCAATTGCAAGCGTTCTTGTTCGAAGCTGATGTCTCTCGTGTGTTGGCCAATATTCAGGATCCAAAAACTTATGAGCAAAAGAAGAAGGAATGGCACAGTGCTGTCAAATGGAGTGTTGAACAATCGAGAAATTATTGTGATCGATCCATTACTCCACATCACTTGCCACCTCATAAGCCATACCCTAACTTCCCTGAGGACGCTGAAGAAACTAAACACTTGTTTGTTGAGAATAAGGAGCAATCTGTCAAGTCAAGTGAAGAGATTGAAGCTATTGCTGCAAAGAGTGAACTTGTTTGTTTCTTTACCAGAGAAACCTATGAGGAAGATGCTCTTGGTTATGGTATCTCATATTCAAAGAATTTGAGAACTGGTCAAATCAAATCTATTCAAACTCCTTTGGATTTGATTTCATTGAGAGCTTTCATGAATCATGGATTGAGAACCTCTTCTTACAATGAAAAGTTCACACACTGGATTCCAATTTATATTGATGAAAAGCATGGCCAAAAGGCAATGTATCTTGCAGAACGTGCCATTTCAATTATTTGTTCTGGTTCTGCAAAGAACTTCAAACCAGAAATGGTTTTAGAAGTTTTGCCAAAACTCATGGCAACCATGACCGTTGAAGTCATGTCTAATAGAAAGCATGCCAGTATCAAAGCTTTAAGAGGATATTGCCATTTCTTTAGATTGTTGCTTGAATTCATCAAGAAGTATCCACAATTATTGGAAAAGATCAATGCTTCTGTCAAGAACTTTATTGAGGATGAACAAGCTAGACACAAGGATGTTTGTCCAAATTTGGGTGAATTCTTGGCTTTGGTTCCAGTGAGTGATTACTCTTGGAAGGACGTTAGAGATGCCTATATTCAAGAATCATTCACAAGAAACGTCTTTTGGTTGTTAAACAAGTATGAAGAATTAGAAATGGATTCCAGTGATGAATTCACTGATGATGACAGACTCAAGTACTCTTTTGAAACGACCAAAGTAAGCCAAAAGTTGTTAATGTTCAATGTATTCTTCATTGAACAGGTCAGCCATCCAAACAATGCCAAGACAAGAGAGGAAGTTGCTAAAGTTTTTGACGTTCACTTGGGAAGATGTCCACTCAAGTATGAGGACATGTTCATTGATACCATTGAAAAGATCGGTAAGGTTGAGAACTATATCGACTTTTTCAAGCAAGTCCATGATGACAAGGTCTACAACAAGGAAGATATTATCAAGATTTTAAAGGAGTCTATCAAAAAGTCAAAGGAAAAGAAATACCATGGTAGCTCGCTCGAAGTTATGACTCCAGAGGAATTTGCCAAACAATCCAAGCAAGTTGGTTTAGACGCTTTCCTTGTACGTGTTGGAAATGATATGGTTTTGGAAGGTAATGAAGATAACTGGAAAGAGAGATGTTCACAAAGATGGGGACTTGTTGAATTGCCAGATTATCTTGCCAACACTGAAAATCCATGGAGAAAGTTGTACTTGCAAAACAATTTGCAAGATGTGATTTCAAATCTTAACGATTCTGCTGATTTCGACTATTTCCACAAAACTCTTGACCACTCTGTAGAGATTCCTCGTTTGGAAATTCAAATGTTTAACCCAGAGAAGCTTAAGAGCAAGTATTACTTCTTGACTTGTGTCCTCACCAAGCTTAAAAATTTGGACACATTGATCATTTCTCGTGGCGAGGATGGACTTGGTATTAAGGGATTCCGTGCTTTGATCAAAGGTCTTTCAAACAATCCAGGTCAATTACAAAACCTTATCCTCGATAGTTGTGATATTACCTCTCAGTCCATTCAAGAATTGACCAAAGGAAGACTTGTTTCTTCTAACTTGAGAAGAATTGCATTGAACGGTAACTCTCTTGGTAACGATGGAGCTGAATATTTGGCACAATTTTTGAGAAGACATGAAAATCTTCCACACTTGACAGAGCTTGACTTGTCACGTTGCAACATTGGAGACAGTGGAGCAAAGGCCATTGCTGAAGCGCTGTTGGTTAAGAAGGAACTCAAGTTGTTGACATTTATTGGCAATCCTGCAGCAGGTGGTTTGCAACAAATCTTCCAAAACCTCAGTTATTCTACTTCTATTGAGGCAGTTGATTGCAGTAAGTCCACTGGTGAATTGTCCACAGGTGACTCAAGTATTGGTAAATTGCTTGACTTGAGCCAATCGATTAAGAAGTTGAATTTATGGAAGACTATTGGTGTTTCTAATCTTTCTCAAACTGTATTCACCAAGTTAGGAAAGTCAAACTTGAAGGAAATTGATATGGCCGAGACAAACTTTAAGAATGTGAAATATCTTGCTGCTTCACTCAAGGATAACCAACATCTTGAAGATATCAATTTAATGTCCAACGGCATTACATGCACCGATCTTTTCAGCTTCTATGAAGAATTACTTGCCTTGCATCAAAAGCAAACAGCTGGTCATAAGAAGGCAACTCCTCAAAAGGACTCCTCCAATGAAGATCAAGCTAATCAACCTCCTCCACAATTGATCAACCTCAAGAGAATCATTTTGTCAGGAAATCGATTTGACAGCTATCCAGCCAATAAGAACAAGTTCCCAAGAGTTATTGGTGAAATCTTAAAGATGTCTCATCGTTTGGTGTACTTGGATCTCTCCAAATGTAATATTAATCGTGAACACATGGAGGGCATTGGAGAAGCGTTAACTAGCAAGTTTGCATTGCCACTAAAGACCTTGTTGTTGAGAAATAACAATATTGGAAAGTATGGATTGAAGCCATTGATTGCTGCTTTGCAAACAAACACCACTTTGGAGCATTTCGATATTTCAGGAAACGACATTGGTGTCATTGGAGCTGATTTCTTGTCTCAAATCATGAAAGAGAATAAGGGTATTAAGACTTTGAACTTGTTCTCATGCTTTATTCAAATTGAAGGTGCTCAATTGTTGAGCGAAGCTCTTCAACACAATTCTACATTGACTAATCTTGACTTGGGTTTGAATAGAATTAAGGTTAGAGGTGCTATGGCAATTGTTAAATTGTTGCAAGTGAATACCACATTGAAGCGAGTTGGTTTGAAGCATAACCATATCAATGATAAAGCAGGTTTGGCCATTGCAACTGCCATCACTCAAGATAATCCAAGATCTGCTGTGACTTACCTCGCACTTGCTGGCAACTATTTGTCCACACCAAAGAGATCTGATATTTCTCTCTTGTTGAACTCGTGCAAAGACAGAAATATTGAATTCGATCTTGCCAAGCTTGTTGACGTCAAGGATCCAGAAAAACAAGATCGAAGTGTTTACATTACACCTCTCCCCGGTACTGTCACAAGCCAACAAATCAAGAGACTCTTCTATCAAAATAGATGTGGTGTGATTTTGAATGTCTCTATCCTCAAGCACAAGGTTGCTGAAAATTATCAATCTCAAAAGTATGCATTTGTTGAATTTGCTCACCCTGATTCCGTTCAATTGGCCATGAGATTGCAACATCAAGGAAAGAATGTGATTAATAACGTGAAGGTTAGAATTGCAAAGGCTGGTATTCAACAAAAGGAAGAAGAATCATTCAAAAAGAAGGCACCCAATGCTCCAAGACCAACCCCTGTTAGAGGTCGTGGCGGTTTCAGAGGCGGTTTCAGAGGTGGTCGCGGAAGAGGTGGAAGACAGCCAAGAAGATAATTCAAATGAATGCTTGCAGCCAAGAAGATAATTCAAATAAAAAGTAATATTTGCATTAAGGAGAGTTAAAAAAAATTCTTTTTAAATAATCTATTCGCTATCCATTTAATTATTGACATCCACAACACCTCCTTCCATCAAAGCATTTTCAATCAAGATAAACGATGCTTCCAAATCGTCTTGTTTTTGCAAGAGCAGCACACTCTCATCATCCAATCGATAGCTCTGGTTAAATAATCGAATAAATCGAATTCCTTTTACCACAATATCAAAGATGAGATGTTTGTGTGACTTGTAATTCTTATTTTTCAATCGATCCACCATGGATTTGAGGTCACAAAATAGTGAAATGATAAATGTGGCATGAATTATAAACTTTTTGGAATCCAAGTCCATATTGGTTGTACTCAAATTCACAATATACTCAAATAAAGTTGAAGTGACATAATCGTCTTGTTTCACTGATTTGAGCATTCCAATTGCTTTCAAACAGAATAATCTCAACACAGTCATTGATTTTCCTTCCTCAGTGATGATATTGAGACAACACTTGATCACTCTCTCATCATTGAAACTTGCCACATAACCCAATGCTTCAGCACACAATGCTCGCACCACTTCTGGAGATTCACGATTTTCCAATCGCTCCATCAAATGTTTCACAATCAACTTGGATTCTGAACCTCGTTCACATTTTCTTCCAAGATATCTCACAGAAACTTCAACAACTCCAATATCCGTATGTTTCAATAATTCAACATACATGTTGAGTACTTTTTGATTGTTGGGATTGGTAATTTTCTCGAGAGCAGTCGTACATGCGACAATGACTTCTTCCTGATCCGTGTGAAGTCTCTTACATAATTCATCAATGACACGTTCATCTCCTTTTTTAGCGAGATGAGCCAGTGCCAATGCAGATTGTTCCCTAAAGACATAATTGGATTGTTTGTTTGATAATTGTTTCAATAATTCGTGAATAATTTCAGAATCTTCTTTTGGAGATGAAAATCCAAGTGCACAAATAATTCGATCTTTTGGTTTCACAGTATAGAGCATGTCTACCAAAGATCGAACAAGTCCATAATTCTTTCTCTGACTAATTGGACCCAATGCCATTGCCACTCGATACGAAATGGATTTTCTTTCATTGAGTAACATTTCTAATAATCGATCTTGAATGACTGGAAGTAAATCTGGAATGACGACTGACGAGATGGCTTCATTGACAATTAAATCATCAAAACTATTTTCTTTGAGACAATCCAATAGCGTGTCAATAATTTCCATGTCACCCTTTTCAGCTAATTTACCTAAACAGAGACATGCTTCTTGACACTTGTTAGCAACCTTTGTGAGAGCTGAAATGACTTGTTTGTCACCCGTATTGGCAATCATTCCTAATCCAATCGATGCAATTCGTCTAAAGTTGTAATCTTCTAACATGGGAATTAATGCATTGATAATGTTCGAGTCACCTTTTTCACCAACTCGACACACACTATCGACACACGCTTCAATGAGAGAAATGTTCGATCTTTCACGTGGAGTATTGTGAATAATATTTAACAACATGTTCACAACCATGGAATCTCCCTTATCTGAAATCTTTCCAATACACAAACAAATTCTTCTCTTCACTTGAATGTCACTAATATTTGAAAGTTTTTCAAGTAAAATTTTCACATATTTCTGTTCACCTTTAGGAATGACGAGTGAGAGAGCTTGTAATGTATTTTCATTGTCATGAATATGATTCAATAAACCATCACCAATTTTGTCAAAAAGTTCATTAAACATGAAGGATCGACAAAGAGCCATTTTTCGTAAATCTTCAGATTCGTGAATGAGACCCTTGACAATGATGGAAACTCGTTCATCGTTTCGTAATGGTTTCATAATCTTGGTATATTCACCATGCTCGGACTTGGGTCGTTCCATAATCATGTTATAAATAATGCTATCGACGAGACCAATGTTGTGTTTGAAGAGTTTGTTCATGAGGAATTTGATAAACTCTTCAAAATCAGATCGACTCATCTCTGCAGCACAAAATAGGAATGTTTCTCTGTTTTTTTTGTTTGTTTGTTTTTTGATATCATTATTTGTTTGTTTTTTGATTGATTGTCAATGAGTTGTTCATTGATTGTCAATGAGTTGTTCATGGATTGTCAATGAGTTGTTCATTGATGTCATCGTGTTGTTCATGGATTGTCAATGAGTTGTTGTTGTTGTTTCATTTTGTTTTTTAATGTCATCATGTTGTTCATGGATTGTCAATGAGTTGTTGTTGTTTCAATGATCACATGTTGTGTGTTGTTGTTTCAAAGATCACATGTAAATATGAAAAAAAAAACTTACTTGTAAAAAGGATCTACAACCAATTGTCGAATTCTTTCCTTGAAATATTCCAATTTGTTTTTAGCGAATGGTCCTGTCGATCGAATTCTAAAATCACTCACATGGGTCGCATCTGCCCAATGACTCGCCACTAAATATTCCTGAAATGAAGTGTGACTGAATCGATACTTTCCGTCACCAGTTGAAACAATGAGAGGGAATTTACCAGAATCAATTCGTTTCTTTAAAGCTTCCCATTGCTTTTGAAATTCTGGATTGGCAACAGCGTTGAAAATCCAATCGTCTCCTTTGGATGCAAAATCTCCCTCCGCTAAACTCATAAACGCAAGTTTCTTGTCATCGTTGGGACCCGTACAGAGATTTCGAGCCAATTCCAGTGAGTGTGTGAAATCTTCAGTGCTGAATGTGAGTCTTCGTAATTTGTGAAGAAAAATTGAAACCTTTCTTAAAAATTCAATGAGTGTCTTTTGCATTTTGGGAACTCGTTGTTGATCTCCAACGAGTTTGCTGTAGTGAAGTTTTGTAATGGTATCGAGAGCATTGTAATAAATCTTGGATCGAACTTCTGGAAGCGATCCCTTGATTTTGAATTCCTCAATGATGAGTGAAAGAAGAATTGGAGTTTTTGCCAATTCTCTGTATTTTCCCTTGATGGAAGAAAGGAAAGCTTCATTGTTGACATTTCGTTTTTGTGCAATTCGTTTTTGAATATCAAAGGTCAAATTTTGAATACTCGCTGCTGTGAAGGATGAAAAGAATTTTCTCGTTTTCACATCTGCTTCAATACCTCCCAATCTACTGGATAGAATTAAACCATTGGAATCTGGAACTTCTTCTTGTGGTGGGAAAAATTCCATCAAACTTTGAAGGAATCGCTTCTTTTGTTGAGGAGAAGCAATTTCATCCACTCCGTCAAAAATAAAAAGCACTCGCTGTTCCTTAATTGCTGTCAACAAGAAATGTTCCAAAGTATCCAAATATCTCACAGTATTGCCACTATTTCCAATACTACCTCCAGCACTTGCTCGAATGCATTTGATAAAGAATTCGGCCTCGTTGGTTAAACTTGCAAAAAGACCAGCCGGAACAAGGAGTGGAATGAGAACCTTCTCTCCCGATGTCTCTCGTTGTTGCATTCTATTTTTCACAAGGCGTGACATGACCATTTTTAACATACACGTCTTACCACAGGAAGCGTTACTGAGTAGCATAAATCGAAGGCAATTGGAAGGAAGCGAAGTGATAAATTCATCTCCATTCTCATGCAATAGATTTTGTTTAGCATTAAAGTTTTCAACATCGGATTGTTTTTCTTTCTCCTCGTTTTGAATGGCATGTCCTTCACTAAACATTTCAATTAAATGAATTCTTCGATGATTTTCATATTCCTTCTCGTCACTAAAGCTCGTGGCACTTGTCATGGTGACATTTGAGAGAGTATTGGCACCAACTCCAATAAATTCATCAATCCAATCTTTTCCATGTTGTAAAAGGTGAAGAGAAACGCAATGGTCATCCACAGAAAGTGTCTCCTGACTAATTGGATCCACAAATAATTTCTCATTCTGTAAAATCATATTCAAATATTGTCTCTCTGCATGCGCATAGGATTGAGGATCCATGGGTTTGTTATATTTTTCAATATTCCAATCATATTCTCCCAAAACTAGACAATTTTGAATGAGATCTAAAACATCCAAATTGAATGGAAATCCAGCTCTTCGAACCAAGTTGTTGTAGCTGAGTACAGTGACAATACCTGTTTTGTCATCATCGTTACTATAGACATCAAACTCTTGATTGGCTGTAATCATCTTTTTGAAACCTCTTTCAGCATTCTTTGGAATTTTGTTAAAATCCAATGCATGTTTTTGATAGGCCTCTCTGAAATCCACCCACAATACTTCTTTTTGATTTGCCCATCCATTTGCTCTCCAGAATTCTCTTGCTCTATCTAACTCGATGGCTTTGAGTGGATCTTTAATTTTTAACAATCTTGCTCGTTCTAATTGATCCAATAATTTGGCCAATTCTTTCACATCATTGTCTTGGAAATTGTCAGTATTCTTTGGAATATTGACTGGTGTTTCTTGTTGTTGAAATGAGCTATCAATAGACTCTTGTTTGTCAATCAATTCAATAATATCTTTCGCTTCTGGACGATCAACAGGATCAATTTTGAGACATCTCTCAATAATTTGCACAAGAACTTCATCGTGATCCTTCAATCTTTCACGAATATAATCTGGATTGTTTCTAATTTCAAGAATGAGATCTGGAATTTCTGCCTGTGTGTACAAACAAATTAATTGGAAAAGCAAAACTCCCAATGACCAAATATCGACCGACTCATCATACACTCTACTGTCAAGCATTTCAGGAGCAATGTATTTCATGGTTCCCATAATTGTGGTCATGAGTTTTTTATCCTTTCGTGTGAAACCAAAGTCACAAACTTTGATAAATTGTTTGTTCTTGGCTAACAAGATATTATCAGGTTTGATATCTCTGTGAACAATCGATTGACTGTGCATGTAATTCATGCATTGACAAATTTGTCTGGTCCATCGTTTAACAAGTTCTGTTTCAAAAGGTCGTTGTTCTCGTTGTCTCTTGTTAATTTCAAGTTCTAAACTTCCATCTGCACAATATTCCATCACAATATAAAATCGAGTTTGTTCATTCATCACTCCCTTCTTCTTTTCTTCAAAAATGTAATAATGTTTCACAATATTTTCCTGTAGAAGTGTCAATAAAAATTGAAGTTCATTCCGAGTTGATTCTACTTCTTGTGGATCGTCACAAATGACCAATTTAATGGCTACGTTGGGATCTTCGTCTGTGAGTGGATTTTTCAATTCTGCAAAAAACACTGCTCCTTCATTTCCTCCTCCAATCTTTTTCACAATTTTAAAATCTTTTAATGTTCGTGTCATGACTGATGGATCGGATAACGGGTTGACAGCGAAGGACGGTTGAGGAGGAGAAATACTTCCTCCGTTCGGAGAGTGAACACAAGTACTGGAATTTGACTCGTTGACTGCATTTGTGAATGTCAACAATCGAGACGTTTCACTAGGAATGGAACTACTTGTTGCCATGAAAGGAGATGCATTCCATGTTGTTTTTACGTTATTGCTGGTACTACCACTTGTTGTAGTGTTGTTGCCACTGACACCATTGTTGCTACTACTACTAGTGGGAGTACTTTCCAAATGAGAGGGAATATTTGAATTGGTCGATGATTCATGTGTGTTGTTGTGGTTGTTGGTATGAAGGGAATCCTCTGAATGATCTTCAAGTTGAATGTTGTTGATACTTGTATTCGGTATTTCAATACCATGGTCATTGGTATGATTTGAAATGATTTCATTGTTTTCAGAAGAAACCATGACATTGGTTTTCGCTTCTCTCTCTTGTTGTATTTCATCTTGTTTGAAATGAACTCGTCGTTCCTTTTCTAGATGAGCGGTCGATGAGGAAGAGTGTTCTTCTTCTTGTTGTTGTGGTTGTTGTTGTTGTAGTTCGGGAATCGTTGTTGTTGTTGTCTGTTCGACATTCGACATTTCATTCATTGATGATGTTGTCAACATTGGTTCAGTGGGTTCTTCCTCTAGAGCAGTTGGTTCACGTTGGTGGTTGTTGTTAGTAGCGATGGCTTCGGTATCATTTTGTGAACAAACGGTTTGTGAAGAGGAATTTGGTGTTGATTCCCAAGTTAAGTTTGTCGTAGTGTTGGATCGTGGAGTTGAAGGTAGCGATCTTGGACTTGTCATGGTTGATGCGTTTTGTTGTTGCTGTTGATAGAGTTGATGGCCCAATCCTTCAAAGAAAGCTTTCTTTTCTAACACTGAAGACGAGCTGGATGCCTTTCCAGACATTTTTTGATGTGTGTTGGCAGATGACAAATTGAACTCGTTTTGTCTCAGCCTTTTTCAAATGCGTCTGTGAAGTGGGATGGCGTCGCACACTGGAACACAGTCACTAACAGCTTTGCAGCAGACTACAAAATGTTGAATAAATTACTGATGATTGTTTATTGCAGATAATCATTATCAAACAACAACGTTGTTTGTTGGTGATCTCTACATGTGTGTGTTCATGGGAAATTAACTACAAAACAATACTTGAGAGTGGGAAGAATCTAGTCGTTAACGAACAAAATTACTTCTTCTTTTTAGCAGCTAATTCCTTCTTGGCCTGCTCAAGAGCCCTTTGTTCTTCCTTTTGCTTTTGTTTGAAAGCAACATCAGACTCATCTTCAACTTTATCTTCCTTCTTTGGCTTCTTGAGCTGTATCATTTATATTCCGCACATTTGATGATCATCAAAAGGTAACGTTCAAATAATAATAATTATTAAACAACAATAATGAAATTCATCATCATTTCCATTTCAAACGTAATAATGGCCAATTAAACAACAATCCAAATAAATTCAGTGATGGTAAGAGAACGGTTTCATTCGTTAAAACGTTAAAACACGTACTGGTTTGACCTTTCCTCCTTCCTTGCCTGGCATTGTGGTGCAACGATGATTGTATTTTTTTTATTTATTGGAGAGATTGAGGCTCGGAACCGTGAAGCCTGTTTTCAAAGCATAACTAAAAGACCATCGGATGATGTCTGTATTTGACACACAGAGTGTTTGAATTCTTGAGAATATTATTTCATTATTAAAATCTTCCACACATGTTGAACCTTTTTGCAATTAAATTGAATTGAATCATATTTAAAAAATGTCTGAATTCAATAATAATAATTTTCACGAACAACAAGACAACACAATTCTCACTTCACAAACTCCGAAGAGAAAGAGAAACACCTCCAAACAAGAAGCAAAGAATGTACGGAAAAAACAAGACACTCATGATGAAGATTCAATGATCCATTCCGCAAGCACAACAACAGAATCAACAGTCCATGATGACGTTCAATCAATTTCATCAAATAATCATCAACAAGATTCAAAAACTGAAACAACAGAAAATACATCATCGATAGACTTGCTATTGAAAGAAAATTTATCAACAACGGATCGGTTACTGACTCTTGAAACCATGTTCAAAATTGTTAGAAAAAAAGTAGAGCTCTTCAACAAGCAACAAGAAGAAGGCAACAACCAAACAACAACTCAAGATGACACAACACACTCATTCGTTTTGGGAATGATCGAAAATCAAATTCGACAACGACTTGTTATTGCAAAACAAAAAGGATTGGCAGTTTTACCTGAAGCTCTGATTAGCAAACTTTGTGATATTTTCTCTATTGCGACTTGTTATTTATGGAAAGTTGAAGAGAAACAACAATTTTTAGTGAATGCATTTGGAAATAACTATTCCACTGGTTTACGAGAAATTTTAAAAAGATTTTACATTCCATTAGAGAATGATCCAATATTGACAAAACAATCGACTTTTAATTTTCTTGAACCTGAAGAAATTGATAACGCTGAGGAGAGAGATCGATTGCGTGAGGAACAACAGCAAGTCATTTCAACCATGATGGCATCCAAAAATACTGCCAATCATCAAGAACAATCAAAGGAAGAGTATGATGCTTCTCTTCTCGAGCTATTGAATAAGCACCAAGAAAAATATAAGAGTAGACAGAGTAGATTTTTGACAGGTTTGGCCAATCCAAAAGAATTTCTGAAAGAGGCAGACTTATTTAGGCAGCAACGTTTGAAACGAGATGAATCTCAAAGAAAACAACAACAAGAGTTACTTGAGAGAAAGAAGATGGCTCATGCCAGCACTATTAAGGTTGACAAACTTCCTGACAATCGATTTACGTCAGGTATTAAGGTCAAGAATAAGAAGAAGAAAAAGTTATAATTTTTAGGTGTTTTTATAAATGTGTAGCTCCAATGAAAATACCCCTGCAAGTATTCACTAATTAATCATTGGTACTTGAAAATTCATGACCGTTTCATTTGCTCAAATTTCTTGGAACCTCTTCTTCACCTTCTGAATTTTGTGGTAACTGAAACCAAGAACGTTCTTGGTTTTCAAAATTTGAAATCTTGGATTCGAGTGGAGATGTGGTATCAGTTTTGCTTGAGGTAGTCTCTGAAGATAAAGACTCCGTTCCAATACTTGAATCACTTGTTTTCACATGTTTTCTATTGCTGTCACTCATTGAATTTTTCTCGTCTGCACTTTCGGAGAGATCTTTCTTTTTTCTTCCTCGTTTTTTACCTGTATGTTCATCTTTGCACTGTTTTCCCATGGAAACGCATCTATCACATGGTCTTCCACCACTGCATCGTTTTTTGGCTTTTCGGCACTCGGTGCATGCAACGCTGATTCTTTCCTGAGATTTTGAAATAGGTGCCGTGAAATTTGGGTCGGTGTTTAGGGTAAATGACGCCTCAGAATCGGTATGTGCTCGATGAAAAGTCCAATTTGTTTGTGGAATAGAGGATGAAATGTTTGTGAGTGTGGACGTGCTTTTCCTCTTCGATTTGTGACGCGTTTTTGATGTTGACTGTACATGCGTGGATGTATCGCTGCATGTATGTTTCAATGAAAATGTGGCATACAACGATGCATTTGTATCTGTAATGGATGGATCCATGTTGTGACTACTATTGTTAAAATCTAAAGTTTTTGTTGTGCTCTCAATGATTAATGTTTGTTGTGAAGGAATTAATGATGGCGGCGGAGTACTGCTTGTACTACTATGTACTAACTCATGAGTCGATATATGGTCATACCATTGCTGTGGCTGCTCAATGGCCACGTTATCTGTAGTTGTGGATTGGAAATGTTGTTGTCCATTGTATACAACCATGAGGGGTTGTGATGGTGTTGCGACATGGGTGGCATGTTGTGGTTGTTGGAAGGATGACGACGGCATAGCCATATTTCTTGCAATAGCACTTTGTGATGTCTTAAATTGGTTTCTGGTTGACACTCCATGTTGGGCCGAAAGAAGGTCTTGATGCATCTCCAGTGGAGGAGTCTTTCGTATCAATGAAGAGCTGTGTGATAGTGTTGACGGCACCTCATCTTCATCCTTCGTATAGCCATAGAGCGGATTTGTTGTTGCAAATACATGTTGGTCGTGTGAAGAAGATGGCAGGTAGGAGGTAAGCGTACTTATTGGCGGAAGGACAGGAGGATGTTGGTAAGCTTGTTGTTGTTGTGAATACGTGGTAAATATTGGTGGTGTGGAATATTGGCTTGAGTGGTGATGTTCCATAGCCCTAGAGGAGATAGTATGGGAAGGAGAAATTGGATTGCTCACGGAAGCACGATTCGATGATGCCTGCAGTGATGGCTTGCTTGCCTCTAGGTAGAGGGATGCTGAATCGGTGGTTGTTAATTGTTGTGGTTGTTGATAGAGGTTATTGTTGTTGGTCACTCTTGAATGTAATGTGACATGTTGTGGGTTGTGATGGTATTGAGTTTGGCTTGGTGTTCGAAGATGTTGTTGGTCATTGGTTTGATGGGGTGCTTGGTCCTCTGCTTTGTGTCGCCACATGTTGTTGGATGGTGTAGGCTCTCTGTTATAATACTGCAATGTCTAACATTATCGTCACACAAACGACAGCAATGTGAATCGATTACTGTCGACCTTCCTCTAATGAACAAGTAGTGTTGGCTGTTGTGTATTTTTCTAAGATGTTGCTGATGCGTTCAGAATGTGATGCACCACAACTGCCGTGTGACGGACACACAACATCATGAAATTCACAATTACTGCACCAGGCGCACCGTCTAGTCGGTCAAAGGATGCTTGATCAACACAACTATTTTGGCGCAACATTCGGCTTTCACTGTGTTTGGAATTGGATGCTGTTTACATAGAATTTGACAAGGGTTGCTTGGAAATAAAAAATTTAAATGGAATTTCAAGTGGTCGCCAAGTTTAGCTAATACAAAACATGGTATGTGGATATGTTGATGGTTACTTATAGTAGTAATTCATTGTGAAACCAATGTGTTGTCATATGATCAACATGGTACCGTTGTTAATAGAAACCATGTTGCTTGCAGACTGTGTTGTTGAGTTGTAGTGGCTGACAAGTGATACTTTCAATTTTGGGGGTATCTCTTATTGGTTTCAAAGAGCGTTTTAAACCAAAACAGTCTAACGCTCCTGGAATAAGAGATCAGGTATTTACGAATTCAGAAATCAAGGTGGTAAATTCATGTGGATTGTCAATATGGATCCAATGTGAGGCATTCTGTGTAGCGAGATAGGATTTAGCAGTCAATCATAATAATAGCATTACATCAAATGACAATATCTCTTACCTTGACAGTGTTGAAGGTAGCATTCGGGAAGAAGGTTTTGGAAATTATTTCGTAATGGTCAGTGACATACATTGATTTAGCTCCTCTCAAGAACAAGATGTTATCTCCAAGGTATTGAACAGGAACTTGATACATTCCAAGGGCGTCCTCTCTAGTTTTGAAAGGAAACGAGCCAATCTGCGGAAGGTACGCTTCAATGACATCCAAATTGCATCTCCATGCCCACCCAGCTGTGTCGTTATTATTGTCTTCTTTGAGCCTAACAAGATTCGTTAATAAGAAGAGCCTGGCATCACGACTAATTCCTCCTACTTTAGCTAATATAGCTTCTGCCTCCGTTCTTGTTTTTAAAGTTTTCAAATTAATTCCTCTCATGGCATCAATATATTGCTTAATCACCCATCGATCGTCCTTAGTGTAATCGACAGGAGAGACATCCACAACAATGGCCTTATTGATCCGTTGCAATAATGGTGATGAAATACTATTGAGGCTTTCTCTTAAAAGTAAATTCATTAATGCCTTGCCAGACATTGAATGCGCAACGATATTCACTTTTTCAAGCTTCAATTCATCCATCACGGTAATAATATCGTCCGATAAATCATCATAACTCATCGTAGTGGTATGAGAGCTTCTTCCATGATTACGTGAGTCCAACAACAAACAACTTCCGTTCGTGGCCAAAACATCACTATACTTGTTCATGATGGAAACGTAATTCTGTCCGCTTCCGAGCAATCCATGAAGGAAAAATGTAGGAATGCCTTCATATTGTTGAAAAGGATTGTTCATGTGTTTCATTTGTTTCAAATATTCATCTTTCGGAAGCTGCTTTCCGTTTTTATCAAAATTCAAAAAGAATAGGTATGGATCTTCTCTTGTAGAGTTTGCTGTGCTCGTTGAAAAATTGCAAGATTTAGTGGAATAGTTTCTATTAAAATGAAGATTTTTGGTCCATGATGGGCTCAGAATACGAAGAAGAGGTTGATGACACCATTGGGTGAAACGAGCTTTGGTTTTGAGCATTTTTTAATGACAATTTATAATTGGTGGACTAATTGAGTAATATTAATCAGATGAATAATATTATGGGCTTCAAGCACCTGACATTCACGAAGGTCTCAAGTTTACAAAAAATGCATCCTTCTCTTACGAGTGCTCTTTCAACATCAAACACCAATTCATCAATACCTTCCGAGAGGGTTCAACAACCACTCCAACGAGAGCACGACCAAATATTACATCTTCCTAATATTCAAAATTTAGATCGAGAAAGCAACAATGATCATCATGACCTTTCAACCACAAGTCCCAGATTTTCTTCAGAAATTCCAAAAGGACCGAAATTAAGTCCTCGAAGTTTCAAAAGAAAGATCTTTATCAAAGATGATTCCCATAAATCATCTCTCGGTGCATCATCATTAATTTCCGTTCCCGATACGTCCACAGCAGCATTAAGTATTACAAAAATTCTAGCCATCTACACAGGAGGTACCATTGGAATGAAAAAGTTTCCCGATGGCTACCGTCCTGTACGAGGTTATTTACGTAAAAAGTTGGCTCAATTATCTCAATTCAACGATGCCAGACATCGGAAATTATATTTGAAAATGGCTGGAGTTATTAATGATCAAGATACAGAAGAAACTGAAAGAGCCAAGATGGATCAATGGTTTTCAACGCCAAGAAGTGATGACGGATGTGTTGCTTTATATCAATTATTGGAATTTGACCCGATTTTGGATTCAAGTAATATGGGCTATAAAGACTGGGTAAAAATTGCTCAATGCATTTCGGATCATTATGGTGATTATGATTGTGTATGTTTTTATACATTATGATTCGGTTTCGTGCTTATTGAGGTTTATGAAAATATTAATTGTTAATTTGATGAATATTTGATATTCTTGGACCCAGTTCATTGTATTACACGGAACAGATACCATGTGTTATACAGCTTCTGCGTTGAGCTTCATGTTCAGACATTTAGCCAAGTCTGTTATTTTGACAGGATCTCAAATTCCAATTTCTCAAACCAGAAATGATGGGTTTGATAATTTATTAGGAGCCATTACCATTGCTTCGAAATTATACATTCCTGAAGTTTGTGTTTTTTTCCATAACAAGTTATTTAGAGGAAATAGATGTACAAAGATGGATGCTGGAGATTTGAGTGCTTTTGATTCACCAAATATTGCACCAATAGTGAAGCTTGGAATTGATATGGAGGTGAATTGGTCATTGATTAGACCTCCACCAGGCCAGAATCAAGAATTTAGAATGATTCCAATTTCGAACAGCAATGGTAGGTTCACTCACATGATATTTTCAATGTTGACATGTATTAACTTGGAATGCATTATTATTATCATTATTTTTCGGAATTCACAATTTTAAGTTGGTATGCTGAGAATATTTCCTGGTATTAGTACAAGCTTAATGTCCAACTTTTTCTTGCCTCCAGTAAGTTTTTTACATTGTTGTGACCATTCCGAATTTATTTACACAAATGAATGACAGACAGAAGGAGTGGTCATGTTATCATATGGAGTTGGAAATGTTCCCTCAACCAGATCTGACTTTTTGAATTGTATCAAAGATGCAACAGAACGAGGAGTCGTGATTGTGAATTGTACACAATGCTGTAAGTTTCATCAATGACGAATTTGAAAATGTTGAGGGAACTTATTTGTAAATGATCATGAAAAAAGTCAAAGGAGCAGTGTCAGCCTCTTATAAAACAGGTTCAGTGTTGTACGAGCTTGGTGTTGTGAGTGGATCAGAGTAAGTAACAATTGTAACATAGTTAAATTCAAATTTTTGAATTTTTCTTTTTGACAGCATGACACCAGAAGCAGCTGTCACAAAACTAAGTATGTTATTTTTATGCTCATCATGTTGCTGAATATTGATTTTTAATGACTGTAACAGTGTATTTATTGAGCTGTGATATGGACTTGGAAGAAGTGAAACGGTTGTTGACAGTGGACCTTAGAGGTGAACTAACCAAGGTTGTTCCTGTTTCGAAATATTCTCTGAGAGAGAGGGGCTTTGTCAGTGCTGTTTGTAAGGCCTTAAATTTCCATGGTGGAGAATCTGACATGAAGGAAGTGAGGTGAGTTGAAATTTTATATTCGAATTCAAACTTCGTATTCACATTTTTTTTCAGTGATGCGTTATTGCCAGTGATCATGTGTAATTTGGGTGCCATTGGAGCCACGGATGAAATGAGAAGATTATTGGAAGTTGAAGGTGTTGATCCAAATATTCAGGATTATGACAAACGTACAGCTTTACATTTAGCTTCTGTAGAAGGACAGCTTGCCATGGTGCAACTTTTAGTAGAGTTTGGAGCTGATATTAATTGTAAAGATAGGTCAGTGTTTGTTGTGAAAATTACATGATTTAATAAGTTATACGATTTTAGATGGGGAAACACACCATATGGTGAGGCAAAAAATGCTGGCAAAAAGGAAGTTGTGGAATATTTTGAGAGTCTTGATGTAGAGCTCGAGTATTAATCCGATTCATTCATGGTTCTAAACTTTGATTGCATTGTTTTGAAATGTTTTAAAAGCTCTTCAATACTTTCTTCAGAGTTTTTGTTTTCTTCTGTTTCAGCTTTTAGTTGACCTGCTGTTTGTATCATGCATAACGTATTGACACATTCTAAACGTTTGCTTAGCTTGCTGTATGCTGTGCTTTGAGGCAATAACATTAGCAGGCCATATAATGTTTTCAATAAATAAGAATGCTTCTGAGGTTCCAATAATTGCAATCTTAAATCAACAAATATGGGTGATTCTAAAAGTTGAATCAAGTTGTCAATTTGGGTTAAAAATTCGACAGTGACTTCCACTTCAGAGCTGTTGTTCCAATTCGTTCAATCATTAACTCTGCACCATTCATCTTCAGTGACTACTTACAAGCTTGAAACGAGATAACTTGCCAACTCGTATTGATTAGCAAGCAAACAGAGAGTGAGTGTTGCAATAGAATTGTGGCACCAACTATCAGCAATGATCAGTCAAGAGTGTGAACAGTGCGTACAAAACGAAAACAACACACATACCTTCTGAATAAATCAAAAAATAATTTTTGACCTTCTCGAGAGGTTTTGCACTTCTTAATCGAGTTCCTCAACCCCAATAGTTCTTTGCTTGTTAATAGTATCATATTAAGGGTTTGAACCAGAGTAGACGTAAACTCTACGTTACTTTGTTTGGTATCGAGTAAAATATTCGCCAATTCCTTGAAAATCTTTTCAGGGTTCAACATGACACTGAGTTTTCTGAAAATAAATCCAGCTTTTGCCAACAAGTTGTTGTCGTTTTGGAACATTTGAACCAAACTTCTTAAAAATTTTTGAAAGTTTTCTTCAGTCGTGGAGATGATGGCTAGAACTTGTAAATCTAGAGAGACAACATCTTCGTTTGGATCAGATAATGATTTTAACAAGAGTGCAAAAATTATTTCTATATGTTTCATCACTCTATCCAAATTCTTGTTGAGTAAAATGTGACACCATTTCAATGCACAAATTCTGTTGGGAATGTTTGGTTTTTGTATCTCAGTTTTGATGACTCTCATCACATCACTAAATGAAATCATTTGATCTGGAGTTGATTTATCTTCAATGATGCGCATGATTTCATTATTGGCATTTGTGCTCGCATTTCGCAAATCAAGCTCATTGCTTGAAATGTGTTGTAAAATTGCACCAATAATTTGAGCGTGATAGGGCAGGACTTTTCTCTTGTCGAACTGCAAGAATTTGTAAATCCAAAATATGGCAATTTGTTTGGCCAAGGTACTGCCAGGAACATTCTCACAATGTGTGATCAGAATTTTGATCAGTGGACCACAATCTATAGCGTCGAAGGAACATTCAATTTCTGAAAGAAATTCCTCAAGCGTCGTCTTGGCTTGATTGATGATTTCTCTATTTGGATCGCTGAGCATATCAAATATACCAGAAAGAAAATGAGGCAAATATTCTAGCAAGTCAATATCTGGAACTGAGTCAAGAATAACAATCCAGCTCAATAAAAATTGTCTAATGAATGGATCATTGGTATTGATGCGCTTACTGAGCTCAGGAATGAATTGGTCAACATTAAAATTTTCATCTTCTGTGACAATATCTTTTACAAGTCTGTCCAAGACTACGTTCGCATTTTGGACAGTGGAATCTGGATCGCCACTCAGCTTGCACAATCCATCGAATATCATGTGAAAATAATTTGGAATAATTTTTCCTCTTGCAATTTTAGCGACATTATACATGGATTCAGAAGCGTGAAATCTCACTTTTGCGTCTTGATCTCCAAAGCATCGTAGAATGGGAGGGATCAAATCATCCAAATACTTTCCAATATCCTTGTACAATGCCACAGAACATGATCCGAGAGCCCATAATCCTCCTTTTTTCATGTTAGGTTGGATAGAGTCCACGAGTTGTACTGTTAAATATCGGATCAACTTTTTAACAAGTAACTCTCCTTTCCTCAACTTTTCCTCCTGATTTTGATCTGAATTATCAATTGTTGTGGTCGCAGAAGGAGTGGTTGTTGTTGGTTGTTCCGAGTCCACAGTTTGCAATAATTTACAAACCAATCTCTCAATTTCCTCTCCTCCCGATTTTCTCTTATCTTTCAGTTTATCGCTCAAATTTCGGATCAATGTCTGGTTAATATGTGGAATAATATCAGCAAATTCATTTTCAATCGTTGAGAGTGATGAAGATGCGAGAGAAGTCGTGGAGGACGAGTTTTGCATTTTTTTTTAAGTAATGATGAAAAATCTTTAATCTCAATACCATCAAAGAGCTCTCATGGATATTGGTATAGATCTATCGATGTTAAAGTTGAAAGGACACGCTATACAATTTTCGCCACAATTATTTTGCTCATATATTTTGGGTAAAGTCAAGAAAAAACCCGCCACAACAGTAAATTTAAAAAACTGAACGTTGGTCCATTCAATTTTCAAAAAAAAAATTACTGGAATATATTCAACCCTGCATCCATTATACAATCCATGGAGGATCCAAAACGAAGTAAATCGGTACAGGATGTGAGGTCTAGGTTACGTGAAACACAACAGAAAAGGAAGGATTTTTATAAATCATCTCATTCTATTCCGTCCCGATTTGAAACAAAATTAAATTCATCATCTTTGGAAAAGAAGGGATTTGGAACGAGTAGTTGTAGATTTCAAGTATTTGTGGTACGTTACAATGTGATGATATTGCGGAATGAGGATGATGAACGTTTAAAAATTGCAGAATGATTTGGGTGGCCCTAATGCAACCACCTATTCCATTAATAGAGAACTACTTGAACGGAAAACGTCAGACTCAAAGAAAGGTTATGGATATATGGTATCGAATACTAAACGATGGTATGATGCTCCAAGAAGTACATTTATAACACCTGGACCTGGTTCTACGGAGCCCCTTCAATTCTTTTCGTCAACCACAATACAAGACAAACGAATTCCCTCGTCGGCCGGTGTTGGAAGTAGAGCTTTTTTATCCTCATCGCCGACCAAGACAAAAATTGAATCAGAAACACCACCTACGGTTGGTCCTGGAACTTATAATGTGGTAAGTTGAGAAAAGGTGACATGTAAACCTTAAATTTCACTTGTGGCCACAAATTATAATTTTGCAATTGAAAAGTGTGAGTCGTCGTTTGACAAGAAACGAGTGGGATCTGCCGGTAAATCCTCCATGTTTGCTTCAAAAACAAAGAGATTTTCAGAAGAGAATCGTTCATCATCTCCAACAGATATTGTCAACCATTTCGAAGAAAGCATTGAAGAAAAATATGAACGAGAAAATCCATCACGAGGAATTTACCGAATAAGAGAGAAAAAAGAATTACCTCAAGCAATATTTCGATCGACGACGAGAAGAGATATTGAGAATGGAAAACCTCAATACGAATCGATTGATATTTCAGAAATTACTAAACCCAAATCTGCCTCACGAAGTACCAGAGAAATTCAAATTGATGATTCTGACAAGGATCCTCGTTCTTTCTTTTTCAAAAACGATGCCATCGATCGGTTTGGCAACTTTACAGGAAAAACAAGAAAAAAGAAGCACTCCAAGGAACAACCAGACCCAATATACTATCCCACAACCGATCGATTTGGCTCCAATTTGGCTGATAAGGACAACAAGAAGCACATTAGCTCTAGCTTCTTTGTCAGCAATTCAAAAAGAGACCCTTATGTTCCAACTGAAAATGCAGACCTGTATCCAGGAAAATATGACTACTCTCAGCTATTTGCCACAGGTAAAACAAGGACTTTCAACGCCAATAAACGTGGTATATTTCTGTAATCTGATGTGGTGTTTCAATGTCGGAGTTCAGAGAATTTTAAAAGGTAATTACACAAAAAAATGACACTCCGAATTCAAGCAGTGACAATGCTCTCCATTTTCCTATTCGCACATCTCCTCTCATCCATTCTCGCTCAACAACAACAACTCGCAACACAATCCATCAAAATTTCCTCCTTCAACATTCAAGTATTTGGTCAAACGAAAATGTCAAAACCCGAAGTAGTTCAAACACTTCTCAAAATTACCTCCATGTATGATTTAATATTCATCATGGAAGTACGAGATTCAAGTAACACGACCATACCCGAATTTACACGACAATTAAATAATTTTATTCCATCGACGAGTGTCAAGTATCAATTTCAAATCAGTGAACCACTCGGAAGAACGAGCAGTAAGGAGCAATATGCCATTCTTTATAAACCCAATATCATCAAATTTGTGAAAACTCTGCAATATTTGGATGTCAATAATTGGTTCGAGAGACCTCCTTTCCTATTTGTATTTGAATTAGTTGCATTGCCAAGTCAAATATTTTCATTATTGGGATGTCATATCAAGCCAACAGATGCTGTTGCAGAAATGAATCATTTGGTTGATGTTTTCAATTCGTATCAAAATGAGGCATTTGCTAATCAAACCATTATGTGTGGCGATTTCAATGCAGGATGTTCCTATGTGACCTCATCCGATTGGAATTCGATTTCTTTACGAACAGACAGTACTCGATTCAAATGGCTCATTAATGACACTACAGATACCACAGTAGCAACTTCTGAGTGTCCCTATGATCGATTTGTTGTTCCCACAAGTATGGCACAGAACAATATCCTCAAATTGGGTAGCAAGTATGAAATTAGTCAAGTGGCATCCGTATTTCGATTCGATGAGAGGTTGGGATTGAATTCAACATTTGCAGCAACCGTTTCAGATCATTATCCGATTGAAATGACCATTCAGGTACGAGTAGCGACGACATCCTCGAGTGGTGGACCAAAAGTTTCACAATCCACACCTCGAGTGGTTTCGAGTACGACACGTTCATTGTCATTATCATTATTCATCATACTCGTGATCGTCATGGTTCAATTTTTGTGTGGCTATTGGATTTCTCTTTAAAGAATTTTCTTCAAGTGTCCATGAATCACAGATGAAAATAGTAAATGATTTCACATACACACACGCGCGTCACACAGATCGAATCCCTTAAATCTCTTCGGCATTAATGACGCTAGGACATTGCAAAATCTTACTCAACTGCTCAGAAATGTAATAAATTGAGGGATGGAATGTTTCTTTCTGAGCTGTATTCCACTCAGTTTCGACAAAGGCCGTCTTGGCAGATTCTGTGAAATGAGCCGTGGCAATACAAGAACATGCGGCCAATAAAAAGAAGAGCAATTCAGATTCAGGCCAGCTCAGTTGAAGGATTTCTGTTAAATTTTTCAAAATTCTCATGTTAATGGTTTGATTGTTCAATACGACAACATCTCGTTCTTCCTTAATTCCAAGTAAGAATGCTAACTTCTTGTTGCTGGTTCGCACAGTTAATCTTAAATTTCGTTCTTGTTCTGCACCCACGTATTTGAAGGAGGTAAATCCAACAAAATTGAAAACAAGTTCACATATGGATTTGTTCGTTGTGCTGAGCAACTTGTTGGCCAGTGTTGGTAAAATATTTAGTCTCAACACGCTATAACTTGTGCACTCTGCGTTCGATCCCAATAATCGAAATCTCACTTCTCTGCCAAAAACATTGGAAATTGACCTTATCGCCTTTTCATACTCCAAGGTGTTCTTTTGATAGTTTAGTAATCTTCTAGGTAAGTATGAGAGTTGAATATCACAAAGGAGTTGGTTCGACATGTTAATTAAAAGGTCCAATAAATAAATTTTGGTCGATTTGATGTTTGTCAAGTCAAAAATATACTGTTTCAAGAAAAGTGACGCCACAAAGTCAAAGCTTTTAAGCTCTGTGTCTGACTCTCGTGGATATACTTCAAATTTCTGTGGTGTCGAACTGAAGGTTTGTAAATTATTTCTCTTATAAGTATAATATTGCTCAATGACAGCTTGACATGTGTCCAATGTTCCACACATGGCCAAAAATTGAAACATTTCTGTCACGGACATGGATGTGGTGTTGGTGATCACACCGCTGAGTTGACACAGCTTGTACAGTATGATATCATTAAATTCGTATTTGCTTCCTGCCATAATTACAAGCACTTGACGATCATTTGCAGTCATATCACCTGAAAGGCCAAGAAATTGAGCATATTTTGGAGAATTTGTACCAATTGACATTTGATACAGAATGACTCGCTTCTTTTGTTTTTGATGTTGAAGCGTGGTGGTCATTAAATTTTGATGAATATAAACTTTTTGATCTAATTGTTGAAGATCAGGTATGAGCTGAATGACTGATGAAAATCCATAATTTTCTTCTCCTTTGATTTGCTCAAATTCAATGATTTGAAGCTTTCCAAGAAGAAAAGTACACATCTCCTGATAATAAATATTTTGAAGAGATATGGTATCAATAAGCTGTCGAACCATTTTGTGTTTTTTTGAAAATTCCACTCGTGATGACAATGGTATACACATATACACTCCAACAGAAGGCATATCAAGCATTGTGACTGTATCTTCGCTTTGAATATTAATAGTCTCTTTGTGAAATAATTCATTAAGCAATAATTGAATTCTACAACTTCGAGCAATCACTTGTACTGCTCTCAAGAAACTATGTTGTCTCATCTTGACAAGATCACTTGATAAACTATCCAAACTAGTAGTCATTTCACTGCCACCATTACTTGCACTCGTTGTACTATTCATCATGAGAGCACACACCTGATTACTCCATTGCACAAACTGATTCATACTAAACAAATAAGGAGAATGTTTTTTCGCTAATTGATTAAAATATTTGGAGGCGTAACTGAAACGCAACGCTGAAGTGTAAGGTAGAAAGACTAAAATTCGTTGATAAATATCTTCGGCGTCGGGTAAGGTTGAGAATAATTGGATTAATGGGATGGAAGGTTCGGAAGAGGGATTTGATGTGGTTGGCATGAGAGGATGACTACTGGTAGAAGCATCGCCAACACCTCCTCCGAGAGAATGATGAGAAGCATTGGTTGAAAGAAGTAAATTACTTGATCCTAGTGAGGAGAGAAATGTATGAGGAGTAGTACTAGCACCTCCCAATGATGATGAAGTTGTTCCTTTTCCACTCTTTGAAGGTGTTTTACGAATAATATTCACTCCTGATGCTTGTACCGATGATGATGCGGAGGATAACAAGCCAAGTTGCTGTTGTTGTTGTTGAGAGGATGAACCCGATGATGGAGCATTGGTAGTTGATGCTACTGTTGTGGTTGCATGAGTGAGATTGGTTAATGTATTTGGATTCGGATGAGCAAGACCAAAAGGAGAAGGCGCATTATTTGAATGCAAATAATTCATCATGGGATCTCCATCTTCCTTCAATTGAATGAGTTGAAAGAAGAGCATTCTTTTTACGAGAGAGATAATGACCACAAAATTATATGTTGAGCACAATTAAATTGAAAGGAGTTAAGAATAGTGAAGAATAATTTGATGATGATGCAATCCGAGAGAGCAATGAAGGTCTCAATATATATTTTTGAATGATGACGTTTTTCCAAGAAGGTTGTTTGAAGAAGCGAGTTGGTAAAGGTTGTGAGATGAAAGACTTTTTTCTTTCAAAGAATTGCAGAAGGCAAGAATTTGGAAGCCATGGACTCCATTGTGCTCACAAATTAGTCGATTCTTAGGAACACACCACTTTTTTGCCCAAGAATGGAGAAAAACAAGAAATGCCGTTCACTCTTTTCACACGAAATTCAAGAAATTGGTGCAATTCGTTAAGATCTTATCAATTTTGAATGAGTGATGAACAAAACCAAAAAGGAAATTGAAAAAAATGAAAATTTTGTGTGGCAAATTCGCCAAGTTGTTGTTGGGGGCTGCAGCATCATCATCCAACGGAGTTGTAATTCAAAAAACTTCCTTGCCTGGACAACTTGTTTCTGGAATTTGTACCACCAAATATATTACTGCTTCGTTTTCAACAAGAGTTTTCAGTAGAAAGAATCAATCCATTGAGGATTTGAAAATTCATTCATCATCATCCTCGGAGAGTTCAACTACTGGACAAAGTGTGAGCTCCGATGAAGATTATTATCAAAAAAGAAAACAAGAATTGAAGGAATATCAAACAAAATATCCCAAATTATTACCGAACTTGTACCCAAATCATTTTTCATTGTCTTGTAGTTTTAAAGAATTCAAAGACAAGTATGATACGTTGCAAGCTGGTGAAAAATTAAAAGATATTGAGGAAACTATTGCTGGAAGAATTATCAGTAAAAGAAAAGCAAGCTCCAAACTCTATTTCTATACGATAAGAACCACGAATGACCACAAATTGTTCCAGCTCCAAATTATGGCAAATGCTGAAAATTATGATGCCACACAGAGTTCTGCGGAAGAAGACAGCAAATTTTCAATCATCAATACAATTTTGAGAAAGGGTGACATTGTGGGAGTGAGAGGCTTTCCTGCAAAATCTGGCAAAGGAGAACTTAGTATTGTTCCAAAAGAAATCACACTTCTAAGTCCTTGTTTGCATCAATTGCCACAAAAGATTTCATACTCTGAAGGAACATCTCTGGATGACATTGAAAAAAGATATAGAAATAGGCATTTAGATTTACTGACCAACCATGACGAGTTGTACAATGTGTTTCTCACAAGAAGCAAGACCATTTCTTTTATTAGAAACTTTTTCTCAAGTCGAGGATTTCTTGAAGTTGAAACTCCAGTTCTAAGCGAGAAGAGCGGAGGTGCAAATGCCAAGCCATTCGAAACCCATCTCAACGCTATGGATATCGACCTCAAACTTCGAATTGCTCCAGAGCTTTATTTAAAGCAGCTGGTGATTGGAGGAATGGACAGAGTGTTCGAACTAGGAAAAGTCTTTAGAAATGAAGGAATGGATACCACACACAACCCTGAATTTACCAGTTGTGAAGCCTATCAAGCATTTGCTGATTATAATGACATGATGAACATGACTGAAGAAATGTTTCGAGGTTTAGTGACTGAAATTAAGGGATCTCCAATTTTGCACGTGGATGGAATTGGAGAAATTGATTTTAGCAAACCATTTAGACGTATTTCTTTTGTTGACGCCATCGAGCAACACATCCAACAAAAGCTTCCAGATCCATCGGACTCTGAAGCAGTTCACAAATTAATTACTATTTGCAAAACTCACAAAATTCCTTTTACTGCTGAAAAAGTGAACTATGGCTACTTGCTTGACAAATTGCTTGGACATTTTGTGGAACCTGAATGTGTGCAGCCAAGTTTCATCATGGATCATCCTGTTGACTTGAGTCCTCTGTCAAAATCTCACAGAAATAAGGGACAAAATATTACTGAACGTTTTGAATTGTTTATTGGAACCAAAGAGATTTGCAATGCCTATACCGAGTTGAATGATCCTGAAGAACAAAGAGACAGGTTCAGAAAGCAGCAAGATAAAAAGAGTCAAGATGACGAAGCCCACGAAATGGATGAAGCATTCTGCAAAGCACTCGAATATGGCTTGCCACCCACTGGTGGTTGGGGAGTTGGTGTGGATCGCTTAATCATGCTTCTCACTAATAACAAATCCATCAGAGATGTCTTGTTATTCCCAATGCTCAAGCCAAAGAAAGAAGAGTAAAGAAAGGTTGCTAAATTTACAACTTCAGTTAGAACTTTATCTTCGTTGAGATCCTGATCGGTTGGTGGAAGGAGTGGTTCGTGACCGAGAATCTGCTGGTTTTCCACTCGTTGTCTTTTTTGAATCGCTTGGCTTTCCTGCATTGGTCGATTGATTGGCTGGATCTTGGGTTGCGTTGAGTGAATTTTTGCCTTCTTTCGCTTTTTGAACTTTTTCATTAATATTTTCATAATTGGTTAAAAACACCAAACGATAAGCTCTTCTCCAAAGACGTTGGTATCGAGTGTGCACTTTGAATCGTTCAACTCGTTCTTTTTCTTTTCGCTTTCTTTCTCGCTCTTCATTTCGCTTTCTCTTCTCTTCTTCCATGACAGCAATAGCATTCTCCAAGAATACCACTCGCTTCTGGTCTCTATTATAATCCTGTACCAATGTGTTGTATTTCACAGTGTGTTCGCTCATAAAATTGTCATATTTTGTCACAAAATCATAGACTTGCTGTTCTGAAGTCAGTCGATCAAGCTTCATGTCATTTTCATCCTTGTGGTGGTCAAGTTTTAATTCTGAAAGCAACATTTCACATTGTTTGATTTGGTCTTTCAACATTTCTTCGAATTTTTTAAACTTGCTCTCAGCAAGGTCTTCTCTATTTTTCAAAACTGAATTAAACTCTTCTCGTTGTGAATTGGTTGACAGTTTCAAAGCCACGAGCTCTTCCTCAAGTTTTTTCAGCGTCTCCTCTCGTGCTGAAACTTCCTTTTCTCTTGAGCTCCGTACACCAGCCAATTCTCTTTGCAGTGCTTTCAGGTCAGCATTGGATTTCTTCTCTCGGGCTGCCTTCTCATTCTTTTGATCATTCATGACCTGCTCTTCTTCCTTCGTTGTATGAAGCTTGTCCGAGTAAATATTGACCATTTCTTTCATGATATATACAAAGCGTTCCAAACCTTCATCCTGTTTCGTTGGATTGGTTTGATCCACTGCAAAATTGTTCTGACTCAATACTTTACAAATTTGCATGAAGGTTTTTTTGATCTTGGTGGACCATTCGGGAATATCAGTATGTAAATATTCCTTGATTTTGCTCTCCAGTACTCCTTCATGTTCGTACAACTCGTGCAAGTACTTGCCCAATGTCGATGATTCGGGAATGAGAACTTGTTTGGCTTCATCCGAGAGTTGTGGATAATATTGAGGTAAAAATTGCAAGATACGAGTCTGATACAAGTGCTCGTTCAATACTTTGATGATTCTCTCCCTCTCATCCGTCAGTTTTTGATTCATGTGTTCTCGTGATGATTTTCAATCAACTACTATGGATTGTAATTCAATTTTTTTCGTAGTTTAATTTTCAATTGAAATGGCGGGGAAAATTTTTTCAAAATGACAAGATCTTTGAAAATTAATAATCAAATCGTAAAGTATAAGGTGTTTCAATGCCAATCTTTTTAAGTGCTCCAACAGGTAAAGCAAAAGTAGGGTCGATCGTTTTCAAACCATACTGCTCACCATATCCTAACAAACTCAAACCAGCAATTCCAAAAAATGTGTGAAATACGTCGACCATGTTATTGGGCTTGTCGCTAATTCCACCTTTTTCAGTATCTTGACAATTACAAATGTAATCATGTAATTTTCCTCCATCAATCCAATGAATTCGATCCATCATTCCCAAAGCACTCAATACCCACCATGAATAACAAACATCGGCCAATTTTTCTGGACGTCCATTCAAGCCACCATTGTCGCATTGTCTCTCACATAGCCACCAGGAAAGTGTGTCTTGATCGATTCGATCCAGTGCCTTTCCAATGGACAAGGCTCCAATACATGTGAAAATTTGGCCAGCATGGGATTCAGCTCCTGGACAAACACCAAAACCTCCATCAAAATTTTGACATGACAACACAAATTGCACGGCTTTTTCAACGTTAATAAATTTTCGATTATTGATCTTGTCTCCTCTATAATTGCTACATGTGTCCAATAATCCTAATAAAGCCAAGCAATTCAAAGCGCAATAACTGAATCGTGTATCCACTTCTCCCCATTGATCACCTGCAAAACTTCCATCTTCTTTTTGCAACGATCCGATATAGGAACCGATCTTTTCAATTTGTTCCAAGCTTAAAAACTCTTCAATATTATCTGTTAATAGAACCAATAATTGTACTGCAGAGAGAGTATAGAGAATATGAGGATCATGATTCGGAGCACCCGAAAAACCACCCACTTCATCATGATACGAATCTCTCACAAATTGTAAAATCTTGTCCCGATTCATCTTGCTAATTTCATTCATGAGGTCCATTCCAGTTAATCCCCAATACATTCCGGACATTCTCAAATGTTCTGTAACGCAATACTCGAAAGTGTTGGTTTCCTTCTCCTCCAAATGTTGAATATAGGAGATGTGAGCCTCTTTAGCAAAGGATTGTACTGAAGACATTTTTTAGTAAAATGAATTGTTGTTGCAAAGGGTGAGCTGGCGAGTCATGGATTAAAATCTTTATGAAATCGATGATGATTGAAAATTATTCTTCTTTCCGATGATTCATTGGGTTTCTTGGATTTTAATTTGGAATCTGGGAAATGTTGTATTTCTTCTTATCCCGATTGAAAAAATGTCTCGACTATTGATTTCATATCAACCGAAGAATCCGTTCTATACAACACTCATACTGATCAACAAGTAGGTATCTATTCCTAGTAGGGATGAATTTAAATGGATAGAAGTGTATTCCGAATTTTCGATCATTGAAAATAATTATTCTTTCCGATGATTAATGGTATCAATATATTTTCAAAAGAAATAATTATACAGATCAGCCATGTGTAGAGCCTTACTTTTTAAGCATTGATCCACAGAAAATAATGCCAAACCATTTAGATTTTTCTAATGGATTATTTGTAAGTGAGGTTAAGGAACAATTATATCTCCATAGTGAGGTACCCTGTTGGTTTGGCTTGACCAATACTGGGAAAATTGCAATCATGATAGAAGTGGACAGAGGAGCTGATTTTAATGCTTCATTTCAAGAAAAGTGTCGAAAATTTAACATTGATTTACCAGAAGCAGTTTTTCAAAGATACGATGACGACGAGGAAGTTGTTAAAGAAACACCACGAGAGTCAACAGGATCTCCAAGTGTGATGTCCTCATGTGACTCTGAGATGGTCAAATCTACATCAAAAAAGTCTGAAAGAAGGAAAGAATTGAAGTTTGACCATTTGACTAAAATGAAGCATGACACCAAACTGTTGCTAGTGAAAGATTTTCTTCATTCTCCACTCACTCCAATTGAATATTTACAAAAAATTGCAATCAAGACAAGAAACTTGGATGGTTTTAACTTCATTGTTGGAGATCTTTCGAAAGGATTGTATTTTTATTCCAACAAGGACAAGGAACGATGCATCTATGAGCTTGTACAGGGAGAATATGCAATCAGCTCAATTCCTGGCCTGGACACCTCGTCAGAAGTGTTTGAGTGTGTGAGAAGAGCCAAAAAAGAATTCCTAAAATCAGTTTCAACATTGAGTGCCTACGATCTCGATGAGGTTCCTGTGCAATATGATGAATTGAGTAAGTGGGTTAAATCAAAACAAGACATGGTCGTGGAAAGAAGGAAACAAATGAACTCTAGCAAGACACTTCATGAATTGTTTTCCATTATTGAAAAAGAGGAGAAACTTGGAATTGAAGAAATACATGACATGAGCTACTATTTAAAATTACAGTAAGTATTGAACAATGTCACTTGAAGTGGAAAAAAGAAAAATCACTCATGTCAATAACTAGCCCCTCTTTATTTGAATTACTGAGATCGATGTTTATTAATCATCCAGTTTTTGCTACAGAGTTAAACATGATGATTCTTATACATGATTCTTCCATTCCTTCAGAAGAAGAGTGCATCAAGACATTTGGGAAGAAAGTTGCTCATACAAGTGGTACCCAAAAACGAAGAAAAGGAGTTCTCAAATCATCCTCAAGTGTTCAAAGCATAATTACACCAACAAGAGTCATTTCAATTGAAACTCCTGAAAAACCACCCCCTCCCATGTTCTCCATCGATCGAAAAAAGTATTTGTGTAATCTTTACATTCGCAAGTACAATCAAGACTTGTTGACACGAGTGAGAAACGGCGAATTTAATGAAGATGAGTATTGGGAAACATTATTAGGTGGCTCGTCCTCTCTTGATGACTCGTTCTACAAGTCCATCTTTCAGTACTTTTACATTGACACCACCACTCATGAATTGTAATCTTTGATTCCTTCTCGAAGTGGAAATGAAAAAAATGAAACGAAAGGAAATTCCATCCACTGAACACGATGACAAAGAAGAAATTCCAGAACACTCTGCATTCCGAAAGTATGTCAAAATTGATGCCAACTTACTCGAGGATTTGCACCCCATCGAATTGAAGCAATTCATTGAAATGTATTCCAAGACACTCCGAAGAAAAATGTTGAAGTTAATTTCAAATATTCCCGAGGAAATTGTTCTTGCCATTCTCTCTTTTCTCTCACCTGTAGAAAGAATTTTGAATGGACCCTTGTACTGCTGCAAACATTGGAATGCATGTATTATGAACGATGAAAATTTGTGGAAAAGTATTTGGGAATTGTTGTTTCCAACGAGCAAGCCTTATGACCATGTAATTTCCAAGCCTTATCTTCTACTAAGAGCAAAATTCTTCTCAAACAAATGTGAAATACCTTATTTACGTTTCTCTTTTGACAATTGTAACGCTTCTTCTCCCAAAGATACTGAAATTATCAAAGAAGAAGATGGTAAAACGGTCGCCTATGATTCAGATGAAGATACGAAAGAACACAAATCAGAAAAGGATAATCATAGGACAAAGTTCACTTCAAAATTTTATATATTGACCAAGAATCCAGAAATAACCTACATTGATGCTGGTGAGGGCTGTGGAGGAGGATATTCAAGCAACACCTTGCTCTTGATTGACCACCTTGAAGGGATCTACTTTCCTCCCAACAAGACCACATTCTTCAAGTTCACATTAATGACTGACTTTAAGGATGTTGAATACCAATCTGGAGGATATTCCTGTTTTTCCTTTAATTCTACTCTTCTCGCCACAGTTCCTTATTCCTTATCAGATCCAATCACTCTAATTTCTCGCAACAAAATCATTCAACCACGTGTGAAACAACTCGTAAGAGAGTACCTGCAGCTTTCTAACGATGAATTGATCATTCCCAAACAGAGTTGGAATCCTAAAAAGAACATGATACCCACGGATGAAATCGGATGGTTTAATCAATGGTTGCGAAATTTTTCATTTTTTGATTGTTCAAATTTTGTCGACCAGTTGAAAGTAGTGGAAAATGAACAACAAGCTGAAAGTGACAATGAAGACGAAGATAGTGATGATGACGCTGATCCATTAAACTCTCCACACGAAAGTGATGAATGAATTGATTGTGGAATTTCAAGACAGTGCAATTCATTCAAATAAACACTGGAAAAAATGCCGCCATTCAAAGTCAAACAAGAGCATTCCGTCAAGGCTGAGAATGCTGCATCATCAACCTCGGGCTCACTGACCACAAAACGAAATTTTGTTGGAGTTCGGGATTTACAAAAGAGTGGAGCCTCTGCTATTGATTATGCGAACATGTTCAAACGAAAGACGACATCCTCAAAAAGTAGTAGTAGTAGCAGTAGCCATAGTACCACTGGATCATCCAGTAGTTCCTCTAAATCCAGTAATACCAGTGTAGATGTAAAACCAAATAGTCGTAAATATGAACGAAAATCATCATCATCGGAAAAGAAATCCAGCACGAAACGATACAGAAAATCATCAACCACTACTCCAAAGAAAATTGAAAAATCCGATAAAGTACGATGGACCACCTATCGAGGAAAGAAGTGTGTGATTCATAACGGAAAGAAAATAATAGGCCCAAAAGGTAGGTAAATTGATGAATCGTGTGTATTCAAGCGAGCGATTTATTTATTGGAATAGCAATGGCCATTTACAACAAATGGAAAGAATTAAACAAAGGGAATTCTGACACTGAGGAAAGCGCTTTTGAAAAACCCAAATCAAAAAAGAAAACATCCAAAACAAAGACGGAACCCAAAGCTGAAACATCAGAAAAGAAGCCCTTGACATTAAAGAAAAAAGGAAGTTCCACCACAATGAAGAATTCCACCATAACAGACTATCTTAAAAAAGAGGAGCCAGAAACAGTAGTGGTGGAATCAAGTGATGAGGAAATTGAATCTTTTGCATCAGATGACGAATTTGAAGATCCAATCGAAGAAATTATTTCTGACGAAGAGTAGTTTGACAGGCATGCCAGTAAAGCACTCAAGCAGCTTTGATTTAAGCTTGTTCAATTGATTCATTGTCAATCGAGTTTAATGTTGACATCGAATGCTTGAGCCAAATTGACCAGAGTTTCAGAAGTCTGTCGGTAATCTAATGCATTGGTTACCACGCATCCACGGTAATTTACAAAAGATGGAATATGTTGCTTGAAAAGTTCAGCCATAAAAGCTATTGAGTTCTCCAAAACAAATCCTTTTCGTTTGTAGTAGGTGTAAAACACAGAACTCTCCTCAAGAAGCTTCTCCTCAAAGTTCGAGCAATGCATCTCAATATTTTGCATAGCCATGTTGTGTGAAATAAACGGATGTTGAAATCTGCATTGTTGAAACCAAATGAAATCAGACCTTGCCAGCCTGAAGAATTCTTTCGAAACTTGCATGCAGTTGAAAAGTTCTGAAGGAGTAAGGAATGAAAATATTTGCGAGAGAGTGTCATGGTCCAAGCGTGAAACATCATACAACGATGTAGCGACTGGATGCAGGGATGTATTACAATTATAACGCTCGTGCCTTTTAAATCCTTTCAACTGAGTTTGTTCTGGAAATTTACAAGTAAGATCAAATCCATTCGAAATTTTGGAATCCAATACATCGACCTTATTAAAGATTAAATACAGAGGTTTGTCACAGGGAAACAAAGGGTCGTTGAGAGTTTTTTGAAAACATCCCAATGAGTCTTCCATTCTACATGTACAGTCATCTGCGTTTTGTTCGTTCGTTTACAATTCAAAACTTTGAGCTAGTACTACTCTCGTCATAACCTCTCACTTACCTTCATAACAACACTGATTAAATTCCGATAAGGAAATGACATAAAATATACAATCACATTTGTGATAGGCGTGTACCCATTCTAAATGATTTATCTGTATATACCAACAATGCTTCACAAATGATGTGTACTTACTTTTACGTCCACATCGTTGACCCTCAGTGTCAATGCAGATCAAAGAGGTTTGAGGGAGTTTGAATTCATTCTCAATCACTCCACAAGTCTGCATATTGTGTTCATTCATGAAGAGCAATTAGAGCAATTGCTTTGAAGTAATGCACAACATACTTTCATATATCGCTCTAAATCTTCCAAAACGCCAATATTCAATTTCCAAACACTCTCGATCTTGTCTAACAAGCTCATGAAATTCTCAATTGGAAAATGAAACAAGTGTCGTTGACGATAGGCCTCTTGCAGAACCTCATCATGCATGAAACGGTTTTTAAACCTCAAAATGTCTTCTAACGTGCAATCCGTGCTAACAAAATCAAGCCCAACATGATGCATTAGGGAAAAAATACATTTTCCCATTCCGTAAAGAATGGTGGATCGGATATTGATCAGCTCATAGTTACACATCGTGGGATTGGTCAAGTGCCTAATATTCTTGATTAAGGTACTTTTTCCAGATTCCCCTTTTTGTAATTCAAGTTTAAGTAGTCATGAAAAGTTGTAATAACTAACTTACCTGTTCCTATGAACAAAATGACCAATGCATCAGACTTCTTGTTATTGAGGTCATATCTAATTTCACTCGGAACAAAATCATCAACATTCTTTGGGTTGAAAAAGCTGTGGAAGTAATCCGAGAACCTCTGCCCCATTTTTTATGAGTTGGCTCCTTAGAACTTTAAATTGAGGAAGTGTGCGCTAGTGCGATCTTTACCATCATGATATCTAGCAACACACTTCTGTAAAAAAAACCAATGAGTGTTAAATTTATTAATATTGCAAATAGACCAAGTGTCCAGTGTTGAGAGTTGGGTAATCATAATTTAAGCAATAATCAAATTGTTGCCTTCAATCTTGGCGTTTTGGAATTTTGTGTTGACCCATCCATCTTCGTTTGTTTCAAAGCCAACATGACCAATATCTTGCCATTTTCCAGTGGCGACCAATGGACCTTTAACTTGAAGAGAGCCATCCACAACCTTCACCTCAGCATTGTCAACAAGCTTTCCATTGATAGTTAAAATACCAGATGTTTCCTCCAAACCGCTAACAACCCAAGATTTAACTTGTGGTAATTTTTGACCGAGTAATCCGACAATGGTTGAAGAGTCAAATCCAAGAGGAGTACAAATTACTACATTCTTGAGATGGTCATATGTATTCTTTGAGAAATCAGCATGATTCAACAATTCTTCCAATTCTTGTGGTTCTGCAAAAAGAGTAGTACATTGCTCTTTTGACAACATAGAAAGAGTGTTTGAAGCAGAATATTCTTCTGCTGGATAAACAATTACACCTCCTGAAACAAAAGCAGAGAAGTTACCCATGATTGATCCTGTTGGTGAAGTGGTATATTTTGGAACCATCACACGGTCTCCTTGCTTCAGTCCGAGAGTATTTGCAATAGTGAGACCAGCGTTGAGGATGTTCTTGTGAGAATAAACGGCGCTTGTAGCCTTATCAGGATTCTTGTCATTAAATAAAATCAATCCAGGATTAGTTGAATCCAATTCCATAGCAATTCTACGAAGAGGTGTCTCGTAATATCCGAATGGACCATACACCAAATAATCCTTCAATTGATAAGTTCCTTCCTTTGGTTTTTCCTTCATGTCAGTAAAAAGAATTTGCTTGCAGAATGGGAACTTTTTAGATTTGAAAGGAAGATGCAATTCAGATAAACTCAGTTCTGGAACAACTTCTCTAATCATTTTGTAATAGTTTTTAGTTCCGATCTTTGTTGCAGAAACAACAACTCTTGGTCTGACAAGCTCAATGAATCGACTACATAATGTCAATGAATATACTCTATTTTCCAAAATATGTTGTGAATATACTTACGTCAAATCTTTAGCAGCTTTGATGTCTGGAAGTGGAACGAGAACAGCACCAATCTTGGCACATGCCAACAAGGCAACAATATTTTCAGCGTTCATTCCTTGAATCAAGGCCAATCTATCTCCAGGTCTCAATCCCAATTCAACCAATCCGCAAGCCAAAGCTTCTGCGTGTTTCTATTCGAAATAAAATTGTTATAATCACCAATAATGTAGTTGAATATATCCAGGCAAACAACATGATACTCACTTTAAGAGTGGAAAATGACCAATTGACATTCTGATGAGCACACTTCAAAGCGTTGGCGTATGGCATTTGTCTAGCATTTTGTGAAAGGAAGTATCCGATAGTGTTATTAATTGGTTCGGATTCTTTTCCTTTTAAATATGTTGATGCATTAAATTTTTGATTTTTGAATTGGCTTCTGTTGTTTTGTTGTTGTTATGATGAATATGATGATGAAAATGTTTGATATTCAAATTCGATAAGAATTATTATTAACACATGAAATTCAACTCAACTCCTTGTACGTACATCAATGCAAAACTTCCATTGGCTATTACAAATAATAATAACAACAGAGTAAAGATGGTGAAAGGATGAAGAGAAATCTTTCATCTGCGAACATACCTCTGCGCAAAAAACTAATTGGTCGTGATGATAGCATTTTTTCTTCGCTAATTCAAAAATTTACAACAACATTTTCGTCCTTTCATAGTTGTTTGCCTCAGACTTTCTCACTTGATTCTTCTCTCATCATCGTCATCATACAAACAACAACACCCAACAAACCACTTCAATCTAGGCAGGAACCAAAAAATTCGCTTGCCTTGTCCGCTTCCCGTCGACTTTAAAAAAATATTTAACGTTACCACAAACGAGAAATGCCAAGCAAAAAGAAGAAATCTTCTGCTGCATCATCGGGTGATGGCAACCTCCAGAATTTAAATTCTGGTGAAATAAAAAATATGGAAGATGACAAAGAGCCTCTGAACGGTGTAGACCATGCCTCCCATCGCAAAGAGGAAAAACGCAAAAAACGTAAAAAAGGATCTGATGATGGCTTGGGTGGAGACGACAATGGTAGTACTGATACGAAAACACTCAAAGTAAAGATCAAACTCGGAGACTCCGAGACAACAACACAAGCAGTGGATGACTTGGAACCAGAAAAGAAGAAGAAAAAGACGAAATCTAAAAAGAGTGAGCCTCCGAAGGATTTGGTAGTTGTGTTGGATGAAATTATTGAGAAACTTTTCAAAGCTGACAAAAAACAAATCTTTTGGTATCCTGTGCAAGACGAGATTTACCTGAAGACAATCAACAACCCAATGGATTTATCAACACTTAAATCTAATTTACTTCAAGGAAAATATGACACTGTTGCTCGTTTCAAAGCTGACCTTGAGTTGATCTATCAAAATGCGGAAACTTACAACGGAGCAGGGTCACCTATTCACAAACAAGCAGAAAAACTACGCGCCATTTCTTCAAAGGAACTTTCTAGTTTTTCTAATGACGACAAAATTATTACTCCACTAACAAGTGACACCAGTTCTGCTGAAGAGTGTATGACTCAGATATTAGATATTCTGAAATTTGAGGATTCATATTCTATTTTCCACGAACCAGTTCCTCTTACGGTACCAGGATATCACGAACTAATCAAAAAACCCATGGATTTTGCCACTCTTAGAAAGAAAGTGATTGAAAAGCATATTTCAATTAGCAAGTTTGAGAAATATTTGAATCGAGTTTTTGCAAATGCTACCAAGTTCAATCTTCCTGGTTCCATTTACCATAATGAAGCCGTCAGAATTGGAGAGTTTGCAAAGGGATTGACACAACAAATGAAAACAAAGTTCTCAAAAGGAGGCTCCAAAGCTGCCCCAAAAATTACTATTAAGATTTCTGACCAAAACGAAGAGCCAAAAGAAAAGAAGTCAAAGAAGAAGAAAAAAGAAGAAAAAGAAGAGCAGAGCGAAGAGACAAAAGACAAAAAGCCAAAGAAAAAGAAGAAGGAAAAGAAAGCTGTTGCAAAAGAAGACAACGAAGAGAAGAATGGGCTTGAACAACAGGCAGAAGAAGCTTCAGCCAACGTAGAGTCGAGTGAAACCACTGACATCACTACTCCTAAGAAGTCTTCGGATAAGAAGAAGACGCCTAAGTCAAAACCTTCCACAAAGTGGAGAGATCGTGTTCGTATAACAGATCTTGATTTTCCAGAGTTGGAGAAAGATTCTTTATATTCTCTAATTAATCTCATTTGGAATAAGCTGAATGATATTGACGAATATTCAATATTTAAGACTCCTGTTGGCAAGGATGTTCCTGGATATCATGAAACTATAAAAGAGCCTATGGACCTTTCCACGATGAAAGGCAAAATAGATGCCAAGAGCTATGAAAATTGGAGAGACTTTGAGGACGATGTGGATCGTATCTATGACAATTGCAAGTTATTTAACTCACAAGATTCAATTTTCTCAAAGGAGGCCAACAGACAACAACGGTGGTTTAGAAAGTGGAAAAAGGACATGGTTACTCATTTTGGAAAACACCAGAAATCAGACCTTACTCCTACATTTGTTGCAAATTATTTTAATGAGATTTCTGTTGTAAAAACAGGAGCTCCAAAATATGACTTGTCTGCTCTCAACGAGGAAGAGGAGTCGGAAGAAGAGACCACCACACTCCCTAGAAACTCTCTCTGTTACCATTTGCTTAAAATTGCAGAGGAGCTGAAGGCTCAAGACAAAAGCAAATATTTTTGGAATAACGTTGATGAAAGCATTCATCCTAATTACAAGGAGAAAGTTAAGCATCCAATGAGCCTGTCAACCATCATTGACAATTGTAAAAATGTGCACTACAAAACCATTGATCAATTTGTCAATGATTTTGACTTGTTGCATTCCAACACCGTCAATTATTTCACTTCATCATCAAAAGAAGCTAAGGAATCCAAACGCCTTTTTAATTTATCAAAGGACAAGGTACAACCCTTGAGATCAAAAACTTTCAAAGATGTATCATCCACCTCTGCCGCTCAACAACCAAAATCCAATAAGAGAGAAACTAGGGCCTCTTCTTCAGCTGCTGATATTGATTCATTTATGGAACCTGAAACCCCATCAAAACCTTCAGACAAGAAGAAGAAACCATCACAAACCTCACAACCAAAACCTTCAAAAAAGAAAAAGGCTCTTCCTCCAACCAATCCTTACAGCAAAGATATTGACCTTGGATGGGTTCCAATGATTCAACCATGTGCTTACTGGCAATTTCCAACATATACACCTGACCCTAATCCTGAAAATCGACCAAAATCCATTGAATCTAACCATGATGCTACTCAATCCTTTATTGACCCCTCCTCATTATCATCTTCCTACAGTAGAGACGATGAGTCAGTTTCTTCCAATGATGAAGAGACTCCAAGGAAAGACAAAAAGAAGGAAAAGGCACAAGCAAAAGCTGCTGTTGATGCTGTTCCAACCACCTTTAAGACGCCAAAAACCTCTAAAAAGGAAAAGGCTGTCACTATTGCCCAAACTCCAGTCATCACTACCCCTTCTTCATTTACTCCTGCTCTATTGTCACCCTCCATTGTTCAACCTCTATCTAACAAGACTGTCATTCCCAACATTGTTATTGAAAACAGACCGCTCCCTAAACATGCCTACCTTGTCAAGAAATTCAGACAACGTATTAATTTTAGAACCCCAACATACGACTGGAAAGCTTTACAAAACATGTCTCTGGGCGATTGCTTGAAATTGTTCTCTGACGAAGATCGAACTTTGGAAGAAATTGTTCAATGTTACAAAAAGCAACCAGATATTATTCCCACTCATAATTTATCCTATGGCATGAAAGACTTTAAGGATATCAATGAGGAAGATGACGATCTTATCCAACGTTTAATTACTATAGCCACTAAGAATTCTGACAAGCATCATGCGCAAAGCCACCGTGACTCTGACGAAATGGATTCAATTTCTCCAAAACCAGGAAGAAAGTCTTCGCTTCACAGAGTGAAAGATTATATCGATGAGGACGAAGAAGAAGAAGACATGGATGAAGACGAAGAAGATGAAGAATTATCAGACATGGAAGAGTTGTACGATGATGAAGGTAAAAAAGAAAAGCACGTTGATGAAATGGAAGATGACGAAGAGGACGAAGAAATATCTGAAAACGATGTGTTGGAACACGTACTTCAAGACTTTGAGACAGTGACAGTACCAAGCACAAGAAGATCCAATCCTGAGGAAATGTTTAAGAAGGTCAAACAAACTCTAATCGATGAAGGTGTAAATATTTTGGTCGAAGACGAGTAAACTCGAAGGCATTTTCTTCGCATTGTAAACAATAATTTTCGGATGACCAAGTTTTTTTAAAATTTTCGTTGAAAAAAAATACGCCAAAACCCATTACTCATTGACAATGACAAAGGGAAAAATCACTATCAAGACCAGAAAGTTCTTCACAAATAGACTCCTCAACAGAAAGCAATTTGTTGTTGATATTCTCCATCCAGGACAAGTTCAACTCTCATCTGCTCAATTGAAGGAAAAGCTTGCCGAAAAATACAAGGTTAACAATCCACAAACCATTGTTTTGGGTGGATTCAGAACAAAGTTCGGTGGTGGTAAGACTACTGGATTTGCTTCAATCTATGATTCCGTTCAAGATGTCAAACTCGTCGAACCAAAGCACAAGTTGGTCAAGAACAAGCTTGTTGAAGTCAAGAAGGAAGGAAGAAGATTGAAGAAGGAAAAGAAGAACAGAGCCAGCATTGTCCGTGGTAAGGAGAGAGCCAAGGTCAGAGGTGGTGCCAAGAAGAAAGAGTAAATTATCCCACAACATCCTCCATAAATTAAAACATAAATTTCTAAATGCGTTTGTTTATTTTCTGTGCCTCCGAGGACTTGTTTTTTGGAAGTGGCCAACAGTTGATATTGGTAAGTATTTCGAATTGGAGAAATCCCACATCAAAAACAACGATTGATTCTAATTGCATTATGCTTGACCAGTTGAGTTGTCTCTCCGATACGATCCCCACTTTTGAAACATGTAAATGAAGGAGACCTCAATTGTCATTTCCGAGAGAGGAAACTGTTCTGTAGAGAAGGAGTAACAAATCCAGCATGAAAGATGAAACTCAAAAAAACCTCAAACGGTGCCATTTCGTGTTTCAAAATTGGGGAAGACCCATATCCAAGCATGACTTGGACAATGCTCATTCTTTGTGTCAATTCAATATTGGTCACACTCTCGAGAACGCTTTCTCAAAAGTCATGCTGTGTTGAAGACAGTGGCCCATCGGCTCTTGTTCAACACTATAAATTGTCTCAGCACTCTCTGCATTTCTCAAAAAACAAGCAAAAAACAAAATGAGAAGTGTAAATACTCTTGTACAACTACTTGGTGTTGCCGTCTTATTGGTAGCATTGAGCGTCATGGCTGTCAGTGCTGATACTTACAAGCCTCCTCAACATTGTTACAAGAAATGTACTCATTACAAGTATCTCAAAGGCAAATGTGTGGATTATGAATGGAGAGGAACCAAGAAGGAATGTTGCCAATGGAAGACAGTTGGTAAAGGAAAGTGTGATTTGTATAAGAAGGTTTACAGTAAGTAGACAAGTTCTTTAAAATTTCAATTCGTTGACCTGAACTCTCCCTTTTTTCAATGTTTGCAACAACATCATCGTCGCAATGATCTCTCTCGTTATTACAACAAAAAAAAGAGTGCGACAAGTACAGCAAGCCAAGAAAAATCTGCCTCGGACACGGATACAAACAAGTCTGCAGCAAGACCACCAAGCACAAATTCTGTAAGAAGTTCCATTGGAAGAGAAGCTGCGACAAGTATGGAAAGAACCACAAGTGCGATCAATACGCTTATCATTTCTTGTGTACCAGATATGATACCTCCTCAAGATGTACTCTCTTTACCTACGTTCCAAAGATCAAATACTTTTATAAGACGAGATGTAATAGATATGCTGTTCGTCAATATTGTGCCAAATACAAGACCATCAGTAAGACCATTCAAAAGTGGAAGAAGGTTTCTGGAAATCACTACAAGGGATGGACCGATCATTACTATCATCAATCCTTGATCCCTAAGAAGCATCAAATTTGTGTCGTTTATGCCAAGAAGAAGTACTGCGTGGGTCATCAACGAGTTCGTTTCAGTAAGAAGGTTGCCTATCGTAGAAAATGTATTAAGGCTGTTACTCGTAAATACTGTGTGGCCAAAAAGAGAGTTAGATTCTGTACCAAGTGGACTCCAACTACTCATTGCAAGAAGAATGTCAAGTATAGAGTTTGTAAGGCCTATAAGAAGCAATACTTTTGCTGCAAGTACAAGGCTTATCCATTCTGTACTCAAAAGAAGAAACTCAAGCCAAGATGTATCAAGAAGTCCTTCAAGAGAGTCTGTGCTCACTACTCCAAGGGTCAAAAGGTCTGTTCCAAGTATCAATTTGTTGGTGGTAAGAAGTATTGTCGTAAGAGAGCTACTAGATCAGTCTGTAAGACCTACAAGAAAGTTTGTACCAACATTGATACGTACAAGAAGTAATGGAGCGGATAGGATCCCTCTCAAACAATCACAGCACAATATTGGATTTGTTCATGATCTACACTCGTAGTGCTGTTACCTTAATTGGAGTTTTTGTTTTTCATCATGACATTCTTCTTATTTTGTATATAAATGCCAACAAGAAATGTCTTTGTAATAAACTCCATCAATTTTGCACAAAACTAAGGTGATATAAAGAATACAAGCGAGGGAAAGATGAATAAGACATTTATCGCCCATCTTGGGTTTACACCGTTTTACATCGAAGAAATTAAGTAACAACGATCGGTATCCATGTTTCGAACAATATTTGACTGATATAGGTTCTCTTTTATTAATCTTGTGATGGTCCTTCGATTGGAGCGGTAGAATTAATAGAAATTTCAATGATCTTCATATTCTCCTCATCATGTAACAATTGTACGTAGTAATGAGGTCAAAGAATGCATGAGCAAATACAAAGCTGGCATCTTTACACCTCCATGACAACTTTAGAGGTGTGTTTTTCTGCATGATCTAAACATGTTTTTTTCCACTCGTTGGAGAGTTCTCTAATCTTTACATTCGATCGTTTCAATCTCTCATACAAATCCGTCAAGTTGTGCAATGACAACATCTCAATTTCATTAAATAAATTATTTGGAATATTGTCATACATTTGAATTTTAAACAAAAGTTCCTCTCTCATGAATGATAAATTGGGAAGATTTAGTTCGTGAGGACTGTTTTCCACAAGAAAATTTTGTACTTTATGAAGAGCAATATGCTTTCGTTTTGTGATGGATGTAGTCTTTTTGAATCTTTCCACTTGTTTGAAAATGAGTACACATTCAGGACAAAAGCTTCTTCGACTAAAATCGAGAAGTGTGTCAAAACTTTCCTTATTTCCTAAAATCATTTCCAACTCTGAATGATAGGATTGCTGTTGTTATTGTTGTTTCGCGTCACTAGCGATCGCATAGCATATGGGAAGAAAAATTGTCACAAACATATCAATAGCACTATAGAGCATTGTAATAAGTCCAGTCGGAATGATCGTGTCCACACAGAGAAACCAAAGATCGTGGTAGAAAGAGTGGCTAATGAAAATAAAACTGAGAGAACCAATTGAATGGGTATGAGAAGCTATACCTCTCGTTTGATATACCATGTATCCTTATCTGTTTTGAAAAGCACCACTCCGACACATACACAAGTTCAATGACCAAATAAAAAACACTAAACACTCCAGACACGCGTAGGACAAGTTGTGAGCATAACATCCTCGAAAACTCATGAGTGAATGATTGTGTGAGAACGTTCTGCTATTCGAGAAAAATTTGTTATCTTCTTCAACAGCCACACAAAACCAAAGAAATACATGAACTCCAAGCGACAAGTACCAGGGTTGAAATTGCATGACTTTCCATAAATGCATTTGCTTTGAACAATAATCTATGTCGTGTTTCTAATTGAAAGGAACCTTGACTCAAAGCATCCAACTGTGGTTCCAGAGGCGAGCTTTTCTCCATAGAATACCAATGATTTGCAGTAATAGTCGTAGTAGTGGCTGTAGTGGCTGTAGTGGTAGTAGTCGTAGTGGTAGTGGTAGAATAAAAAGATTGAAAGGAGAAACATTGTGCCTTGTATAAACTCACTTGATGCTGGATGAACAATCTCAAAAATCGCATCATGGTCGGTACCGTATACACCACTGGAACCAGGAAATAGAATATGGAGAACATCAAGCATGGATACGAGTCTCGTCCAATGAAAAAACGAGAGACCATTCCAAATTCAAAGAAAGCAGAGCATACGATCGTGAAGGTCATTCCTGAGGTGGTTCTGTAAATGATATGCCCACTCTTTCGTTTTCAGATCAATCCAATGATACACGCAGAAAACATGATCAAATAGCATGAGATGAAAATGGCAGCTGAGATTGGCACAAAGATGGTATCTGGACAATTTTCCTTGTAGTCCCAATCGGAAGTGATTGGATGTACCAAAGGGAGTGATGAAAGTCATTGCGGGCACAAGGTTGAGTTATAATTTAAAGTATGATTCATTCAACTCTTTGAACTCGTAATTTTTGAAGACAGTAACAATCATTAATTTCTCGGACAGTCATTGATCTCTTTCTCCTTCCTCAATATGACGATCAAAATATGAAGAGTGCATCTCGGCATCTCGGGTGTACTTTTGGAGTTTAAGAAAGAGATGAAACAGCTAGACGCTTCATGTGTTTTGGCAACTATTGTCAAATCACCCTACCGTACTGCTATTCAACTGTCGAACGGGCCCATCGCATCTTCTCCACTTTTATTTACTTTTTCATGTACAAGAACAATCCAGACGTGAAGAATCCACATTGGTCCAGTATGTCAATTGGCTTTTCACCTTGTAAATTCTTAACGTTCATGTCTGCTCCATGGGAATACATGAGGTGTGTCACACAATGAATGGCTCGTTGAGTGTCTGACGTCATGGTATTCGAGTTTTCTTCTATTAGGGAGGCCAATTTACGAGCTGCTTTGTGAACCGGTGTTTCCAATTGCTGATCTTTAGCGTTGATATATTGTTTGAATTGTTCTACATTTGGAAGCATATCTTTTAACAGAGTGGTTAATAATTCCAAAACTTCAAAATGCCCTCCCTCACATGCGAAATGGAGAGAGTTGTACTTGGTTTTGGAGTCTCGTTTTTCTAGAAGGAATTGGAGATGAGCTTTGTCAAACATTAAGGCAAAGGCAGAAATAAATTCCTTATTTCCGTTGAGACAAGCCAAATGGAACAAACTGGTTCCGTCTGAAGCTTGGTCACTTTCACTCTTTAACCATTTCTTGGAACTGCCTCCAGATAAAGTATACACTTCTTCGTTCAAAAGTAAGGTATACATTAACGTTCGTTGTAATCTGTTAACCTCCTCTTGAGTGAATAGAGTGTCATAGTTTCCATGCTGCCTCTCTGGATGCAGTCTTGAATTGGGAAACTTTCCATTCATTGGCTTGAGTGGCACACTTAGTTTTTCTGATTTCTGAGTTGTGATCGATTCTCCAATCTTGAAGGGTTTCACCGACAAATCAGCATAATTATAACCTGACATGGTGGACTTCTTTGTGGAATTGCTACTGTCGACCATTCCTTCCACATGACAATCCTCTCTATAGAAAAACACTGCGCTCGCTAGTGGTCGTCTACCATTTTCATCTTTCAAATGAATCTTTGCACCATGGCTCAGTAACCATTTGATTCCCTTCACGTCAGCATTCTTGGCAGCCACATGCAGACATGTCTCAGAGTTAGATTTCCTAGAATTGATAATATCATTTCCAAAAAGTTGAATGAGCGTTTCCATCACTTGCCACTTCTTCAATCGAAAGGCAACGTGAAAGAATGTATTTCCATAACAATCTTTTGCTGATTGTTCCAGTTTAGAGCGTACGTAGGAAGTATTTACAAAAAGTTTGATACAATCAAGAGATTCATTGGCAACGGCTAAATGCATGGGAGTTGCTCCATTTCGCCCATCTCGAACGTTAACATCGAGCATTGTGTCTGAACTCGATGATGTAAATAAGGACAAGAGGATAATTACTACATTGACATGATTACCAGACATGGCCCAATGGAGAGCACTTCTCTTTGAACTTTTATCCAACTCATTGATATTATAATTCTTCTTGAACTCTGATTCGGATACCTTGGAACGAGCCTCCTCTCGTTCATCGATCAACTCATGGAGAAGAAATTCATCACCCATTTTACAAGCCTCACACATTTCTTGTACCCAACTTGTGGTCAACGATGATGAGGAAGGCGAGGATGGAGAGGAGCATGAGAGGTTCGTTGGAGAAAAGGAAGGAGAACTACCAGAGTAATAGGTACCATCATCACTGCCGACGCTGCAGTCATCATCGTCCTTAGTCGTTGTGATACTTTTCTTACGACGTGGTTCCAAATGTACATGGAGTAAATTGGTGTTGATCTCATTGGAGGAGGGGTGAAGACCCGATGAGTTACTCGTTCTTGACGATAGCATTTGCATTGCTTCCACTCTGAGCATTCAAATTTGGAAATAATAAAGGTGTTTCAAACTAAAAACTTGCGTTGTATGATCTCTGCAGAGCGCAACACAATATTACACTCAGACAAGATGCGAAAGGAGATGGTGTGTGTGTGTATATATCTCGTCAAACGACAACACTAGCCTTGCTGACGACTCGGTATCGAGTTCTAATGTTTTTTTGCTTTTGATAAATTGCTCCTTCAGGTCGTTCTGAAACGGCTAGAATGTTGTTGTGCATATTTCCCTCATCATGCATTTGTTCAAATCGCTCCAAAAAAATACATCATCATTGGAATGTGGGAATCACACCGCAAAAGTACATGTTTGGAATTACCGAATCGAGTTTGGAAATACAAGTCTGGTCTCTCGAACGTGTGATGGTGGAACATACGTATCACACACGAAACGTTACAGGGTACTTTCTCCATCTCTATTTACAAACGACGAGTCATTCAGGTACGAACTGTTGACAAAATACTTGACCTATTTGTAAGTGTGGATCTTCACCGGTCCTTCAACAAGAAATTATTTGCAATGTTTGGTCTCTGGTAATAGTTGAGAACTATACCGGTTCTTTGTAAAAAACCTTTACAAACTTATTAATTCAGAAATCTAACAAACTTGGAGCTCGAAGTCGTCCTTTTCATCGTGTTCCAGTTGTTGTTCCAGAATAGAGTCAATGTTCGAAGAGCCATGCCACGGTGTTGTAACAACCACTTCAAGACTACCAATGTAAAAGTCATACATTTCAACGAGTACATTGTTCTTCTTACTTTGTTTGGCATGATCCATCATGCATGAAACTAGTGATATCACATGAAAATTAGATTTGGAATTGAATTCATGATCTGAAAGACCTAGCCATGTTTTGACTTTCTCAATAGTTGCTGGAAAAAGTTTCCAATGAGCAGATGCTTCTTCCTTGTCCTCGTCCTCCGATGGATAATTCGAGTAACCAATTGGTAATGGATTCGACATTGTATCGTCATGATCGACCATGTAAATGGAAACATGTTTATAAGTCGAGTCTGCATAATTGGGAGCCAATTTCCCATTGTAATAGAGAGAAAAGCTTCCTGTGGTGTTTTTCTTTGAAAACGTGCAAGAAATACGGTCTGTTGAGAAATTCGAATATTCGTTCATGATAAAATCTTGAACACCAAGTTCTGAAGCTCGAATAATTCGATCCATCACTTGTTGTTTGAATGCAAGTTCTTGTGGCTGTTCATCATCCTCGTTACGGCCATCCCTGTCGTCACAATTCACACAACACATACGCAAAACTCTTTTGTGTAGAGCAAGTAATAAATGTAATGGAAGAGAGTTTTGATTGATCTTGTTTTCCATTGGGAACATGGAATGTTGCTTAAAGAATTTTTCTAACAATTCATTGGCCTTGCATGGTTCATCTTCCAAATAGTTACAGTGCCAGCTACAAACCATTTCATCCATTTCACATGGATCTTCATCTTCCGAGATGGATCGAGCCTTGTCTTCATCCAGTAGCCATGAAAACTGAGCATGTTTTGGATTGGAAGCTCCACATGCTGTGACCATCAAATCAAAAAGTTCCTTAAAGTTATTATTCAAAGAAGTTCCAATTTCACATTCTTCCATGACTCGATGAATGTTTTTCCAATCACAAATAATTCCATTTAGTTCATCTTCGCTCGTGTTAAACGCCCTTCGCACCAACATTTCACCATTTTCCAAATCCAAACGAAATACATGAGTGTTTTCATACGTTCTACCACCCATCATCTCAAATCCCGATAGAGAAATTTGGAAATAGTCATTTGCTGTGTTTTTCTTTTTCAATTTGAAATCAGCACTGACATAAAATACAGAATGTCCACGAGCAACGTGAAAATTCACAAGCTCAATGTGACCTTGTTTGAAAAATCTTCGCTGTTCCTCAGTCAAGCTCTCGAGGTCACTCTCAAAATCATACTCGGCATAGGACCAAGCATCGTCAGCATTTCCAAAGACAAGACCCATCTTTTTGTTGATTGGCAAGTGACAGATTTCAAAATTTCTCATGGCTCCTTCCAGCCGATACAAGAAGTTGCTTGCAAATTGTGCATCCTGATCTTGAAAATATTGTTTAGCAAATTTCAAAAACGAGACGCAATGTAAGAGTTGATCATCATGGAAGGTCATGTGAAAAACATGTTGGTTGATGATGCAAAAATTAAATTGCGTCATCGGGTCATTCTCGAGAAAGGAAAGAATATGGTGAGTAATGAGAGGATCTAACCATGACAAGTACATGCCGTGTTGGTTGAATGTAGAATGATCATCCTCTGTTCCTTTAATTTTCTTTGTGGAAGAGTTATTTGAATGTTCGTCTTCGTCTTGTTGTTGCTGTTTGGTTCTTTTCAACATTTTTTTTTCACAATTGTCGTTGTTGTTCAGGCACTCCAACCAATGGAAATGTTTGTAAGATCTGGGTTAGATCTGGATCTTATTGGAAAGGCACTCATTCCTTGTATATCATTGATGACATGCGAAAAACAATCTGGTTGTGACTACAAAAATCTTCCAGGATCTTGAATCGGTTGTTTTTCGCGCCCTTTTCAAAGTTCCCGCTTCTCAAAAAACTATCTGTTAACAACAAATTTCAAAAAAAAATGTCCTTCCCTTCACACAACACGCATCCTTCTGCTGCAGCCCAAAGCAACATCTCGATTGATTTCAACGATCCTCCAATCGGACTCGAACAATCATGGCTTGAAGACTCTAAAGAATGCTTTGAAGCACATACACTTCTCAAATCCCTCATCATTGATCAAATTAATCAAATTCCAGTGGCCAACTTTAATCTGGTTCTTCAACAATGCAGAAATCGAGCAAGTCAACGAGTGAGCATGCATGCCAACCGTGAGATTGAAATACTCAAGCAAGACATTGAGAAACTCGTTCAGGAAAATCAACGCATCAACAAAATGTTACTCCACGAAATGAAACTTCGCCAGCAATACTACAATGAATTGCAATTATTGAAAGGAGCCATCAGAATATTTGTTCGGGTGAGACCATTATTGCAACACGAGGTTCAACAAGGAGATTTTTCAGTGGTACGCTTCTCAAAGAATTCTCAACAATTACTCTTCTTTCCCAAAGTACCAAGTCAAGAGATGGCACCTCCAGAATCTGAAAAGATTACCAAACAAAACTATAGACAATTCCAATTCGATCGAATTATTGGTCCAAATATTCATCAAAGACAGTAAGTAGTGCTTGTATTTGTATGGATTTTAAAACCATGTGACACACACGCATCCTCCATGCTGCATATCATCAGACTTTACGATGAAGAAATTTCACCATTGACAAAATCTGTTTTGGATGGCTACAATGTATCAATTTTTGCATATGGACAAACTGGTACAGGAAAGACAGTAAGTTATTGCAATTTCATGACGTGTATCTCATAATTTACAATGATGATGCATTCCTATTATTATTGAACATATCATTTTGAACACATTCAGTTCACCATGCAAGGAAGTGGTGAAGAAATCGGAATTCAACAATACATTCTTCAAGACTTGTACCATCAAAAGCAAAAAGACCAATCCCTATGTGAAATGTCCATTGCTTTGAGCTGTCTTGAGATTTACAATGAAACTTGTATTGATTTGTTACGGTCCAGCGACAACAAATTGGATCTCAAAATGGATCCTCAAACCAAGAAGATTATTGCTCAAGGTCTTCGTGAAGTAGTTTGCAATGATGTGCAAGAAGCCATTCAATGCCTCGTATTCGCACAAAAGAACCGAGCAGTAGCATCCACTCTTCAAAATCATCGAAGTTCTCGATCTCATCTCATTGTTCAAATTGGAATTACAAAAACATTTTATCAAAGCGAAACGACTCTCATGCAGGAAGATGAGGATGACTCGAATCAACCCATTAATGGCATGACGAACAATAACAACACAATTACTTCCACCATGTATTTGATTGATTTGGCCGGTAGTGAGAAGATCAATACCAGTTCAGCCTCAAATCCCATAACCGATAGTGAAACGAAACATATTAACAAATCCTTGTCGGCTTTGGGTAATGTGATGGAGAGTCTCCGTAATCGGAGTGCCAAACCCAATATGAATGGACAAGCTCAACATGTACCCTACAGAGATACCAAGCTTACCTATTTCATGTCGAATGTATTCAGGGATAAGCATGCCATTGTGTGTATGATTCCTCATATTGCTCCGAGCCAGATGTGTTTCAATGAGTCATTAAGGACGCTTCAATTTGCAGAGAGAATGAGCGGAATTGCATTGACCGTGAATCAGTAAATGGAATTTATTTCTACAAGTAGGATGGTTGCTATCTTTCTGTTGGTTGTAACAGTGGAAGAGGAACTAGCACTACAGAGGTACATGAAAGTCTCTCAATGTTTTTGGTTCCTTTTTGTATTTGCAGTTTTTGGTTCCACGAACAAAACACGCAAGGCTTTTTATTTCGGATTTAAAAAAAATTAATGTACATTTAAAATCTTTCGGGCGATTCATCATTTGTGGTTGCAATTCTATTCTATCAGTAGTATTATAACAATAATCAAACAATAGTTTTTTGTCTAGTATTTCCAAGTTTCTACATGTTCCGAAGGCATTCTTTCTATTTGGAATTATTCACCACTATTATTTCGTAATTTAAATTTCCTCCCCAATTATTCAATCACTGCTCGTTTCTCTCTAGATTAGTAATTACTAAATCATGCTGCAAAAACTATGGAACAGCGATGGACCTCACCATCATGATGCTTCTTCATCTCCGCCTCGCACATCATCTCCCTCTTTTCATCTTCCCCATATTCAAGTTCTCAGCCTTCCCGAAGAGCTTCAAATTTACATTATTCAATTTTGTACTCCTTTGGAACGTTTCAAAGTAATTTGCAGAATATCTAGACACTTTTACCATTTGATTTTCTCCCACAGAGGATGGAGCTGCATTGTAAATACGTCCCCACAACAACATTCATCTATTGGTTTTGCACCTCACATCAAGCATGTTTCCAGTTGCATCTTTGATTGTGCCTGGTTTTTAAAGAAGAAAAAACTTCGGACACTTGCTGTTGGAGGGATTGATATTTCCAACAATACCAGTGGAGTAACAGCCTCTACTTCATTAGGAAGAAAGAGGAAGGCCATTCTACAGGCTCGTCTTCCATCGAATCACATACCCTCTGTGGATTCAACAACGACATCAGCAGCTCATGAAGATGTAACGATTGAAAATTTATTTAGCAAATGTAATTTTGAGCATATTGAAGTGAATTGTTCGACCATGTCCAGTACACGTCTCCTATTAAGATATGCAAGAACATATTGTAACTTTTTAAAAACATTGATATTTGGCTACAGCTATCAATTAGACATTCGTGACCTTATTGAGCAGATTCTAATACCCTTCTCCTTTCAACTGGAAACTCTCAAATTTAATTTTCAGTATGACTCTACCATTGTGTATGATTGTGCCAATCTCGGTCCAACATCTATTAGCCCGGAATCTACACATACTCAACCTCCTCAATTACTCTTTTCACCTAAGGGTATTCCTTTCTTTGCTCCTGTGGCCACCAGTGGCACTGCCAACCTTAGTATTACTAGAGATAGTAACAGTGTTGGTAGCTCATCATCTACAACTGTTTTCAACCCTTCATTAATGTCGATCACTGGAGTACATATTTTCAAGCCTGATTTTGAATTAGTTAAACTCAAAATCTTTGATCTCTACATTGGCAATACAGCCCCAATTGCCAAACAGTTTTTCCTTAAAATATGTCAATCAGCACCAAATCTCAGAGTTTGCAAACTAAGAGGTGATATACAGAAAGAAATGCTTCTTTCTCTTTCCAAGTATTGTAAATATTTGGAAGTTTTGATACTCTATGACACTGGAAAACAACGACTTACAGACGACTCGATCAGCGAAATGCTAAAAATTGGTGGAGCCTTTAACAGCAGTTTGAGAGTATTGTCAATGCTTTGTCCTTCTCTCACACTTCGCTCCGTGGCGTTAATTACCAAATTCTGCAAAAACCTACAGTATTTTGCTATTAGAAGTGTCACTATTAGCAACAGCGCTCATTCGGATTTTATCACTTTTCATAACTTGGATCAACTTAAAGTATTGAAAATTAAGGATGAAATTACAATACCTGGGCTAGTCATTGAACGACTTGTGAGATGCTTACCACCAGATATTGAACATGTAAAATTGCCATCTCCCAAAGAAGAAGAGCATTCTCCATTCTCATTATCAAGTAGCGATATTTCATTCAAAAAACTGAAAGCGCTTCATTTAGCCAGAATTTCTTCAGAAACCGTGCCTCGATTCTTCCTTGAGGGATGTGCAGAAAATTTACGGGAATTGAAGTTGTCTGTGGTGGATGACATCCATTGCAACATTATTGAATTGATGAAACAATTTGTACCACAACTTTCCAAGCTGTCCTCTCTCACTCTCGACCTTGGAGAATTTGATGCAACTCTCTTTACAGTTCTGTCTCATCTTTCCAATCTAAAGAGACTTACCATCAAGACCAGAGGGAATATTGACAAGTATGATGCTGAGCTAGGATGGAAGTTGAAAAGATTTCCTCATCTCACTGACATGATTGTGCACAGCAGCGTTGTTTCACAATTCTTTACTGATAATTATATAATAAGTCTTAATAACCTCATAATGATGTGGTTAGCATGTCCTGTGCAATGTAAAATGCACATTGATCATGAAGAATTGTCTGAAGAAGATCTACTTAATATTTCGGCAGAGAACGTGACTTATTGTTGTGATCAATACATTAATGACCATTTGGAAAACTTGAGCGTAGATGAAAAGAATGCAATGAAAAAGGAAATTATGCTTCGACTTGTGAATGATGTCCACCATGATTACAAGCTTGTGGGTCCAAAACCGAGTATTCTTTTGCAAAAGCATTTTATGGGAGCGTGTAGTAGCGTGATTTATTGAACATTGCAGTGTGTGCATTAATTGGATCCATAAAAGCGCAAATGAAAACATTTGTTTTTCAGACCTCAACAGGTTTGCAAATTTAAGTGCAACACGAAATCTAAATTTGCTGCTGTCAAACCAACGGAAAAGAAGAAACGCATGTAATTCCAAACAACCCTTGAATATTACTTATATGAACACAGGCATTTATTCATTTTATCGTCTATCCTCATTTCTTCGTGGATCATTCGGCCTGATGACAACAGTAGATCCACCATTTCGCAATTCTACATCATCATCTTCGTCTTCCAAACGAACATGAGACTCAGTGGCAGCTGGTGGTTGAGGTCGACTCGTCTGAGTAATGTCACCAATTCTCAGTCCGTCCCTTAATCTTCTTCCAATATTGTCAGTCCATGATGAAGAATTATCTTCACCGTTACCGGTCGTCTTCCTCCACTTGGTGCAGAGGTTGATCTGCTCGACGACGAAGAAGAAGTAGTGCCACCACTACCACCATATTTAAATCTTCTCACCAATAAAATAATTCCTCCAATGACAATAATGGTCACAGCACTCAAAACTCCAAACAAAATCAAAATCGTTAATACTGAAACAGGAGGTGAATAAGCTGCAGGAGGATGACACAAACCAATAGGTTCAATATCATCCGAGTGGGTAATTACGAGTGAATAATTTTGATTTCGAATAAGCTTGGTGGCATCAATGGTCACTGCAACAATCATATCCTTATCAATACTACTGATCATGACCTTTTCCACATTATTTTCGTGATCATTTTGAACATTTCCATTACCTGGATATCTTGTCGAAGAGGTACTATTTTCAGCATAGACATAGGCATTCAAATCTAAATCTTGAATCAATTCAACATTGGGTGCTGTCGAAGGTAAATCGTACCATGCAAGAGTGGCTGAGAAGAAACTCTCGCCACCTTGTGAAGGACTCTTTCCAGTCACTCTCTTGAAACAATACGTGTCTCTGGCATGATTGGAAATCGTTTTTCGATCTCGTGTGAATAAAGAGAATGAAGATCCCTCAAATGCAAGAGCAGAACCAAGAGACACAAGTCCAAAACCAGTATACGAATTGGGTGTTTCTAATTTTCTCAAATCAAACATGCTTCCTCGTCCATCCAATGAAACAAGTCCTTTGAGTGGTTGAGCCGAGTGAATAAGAATACCTTTCACAAGAGCTCCCGATGGATTCACATGCAGTGTTCTCGTTTTTAAATATTCTCTCACAAGAGCTGCAGTTCCAGCCAATAATGGAGTGGACATACTCGTTCCTCTCAATGTCAAAATGGCTGCATTATTGAAAGGAGTTGGTCTGCCGGCTGAGCATTGGAACGAGGTCACACTTCCATCCGAGTGCATGGATTCAATTTCATAACCTGGCGCAACCACGTCTGGTTTAATTCGGTTTCCAACTGCTGGTCCTCTTCCACTGAAATATGCAAGATTTTCCTTTGTGAAATACTTTTTGCTGTCCGAATAGGTCTTTTTCATGTAAGAACTGCAGCAAAGTGACTTCACAAGGTTGGTCTGGTCGTCAGAAGTTCCCTTAAAATTACAGCATTCTTCTTCGGTAGATACTTTGATGGCTGAAAAAACACTTGTGAAATCGACATGATCGACTGCTTCCACAAAACCTTCATTGGTGGTTTGAGAAGCTCCTACGGACAAGACGTTCTTTGAAGTGGTTGGAGAACCAATATTTCCACTGTCGGCGGTATATCCTTCGTTACCAGCAGCAAAGAGTGGTAAAAAGTCATCATTGTCCCATGTGAACTTGTCAATATCTTGACTTCTAGTGTCATAATTGTTACAAATCTGACAACATGATTTTCCAAAGTTTGTCACACAAAAATCATTGGAGACAGTTTCACCAGTCTTTCCATACTCACTGTCAATGGCCCATTTACAATTGCAATTGTATTTACAATTGAAAATGCTTGAAAAAGAGCATCCCCATGAGTTACTGTGAATTCTGACACCTGCTCGTTGATATGGAATTTTGAATAAATTATTGTACAAATCTGGAGGAATTAAGAGCTGATTTCCACCTGTTTTCATAATATCCGTAAAGAATAATTTAGCTCCTGGAGCAGCACCATTATATTTGAGCATGTCTTGTGCATTATTGTGAGTGGACATGATGCTTCCTGCAATGGAACCTGAGACATGAGTACCGTGGCCATCACCAGAATCCTTGTTATCCGAGCTGTGAATATTTCCATATTGATCACGAAGAGCTACTGTTTGATAGGAAACAATTTTACGATGTGTCATATTCACAGTATTGAGTGGTACTTCTGTTTCAGCATCGTAAAAGAAGCACTGATCCCAATCAATGCCAGTATCGGCACAACCAACTACTTCACCCTTACCAGTTATTCCATTACTCCAAATGAAGAAATTAGAATTGTTTTTGGGAGGCAAGGGAAGGTTTGAATTGATTCCTTGCAATACTGTGTTTGGATGATAATTCATGAGTTCCATTGGTAATTGTCTTTCGACTGAGAAGATCCCTTCATGGTTTAAAAGGATTTGCATGGCCTCAGATGCAATTTCTGGAGAAAATGCAAAACTTAATTTATCCTTACTTTCCTTCATGACTGGATAAAAGAGAGGAGAATCTGAGTGGCTATTTGTGAGCTTTTCAGAGAAGTGTTTCTTCAGTGCTTGATTCAATTCTTCCACCAATTGATCAGTTTCTTGTTCTGTACTTCCTTGATAGGTGGCATCCAACGAATGAATGATAGTAGCATAAATGGAAACATATTTCAACATGGAGGATGAGATGGCTCGTTGTTGTCGATTCGAGTTGGCATTGACAGATTCAAACCGAGAGAATTTTTCAAGTTGGGCCTCAAGAGTTTGTTGAGGTGGTGTTGTGGTTGATTGAGTTGATTCCAAGTGTTGTTGTGAGAGAACGCCTTGTGTACGCTGTTGTTCCCATAATTTTTGAATGGCTCCAAAATTGAGAGCGGTTTTGTGTGAAGAAGAATCTACTCTTCCAACCCATTCAATTTCAATACCTTCCAAATTTTTGTTAGAAACTAGTTCTGCCATTTGAGATGGCTTGGCTCTCATAATGATGACAACGCTAGTATCTGTACGAGCTGGAGTTGAGCTTGTTGACGAGAATAGAGATGCAATGGATCCAATAATACCACTTGATGAAATTGTTTCAGAAATGGGTTGTGACGAAACTGTTCCAATAATAAAGTGTTCCAATAATTTTGAAACTCTGTGAAATCCCCCATTGTTATTGCCAGTTGATGGAGCGTTGGTTCGGGCCGATGAGGAAGCAGAGGTTGTATCAAGGAGTGCTGGTTGTAAAGTATTGAAGAGGGCATGTTGCAAATTTGTTAAAGGTGCTACAGAGGATGATTGAGCAGTGTCAACTGATCTAAATTTTACATAATATTGAACTGCATTCTCTATCTGTGTTGGTGTTGTCGCATGATTATTGAGATTTCTTTTCACATGAACATGGTGTTTGTTTCTCAATTCTGAAATCATATTGTTGTGCTCATTCATTTCAAGTCGAGAATTATGAATGTTTAAATACTTCTTTTGTGTTGTTGCGTGCTTGTTATCGGAGAAGGTGGCAGAGGACAACCAACTCAATGGCATTTTGAAAGAATGGCTAGAATTCTGTGGGATCATTCCATAATTAGAATTATACAATACATATGAAAAAATCATCGAGACGAGTAATAGCGCAAACATTCCCAACACAAAACTCTTGGAAGTCCATCGTTGGTTGTTCGGTTTTCTCTGCATGGATACACCCTCCGATAGGTTCATCGGAATGGCATCATCATTCAATGATGGCGGCATTGTGGAGTGTTTTTAATAAGTTATTATGAAAAGAGAGATGAAGTGATTTAAATTTTTCGAAAGGATAATGATGGTGGATGATGGTGAAATTGATACACGTCCCCAATCCAACGTTAATGAGTATCTTGGTGTGAGCGTGTATTTTTTTTTAAATAGAATTCAAGTTGAAGTTATCTCCCATGTTTTGAAAGGTTGATGGTGTTCGTTTCTTGATGATTTTGGTGGTGATCAGAAACAAATAGTTTTTCAAAGAATCCGAAGACTGGATTTCAGCCATCGACAAAGAAGTTCTTGATACTTTCCGCCATTGATCGCTGTAACCTTTGTTATTAAAAAAAATGAGTTCATTAACGAAACAATTTTCATCGACCTTTGATCCTAATAATGATGATCACCCTATCGTAAAAATTACGTTACACGATTTATGTCCTATCGGAAGCTTTAATGATCTAGCTGGATATTCCAATGTAATTCCCGAGTTTTACAACAAGATGAGAAATGTAAAACGAAAAATTGCCTTCTCCTTGAATTTTGATCATGTTGCATCCATTTCCGTTCCAGACGTGATTGAAGTACGAATATCCCATAACTGTAATTGTATTGTAACTTTAAGCACTGATTCGGGTTACAAATTTTATTGCCTTGATTTGAACACTCACAAACAAGTGGCCATCTTTGGTGCAATTGGAAAGCCTTCTTATTTTCATGTCGAAGAAAACTATGATGGCAATCATAATGATGCTTTGATTTATGGAACCTCTGACGGTGTTTTAAAATTTGATTTAAAACAGTTAATACGAAATAATGAAAGCAATACTAATTATATTTGGAAACAATCAGGATTAACTAGTTCTCGTGGAATTGTCAGCTCTCATGCTTGTAATGAAGCAAACATCATCTATGTATGTAATACAGAAACTAACAACGTTGTTGCCCTCAGCTCGAAAACAGGAGAAATATTGTACACCTTGGACGACGACGAATCCAACGCTGAATTGGAAAATATGCATTCTATTGAAATTACTGACACCAATAACACATTATTTGTTTCTCAATATAGAAAAGGTATTCTCAAACTGTACCGATCGTCATTAGTACCATGTATATGGAAAAAAGGGTTACTATATGGAGGAGATGACATAAAAACTCCTGATGGATTAGTATTTGACACTGTTTCACGTCACCTTCTTGTTTGTGATTATGGAAAGAATGGTATTGTTGTCTTGACAGAAAATGGTCAGGTTGTCAAGCTTTTTTCTGAAGAAGAAAAAGAAGAAGAAGCGGGAAAAACAAAGTTTGATCCTACGGGACTATGTCTGGATGCACAGACAGGATTTCTCTATGTGGCCGATTCGTCAAATAATAGGATTCGAATTTTCAAATAGCCAAAATAATTACACCAACAACGAGGTGAAGGTTTGAATGCATTTTGTGAATAATCATTAATATTCCAACAATGAAGAAACAATACTTATTCTTTTTAGAGTATTCTAATTTTGAAAATAGTGTGTGCTTAACTCAAGCTTACTAAACTGAAAACAGTGTTGATGCCGTATCTGGAAAGATTCATCAATGACTCAATGGTGGCAAGTAGGAAGACAGTTTTTTGCAGCCAAATGTTCGAATACTTGTCTTTTGGAAATACTTGCTCTGTTTCAATGCCACTTCACCGCTATCTGTAAAATCATTGCAAGACAACTCTAACTCGGTGAGATTAGACATGTAACTACTTGAGGCAATGCTGTACGCTCCATCATCACCCACCTTATTTAAACCTAGATCTAATTTGATGAGATTTTTCAGATGTTCACTTGATGCGATACTTGTCACTCCTGCATCTCCTAACATGTTGGAATGAAGATTCAATTCTTTCAATTGTGTCAAGTAGTGACTTGAACTTAGCTTGGAAGCAAATTCTGTTCCAAGAGAATTATTTCTCATGGAAAGAATGGTCAGATTTCTCATGTTTGAACTTGTGACGATGGAAATTGCTCCTTTTTCTTGAATTTTAGTTTCGTCCAAACTTAGATATGTTAAATTTGACATGTTCTCAGCAATTGTCATGGCACCAGATTTTCCAAGAGAGTTCTTGGAGAAATTTAAACTTGTCACTTTTGTCTGAATATATTCACTTCCTACCAATGCCAAAGCTCCTACTTGTCCTATTGAATTGGATTCCAAATCCAGAACTCTTAAATTACGCATTTGAGGACTTTTACCGATTGAAATAGCTCCAACGTTTTCAACATAACAACATGATAAACGTAATTCTGTGAAATTTCCTTTCGAAAGGAGTTCTACGGATTCCTGTCCAATTATTGATTTACCAATGTCAAGTACTTGCAATTGACTCATAAATGAACTCGTGCAAAGAGCTCGTACTCCCTGGTGGCTGATATAATTTCCGTACAAGCACAATTCTCTGAGGTTGGACATGTTGGCACTTCGAGCCAATGCTTTCACACCCATGTCCGTGATGCTACACCTCGTTGCACTCAAGACTTGCAAGTTATGTAATTTAGGGGATTTTGCAATTACTAAAAAAGCTCCATCTCCCAAGCTTTCATTATTATCTAAATTCAATTTTGTCAAATGTGACGAATAGTCAGAATTTGCAATTTTTTCAATCATGTTTGTTTTTTTAATTGAGTTACTTGACAGATCCAATGACGTAATATTCCATTGTTTACATTTGGACATTAATTTCAATCTATTTTCCAATTCATTACAATGTTGATAACTTAAAGATATTGGAATTGTTGTCGCATTGAAATTCCATTGTTTGCAAACCAAAAAACACGTCTTGATATTATTAAATTCCATAAAGGACATGATATACAAGCAGACGTCATCTGAAAAACAACTCGGAGTGTACGACGACCATTGACGTTGGTTGTCGGATTCTGGAACTAACGATCGTTGACCCATTTTTTTGTAAAGAAAAAATTGTCATGCCTAACAAGCTACTGAAACAATGTCGAAGGTAACAAAGATTTATCACTAAACAATTAGGAACAACCTTAGAATATCCATGGATTTCATTCGTTCTCAGGACTGTATCTCTATTTGGGGTAGAGCTGATTGAGTGTCGAAGCCGTATAACTTGGATTGATGAACGTGTAGTAGCTTAAACCGCAGGAATCATCTGTACAATAAGTAATGGTTCCTCCGTTCAAAGTTGGTACAATTTCCAATTGGGATTTCATATAATAGTTATTCTTCTCAATTTCGAAGGCACAATCTTGAGATTCTGTTCCTTTCGTTTTACATACATAATTATTGGTCTTTACCCAAGTGTCATTGTGTTTGGAAATGACCAAATTGATTGTAATATTCGAAGCAAGAGATTGTTTTAGAAACGAGCTAGAGTCTTGTGAAAAATACAAATCCATTTGGGACGCTTGGGTGATCCAGGTCTTTTCTGTTCTCATCCAGAATGCAATTTCCTTCGAGTTGGAATTTTTCGAATTTTCCATGACAAATATCGACATTAAACCCCAAGGAACTCCCAATCCATTGATAATTCCCAACAATGTTTTTCTTCCTTGCTTATCTATGCTCTTGTACTGTTCATATTGGCTTTGAGTTAAATTTTTCAAATCTCTTATTGAGGTGAACTCAATGCCAGGTGGAAACACATCAAGGAATGTGAGTGACTTGACAAGCTCTGGATGTTTGTGTGCAAATTTGTAGATCAAATGTCCTCCGCCACCCCAACCGACCAACACGAATGGCATGTTCTCTCCAATACTTGTTAAAAAGTTATAGTAAAACGTAGCTTCATCTGTTTGGCCCTTGTACAAGTAGTCAGAATATCCGAGACCAGGTTTGTCATAAATACAAGAACGACGACCGAGAGATGTCAAATGTTGTTGAATGTCCCAATAATCGGCATACCCATGAGAAAAGTCTCCTTCCAACAAGAAGGTAAATGAATTATTCTCTTTGGGACCGGCACACAGGTAATGAATGTTTTGAAATCTTCCAGAACCATCATTCAATTCAACCTTTACGAGTTTTCCCTTCATTGGATAATTGACAATATACGCAGCATTGATTGCTCCAACCATTAACAGAATCATAAACAATAAAAGGAGTACTCTCAACATGACATGCATGACAATACATGTTACATGCAAACATGCAACGACTTTGGAAGCAGCAGGACTCGATTTCTCTCGAATCTTTCCATAACATGCAGATTCTGAAGGAAGTATTTGTCGTTGTGGTTTGAGAGTACCCACACCAGCAAAGTATCTCAATACAACGATCACAATATTCAAACCACACATGAGCATGATTAAAATGGTCCAAATAATACAATCGGAACGAACACCGTTGATCGCATAGCCTAGAAAGAGAATGATGGAACCAATAAACACTAGGGTAAAGTATAGGAGGTTCATGAAAAACGTTAGAATTTTCATCCTATCGTCGGCTGGCTTCAACTCATGATAGATACCCTGTACGGAGAAGAAGAACAACAACACACACAACCATAAACCAACATATTGATTCATGATATACACAGGTCCGAAGGTGGTCGTTTCAGAACCATAAATAATCATTCCTAGTAAACCAGTGAGGGCATTCAAAACACTCCAAACGAGCAGGGGCCAATGAGCCATTCCAATGTAAACACTGGTGTTACTTGAGGGTTTGGAGTCCATGGTGTCTCTTTTTTTTGAAGCAAGTTGTAGTTGAATAGTATACCAACGATTGGGCATTTATTCCAAAAATTGTTTGTGATGGTCCGAAAAGGAAAAGGAGTATTGCTAACTTGTTGCACTTCTAATTGCATTGAATTTGAATGGAATTGTGGAGGTTGGTGTGTTCCGTTTCATGAATTCCTTTTCAAAACAGAGGTCAATAACAGTCCGACATCAGTGCGAAAAGAATCTTAGTTGATCTGGTTTAATTGGAGACTAATATAGTGACTGGAAACGGCTTGATGTCAAGAACTTTATGATGATGAACTCCTTGGTTATTATTATTATTTCCAATGACCTCAACAAGGATTCAAGCTTTCATCTACTACAGATCCACAGAGCCAACAAATTTTCAGAGTTAAAAAAATGAAGCAACGTTACTGGAAGTAATGAAAATTTCGGAGAATGATCACCATCATGAACAAGCATGCTTTAAGCAAAAACAATGCAAGTAAAATTAGAAAAATAGAGAATCAATTTTACAGGATGGAATATTCTGAAAACTATTTATCAACAACCCATGTGCGAATAGAATTCGTTGATGATCTGGAAACCACAAGAAATGATTTGTTGATTCAATTATTCAAACAGAAAATGAACAAACACATCTCCAAGTATTTCCGAAAATCCTTTTCAATTTTGAATTTGTGGGTTCATTATTCATCCGGGGTAAATGACTCTCCTTCTGGTTCATCATTTAAAAAAGATGATCATCATTCAAGCTCTCTACCGTTCGTCCTTGTAATATCACAATATCATATCAATGCCATTGTATTCTCGTGAGTGATTGTAGTGCAAAAAAGCAAATTCTTGTATGTATGATTTGGATTCAAACTCTTAAAGAATTAAACAACAACACCAGGAGCATATTTGATGAATTTATGTTTGGATGAAGAAGATTTTCTGGATCACAGTGACAATGATGATACTAAAAAGTTGCATGGCTCTAATTATTCACATTTAATATTTGATTGTAACGATGAAGATAATCCAGAGTTCAATGAAAAATTAGTATTTAAATATGACTTGAAATTGATTTTACGACACACAAGTTGTCATCATACACAAGAAGTAGTAAATTCATGGATCATTTGGAAAAGTGATGCAAAAAAGATTTCGAAGATTAGCCATGAGTTTCTTGTTAGAAAATCAATGTTCAACCATTTCTATTCAGATAGTGGATAAGGATGTCCTGTTGCCTCAATTAATCGCTTGAATTAATTATATAACCAACATTAACCGAAACAGCTCAAAATGAACGATGATGGAAACAAGCAAAGATCAATGTTTGTGCATGGAGTTGTTGGGTGCTTGGCTGGTGCTGTCTGTCATAGACTTTCAGAATCTTGAATCTCAAGTTTATGCATGTTTTCGAAATTTTATAAATTTACCATTTTCGCTGAAAAATAAAGTGTCATCATTGAGTCTTATTAACATTTAAAAGTAATTCATCAGAATGTTGCTCTTCTTGTAGGAGAGCATTTCTGAAGTTTGGTTGTTAATGAGGCAAACTACAATCTCCTTATTGCTATGTGTCACCAAATCAATACTAATTTTTGCAGGGAAACATGTTTTGTTTTTACAAATACACTCTGCTTCGAATAAATAATAGAATTTCCGTAGGCAAACAAATTCCAAAGAGTCTTACATTGACAACCAATTAAAAATCAACGTACACCTTGAATAATGCACGTGAGTGGATAAATAAGAACATCAAGAAAAAGTTAAATATTCGTGGCTCCATCGTTGTACACTATTGTGGTCGATATTGCCACAACACTTGTTGTGAATAAAGTTTGGCCAGATCTTGCATGTGTTTCAAGTAACAATAAATCTGTCAATTACTGGAATAAAAAAATTTCGGGATTGTTTGGTGGCTGTTGTTGCTGGAGTTGCTACAACTAAGCAGTATTTTTGCAACCATCCCCATCCAGGCTATTAGCTTTGTGCTAGGATGGACGATTTCTCCCACCCCTCGGTCTTAATTCGCGAATAAGTTTTAACTTGAAACGGCATCTGGATATGATATAACAATATTCAACTGACAGATTTGAATGGAATGTATTTGAATGAGTGGTGAGCTCACCAAATCTGTGACTCGAATGGTGTGCATATTTTTCAATGAATGTAAGGTCTTGTTTGCTTTACCAAAACTTGAAACGCATAGAGTGCTTGGCATTTTGTTCACTCTAAGGCGAGGAATTTTGATTTAACTTGGTGGAAAGCGATCTTGGAACAAATTAACTCGTGTCTAGATCAAATTAAGGATCATAACTCTCACAAAATGATTTTTCAATAATCCCCTTCTCAAAGCAGTAGGAAGGTAAAAAGAACGACCAGCTTTGTCCTGCCCATCTCTCCACATTCATTGATTCATCATCATGAATACTTAAAACACGTAACAGTTTCGAATACTTTTCTAAATCTAAATATTCACATGAGTGTGTAATCATATTCTTTTCTTCTTGACTGTCAATTCGATAAATGAATTGTCTTCTTGCCTTATCATGCCACTGTTGTTCAGTCACAAATGAATACGGTAAATATACATGCAATTGCTTGTTCTTCAAGAGTGGCTTGACTTGCTCTATGGATCCAATATGTAATTGCACCTCCTTTTCCAATTTCGAAGACGAGTATAATAAAACATGAGCATTGTAAGGAATTAATGCCATTTCCATTTCAGTTAATGGGTAAAAGGAACTTGTTGAAATATAGAGGCGATGTATATCGATGGAGGCAATTGGTAATCCCATTACTTGTTCAAGCTCGGAGAGATCTCCATCCAGTGATCCATATCCGTGAATCTTGACATGCAAGTAGTAATCAATTTGTTCGTGCTGATCCTCATGATGATGATGATGACTCGATGAGGAATGAACATATTGATCCTCACCACAAATGTTCTTAATGAAATGTGCCTCATGAGTAGTGTCTACAGGTGAATGGACATGATAAGGCCATGATTCTTCTCCTGAAAATAATTTAGTGGCAATGAATGAAGAACCAACGAATGACGAGATGATCATTTTTATGGGCGGTAGTAGGTAGGAGTTTCTAGAAAACTCTTCCACATCCTCTTCATGGTTCTCTTTGAAAGATAATGTTGTTGTTGCTGATGTTATTATTGAGTGAATTCTTTCGTGTTTCGATAATGTAAACAACAAGAGTTTGGAATTAATGGGTTTGTAACTCGCCAAACATCCATCCTTTGGAAAAGGATTGGTGTTTGAGGGATTTTCTGCATAATTTGTCATTAGACTTTATTACAAGAGGCCATTGTGATGATGAGGACAATGAGTAATGATAGAGCAAAACGGTTGGTGAAGAAAGTCACTAAGCAAAGCAATGAGAGACGAAGCTCGAGTATGCAGAAAATTTTTTGAGCATAAAAATTTTTGAGAATGCTCAACCAAACTCATTTATTGTTTACAATCGAAACATTCCTGCCCTTCACTACGTTCAGAACAAATCAAGTCCTCCCATCTCTTTAATTTGTATTGCATTCAAATAAGTCATGGGTTGATGATCACACTTTCGAACTCCCCAATAACTACCACCACTCGAAGCTTCGTCGAAAGGAGTAAAAAAGTAGAGCATACCTCCTCCTTTTGGAATTACTCTATTGGTTAAATCCAAGTATTCCAATTGTTGAACATTTAGTTGACATATAAAGGGCCATTCCTTTCCATGAGAATCCTTTGGCCATTCAAAGTGACGTGGTAGGTCTGGATATCCCCCAATCTTGGATTCTCCAATGGCCATGTTGTTGTCATTGTCGTCATTTGATTCACCACCACTGACATTAAAAGTCATGAATTTCGAAATGTTGTTCCTGTCACCAATCTTGCCATCTTCAAAAACTTGTTCCCATGTGATATTTGGATGTTGTTTGAGAAAGTTTAAAACTGGTTGATATTTATGCTTGGCCACGTTCTCAATGAAATATAATTTCCAAAATTCATTATTACTACAACATTGTGTCTGCATTTCATGTGGATGGCTATTCAATACGACAGGAGGTATTACAACAATTAGTGTAAAACCCAACCTTCTCGAAACCAATAATTTCCAATCCAATTTTTTTGAAATCACTTGATGCCATTCCGTACAAACACATGAAACACATTTCAATAATTCACATCCATTTAAAAACTCAAAAATTTCAATCAAAATTTCTGAAGGGATTTCATTTGAAAATCGAAGCTTGATCATTCGGTTGTTGTTGTGGATAGTGTGCAGTAATATTTCTTGTCTCTTTTTTTTGCGGGTTACGTTCTGCTCTATTCCGTTTCCCTCTTTGTACAAAACCTGTTCAGTTTGTAATGTTGGAGAAGGTGTGAAAATATTTATTTTCACCATCTCTGAAAGGGTAGATGCCATGAACGGGACAACGAACTTCTTGAATGGCCTTTTCTCTGGAGGCGCTGCAATACTTGGCATGTTTTAAGGCACATGACATTGCATGAAGCGAATGGTTTTGGTGGTGGTGTTGGTGGAATTGGCCTGTGAAGATGAATCCACTTCATACCAGTGCTGAACATGTTGCAAGGGCACTTCAATTTCATACGTGTCTTCGACTGGGTTAGGACATGACACACAAATTCCCTTTTCAATACGTTTCAACCTACGATTTCGCATGGCTGCATTCTCCTTTTCCACCTTTGCTTTGGTTCTCAACACGTCTTGTCGAAAATTCTTGATCAAGTGATAAACCGTCTTTTGGAAAGTGACAGCACCATAAATACTCTCTCCCTTCTCATCCAACTGGGCAGTTAAATTGTCAACACTTGCTCGGCGAGTTGCAGTGCATTGATCGTGAGGATAGATCTCTTCAAGCAACCACTGGAAAAATATTTTATATTTTTCAGCTTTATCAATGCCAAATGCTTTTGGAGGTGTAAAGGAGTGACCTTTGGGAGGTTTTGGAAGATTTTGATATTGTGGAGTGGTTGGTGCGAGGGTGAATCGACTCGACATGGATTTGAAGGGAGTGTATGAGGTGATGGATGTTGTGGGTGGAGTTTGTTTGGTTGGAGGCTTTTTTGGAGTGTTTGAGGATGGTGTTGTAGAGATTAGGGTTCGTTTCGAGGAGGTTCCGCTTGGAGTCGAATCTTCCTTGTCAGAATGTTCTTCTTCGGATAGGGTGGTCAAATCAATGGGAGCCTGTTCTTGATGATTCATCCGAAATTGAGCTTGAAAGGTGGATGCATCCACAAGAGTATTTGGATTTTGGGGAGATTGATTCAGACGTGAAGTGGAAGACACGGTAGAAGATGTTGAACCCACCACCAAGGCATGTTGTTCAGATGTGGTAGAATGACTTTCATCACCCTCTAGAAGGATGAAATCGTTGAGAGTGGTTGGAATCCAAGAGGTTGTGGATGCCTTCTTGTTGTTTTGATGAGAAGATGAAGTTGGTTGAGTTCTTTTCTTGGATGGGCACATTGGATGAAAATCGAACAGATGACAGATATACCAGCGGTTTTTTTGTTGTTTGAAAAGCGTGTATGTGGGGTTGTGGGAGGCTTGTTGAGGCTTATTCACACAAAATTCCCTCGCAAGTATAGATGAACAAGCCTTTGAAATTGTTGTAAGAAAATGCGAGGGAAATGTACAACAATTTTATCCAGTGTATACAACAATATTATAAAGTGAAAATTGATGAATAAACAAGAGTATGAGGTACCTATTCTGTCAACAAATTCTTGTCACGGAAATCTTCACCAGTCTTGATGTCTAGAATTCTAGACAGGTTGAAAAAATTCTTTGCGGATTAGGAGAGAGAAATGAAAAAATTCTTTTGCGGATTAGGAGAGAATGAAAAAATTCTTTTGCGGATTAGGAGAGGAATGAAAAAATTCTTTTGCGGATTAGGAGAATCGAACTCCTGACCTTAGGATTATGAGACCTACGCGCTGCCGACTGCGCTAAATCCGCTTTACATGAATAATGAAGGAGTGGTGATGATGGTAGTATGAGTTGAGCTTTGAATGTATTTATCGGAGAAATTGAAACAAGAAGAATTCATCAACATTCTCATATTCACATTGTTCTTTGAACACTATGGCAATCTCAAAAATCAGCTTGAATTTGTGTAAATACTCCTGATCCAGAGACAATGTTGCTACCAGTTCCTAATACAGACTTTTTCCGTACTCACAATTTTGAGATAATGCCAACATGTGGCTCATTCACCAATTCGACAGATTTGATTTTGGACAAGGCCTGTCTCTCACGTGGTTGATTGTATTCCTTATCAAACGTTACCAACATTTCCTGTCAATTTGGATGTAAATTTACCAATACCATGTACAGAATTTTTCAAGAGACTCATTGATCCAATTGACAATCCACCACTCGCAACTCTTCAGGACTCTTTGGCAGAAGCTGGCTCATAGAAAAAAGTCAACAACACCTGTACCAATATCGCTGAACAAACCAATAGGGTTTCCAATAATATCCAATGAGCCTAGAATCTTGTGGACAATAGCTTGACGAATGTAATGTTTCTTAATCTTATCCATTAAATGTCATGAAAGGATGACTCAGAGAGTTGAATTTCATTGGAGCATTATCAATTCGAGTAAAAGTGACACCAGCAATGGGTTACTGTCATCTCCATCTTCATGATTCAACTTGAATGTGAGATAAATCTTAACAGGATGCATTTCTAAATTTTCAAAGCAAAACTTTTCTGCCTCATATTGTGGTTTTTCTACAGATTTTGCCATTCGTTCTGCTGTTTGTTCACCCACTTCATTGCTTTGTTCCTCATTCGTTGAAAGAATACCAATCAATTTCACAAATTTGGAAATAAAAATGTAATCAATTTCACAACGTGCTTCTCGCATGGTGATCGACATGTATGGGAAGGTATTGGTGTTTTTTTCAATAGATCGACACATGCTAAAGTGAAGAAATTCTTGTCCAGGCTCGTTAATGTTACTCAGAATGACAGGGTAAGTAGCATTGTAATCTTGATGATCTAATTGCAACCGATACAGGAGTGTTTCAATAAATTGATGCTTGTCGGTGGTGGCATTCTGCAAGGTAAGTCCACCCAGTAACATGTAGGCCACTTCACTTGGAGTGTTGTCAATAAATGAAATTCCAATTTGATTAATTTCTGCGAGCATGAATTGATTGAACTCTTCTTCCTCTGAGAAATCTCTAATTTGACCTTCTGAGGCAGTTGAACTTTGCATGGAAGAACGAATGCTTGACACATGCTTATTGAGAGGTTTGATATTTTCTCTCCTTGTATGGATCGTCTCTTTCGCTTCAATTTAAAGCTTTGTGTAATGAGTTTGTTCACACTTTGTAGTTTTTCTTTGGTTAAAATTAAAACTCTGGTTGGACCCACTGGTTTCACTCGAAGATAGGCCATTCCTTTGGATCCCAACTTGATTCTCTTGTCTTTACCAATTCGATCAAAGTCGTCCTTAACATTTCCAATACGAAGCTGAAGGCCATGAGCGCCCTTATTGTCATCCCAAACATAGGGAGTCATTTGGAGTGGTTTCACTGTCCACAACCATTTTTCAACTCCATTTTGAGCAAAGAAAACATCTTCATCGAGTTGATTGTCAATCAGATAAGGTGGCTTCTTTGGCTTTTGAATCATTAAGAATACAAATTCCTTGTGTTTCTTGAACGTCCACCGATAAGAGCAATCCGATAGGTCTATTTGGATAATCTTCATGTTTCAACTTGAGGAAGGTTTCTCCGAGGGCATTGAATGGAGTTGACCATGCAATCTTGTCATTGGATGCCACTTTCATTTGAGGTTCATTCACTTCCAATTCCTTCCAATAATAATTCACATTGGTATTGGGCTCCACTTCAATGGGAACGACCAAATGATCATTATTTGTGAAACATTGCCGAATAACAATCTTCTCATCTGTAGAATTCACAATGACATATCGAGGACTAGGCGTCAATACTTTAGTTCTGTAAAATTTGCCTTCTCCCAACGAAATAAAGCATACTTTCTAGTGTCAGAAGAAACTGCCACGTTACCACTGGTACCAACGTTGGTGAGTGAGAAGAGAACAATTTCTCGATAGCCTCCATGTATTTCCTTCCGAGTAGTCCATGTAAATTCTGGAAATATTGTTCGTAGAGATGTTCTCAAGAGTAACATGTGTTGTTGAGTGTTACATGCCACTACTACTTTGGTTATTACCTGCTCTCTCGCTTAACATGGTGAATGAAAATGGTGATGGTTCAAAGTGTGCCGACGGGTTGAGTGCCCAACCCCCTGAGTATATATATTCTCAAGCGAGTTGGGTTTAGTGAAAGCACGATTTCTCTCCAATCTTAAAATGTTTTCAAAATAATTATCAAATAATTATCCACTCAACCCCCATCACAAGTTGTGACTCACAACCTTCACATCATCATCATGAAATTGATTCAAATATCGGAAAGCGTTGTAATAACCGACTCGTCTTTGATTAAAAAAATAACATGGTCGTTATCAGAGTTCACAGTGGTCTGCAAAGATTGCAGAGTGAAGAATTCAAGAATCTCATCACTGCATTGAACACGACATGTAATCACAATTTCTGTTCTCAAGTTGAACACAAGTGTTGACAGAATTATTACTCCTTGTTAATGAATACCATTTCTTCTTTTGCGTAAATTCTCAACACTCCCATTCGTTCAATGATCACACACTACTCTCAAACAGGTCAAACACTCCTCCCATTTGGCAACATGCTTCCACATGTGTTGTATACAGGACGATACGTCATGCATTGTCTTTCCCGGTCATTCACTCCATTTTTAGTGTTGAGATTGCAAACCAGAAATCATCCATTCGGATGCAACCAAGTTCAACACGTTGGTACAGCCTTACAAATAGTATCTTGCGGTTATGTTCATTTAGATGTGCATCTCTTTTATGTTGAAAACGACATGAATCCGTGTTGAAACGAACATTGCTGTGACACTTGTCATTTCAAACAAACAACAAAAAAACAACTCACTCCAACCGTTCCATCCAACTCTCTCCATCATTCAATTATTATTCAAACAACACAAGTCTGCAAACACTACAACAACAACACACCCATCATGGTATCCACCTCCACTTCTTTTAACAATAAGAAACGTCTCATTGTACAACAAGACCTTTCACAATTCGATATTCATTTCGAAGCCATTTTCGATTATGCACCTGCTCTTGAATGTTTTACTCGTTATTTGCATGAAACTATGAATACAGAGAGTTCTGATTTTCTGTCAAGTGTCAATGAATTTCGTAAAATGAAACATGAACGTAAACGTTTACAATTGGCAATGAAAATGTATGAAAAATTCATTGCCGATCAAGCATCGAGTCAACTCAATTTGAGAAGAGATGTTCGAATGAAAATTCATAATGTATTATTTCCAAATCAGGCAGTTCCTTTATATTCACATTCATCGTCCTTAGATCATTCGCCAACCATGAATATTCCCTCGACGTCGAATGGTCAGCCTGTCACTTGTCCAACCAATGTTGAAATTGGTCACACATTACCAAGTGGTGAGGATCATCCTACTCCACAACAACAACCAAATGTATCAACAACAAGTACTCTCCTCCAATCCAATCCCACAACAACGGATGTCACTACTCCAACAACATCGAATGGCAGTCCCATAACACCACTTCCAGTCCAGACTCGAATGAACAATCAGGATCCTGCCACTTGTCCAAGTCGACGCGCATCTATGGATTCCACGAGCAGTAGTGCCAGCTCCTATACCAATTCATCAAGTATTGGAGGTGGATATTCCAAACAACAACAACAACAATCACACTCGAACACGGAAACAACAACCTCTCCTTCCAATTTAGGAAATCATCCTGCATGTCCAAAAACATTGTTCGATGAAGTCGAATCTCATGTCTTGTTGCAATTGAAACAAAATCATTTCGTTTCGTTTATTGAATCGGAATTCTTTTTACAATTTTTACAGAAACAACCGTTACAAGTCTTGTATGAAATTGGTTCGATTCGAGAAGGAAGTGTGTTGCAGTTGGCAGACTCGTTGTGTGAAACGTTACGAATTGAAAATGTCACTTGCCAAGATTTTAAATTTGTGAAAAATCAACTCGTTTCGAATTTGGCACAAGATTGGGAATTGATTGGATCAAATGCACATTACAAGTGTTATCTCTCTACGAAAACCTATGACATGGGAGAATCTCAAGGATTGCATTTCTTTAAATTTCATGTCACATTTCCGTATCATGTCTTGCAAGTTATGAGTACCATGTTTGAAATGGAATACAAGAAAAAGATTGAAACTCATTTGACTCATACCGAACGAGTGGCTTATTTGGAAAAGAATTTTGAGAATTCTAATAGTAGTAGTGCCATGAAAGGCACTCGATCGAGTAGTACAAGTTCCATGGCCAGTAACAATTCTTCCAATTCCCAAACGAATCAAACTGCACATAGTCATGCCTCTGAACTTCTAATGGCATCTGTCCTCGTGTATGAAAAGTACAAACTCGTGTGGCCATTGAGTGATCGAGATTTTGTAACGACACAAAGTGGTGCCTTTGATGCCAATTCGAACACATATTTTTGGATCATGAAAGGACTCTCTGAATGTGCTCGAGTGAAAAAGGAAGAAAAGAATGTCATTCGTGGATTGTCGTTTGGTGGATGCTCGTTTCGAGAGTTGACTCCCAATTCCACAGAGTATTCTCAATTGTTTTATATGGATTTGAAAGGCCGAATTCCCAAATCGGTCATTAAGGGAATGATTAAGGATCGAGCCAAAGAGTTTACCAAGATTGGAACGAAATTGTTACAACATAATGAAACGATGGGATTCAAGGTACGAGATGATAACATGGTATGGAAAACCTTTGAAGAAAATGGAACTCTTCATTTGTAAATAAATGTGTCTTTCACTTTTGTGTCAACCATCAAACATCAACAAGAAATGAGTATAATCGTATTTTCATAATTTTATTTAGCACGTTGTTGAAACGTATTTGGATTCTTTTTTAAATTAATATATCTCAAAAATTCTTCAATGCATATACATACTACTCGTTCGAAAGTATTTGGATTGGATCTTTATAAATTATTATTAACTTTGGTAAATTATTTTTCCAAGTTCAATAAATCGACCTCTTCCTTGACTCTTCTGGAAAAGTCCTCAATGGTCAAGGCCAAACCTTCATCGAGATGAACCTTTGGTTCCCAACCAATCAATGTCTTGGCTTTGGTAATGTCTGGTTTTCTAACCTTTGGATCATCTTGTGGAAGTTCATGGAAAACGATCTTGTTATTTTCAGTCTCACCAATCAGTGCTCTGATTTTTTGAGCCATTTCCAAAACTGTATGTTCATCAGGATTACCAATGTTCACAGGTCCTATTGTGTTTGTTTGATTCATCAACTTGTAGAGGCCCTCGATTTGGTCACTCACATAACAAAAGCTTCGCGTTTGATGTCCTGAACCATAGACTGTAATTTCAATGTCCTTCAGTGCCTGATACACAAAATTACTAATAATTCTACCATCAGTCAAATTCATTCTAGGTCCGTAAGTGTTGAAAATTCTTGCGACACGAATGTCCGTCTTTTTGGTTCGATTAAAATCAAAGCATAGAGTCTCTGCGGTTCTCTTTCCTTCATCGTAGCAAGATCTGGTTCCAGTACAGTTCACATTTCCCCAATAGGTTTCAACTTGTGGGTTGATGGCTGGATCACCATATACCTCGCTCGTAGAGGTAATTAGAAAACGAGCATTCCATTGTGTTGCCAACGTGAGCATGTTATAAGTTCCAACTACACAAGTCAATGTTGTATGAATAGGATCCTTTTGGTAGTGTGGAGGAGAGGCAGCGCAAGCCATATGATAGACTTGTTCAATTCCCGAAAGCTTGCTAATACGATCATCATTCAAAGCATTAATTACATCGGCTTGGATAAAGTGAACATTCTTATGATCGTTTAGGTGTTTCAAATTCACCAAGGATCCAGTTTGCAAATTATCCACGATATAAATTTCATCTTGATTATTGCTTTGCTTTAAAAGATAATCAACCATATGGCTTCCTGTTGTTGGTTGTCGGATGCCGCATCATGATGAAAAATGTTTTTACGGAAAAACATGTTGGTGTTGTATGAGATGTCGCATATTGAGAAAAAGAACAGGCAGCATTAGTGGATGGATGCTGAAGATTTACAACGTACCAAGAAAGCCAGCTCCACCTGTCACCAAAATTTTCATTTTTTTTTTCTTCTTGTTTGGACTTCAAACCTTTTTCGTAATCATCGAAGGATAATGCCCGAGTAGTGACATGTTATCAATAAAAGCATCTTAATGGACCCTAACTTAATATCATTCCTCGACACATATAATGGTAAAAGGTATATTGTACTCGTTTCACATGACACTTGTCCTTCGACTTTGTGAGTGTTAACAAGTACACATATGAATAATCGGATTGACCACTACTGTATCCGCTTAATGCTCCTTTTTCTTCAACAAATGCGTAAAAAGTTTCCGAGTCTTGGGGCTGATTGGAGAGATAATCTTGAACCCATTCTTCCACACCCGTAGTAGCCTCTGCATTGGGACAAGAGGCAGCAGCTGTATCATGAAACGTGATACAGTGAAAATCAAACCTTGGAGAGTCAAGGTAAATGAGTAATCTAAAAACATAATTTTGAATGACCTTGGTGTTAAGGAAACCTTTGGACCAAATACGGAATAAAAAACTTTCAATCTGATGATTGAATACTTCTTCAACGATTGCTGGAATGGGATGATTAATGATCTCAATTTCTGGATCTCTATGTATAAATTGCTCATCCAAATATCGTAGAGTATATTTTTCAGAGATTTCAATTTTCTTCAATTTCTTTAACTTTTTTCGAATTCTTGTGAAATTTTCTTGCAATATGATCACTTCGTCACTCAATATTATTGAATGAGAGGATGATAAGAACAATTTGGACATGGCACTCTCGCCCTTGAAGAAGTTTCCTTCCATATGAATGACAGGATAAAAGTATGAGCAATATTGAAAAAACCATCGGTGAGACCACACGATCGAATGCAGTACAATCTTGTCAGTACTCTGATAAGATGAGTGAAAGAGTTCATAATTTGCAATGGGAAGCCATATTCCATCACGTTGTAATTTAAAAGGAATGAAATCCAAATTTACATCCCCACAATGTTTGGAAAGTTTGTCAGAAAGAAATTTTAAAATTGGCTCATATTTTCGTTCAATTTCATCATCACGCTCTTCAATCAGAGAGCTAGCAATAACACCACCAGCATGATCAAATGATAAGGAATATGAAATCATTTCAAATAATTTCTTCAAATCCATTTTAGTAAAGGTTGTGTAAGGGTCGGATCGACAGCCAATCCGAGTGGATCTTGTTAGAGAAATACATGTTAACGGGAGAGCCCTGAAAAACATATTCCATCCACCTCCTTCCTCAATATTGAATTTCCAAGTTTTACAAACTCTCTCACATTTACAAATTTCATCAAAGCTCAAAAATCCACTCATCACGATCATATGAAAAATATCTAAATCATCATGGAGCAAATTCCGAAAAGTAAATTCTTCGATCATTGTCCTGCAAAACCCTTCAGTTGGTTGAGAAGCCTTTAACTCGTTCATCATAAAAACTTTCAAAATTTTTTGATGATGAAACCAAACCGCCCTATCAAAAAATTGACCAACCAATCATCACTGTTTCAAAATAATTTCATTCTTAAGAGAGGACACTGGGCAAGATGTTGCCATCGTTGGGATTGACATTGTCCTCGTGTTGGAACCTACTGTCGAAAGGCCTTGAAGATTTTTCAATCATGAAAAAGACTTCATCCGTGTTGGTCAAGAGAAAGTATTCGGAAGATCAAGAGCCAAATAATTATTCCAATCGAGAGGAACATGTACAAAATGATTTCAAGGAGGAGGATTTATTGAAAAATATTAATTCTACGGTTCATACTAATCCGAAAGCCAATGATGTTAATAATAATATTATTATTAAACCCGAATCGTCCAAATTAAGTTCAAACTCAGCATCATCAGCACCAGATTTAACAACCGCCATGAAATCTTCTCAACCAATTTCAACAGTATCCAATTCACAGCGACCCAAACAAGTATTTATTCCTCCTCCTAAATATCAACAAGCATATCAACAGTGGAAACGAAAACATTTATTGTCTCTGTGTCACTCCTACCAACGACAGTCAAACATGACAAAGCTCATTGAGACAGATACGTCTTTGCCTCACAATTCACAATGTAGCCAACCCAAAGAAAATGGTGCATGCTTTCCAAGTCATAAAAAGAGAAAGCTTGAACAGGACACCAAACTATTTCAATCACCTTCCCAAGGTGTACCTAGAACTGCTCTTGCTGATATTTCGGCTGGAAATACCTGTTTATCACAAAATGTCACAAACACGATTTATGAAACAAGAGAGCTGAAAAAGGAAGGGACTTATGTGAGAGAAAGTATTCAAAACGCGGGGTCCGAGAACAAGAAAATTCCAACGTTTTCTCATACGAATATTCATTCAAACACGAAACTCTTGTCGCAAATTGAACCATATCTGGATCCATATCTTGGAAAACAAATAATTAACAAGATTGATTTGGGTAAATTGTTTCTTAAAACCGCTGACTTACACAATATTTTAGGGAAACAGTATCCTCTAATTGGAAAGATCCATGGAGGACCTGACAATGGATTCTATTTACAAATTGATAATGATGGAACCGTCACAAAACAAACCTCAAGCAATAGTAGCTCTGTATATCAGTCCTACACAAGATTGGGAAGAATTTTAATGAGTCTGGGATTAGGTCGTGCCATGCTATACCTACAATTTCAACATGAATATATATCTTCACATGCTAATGACGTGGAACATATTTGCAAACATGGTATTGATTATAACGGTACAAGATACAAGCTCTTCACTGCTAGCAATTCGTCCCTTTGTAGTAGAACAGGCCTATCACTGTTCATCTCATCGCATATCGATCATCTATATTTGGTATCCATGTTGGGTAACTTTTCTGAAGCTGCAAAAAAAGGACCAAGAAAAGCATTGAGCCGATTGGCCTTAAATAGCGGAAAGAGCTATTTCTGTAGAAAACAATTACGACCAGAAGAGTTATTTGTTTTAGATGACGAAAAAGATTTTCCTGGTGTTGACGGGTGCGGCTTTGCACGAGAGGATTACTTTAAAGATATTTTGAAGCTCACCGAGAAGCAACCATTTCTACATGATGACGGAAAAGTTTCTCGGTTAATTCATGATAATGAGATTGATAACATAGTAGCCATCCAATTTCGAGTGGGTGGATTTAAGGGAGTTCTTCAATCTATTCCAATGAAGTTTTGGAGCACTTTGAAACAAAAGTATGGATTTCAAGATAGTATACGGTGCGTTATGCGAAAATCTATGGAGAAGTTTATTGGAAATACTGATATATATAGCAACTTTGACGTTCTGGAGGTTTCTAAAGTTTGTGGTGGTAGCATTAATCTTCATTTCATGTCCTGTATGCTGCAATTAACCTCAAACCGAGAAGAAATGGAAAACATATTTTTACAACGATTGGATGAATATTTGGTAGAGAAGTTGTGTTTGGATCCTGAGAATAGGTCACAATTGAAACATTCAGCAGTGTTGAATGATATTAATTCGAGCGCAACATTTGAGCAAGATTCTGTATACAACACAGTGAAACGCTTATTGTTGGCTGGTCACAAATTAGACAACCCTTTCATTCATAAGTGGATTATGAAAAGAATGGAGAGAAAATGTCAAGCTTTGTTTTTCAACCATTTATCACTTAAATTCAAAATTAAGAAGTGTGTTAATTTGGTTGGAGTCATTGATGAAACTGGAAAACTTGGACCAAATCAAGTTTTCATTGCATGTCCAAAGATCCGTAATACTCTTGGAGAACGCGAATATCACAACTTACGGCAAGTCATTGTATATAGAAATCCACTTGCATATCAAGGTGATATTATGAAACTTGAAATTGTAACAACCCTTCCTAACACATTTACCGCTGAGGAAGCCGAATATATGGCTTCCAGAGAGAATGTGATTGTGTTTCCCAAGTGCTATCGACAAAAGTCCATTCATCAATTTATGGGAGGTGGAGATTTAGATGGGTAAGTTTATATTGCTACATTCTCTCGTGTGTGATTCATTTGAGAGTGTCAATGTTTAGTGATCGATATGTTATCATTTTCGATCAAGAACTCATTTCACTCTTTGACAAGGAAGCTCCAAAAGTTGATTACGATAGTCATCCTCCAATCATCAATGAACCAAGCAAGCCAGTGTCTCATTACAATGTTATTGATGAGCATGTGAGTTGCATTATCAATAAGGATAACCTTATTTCAGACATTTTCTATTGCAACATGCTTGTGCGAGAGAGTAATGATATCGAGACGAAGATGTTACTGGCCAAAGCACTTGCGGACGCCATTGATTCCAAGCGAGCTCACCACATTGATTTTAGAAAACTCATTTTGGAAACGAAACAAAAATTTAAAGAACCAGCATGGTATTTGGAAAGTTCAAAAGTTAAGGTTTCACAAGCTCGTTTATTTGATTCCCATACATTTGAATTTCGAATGATGAACTTGATCATTGAAACATATTCTTCCATCAAATATCAACCCAATCATGTCACGATCGATAGAGATTTAGTTGTGACTAGACCTAAGAAATGCAATGCAATATTGGAAAAACAGTGGAAAGAAGAATTTACTCTTGCACACAACAAATGGACCGAATATTGGATACATTTTTGCTCCATGCACAAAGAGTCCACAAATTTCAATGTATACAACAAGTACAACATGAAGGAAAAGATCTTTCAAAAATCGTTGAAACCATTTCTTGACGAATTTTTGGATTCAAATTCTCAAAGACAGCATCCATCGAATCATCATCTCCGACCACAGCAATATTGGACAGACATGTTTCATTCGAATGGTCTTCTTGCGACAGATGCACCTTACAAGGCGAGTATTTGGCTTCAAGCAGCATATGAATTAGAAAAACGATACATGAAAGAAGAAGCTTTATGTCCTTCTCAACTACCATCAAGAAGCACCATCCTCTCCCTGCAGTCTTCTCGTTCCATGATACGAGACGGCATCCCCGTGATGAATTCCTCTCAAACAACACGGCCATTAAGGGCGATCATTCCATCTTCACAACAACCATTATTGGCTCAATCCTCTTCCTATTCACAACCCTGCAATTTTCATTCACACTTTTCACAATGCCCCTCTTCAACCCAAAGGAGCCAAGTTTCCATCCTTCCCAGAAGAAAATCCATCTTATCGAGTCCCTTTCTCTATTATTGTTGCCTTACTGAATTGAATCTTTTAAAGACAACCAATTCCACATGGACAACTACCACCATGTGTCTCTCCAGCACTCCCATCATTCTCCACCCCAAGCTTCCTTTTAGCCTTTGTATGTGATTGATATTTGGGATTCTTGTAGAGATTTCGGCGATTCGAGGTGAAATGAAAAAAATACCGACGACATCTCCACAGCCGTTTGAAATTCTATCGGATCCGATCCTTGGTAAATAACACATTGGCTAAAAATTACCTTGAGTGCTGTTCCTCCAATTAATTCATACTAAAATACAAGAGCGAGAAAAACCATGGTTTTTACACCTTTTGAATCAAGCATCGGAGGGTTGTTGATAGCAGCTTCCGTATGTGTCTATGCGTATTTACAGGGACGAATTTCGGGTATGAGTGGAATTGCAGGTTGTGCATTCCGTGGACTGAAAAACAAGTTATTGCCATCATCCTCACCGAATCGTTCAGTGGTTACGGAAGAAGAATTTGCACACAAAATTCTCTATATTCTTGGTTTGATGGTTGCAGGCTTTACGGTGTGGTTTCTAGAGATGGTTCCCGATCATTTTGTTCAAATTTCATCCATTTGGCTCTCCTCTCCTTCCGTATGGGTCATGTATTTGGTGGCAGGATTGTTAGGTGGGTTTGGAACACAGCTCGGAAATGGATGTACATCGGGAATGATGATTTGTGGTATTGCACGACTTTCTATTCGAGGATTTGTGTCCACAATGGTGTTTTGTTCAGTTGCCTTTGTTTGTGTCAAGTATTTGAGAAGTATTGAATTTGTAGCTCAGAATTTAATCAATATTGGACAAGGAGTTGAATTGGACAAGCCTTTCATGGCATTCCCAACTATGGAGAAGGCAGTATTAATTTTCCTTTACTTTTTGTTGCTCATTTCAATTTACATGTACATTTTACGACGAGTCCAATCATGGAGTGACAATGCCCAACACACTTTGGACTTTTACTTGCATTTTTATAATGGATTGGTATTTGGATCTGGCTTGGCGCTGAGTGGAATGACAAATCCAATGAAAGTACTTGGATTCTTTGACATTGGAGGCGAAAACTATGACCCATCATTGTTCTGTGTGGCCATATTTGCCATCCTGCCAAGCATGTTTGTTTTCCAAAAGTATGTGTTGCCACGAGCTGCCCAACATGAAAAACCACCAATTTCTACCAAATATCACATGCCAACATCAAATTTAATTGACTGGAAACTTATTGCTGGAGCTGCCATATTTGGAGTCAGTTGGGGAATGGCTGGAGTTTGCCCAGGCCCTTGGATGACATCTCTGGGATCATTGAATCCTCTGTATGTCATCTTTGGAGTAGGTTTTGGCGCTGGAATTTACTTTAAAGATATGTTGCGAGTGTAAATTGGAGAATTATCTTCAACGCATCATGTATGATAAAGCATTATTATTTATTTTACTCTTTGAAAAATTTCACTATACAGTCCACATGCTTTGTGACTCATCAGAATTCGTTGTCTTGCTGTTGGAATGACGATCATTCTGGGATTCCAAATTTGTCACTGCATCAGTGGTTGTTGCTTGTGTATGTTCCTTCGTTGTTTTTTCTTGTACCAAGTTGCCACACAAATAATTCAAGAACGCAGCCAATAGTGGCTTTAAAGAAATTTCAACAATTTCACACGCTCTCTCAAAACTATTCGCATTCAAATTTTCATCTGCAGTGAGGGACGACAAGACACGTTTGTAAAATCCAACATTGACATAATATTCTCCACGCTCATCACTCAAGAATTTTGAAATTATTTGATTTGCCATTAATTTTCTCATTTCCGTAGTCACCGTGACCAATTTGAAATGCAAATACACAGTTTGCAAAAATAACAATTCGTTCAGTGCCTTTTTTCGTTTCACCTCCACATCAATCATATGATTACTTCCCGGCTGTGCATTCATTAAAAACAATGATGACGAATGAGTCTCGATAAATTTCCTAAATCGAGTGAAAAATTCAGAATGAGCTCGAATCATGTAATCCTCAATTTCATAAGGTTTGTAAAAACTCGAGGTTCGACTTCGAGAATATCCTCCAGTTGGTGCACTTGTCATTGAATTTCCACCACTTGTATTCACATGATTCTTTACAGAATGATCCAATCCAGAAGAAGAAGAAGAAGAAATTAAATTAATTCCTCCTCCACGAATGACTTTGGCAGTAGTGCTGCTGTTCATACTTCCAGAGAGATGACTACTGCTAGTACTACTACTGGTCAAAATATTCTTGGAATTGCTACGAATGGGTGAAGTTGGAGAATTCACGCGAGAAAGGGGAGAAGTCACACCAATACCTTTTTTGGTAAAGGACGTATTTTTGACCAAAGAGGAAATGGCAAGAGACGGTGGAGGTACTAAACTACCAAGAATCAAATCTGATTCATATTCTGAAATCAAGATTAAAATTTCATGAATGGTTTTTCCTTGTAACTTTTCAAACGGAATTTCTGACATGATGTCATTGAAATTGGATGTAGGAGCCTGTAATGATAAATGATCATTCAAAATTTCATTCAAGTACTCTAAAATATCCTTATTATACTTTTCTTTTGGAATTTTCATTTCATTCTGCTTGTCCTCTTGTTTGTTAAAAGTTTCATTCGAAATGATTTCTTGTTTTTCCATTATTTCCACACATGTTGTATTATTCCATTGAATTTTCACATCTGAATGTGAGGCATGTGTCACGGCATGAGGAAAGAGGTCCATAAAACACTCGTGTGGTGAAGCATCTCGAGTGTGTTTGAGAATTTCTTGTTCAAACGATTGGATGAATGTTTCAAGATGATGAACGAATGATTCTTGAATGGTTGAACTTTCTGTTAATAATAATTGGTTGTTTTGAACAGGTTCTTTTTCTTGAGCCTCCATTTCATGATCATTGAGTTCGTCGTGAGGATTCTTGTCATGAATATTCAATTCTTCCAAATTTGGATTTTCATGAATCATGGTTGATGATAAAGTAGTAGTAGTAGTAGTACCATGATCATCCATATGATCATTTGGTAAGGAATGATGTTCTTCTTCTTCTTGATGATTTTCATCTAATTGTTTCACAATGAGAATTGAAGCATTCATTTCCTTGTCCACCACATGTTGAATGGAATCGTTCACACAACTTGTTGATTCCTCATTCCGTTGTGTCGTTGATTTATCTTTCACACGATGATCATCATGGTTCATTTCACTCATGACGACGACTTGTTCTTTTTGGAGAGGTTCTTCTTGTATGATTTCATTAGAAATTGTTTCTGTGTGAACCATTACTGGAATGTCACAATCATCGGAATGAGTCATTGGATAGTGTTGATGACTCGTTAATAAATCTTCCGTTGTTGTTTGAGTATTACAATCTTCAGTTTTCAATGTCGTCGTTGTCGTTGTTGTGAAATTTTCACATTGACTCAAAGGTCCTGATGAATGATAGTCCTGATGAACGACTTTTAACAATTGTTGATCTAAATCATTCAATTTCTCAGAAATGTCTCGTTCTTCACTTGTTAAATGAATGCTTAATGCATGAAGAGGAATTTCATTCTTTTTAGATGTTTCTGATACCATCATTGTATTTGTTGTAATTGTTGTAATTGTTGTGGTTGTTACGGTTTGTTCATTTGGATGGATGACAGTAGAATTGACATTTGAATCCATCCATTTTGGAGTTTGTTTTGAATGACCTGATAACATTTCACTCGTATTCGTAGTGGCAGTGGTTCTTCCACTCGATGCATGCATGGAAGAAAGTTCATTAATATGATCTTTTGGAGAAGTATATCCTGCAATTTTTCCATGAAAATCAAGTTTGGGAATTTGTGGTTTTTTCGAGACTTGACCTGCCAACGCGAGTTTTGGAATTTTGACATTATTTTCAACAGTTATCATGACACGATGATCGGAGGATGGTTGATTGGGTGTTGTTTCTTGTTGTTGCATCTTTTTCTTTCGATATTCTTCAATTTCAACCTCAATGGTTATCTTAATTTCCAAGAAAAAGGCCATACATGCTGCAAACACAATTTTCACAATAATTAAATCCCAAGCTAATGCAATTAAAGTATTATATAACCAATGTAAAATATCCATATTCAATTTCTGACGTGTGAAAACTCCAGCACTTCCCAGTATTGAAAGAATTAAACAAGCAAATGCCAATAACGAACTGTAGGCATATCCAGTGACTTTCCAATAAATGGGTTTCACAGAAACACATATTGCCACTGGAATTTGACACAATTCAGCAACGCCCAGAGCAATTGCTGCTGGAATGGAAATGGACCATTGAGCAGTCACATTATTCGTGGAAAGTAACAACACATTGGTCGTACTAATGGTTATGAAAATGACCATAATAATGACCAAACGATCCACTCTTTTGGTGTGAATTCTTTTAAAATATCGTTTTGGAAAGATGAGTCCAATAAAGGGATGAAATTCTTTAAGGCATTCCCAAATCTTTTTTCCAAATGTTAAATCTCGATATCGAATTTTGTCAACAGGTGTCGTCGTTGATGGATCATCTTTTGGAGCTTGTATATTTCGCGCGGGAGATAATTGTTGCAATTTGGGAATGAATTCTCCTGGTAATAAAAATTCAGCACTTTCTAATGAATTGGTTGTTTTGTAGAGATGGACAATGCATTGAATGATGGTTGCAACGCCAAGTGTCAATAAAATAACACCACCCGTGACTGAGGCAATGACAATTAAGGGAATTAGAGAAAAGGTCATTTCAGGTTGTGGAATGGTAGAATTTGAATTTCCTGATACATTGGAAAGAGTTGAAAATAAAGTTGTGTGATTACATGCACAGTAAAAATCACTCCAAGTCGAGTTCACTAATAGACATCCATCTGTGGACCAAGTCGAACGAGTGTCATCAAAATAGACACAATTCGTTATGGGTCGTGATGCATTTAAAGTTGCATTAAAATCGGTCAACACTCCTGAAAGTATTGGTAATTTCAATACAATTGGACTTGTTAAATTAACGAGTGGAATTTTGGAATTGGTTTGTGGATCAATGATTTGAAATTGTAACTTTTTGGAGCTCACTTTCACATTTTCAAAAGGAGAATCAGTGTTATTGTTAGATGGAGTAATTTGTAGAGAAATGATAAATGTATCACTATTGGAGTAGAATTTCAAAATATTGGACAATTCTGGAAGTTGAACTTGAATGGAATCTTGAAGTGAGAATTTAGTACTAGTCATAAAAGAATCCAATTTCACTCGTGACATGAATGAAAAGGAAGTACTAAATGTTGATAAATTGTCCGTACTATTAATAATATACTGAGAGAGTTTGAAAGAGCTGTCACTAATCGTACTGCTATTCATTTCCACGACCAAATTATTGTAAAAAGTGACTGATACGATCGTTGGAGAAATAGCTTGATACGCTTGTTGAATATATTCAAAGAAAACTCCTGTATATTTCTCTCCAACTTGATTCCAATAGACATTCAACATGTAATCCGATAAAATAGTTCCATAAAAACGCACAGAAAGATTATAAAGAAATTTCTGAATTTCTCCAAATATGAAACTACTCGTTGTCGAGTAGTGTTGCAATGAAGAGTATTCAGAAAAGGTGGAAGTGAGTTTTGAAGCAGTGAACATGGCTCCAAAAAATCGCAAACATTTCACATTTTCAGAAAATGAATCCTCTTGTTGATTGCAATAAGAACCCAAATGTGTCAATAATGTGGAATAGGTCGAAGCAATAATGGCATAATCCGATGATGACAATACAATGGTATCTCCGTAAAATGTGTAAAAATCATTCATCATGTACGCAGCAACTAGTAATTGAGATGGAAACAAAGGTTTGTCATTTTCATACGTGCTACTTGATTGGCTATTAAAAACATTCAATAACAGTTGTGAGAACTTGTCATATTCTACCACATTGGTTATGACTGAATAACTCGAAGGTGAAGTAAGAGTCACAATTTCTGTTGAAATTCCATCCGTCACCATAAAATATAACTTGATCGTGTCATACGAGGTCACTCTTCTCAATGGCAATCGTAAGGTTAATATGGAATCCGTACTCGAAGCAAGACACAAAAATCCACCATTGGTCAAACTCACATTTCCATACGTGGCAGTTTCAGCAAGTACTTGTGTGAAACAGAGAGTTTCATTGGTGCTTCGACTCGAATTGCCTAAATTTCCACTCACTTGAACTCGTGTCGTGAACGCTTCTACAGTAGCATACGTTAAAATATTAAAATTTGGTTTTGAAATACTATTTGAAGTTCTGAACGTGAATCTCATGGTACTTTGTAGCGCAGGTTTTCCAACATAACCAACCCTACATTTCATGGAATATAAAGTATTGGGTTGCAATGAAGAGAGTGTTAAATTTCGAAATGGATAAAATTCTCCAGTTTGTTCATTTTCCCAAGAGAAAATTAATGTCTTGATTTGTGAAATGTTGTAAACGAGTTGTGTGAATACTGGATAGAGAACGGCAGGTGTGTTTGGAGGATGATATTGTAACATGTCGATATTACTTTCTAAACTGAGTAATGTAGGACTGCTGTCATTGAAGGCGAGTGGAATTAGAGTGATTTTGTACTGTTCTGATTCAATATAATACAAATTCTTATATCGATATGTAATTCCAATGAGAAAATGATCAATATTCGTTAAAATTCCTTCTTCAATCTTGTCTGCTGATAAAGAGATGGGTTGACAATTCGAATTTGAAAATGTGTTAAATGATGTAAAATTTGAACAATTCTTGTACGAAGAGATTTGAGAATTTGTGGTCATGTATTGACAAGTCCATTGACATTGTATGAAATTCTTTTCAATATTCTTCAATAATCGATCATAATTTTGTAAAATTGGAGTCACTGTAACATTAGTATTGGATCCTTCTCGAATGATAATTTCCTGATTTTCTCCTTTAATACTTGCATGAGCTCCTAATAATTGAAAATTCACATCAATGGTTTTTGATAATTGATAATTAATGACATTAAAATCACCTCTTCCAGTAATATCTAAATGTATTAAAAATCCAATACTACTACTATTAGAATTTGTGGTTTGGATCAACAAAGAGTCAGTACTCGTTCTTTGATTTCGTCGATGAAATTGTGTGAAATTTCCAATCACTTCCGAATCATATTCTGTCAAGGCAATGAATGAAGAAGAACCACTTTTTAGTACAAGGACTTGATCGGATACGAGAGTTTTCATCATGTTGCCGGTTGTTTTCATCATGTTGCCGGTTGTTTTCATCATGTTGCCGTCATAACAACATGTAATTTTCCATGAATATTCAAATTTTGTATTCGAATGGGAAGTACTTTGAAGAAGAATTGGAATTTGCAATGGAGTGTTGGAATAGAGAGTGAGAGAGGAAGGAATGGAAAAGGAAATGGTGGAAGCTTGTTCTGAATGAGTGGTTGTTGTAGTTGTGGTTGTGGTTGTTGTGGAGTGTGTGGATGGTCTCAAAGGACTGCGAGCGTGTTGTTGTGGAAATGCATTCAATGTTGACGACGATGATGATGATGAAGAAGAAATATCATGATGAATATTCTTTGATGATTGGAAATGATTTTGTGTGATGATTAATGGAAGAAATGGTCGAGATTCGGCTCCTTGGATACGACCGGCAGACTCGACCGAACCGAATAGTTGTGTCATGACTCCAATCCATAAAAGCAGTAGTAGCAGCAAGACGAGAAAGTGAGATGTTATTGTGTTTGGAAAAGAATATTGTTGATGATGATGACGAGCTGTTCGTTCACGAACTTGATGATGATAGGTTGAACGAAGTATGAACAACAGTTCCTCGCTCTGTCGTCGTGTCATGATGTTTGAATCATGTGCTTGACAATTTTTTGCAACGATAATAAGTGTCAGATGTCAATCTGAACTATGGAAGAGAACTGTTTTGTCTTGTTGAAACCAAATTTATTAACTGTTGTTCAAAGGAGACAATCTTGGACGACTGGAATGAATTTCTGGCTTTAGTGATTTATATGAACAATGTAGAAAACCCGTGTGGTTAAACTGTTGAATTTGGGGATCCGAAAATTGCATGTGTATCACTCCACTGATTTGCCTTATTATCATAAAAGAAATAGTGTGGAGGTAATTGTCCACGACGGTCCACAATCGCAAAAACATTTGTTTTTCGAATGTCTACAAAAACTGAGGACACAAAGAATCTGTTTTCTTCCATTTCATAAGTTTGTCCAATTTCAATCTCTTCCAACAATTTCACATTATTGCTCCAAGAAATAAACACTCGTCTCTGTTGAGGATCAACCCGGAAACGAACCAATCTGTCTTTGGTTGGATCGTCTTCATGCTTTCTTATTAATCCGTAACAATGAAGAGACGGTGGCGATTTTGGAACAAGCTGCTCGTTACACAATTTCATTTGTAGAATGACAGCATCCTTGTGCCGAACAAGAACGATGACACACAGTGCGTTTTGCTTTCTTGTGAAACGCAATACAGAGAATTCGTTGTTTTGTTCGATAACTTCCATCTTGTCATAATTTGGAATTGGGCCAATGAATGCATATTGTGTATCGTGAGCTTGTTTGGTGTATTCAGAACGTAACTCAAAATTTTCAGTGTTGTAATGAAAGAAGTCGTCCATTCCATCCTTAGAAATATCCCATGTTAAGATGATGCGATCGTTGGGAATGTCTAAATTACCTGTTGCTAACGCATAAACAGCAAAATCTATAACATGTGGAACTTGGTCCTGTGTATAACACATAACTCTCATGGAAAGGGATTCCTTTGGATTCAATTTGGATATGGTGTCGGGAAGAGGGATCATGTGTCGTAATGTGGGAACTGAGTTTTTTGATTCATAGAGTATGAGCTCATGCGTCCAAACTAATTTGTTGTTTTTGTAGACATGTAATTCCGTAAATGCAGCTGGTCCATGAGACAGGAAGCTCAAAAATACAAAACATCCTCGAACGCTAAAAAGGTTGTTGTTGAGCTGTTTTTGGACATCTACTTACCTTACTATTTCGTAGTTGTTGTTGACAAAGGTGCTGTAAGGACCGTATGCAGGAAAAGGTGTCACGACAAATGATCGGTCGTGGATAGGAGAACGAACACTCACAAGTGGTGCCATTCTTTTGTTCACCTCTTCTTCAGAAATGTTTTGATGTTCTTTTTGGTATTTTTGCATGCAATAATTAACTCCCTTTTCTGTAAGGATAATCAACTGACCATCAATTCTTGTCCAGTTTTTGTCATGGAACCCACGAGGATGTCCTTTACATTCAGTGACACTATTCAACCTAACAATGAAATTGGGTTTTACCTCAACACCTGAATCCAACCATGTCATTTCATCATTTCGTGATGTGTGAATGTGTTTTGTGGGTTGTCTTACCATTTCATGCACACAATACACCTCAGATCCGCTTGAAACTTCGCTTTCTCCCTTTGATTTCCTCACTAGACAAATATCACCTTCAACATGCTCATTTTCTGTTAAATCGTCGTAATTGAGTGACCATTTGAGTGCTACAACTCTCAATTTTTGAGTAGACTTGTTGATCAGTGATGTTCCTGCACTATAAATTGGACCATTTGGATGTTTGTGCCCAAACGTGTTCCATACCACGAAATACTTGCCATTGATCATTTCATTGCTGACATCAATACCCTGCAGTTTCTCGGTTACCAATGTTTGTTCTGGCATGTTGAATCTGTCTTCCAAACAGCTCTGAAAAATGGAAAACTCCACATTTTTATCTGTCTTTATGAAAGTTTTGCTCAAGATGTTTTGATTAACTGTTTCTCCCAGTAAGTTTGTGATCAATAAATCATTGTTTCCTAAGGTCTTCAGAGCCCATGATGATGAAGATTTCTGTGCACCTCCAATGTCAGTTTTTAATTCCTGTTTTGCTTGCTCTATGCTCGATGCATCCTCGTATTCGTAATGTCTCAGCAACTTCGGATCCTGATCGGGAACGACACTTTGTTTTGCTACCTTCCTGAACAATTCAAAAAATACGATTATATACAGTATCAACAAGGTAAAAGTGATAACAAGTACCCAGCTTCGTACACGATGACTTTTTGAAAGTTTGTTTCTGCTGACTGGGTTTTCGCTTTCGGAAGAAGATGAAAAGGCTCGCTTGGTTGCATACATTTTTTTGAGGCCCTTCCTTAAAAAGACCTTGCTCCTTAATGAATATTCTCAATGTACGAAAGTGTTGCAAAAATTCTGTCATCTTGGCCGTCTTCTTTATAAATGAAATATTTAACGAACTTCACAATGCAAAACGTTGACTCGGTTTCTTGTTGATTGCTCTCTCCTCATGTTCGAGTCTTAAGAAATTATTTAAATGTAGAATCCATGAATGAAGCGAATTCACGCTCCAATTCTTTCGCTCTTGCAATAAACGTCTCGATGTTCTGGTGTTTGCACTTGTTGAACTTTTCATGAAATTCTTTTGCATCAACATGCTTTAGTACACAATCTGAATGTCCAAACAAGTCTTCATAAAGGTATCCAATTTTGTGAGAGCTTCTGGTAGCATCTTCAAACTCAATAGAAAAGGTGGGAACCCTAGCCCTTAATCCAAGAATTGCACCATGATACCTCATTGAAACAATGTAATCACAATTTTGTATGTTTGACCAGAACCATTCACTTTCTGTGGAATACACTGAAACCTCTTTTTTAAATCTTCCATAAAAATTTCCATCTTGCTGTTCCATGGCGAAAAATAAGTCCCTCTCCAAGACCATGTATTGGTCCATGATTTTTGCTAAACTCTCTGGAATTGGTTGTCTCAAGATCCAACAAGTTATACCATCCTTCTTATTCGTTATGTTCTTCTCAGGTGGAAAAGGAAAACTCATTGAGTCGAGCAAAACAGGATCACGAAGTAGAATCACATTGCTACTTGTACTTTCTCGCAACACTTGCTGTGAAGAGAGGTCCCTCGCAGCAACCACCAGAGAATGATTTAAAAGTCCAACAGTGTTCGATACAATTTGGACACTGTACTCTCCTTCACTAGCGCCAACCGAAGCAAAGACCCATGCCGTGTCTGGGAAAAAAGCAAGCGTGTCATTCCAGGTTCTATGGATGGCCCATGGGTAATGAGGATGATTAAAAATTCCACCTCCTCCCACCATCATATAATGAGGCTTGTGATCTGCAAGAAACTTGTGCAAAGCTTCCACAGTGTCAACAACAAATTTTCGTCTGTCGTCGAAGGGATAACAGCAGAACTCGGCAGATAAGGAATAAATATCAACTTCCCTTTTTCCATTGAAATTTCTTTCATTCCATGATTTAAAATGTCCCAGCCACGCATGAATTTGTAAATTATCCCCAAGATTTCCGTTGCCTGCGGCCGTGTAAATGGCCACTCGAATAGGTTTCAATGCTTTAAAAGCATTAGTAGAGATGAGCTGACTTGACAGATGATTTCCAACAATTTGTGACAAGAGAAACATGTAGATTATGACCGCCATTAAATAAAACGATAATTTCACAAATACTTCTCTCATTGTTGGGAAACAATGGTTCAAACAAACATAACTTCCTGCAGAAACACCCAACAGTCCAACTAACAGAGAAGTGAAATGTTCACTTAATTGATAAGGAATCAAGTGAGAGAAATACCAAGACCAGCACATCAAAAAAATGGTTACAAAGGCTCTCTTCAAAATTGAGGCAGATGAATATAGAACTGTATCCCAGTTTTTCATCAAAAAAACGTTAAACGCCAAATATGTTGAGTGTCCAGCACATGCAAAAACCATCCACTTCCACTGCCAGTCCAAGTGAACCGCTTTGGCATACACTGTAATATAAAAAGAAAACATGATGACCGCAGTAAATATAGACACTTTTCTGAAAATCAATGTAAGTTCATGCGAAGAATTTGGAACAGAATACATTCGTCTCAATAATTTGTTTCTATAGCTTAACAACATTGAATTCAGGATGACTGCTATCATTTTTCCAATGTTGGAAGTGGGAGTCGTCCATAACTGCATGGCAGTGATTACCACTGTCGTTAGCGTGTGAACCGTAGCGTCCATTTGGACATATTTTGTTGAGAATAACAAATAGGTGAGAGATGGTTCCAAGCTTCTGATGACCTGGATAGCATGGGCATTGCCAATCCAAAAACCAATTGCAAAATTCGTGTACTGATGCACCATATGAGCAAGGATCAAGGTGGTGGCAAATGAGGGCCCAGCGTTATTTGATGCCGATGCAAAATGTTTGTCATGGAGGACATTGAGAGAGCCTTGTCCTACTTCTAATTTTTCGTCGGCTTCCATTTTAAAACTCTCGGGATGGGCCTCTTTCATTGCTCTCTTCTCCATCACCCACGAAAATACAAATAAACAAAAACTATTCAGAGCCACCATGATGGGTATCTGAAAAATCTCAACTCTTACACTCACTAGAGCGGAAATGACCGCCAGTAAACACCAAGCACTCACAATGAGGCTTGAGGACGGTATATTGGTAATTCGCACCATTTTTTTGAGTTTGAATCTGTACAGAACTAGGAGCTGCTCTGCCGTACAAAGCCTTATTTGAAAGAAGAAGCCGTTTGATTCAAACTAGTCCGCAAATTTCTTTGGAACATCCATATTTTGATAATGGAACCGATGGTTATCAACCTTTACACAGCCATACCTTTGTGAATGGAACGGCTTCTTTCTTAAAGTACAATGTAAGCTCGATGATGAAGAAAGAAGCCGAACGGGTCCACGAGACTCGATCAAACAAAAAATCATTGCTGCCGCTTAGACATCCACAACAAATGTTTACAGTCGTCGTGTTGAAAGCCAATTTTTTTCAAGCATTCCCATGTTCTTTTTAGGTAGTTATGAAATGGACAAGGCAATGATCTATCTATTTGTGTGTTCTTTATCAGGTAAACTGTTTATTTATTTGCTAGATACAACTGGCCTCCACCACACTTTGGCACTTGTGCCACGACAAAATTACCAAACAAAGATTTTTTAAATAGTGGAATCAGCGGAAGGAATCTGTCACACTACCTCAAACAACACACAAACAACCAACAACAAGTCTCCTTCTCATCTATTCCACTAAAGAATGAATGAAATAATTTTTAAAATTGAGAATATTGAACGGATGAGTTGTTTCAACATATGAGTCTTTCAACTATGTCTTCATCTATTCTACTCAATTAGAAATTAATTTTCAAAGTTTTTATCAACGCGAGTGGTGTTGTATTCAAAACTAAGGCGCGTTGTTTGTAAATATTTTTTAAGATGCGAATCTGTGTCTATCGAAAAAGGGTCTGGCACAAGTGCCAGGTTGTGGGGAGCCCTGATTTTTTTTGCGACGTGTAGCAACGTTGGGTATGTGGTGTCTTTTGGATTCCCATCGAAAGAGAGTATTTTGGAAAAGGACAACGGCGTGTGTGTGTTGGGTTTTTTTTGTTCGCAACTTCCTGACTGCCGTGAAGTTTTGAACAATGTTGAACATTGTATGTTGGACGGATAAGGAGCTAAAGTGCGTCGTTTGAACGGATCAGTCTTCATTCTTTGGCTATTTCGTTTTCTTGGGGATTATAGTTTCCTTGGTTTTTGTTGTGTTGTTATTACAACACAAACCAACAACGTCAGATAGAATGTGTTCCGTCATTGGCTTTTTTATTAACCATTTTGATTCTGTTCTCTGAAATTACATTTTGTTGAGCTTAACCTCAAAAAATTTCTTCAAAAAATTAAACAAAAAAAAATGAAAAATAATAATGATCACGTTCCATCCCGACCCTCAGCACAAACACCGTTTGGAAATTTATTTAATACCACTTCTATGAGCAGCAGCACTTCATCAAATGGCAACAACAATCAAGGAGTTATATCAAATCATAGCAATAATAATTCAAATCATCAACAAAGAAATTCATTTTCAACAACTCAACATATTCATCAGACGCATACTGCAACACCTGCAAATTTATTTTCCACGGTTTTTTCCCAAACTGCTCTCAATAACGTAAATTCTTTTGTAGAGGATGAGAATCAACTCAACCGACAGTTTGTGCAATCTGCCAATTCCATCGCTCAACTTTACACCATGTCCTTGCAATCATACAGAAAGTCATATCAGCAGGGAGTTAGGAAGGCCATTCGTAGAATTTCAACAATGCTTCTTCAACATTGCAATTTACATCATCAACACACCCCTCTCAACACTCCGACTTCCAATATTCAAATTCCAGTTGAAACTATTCTTGGCTTTCTAAATCAAGTTTTGCAAGAGGAACTCACATCGGCTAACCAACACAATAGTAGCAGTCACAATTCTTCCAATTCGGGATCAAATACTACGCCTTCAACATCTGCATCACAGCACCACCATGGATCTTATTCGAATAATTTGGCTAACAATTCGAATTCCATGAGTTCCATGCAGCAGCACCACCAACAGAATATATCTCTCAATGTAAATTCAACAGAAACACCCTTGAATGATGTCTCTACAATAGCTGAAACAGATTCCATGATAATTACCACCAATTCTGATCACACTCACGTTGGTGACACTCCGTCAGTTTCAGCATTGGATGGTATCAATTCTGGTAGTAGTAGTGGTAATAATCCTGATATTGGTTCTACTCACAAGTTATCCCCTCTCTCCAATGACGCTAATTCTCCAACGAAAATGCGTCAAAATACTTGTGATGGAGTTAGCATGTCAGCTGCTACGTCCTCATTTGTTACGACAAGCATGCACATCAATTCCAGTACCAATACTCAAGGAAACGATAGCAACAGTCACAACACCAATATTCCTTCGCATCCTTTTTCCTTTCCTTTCCAATTCTCGAGCGCCTCTTCTCAACCCATGATAACAAACCCGTCAACATCCTCTTCGTTCAACCTTAATTTTCCTTCTGACTTTTCATTTGCAAGTGCCTTAATGTCGGGAAGCGTATCAACAACAATGCAACAGAACCGACATCATCGCTCGAATGGAAACCTACATCATCATCATCACAACTCAAGGTATCATTATACCCTCCCAACTACACACAACACTTCCCTTAAGAGAAGTGTGGATGAGTTTTTAGGTCTCATTAGTAATGTCTGTCAAGATGATGACGAAGAGGATGATATTCCAACATTTCTCTTTAGAACCGTAAATACTACTTCTAATGATCAAATCACAACCACTACTGACCCTATGAATCGATCGGAAAATTCTAACTTGAGAAATCTTAGCAACCTCGAGCATTGTAATCATATATCCACTTCCGCCAATCATTCATTTGATCTATCAACAGCAGCTGACATTTCTCAAGAGCTCAGTCCTCTCACCCAAATTTTCAAAAAGAACAGAATTTAACTTGGGTATTTATTATTTTCGAACTTTGCAGTTATTGATCACATTTATCGGCAAAGTGAACCAAGTCTTCAACATTACTTGCATGTGGAGTAGTATTGACACACTGGTCATTACTTCAAGGTCCCCATTTACATCCTTGCCCCTAATACATTGAATTTTAAAGCTTGACATGTTGGAAAATTTTGGGTCTTGAACTTTTGAGGACTTGGGTTCAAGTCATCATTTGAATTGGGATTGTGAGAGCCTGCAAACACCAACTCTAAATTTCCCAAAACGATGTCTCAATACCAAGCAACAGCCATTCGACACATTCGAACTGGCACTAAGAAATTCTTTGAAGGCAATCAAAAATAGCCGATGATCATTCGCATCGTTTTCCATGGGAGGCAATAATGCCATGATCGAAACCAACGAACAGCGATACAAAATCTCCGTTGATGTTGCATTGGTTCTTAATGGTTTCTTCCTTTGTCTCTTACTAAGAGAGGGGACGGTGTTGATATTATAAATTTAGCGAAAGAAAATTCATCAAGGCAATTACTTGTATAATTTATTCTTTACAGGGTTGACAACAGCAGCCATCACAACACATCTTGTTCTTTGGTCCGCACCACAATTCCGATCCGAAACTTTGATGGATGGAGTGTGCTGATTAACATCTTTAAGATTCCCATTCACAATGATGAACACCACCACTACTTCCCTTCAACAACCTTCTCCCGTTCACACAGACAACTACAAACATCTTCTCAAAAAGAAATCAGTCGTCTATGACAAGGAGGGTAATGCGTACAAAAAAAAGTTGAGAAAGATTTTCATTGGTCAAGATCTACAACCTCAACAACATCCACAACAATACTTGTATCTGCAGGGTGGTCCCACCTCTGCAGAACAGGATATATCCACTAGTAATAGTGCAGCTCAATCATCTTCAGCCCCGCAATCATCAACAACGACCAGGGATCATCATGATTCAATCATCACAAATACCTTAATTCATACGGAACAATCAGCAACAAACTTTGTTTGTGCCTCATCATCATCCAAAGATATTCATCAGGAAGGCATTAGAATTAATAACACTACTTGCCCCAAACCTTTTTATAGTGTTGGAGATGCGGTCCGATTCCGTGAACACTCCCAATTAGTAACACAAATTGGCTTTGTTTATCACAAGAAAGCCTCATCTCTTCATGAGAAGGAACGAGTTCCGAAATGTGTCGTTTACATGTTGAGCAATGAGAAGTATTGGGTTCTTGAGTGGCTCTTGATGAAAGAGAATAACATTGAGGTTGGCGCGAGAGTGTTTGAGGGTAAAACAGACAGCATGTCCTCTTCGTCATTGTTGAATTCAACCGGAGCGAGAACAGGTGAACAAGCACGTTCGGCCGAGCATGACACTACATTGGACAATACATTGTTGAATAATAATAGCAATCAACCACACATGAACCAACAACACTCTGTGGCCGAAGGAACCAATAGTACACCATCCGATTTCAATAAGGGTGAATCCATTCATGGTCACTGCATGCAGCAACAAGATGCGTGTAACCATAGTACCATTACATCTCGTTTCAATGCGCTGCACCAACAATCCTCAAACAAACTCGCTCATGGTGGTCAACAACCTCATTCCACACAACTCTCTCCATTCTCTCACGGGATCGCAAAAAGCTTAATTCACACGTTAACAACTGCACATGGCTGCAATTCACTGATGCATCAGAAATCCAACCACAACTTGTGCACTCCTGCATCACTTCAGCAATTAATTACACTATTTCAACCCAAGAAGAGCCAGAACTCAAATTATGCTATGGTTACGAATGTTGATAATAATAATAAGGAGAAGTGCAACCACCACGCTGAAGACAACAAACCAAACGCACCACATGTAGACCAGTGCCCAATAGATTCTGAACAAGTTGTTTTTGCCACTCCAATCAAGAATCTTTCAAACGCATTCCGACCAATCACTTCAGTTGCGGAAGATTTTGCTAATAACATCATGCCACCAAACGAAATCATGTCTGACCCGAAAAAAAAACTCTCCTTATTGCTCGTTTCATCACATCATCCAAGCAAACGAAAGAAACAATTAGCCCATAACTCCGTTCTACTGACAAGCCAACTCAACAACAAGCAGCATACAACTGTTGAGAATAACAATTATCAGATTAATACGAATAACAATATTCGTGTAAACTCAGCGGGAGAACAAAGCGAACAACATTCAAATATTGCAAGCAATAATAATAATCAGAACCATTCCTCTTGCTTTGCACCATCAAATAATAGCACAATCAACAACACTTACAGCGGTATCCATTCTACAATTCCATCAAACATGAACCAATTCTTTATTCAGCCTCCATCCTCATCATCAAACACAGACCAATCCAATGATGCCAACTCGAGTTTTAAAAAACAAATCATGCTGAATCATATTCATCAACGACAACAACTAGTCAATCAACAACTTATGGAATTATTGAATCAACAAAAGAGATCATCCTCTTCTTCGTTGAACAGTAGCGGAGGTTTTACTGGTGCATCACAAAAGTTTGAAAATCAGAATAATCAACTGAATGTTCTAAATATTAGCAATAATGCACCATCACAGCAAGCTCATTTCCAATACAATATACAGCCATCAAGCGGTCCATTCAGCCAGACGACCATTCTCTTCTTTAATCACAACTTTGACTTGCGACCAACTGATCTACTTCAATTTTTAGTGATTCAAGTGAAGGACGGACAAACATTGAAGGCATCATGCTTGAACCCTGTAGTTTCATATGATAATGATACCTTACTCATGCTAAATGAAATTTCCAATCGTGTTGCCTTGAATTCACTATCTAGTCTAGACGAAGAATTGTCAAAGTTTGTTCATTCAAGTCCTCTTCTCATCTCCATGCCTCCGCAAGATGAACCATGTAGCGTTTTGCTCGTATTGATGAAGAATTTCGTTCCTGTCACATCACCAATCTTGTTTGAGTATACTTTACCTTGAACGTGAAATTATATCATAGCTCATTTGTGGGCTGAACTGAGGGTATGAACAAATTGAAAACAGATAGATTCGAGAGCTGCACGTCAAAAAGGTAATCAACACGTCCATCCATTCTATTGCAATGAGTTCATTGCATCCAAATACGAAATTGTATACAGACACTATTAAGCAACTTAACACGCCTATTGGTCTGGAAATGGAATACGAGTTATGTGGAGCAATAGCATTCATTGTTGATAATTTAAATGATGGAGATACGATATGTTGAGGATGAATTAGATTAAATTATTAATGATTTAATTGCAGAGTTATCCAATCTTACTTTTCAAGACAATAGATAAGACAACACACTTGCAAAAAGAAATCTATTGATCAATAATAGATTTCCACTCTCAATATTTTCTCAACCAACACAAAAGAAACGAGATGAAACCAACCTCTTCCTTGCTCATCCTATTGTTATTATTTGGTTGCCTTTTCTCATCCTTTTCATTGGCAACAGTCACCTGTCCACCCTTCCATTCCATTGCCCACATTGATTTCAAAATCAATTCATTTTCCTCTCCTCTCCATATTTGTTCGGGTGTTGTTGTGTTGAGAAAACACAATGATGATCATGCTTCAACTGTTTCACTCGTGTTGGCACCCGCCAACTGTTTGATGAGCAACAATCCAACTGGTGGATCTAAATTCACACCCATTCATTCTTCCTTATTGAGAATTCGAATGATGACTGCTGATGTTGACGAAATGGAGTTACATGAAACAACAACAACTAGCACTGCACGAATCAGAGAGATTAACATTCATCCCAAATTCAATCCATGGACTTTGGATAATAATTTAGCCATGATCACTGTCGAGCATGATGACAAGGAGGCACTGAATCATCTTCCATCGATGACAATCTCTCCACAGGAATTACTCGAATCATGTTTCAAGAATTTCGAACAGCTTGAACAAGAAATGGCACGCAATCCCTCTTCCTTTACCATGTGGTTGTTGTTGACAAGAAGTAATAGTGGTGACTCTGAACATCCATTCTCTACCACAATGGAGCTTCCATCCCTTGTTCAGAAATCTTTCAATGCAGCAGCTTCTAAAGAAATTACACTCATGTTGGAAAAGAAACCATTTGACGAAGAAGAATTCGATCCACATGCAGAAGAAGAACTCGACTGGTTTTCGACATCCATCTTGTTATTGAAGTGGAAAGAGAATAATGAATTTTCTAAAGAAAATCATGGTATCATTCCAATTGGACTTGCAGCATATCGAGTGAATAAGGAGAAGGCTGTTTTCACCTCCATGCCATTCTTTATGAAGAGAGATGATTGGTTAAAACAACAATTCAACAATGTATTGGAAAAGCAAGTCTCCATGAACCAAGAGTTGAGAAGTGTACATGTGAGAGAACCATATTTTACAAGTGTTTCTTCGTCGTCGACCTCGTTGAGACAGATTGCACGACAAATCCATCAAAGAATTCAATCATTGATTCATTCAGATCAACCAGAGCCACTGAAGCCAAGTTCTTATGAAATTCCCAAACCACAATCAATTCCTCAGCCCATGACACGATTTACCCCATTCCAAAATTCATTTGAAACATTTAATTATGTGCGATCCATTTCTAAGAACATGAGAAGGAGATTATTGGAGACTATTGGTATGGATGAATCAAGGGAGAGCACTACCATTCCTCAATCACTCCCAACTTCAAGCAGAAGCGAAAGACTCTCAGAAATTGTACACAATGTTCATCAGAGAATTGAAAACGTTGTTAAGGCAACTTAGTTATTATTGATATTACCAAGCCTTGCATTAAATTGTAGTTAAAAATGCAGTTTAATCGAGACAACATAGTGAGCATTCCAAATCACCTATAAACAATTTTATCTCTGAACAACAAGTCATAGTGTTTTGTTTGTGTTGCTGCTTTGTGCTCCAGTTCAAAGTCTGGGTACTTGGATCGGGCAACTTTGTTTCCAAGACACTTGCTCAATTCATTTGGGGGTGACAACTGGTCCGTATAAAAATTGTCTTCTTCTTTCGGTGAGGCAGAACAAAATCCAATGACTTGAATTCTTTTCTCTCGCATCAGGGGAAGATTATGCCTCACTTCGTCGGGTTCATTGAGGTATCGATTGATGGCTTTTCCAAGTAAAATAGGTCCACTCACAGCAAGAACTTGAAATTGTCCTTTTAATAGCGAAGGAACGCTTGGATAAAACTTGTTCTTGACATTGTAAATAACCATGTCCATGGCAATTCGTAAAATTGGATGTTTTGGAACACTTCCAATGAAACCATTGTGAAATCCAAAACCAATCTTTTCCAAGGGAATGATAAAAGTTGAATTTGGTGAAATCCATTTCTCAAATGGTTCCAACAACATCATGTCTGCATCAGCATAAAATCCTCCAAATAACCACAACATGGCATATCTCCAAAAATCAATTTTGAATGCTCCTGGAATTAAATTTCTGAATGCAAACACTTCATCTGAATCATTTCCAAAATTGTCAATTAGAATTTGCAAAGCAGCATCATCTCCGAAATATTTATGAGAATAATCAGGATTCAGAACTTTGAATGAATTCATTGCTTGTTTCATGGAGAGCGGTATCTGATCCATACTAGCGGGTACGTAGGTCTGTATAATTGTTTGAGGTATCTTGTTATTTTCTAATGATGGATCCTGAAGAGATGAATATAAATTTGATAAACATTTACCATGATGCTGGTGCGTATAGGGACGGAAGGCTTTTTGACTCTTCGGATTAGATCGATAATACCTCCACAGTAGCAAGCATAATACCCCTAAGGCAACGCAGCTAAGTAAGGTTCTTGAAGAACCCAATTTTGTGACAGTCATTTTTTTTCTGTTTAGGTGATCTCATCTTTCAAACGTTGTGAAAAAATCTTGAAAAAAATATTGTTTATTTATTCTTACATCATCAATGCGGAAACGAACATCACCACAACAGCAAGAACGGACATAGTCCACGACGAAGCACTGCTCACTTGCTTGCTGGTACTTGTCTTTGGACTGCTAACAGGAGTAGTCTCCGTTGCCACTACATACACTCCAGTACTTTTAACATCCAACGTAACACTTGTGGACGAGGCAGACACTGCACAGGTTGTGTCCTTGACGAAAGAGGTACCGTCCCATTTTTGACAAACCAATGCAGAAGCAGCACGTGAATTCAATCGTGCGAGAGACAAGGAAGCAACACTACTAGTTCCCGAAATGGCTACAGCACTGTTCGATGTGGAAGTGATGGACAACTCAATGGCCTTTGTTGCAGCTTGAGTAACCGAGCTTGGATAAACCTTCACTTTAACATTGACCTCCTCTAGTGATGACAATGCATTCGAAGAAGCAATGTCTGAAGCGAGAGTAAATGAATTAAGACCGCTCACATTGGCAGCAAGAGCATTAAGAGTGGAAAGCGAAACCTTTCTGAGATAAGAAACAGATGAATCGGCACCAGTGACAACAGTAGCGGGCATGTCAGCAACGTTGGTCTTGACTTGGACAAGTGCAAGATTATCATAGACACCCTTTACATTGGCAAGATCAGTCTTTGTAAAAGCACGGGTCATTCTGGAAGCAACATTGGTTGAGACACGGTTGTAAACAGAGTCAGCTGACTTGCGCGAAGATTCAACTTGGTCAGAGTTAATGTTGATAGTGCTCGAGTCGGCAACACCCTTAGTAGATGCGTACAAGACGTTACCAACCAACGAGACTGTGTTGTCTGAAATCTTGTCAATGCTCTTGGTAGCAGCAGAAATTAGAGAAATAGTTGCAGTTGTGGTTTGCTCGCTTTGGCTGGTAATTGCTTCTTCCTTAGTGGTTGCAGTCAAGAAGTTGGTGATGGTATTTTCAGCAGCAGCAGTGACCTTGGCCTTTTGTGCTGGATCAGTGATGCTATTAAGGTCAACACTACCAATCATTTCCAATACAGCAGAGCTGTCAGACAAAGTAGCTGAGGTTTGGTCAGCAAATGATGCAATGGCGTTCAGTGTAGCTTCAGTGCTTGGCCTAGTAACAGTCACGGTGGTTTCGAGTTCAGAAGCAGCTCCTAAGGCATCGTACACAACGGCCTTTACATACATGGTTCCCACTTTACCGAGCTTGGTCGAAATGGAGTTTGTAGTTGATCGTTGAGAAATAATGTTCCATGTCGTTTCACTGTCAAGTCTGGTTCTAAACTCGTAGGTTAATGGAAGTTGTGGATCTGTCCAACCATTCTCGCAAGCAATCTTAAAGTCGTCAACAAGAGCAACACCTGTGGAAGGAGAAACATCCAAAACACCAACAGTTGGTGGAGAGTTCACTGTAAAGGTAACGTCAGAACTTCCAGTCTTTGTAATGGTTTCACCACCAACGACAACCGTGTCAGTGACTGTAACTGTAACTGTGTATGAGGCACCTGGTGACAATAAGGATCCTGGGATTTGTAAAATATTCTTGTCTGTTGCAATGGAGGCAGAAACAAAGTCCAAATCAGCCGAGGACCAAGTGACAACTTTCTTATTTGTAAGAATTTGTCGATCCAACAGCTTGAGACCCAAAATTAATGTTTTAGACGAATCCACAACACTCAAGTCGACACCTTCTTGTGGAACAATTGTTGCTTTGAGAACTGTTGAGCTCGTTTGATCGAGAACATTAACCTTGACAGAAGCAGAGGATGATCTTCCGTCAGACTTTGAGTAAGTGGCAGTGAATCTGTACAAAGCTGGATCCATGGAAGCCACAGACAACGAGAGAGTTGAGGAAATGTCTTGTGGGAATCCAGAGCATGCATTGGAAGTGTCCAAATTAACACAAGACACTGACACTGTTCCATCGGTGCTGGATGGATTACTTGGATCAAGTCGCTTTACAGCAAGAGTTACTGGCTTGTCCTTGGCTTGAGCAAAGTCTCCAACAGTGAATGAAACCTTCAATGGAAGAGCAGCAGCAGTGACCTTGAATGGAAGAGTAACGTTTTGAGCACCGCTTTGACTAGCCGTGACAGTGAAGAAATAATCACCGGCTGCTGGAAGAACAGTCCGACGAGGACCGAAAACCAATAATCCATTCTCTTGAACAACGTCAAAGGTTGTAGAGGTCTTTGAAGAATCAATCTTGAAAGAATATGAAACTGCTCCACTTCCTTTGTAGCAAGCCTTATTTGGAATGGTGACCATTGGAGTGATCACAGAGAGTTTGCCGATGGTAACTGAGCTTGCAATACCTTCTCTAACGCTCAATGTTGGAACAGAAGCCTCTGTAACTTCAAAAGAAATGGTTTGTGTAGCAATAGAGTCTGAGGTGAAGGTACTTGCGACTACAACTTGCATAGTGTATGTACCAACACTCAAACTAGTGGAATCGATAACAATTCTTGAGAGAGATGCTTGAGAGGCAATGATACTGTCCAAAGTACTCTGGTCGTCAGTGGTTGGTGTAACAATAGCAGACCATGCAAAATTGAGCTTACGTCTGTCCAATGAGGATGATGCTGAGGCATCAAGGTAAATCTTACCACATCCCTTCGTGACAAGATATTTATCGGCCACCAGAACAGCACTTGGAGCGATTGCTTGATAGGAACCTCTAGTAACGGTCACAGTTACAGTTTCAGAATCACCAGACTTAGGATACAAACCCAAGGTCAGAGTAGAACCAATACCAATGGTAGCTCCTGCACCCAAAATAATTTGGAACTCATTTCGAGAAGAATCAAGCAAACAAGTGGCACCCTTTCCGAGAGAAGCTAAAGAACTAGATTTGACTAGATCAGCACACCCAATTGGAGCCTTAATAGAAGAGTATACAGTGCCAGTGATGACATCTCCCATCGTGGAGAAACTAAATGCGTCCATAACCTTAAAGTCACATTTAGCACCATACCAACCACTTTCACAAGATTCGCAGTATGATCCAGTGGTATGAGCATTGCAAGTACATCCACCTGTATCGTTACAACTTCCTCTATTGTTACACTTGCTGGCAGTGCATTGATATTGGCAATCGGATCCTGTGTAACCGGCTTTACATCTGTCGCAATATTTACCTTCCCAGTTTCCAGTACAGGAGCATGCAAGAGCATTACATACACCATGACCACTGCATGTTGTAGCAGCATTACAAATTTGATTGGTACACTTATCACCATCATAGTCTTTCGTACACGAACTGCAATAACTGCTTGCTGCATAATTTCCAGAGCATACACAAACGTTTGGAGAAACACATTTGCCCTTTCCTGAACAAACATTAGCGTCGAGTCTATCAACACCATTGCAAGCAAAGGTTTGACAGCTCGTTCCATTATATCCTGAAATACACGAGCAAGTATTTGGACCAATACATTTACCTCTTCCACCACAAACACTTGGATCAGATGCTGGAATACCTGAGCAAATAGGAACTTCACAGAAAATGCCTGTATAACCAGCCTTACATGCTCTACATGATGGGCCATCATAATTGTTATTGCATTTACACACATTGTCAGAGCCACAAGTACCACGGAAAGAACATCCTCCTTCTACTTGAGATCTACCGTTACACATTGGAACATCACACTGCATACCAGTGAACTTATCATTACATTGGCAATTGTTTGGACCACCACACTTTCCATTTCCATTACAGACTCCAGTATCAGTCTCATTCTTTCCAAAGCATTCATAGTATTGACAATCTGAACCAACAACTCCTGTTGGGCATGAACACAAATTTTGGCCAATACATTTACCTCTTCCAGAGCAGACAGCAGAATTGCTATGAGCAATGCCATTGCAAGTAGTGTTCGATGGAAGATAGGGACCATAAAAACATGTAGGGGTTTGTGAGGAAATTAGAGCACATTGAGAAGAGGCGTCCATATGTAATTCCTGAGTTCCAATTGCTTTACATGCATCCAAACAGAGAGGTTGGGTCTGTGGCACCATATTTTGTACAATACATGATTTGAAGCTCACGTAACATGCAACCCTTATCATGGCTGGAAGACATGTCGAATTACATGTAGGGAATTTGGGCATGTACGAGTTGGCAGTTTCGTTGATTATAGAGTCTCTAGCCTTGATCGATGTTTTTAAGGCTTCAATGTACTTGTCTACACTGGAAAACGTTTGACTGCCCACATAGTCTGTGTTAAGCACAGCATAATTGACAATACCAGAGCATTGAGAAAGAACACCACTTGGGACGGTTACGCACGCAGCAGGAGGTTTGTATTGCTCGCACTTATCACCGCTCCAATTAGGTGGGCATATCCTCACACAAGCTCCTTTCACATTGGTCATGCCAGAAGGACATTGACAAGTTCCATTGGTGGATTCAACGAACCCAGCAGCTTTGTTACACATGCAGCTGGAACCTTCAGAAATGTATCCAGCCAAGGGATCGCAAATGCAAGCCTTAGTAGCAGGGTCCACAATTTTACCGGAACCAGAGCAACTGGCACATGGGTTTGAGGGATCAGTGGTCGTGTATCCATCAATACAAAGGCAAATGGGCGAATTTTGAGAGTCAAAGGAGCATGTTCCATGAGCACCACAGTTTAAGGAACAATCACGAGTGGAGCAATCTTTTCCAGAGTAGCCTGTGGTACAGTTGCAGGCTTCATTACCATAATTATCAAAATAACAAAAGCCGTGGTTGCTGCAGGTTGCATTGCATGTACTGCCACCATTTTCGCTGAGGAACCACAATCCAGGTTCAGAGCAGTGTTCACCACCCCATCCATCGCTGCAGCTACAGATTACATCACCAGGTTCATTGTATTCGCAATGGGTGTGGTGTCCACAAAATTGAGTGCAAGAAGGAGGGGCTGTTTCGCAGGCATCGCCTGAATAACCAAAGGAGCACAAACATTGAGGGGAATTTGAATCTGGATCAACATAGCAGGATCCATGACTACCACAGGACACTCCTGCACACAGAGAGTCGGAACAATAAACGGCACCAATCAGAGCTGCCAGAAGCAGTACGGCCGAACAAACAATATAATGTCGTATGCGCATCGTCTGTTGGTGTGTGTGTTTTTTTTTGAGGGTTTGTTTGGGCAATAAGGCTCAACATTACAGCTTCTTCAGCCAACCCGCCACATTTATTGTAAACCCAACGGCTACTGGATTGGGTGGTGAAGTTAGACTTACTTGTACCTCCTTCATTCCCAACCATTTCAAGGGTTACCCTTTTCCAAAGGACATAAAAGATGAAGGTAGGCAAGCCATCCTTTATTAGAGGCTGTGGTAAATAATTTGGTCTTGAAAGTTTATTATATTTCATGAGTAAAAACAAATTTATTTTCTGAAATTGTTAAAGTCATGGAAATTTGGAGCACACGCATGGATATCATCATCTGAAAGAGCTACATCCATGCTAAGTGAAGGCATTCCATACTCTGCTAATCCTTGCTCGAGTGTTTTAGGAATAGTTGATCGTCCTACTCCACCTGAATATCTCATAATCCTTTGTTTCACCCTTGCCCACGTCTTTCTCAATTCCGTTCGTTGTTGCTTGTTAAAACTGCTCATATTTTCACTCACTTTTGAAAGATCTGTTCTCGATAACAGTTGCAGTAAATGGTCCCAGCTGTCAAAATGAATCACATGAGGAAACATGTAAAAATCGCTAAATCCCAACCAATACTCTTCTACTTGAGAAGTATTACCAACCGAACTAGAAATGGTTTGTGGGATAAATTTCGGAATATCCATTAAAAGATGAAATTCGTTGTCCCATGAGATTAACAACTTCTTAGACGGCACAAATATTGGAATACTCATCCTGTAAAAATCAAAGAAAGAAATCATTGATACTTGATAAGGTAGAACGATAATCGCGGTACCTGAGGTCAGTTCAAGTCGGCTGTACTTGGGATATGAATCCTTAATGAAAGTAAAAGTCCATTGTGACGCTTTGTTGCTCAGTATGTTCTTCAGACCGGTCATAATAGGGTGTTGCCATCTGTTCTGCTCCACATATTCAGGAAAAGGAGTTATGAAAATTTCCTTCCGTATCGGATGGTAAATGAGATACTTTCCTTTTTCAATCCTGTTGCCACACCAAAAGGGTATGTATTCAACATTCAAACCTGTTTGGAATTTGATGAGATTCAGGTCAAACATGTTATTTGCCGCAATTATGTTTCTAGGATGAGAAGCAATTTTCTTTAAATTTTCCATCCATTGACTTTCTCTGAGGGATCTTTCGTAAGAGGTTATCTTCGATTTACCTTCACCTTTTTGAATCTCCATTCTTGTGGCGTACACAATAAGGCTCTTATTGAACGGCATGAAAAATTCACAGTTCGAAACTGGATGGCTACATATCACACCATCCACTCGCTCCATTTCAGGGTCAGTTCGGTACGCGTTATAGAACTCTCTTTTCAGTCGATTTCGGCAGGGTTCGTTCTCGTTTGGTCGTGGTTTAAATAAGCAATGTCGTTTCGATGTTGATGGATTGCAATTAGGAAATCTAGCTTCAGCAGCAACTACAAATCCAACGTCTGTCAATAGGTTCATGTTACACCCAATGGGAGCAGCATGGGAATCACTTGTCCAAAGGTATACCTTGTCGTTCTTGTGACTGTCCCATGCTCTAGTGTAAGAGTTAAAAATATTGGAGCATACTTGTGGCTCCTTATCTGCATTTTCTTTTTTAATGCAAAGCTTAATGCATTCCGGATGTAGTATCGAGTCACCATGTTGCATTACAAACGCTTTGTAATTTTCATGAAAACAGAATAACTTGAGAATGGATTCGTCTAGAGTGGCCAACGTAATTTCAGTCGAAGGTTTGATGAGAGCTTTCAATGACTCCATAATGATAGATGATTCTTTGGTTATACCTGGTCGAACTCCATTAAATGAGAGGTCACTAAATAAATTCCTGAACAATCGTTCCTCGGGAGAATAGAAGATTGATTTGCTGTGCACGAGATAGGTGTTGGGATTATTTCTACTTAGCTCCCAGGCATCATAGACTTCCTCACACCGATTCTGAATAACGTCCGTGTAGAGAAATTTGTGGTGATATCTCATTTCGTTCCAATTGTTGCCGTGAGTCCTAAATCTGTACAGTGTGTGATCATAGCCTCCTTCGAACACTTCTCCAGTAGCACAACCTGCCACTGATACAGAGCTCATTCCTGCTGGATAAAAATTGATCATTCGTTCCATATATCGATCAAACTCTGGGTCTTGAAGGTAGTACACTGCATTTCCGTTCATATGAACATCCGTTCTGGCTGCAATGTCACCATATGATGCTGGGCATCGACTCAAACTTCCCATCTGCCAAAAATCACTTTGGCCATTGTGGAAATTCTTTTGAATTTCGGTAATTAATCTTTCAACCCAATAATCTCGGATGGGAACAACGTCTGGTTCCATCAAGAAGAAATAATGGAAGCCTAAGGCTTTCAGTTGGCGAAACGCTTCGTAAAACATGAAACAAGGGCCATCTGGATGAGTTTTGTCCGTAATGGGATCTGTTTTGGCGGATAATAACAATATTCCCTTATTAAAACATGATGATTGTGTGTTTTGTTTGGTATAAGCATTCCATTTCTTGATAATGTATCGTTGCAAATCAACACCGTCCAAAGTATTCATATCTTCCGAGAATAACGTGAATCGATTTTGATCTCCAGCCTTTTCAAAATCTAAATGAAAGAAAACGACATAGGTAATCTCAATCTTCCCTTTGGGAAGAACATGATTAACAAAATTTGAAGAGCATGGTATTCCGCTTGGTTGATCTCCGGTGTTGGTCATCCATCGATTCCACTGACCAAATAATTTCTTCGTCTGAGTTTTAATGAACGGAGACATGATGGCCACTCGCACAACTCCGTCATCTTGCTTTGAAGGCTTTTCATTTTCTGTAGCCGAGTGGAAGGCAAGACTCTGCTTTCGGAAATAAAAGTAAGAAACCAAAAGGATACAAGATGCAGCTGCTAAAATCAAACATAAAATTGCGTTCCGAGTCCTTGAGTAGGTGGACGTATGTGTCCTTGAAGAGCCTCGATTCATGCCCGAGGAGCTGTTGTTGTTGAACAACGAAATGTTGGCTGGGACCATGTGGCAATTTTTTGTCTGTGGAAACGTAAAAACGAGCGGCTTTTTGAGGTTCCAATTAACTTTTATAAAAGAGGATATAATTTATTTTGCAGTTGCCTCTTCTGTTCTATTCAGATGAGCCAACAATTGTTGTTGTTTTTCCAATTGCTCTTTGTTGAATATGCCTCTCAAGACAATGGTGTGTTCATCTTTTTCACACATTTGATTCATGTAATTTCTGAAATCCACACCCAAAGGAGGGATGCCATAATGATTCAAGCCCTCTTCGATATTTCTTGGCATTTTAGAATTTCCAAAACTTCCTCCAGAATAATGGAGAATATTGTTTTTGATTTTTGTCCAGGTGGCCTTCAATTCTTCTCTTTGTTTTGCATTGAATACTTTCATGTTGTCACTTATTGCTTTCAGGTCAGAATTTTCAATTTTGTAAATTAAATCTTCAAAATTGTCAAAAGTTTGAATGTGAGGAAACGTGTAGTAATCTGAATACTTAAGCCAATATTCCAGACTAGCTTTAGAATTTTCATAGGGACTCGGAATACCGTCATCCATTTTCACTACTCTCTCAGGATCTCCATACACACGTTCCCACATGTTGTTGTGTTCAAGTTGCCATTTAATCATCAGAGAAAGGGAAGGTACAAACAGTGGGATATTAAGTCTATAATATTCAAAGAACGACATTACTGATACTTGGTAAGGAATAAGAACGATGGCTGGATGGGACGCTAAATCAGATATTGAATATTGAGGGTAAATTATTCTCATTCTAACAAATGTAAGCTTGGTCTTTGTCTTAGCAGCTGCATTCGATAAATCAGTCATAATTGGATGTTTTAAAGCTATCTGTTCGTCAAAACTTGGATAGTTCAAATTGTCGCGATATGGTCCCAATAAAATTTCAGTTCGAACTGGATTGTACTTGGTGCTCTCAGGAAAATCTCCGCACCAAGATGGAATATACTCAACTTTTAACCCAGTATGATAGGAAATATATTCGGCATCGTATTTGTTGTTGGCAGCAATTATGTTTCTTGGATTCGCAGCTATTTTTTGCAGAGTTTTAACCCAAGAAATCCATCGATAGGTGTTGGCACTGGTAAAGTATGGCTTTCTCCAATCTATAAATCTATCATTTCTACCAAATTCCAAACGAGTAGTTGCATATACTATCAATGATTTGTTAAATGGAAGATATAACTCACAGTTGGCGACAGGATGGCTACAAATTACAGCATCAACTCTTTGCATCTCTGGATCATTCCTGTATGCATGAAAAAAGTCTCGTCTTATCTTGTTTGGGCATGGATCCAAAGAAACGCCCTTCCAACCGTCAATAGATAACACTTTGAGACGAGTTTTGCAAGTACCAGGAAAATGTCTACAATTTTCATAGTCAATTTCTGCATGTGTTTCAATTCCAACTTCAGATAAAATGTTCATGTTGCAACCAATTGGTGCTGCATGAAAGTCGCTTGTCCAAAGATAGAGCTTATTATTGAGAGATGATTTCTTCCACTTCTCATCAGCTACATCAGAGTACGGCTCGCAAAATCCTGGTGCTTTTTCGTTCAACAGTTTCGCCAAATTTTGATTCTTGTAACAAATTTTGATGCACAATGGATGGAGAGCAGAATGGCCAGCCAATTTAAAAAAGTTGAGATATCTGGCAGTAGAACAGAGTAAATAAACGAGATACTCATGATTTTCAAGCATTTCCATCACACTGCGTTTAGCATTTCCTGATTCATTATTCATAATCATTCGAATGTAATCTAAAATTGGTTTGTGCTCTTCCTTGTTGGGTACGAGATGGAGTTTGTTCTCCGTTAGCTCTCTGTATAAGAGTGAAAATAATTTTCGCTCTGGAGTCCATTCAATAAATTTGCTCTGGATAAGGTAGGTGTTTGTAAAGTCACGCAACAAATCTTCAAGATGGATAGGTTCCTCACAAAAATTAAGGAAAAAATCAGAGTATTGGAATTTGTGAAAAGTATTAGAAGTTATGCTCCAATGAACGGGCTGCATTCTATAGTCAAATAACGCCGCGTCAGGTCCTACACCGTCTATTGATCCTGTAGAACAACCTTTTACTTGAACACCACCATTTCCAACTGGAAAATGCTCATGAGCTTTGTTCACATACTCAACAAAGTTCTCGTCTTTTAAAAAATAGAGGGCGTTTCTATTAATTCGATAATCCTTTCTGCTGGCCATCCTGTTTCTGGCTTGATGGCAATGGTTAACGCTTCCTCGTTGCCAAAAATCACTCACACGACCTTCATTATTGTTGTGTCTACGAGTCAAAATCTGCTCAAACAGTTGATCCAACCAAAATTCTCGAATTGCCCTAACGGATGCTTCCATGAAATACATGTAGTCGTATCCTAATTTTCTGACCATATCAAATCCATTATAGAAGGATTGACATGCGAGTTCTGCATGGTTTTTTGTGAATTCGGAATGTGCTGATTTGATGACCAAATTTTTGAAACAATGTGAAACTTTTGGCAACCTATTCCAAACACTTTTCAACACATCTGCAACCGAATGCATTTTCTTTTCTTGGCGTGTTAAAACAGAGATTTTTCTGAGGAGTGCTTTCCATTCTTTTTGCTCTTGTGGATGTAATTTTTCAATATCGAAATCGTAATGGAGAATATAGGTTGCTGTTGCCGATTGTTGTCCGAAAAGAGTTTCAGAACATGGATAATGTTGACTCTCCCATCCATTCCAATTTGATATTATATTCCTGACATCTGAAATTCGGAACGGTACAAGAATGGCCAATGTTATGTTCTCGGTATGTTGATGAATAACGTTCTGTAGCAACAAATTTCTACGTAGAGAGGGATGAATCTGGTTTTCATGATGATTATTATTTTCTGTTGTTGCTGGAACAGAATTCAGCCCGTGATAGGCTTGATTTTTTCTTTTCCGAATCAAAAAAGAAAAGTGCCGATAGAGCAAGACTCCCGAAATCATCAACAGCAGTGTAAAACTAATGATGAGAACCCTCCTAACGAGTGGAGACGAAGGCTTTTTCATTACATTCATTCTTATTTGCTAGGGACACTCAAGAGATTCGTTCTGAGTTGTTAAGGCTTGCTCAGCACGACTACAGATTTTTTTTTGGTTTTAATTCACCTGAGCGTTTTGCCAAGGCATACAATTCTTTATTCCCGCTAGAGCGAGCCTCCGTGTTCAAATATATTGCAAGTCCTTTCTAAAGGCAATTCTCATGCCGATAGCTTGGTTCAAAAATGTTGCAATGAAAGCAAGTCATTTCTAAAGGCAAAAGCATCATGCCAGCCGCTAATTTCAAGTGTTTCTGGAGTGATAGGTCGTGTTTTGTCGGAACCCCAATACATGGTGTAGCCGTGCGAGGTCAAGAGTCGAACAAGTTCTTTTGGATCGTCACCTGCTCTATTAATGTTGACAGAGAGCTCAATTTGCCACAGTTTAACTCTTCGTTGAGCCAATAATTTTGTGGCACCATGCAATGCTTTCATTTCAAAACCCTCAATATCCATTTTGACATAGTCAAATTCTACTCCTTTTGGAATGAATCCTTCTTGTTCATACTTTTCTACAATCATATCGATGGTGGTTTTAGGCACTTGAACATTTCTTGCTCTGCTGTCTGAATCGGGAAGTGCATTGGAACCACCTGGATTACTACCTCCATAGACCATCTTGATAGCACCGATTCCATCTGCAGACAATGCCACTTTTTCAATCCGAATTCGTTCCTCTTGTTTGTTGGCTAAAACGTTGAACTGAACCACAGAAGAAAAGAGAGGCTCCACAGCAATCCCTGAATATCAAAGATACATGTATTTACAACAATATATACTGAACGAAAGAACGAAAAGTATAATACCTTACCTTTCCAATTTCCTTTGGATGCCAACATTAGAGCAAATAATCCTATATTCGAGCCAAAATCCATAAAGTATCGTTGTTTTTGGAAAGTAAACAAGTTTGCAAGAAAGTATTCTTGAGGATCAAACACTTCCCATCTCCCAGTGCTTTGTAAAGCCTTGCAAATGATGGCGTCTTCGGAAAAGCAAGCTATGGATAAGGGAGGAAAGGTCTTGGTGATTATAGGATAGGTAATTCTGAGAAGCAAATCGTTGAAAATATCGAGAGAAGGCACTGAAGACCTGGTTTTTACAACAACCATCCTGCTCTCATGGTTACCAGTGAAAATGACAGCAGCAAATCCCACAGCCACAAGAATAATGAATGCGAGTGGTATTATTCGCTGAGTGAAGCTGATCATCATTTGAAGTAGTGGTGTTGGTAGGTTTAGTTCGTTTTTTTCCATCATCCTTTCTTGGAGATGCATCTGGTTGAGCGCAAAAGTAATAATCCAACAACTCACAGACGCCGTTGGGACCGTTCACTTGAATGCGGAGTTTTAGGTCAAATTAAGGCACCAATATTTTTTGGTATTATTTTAAGGGTTCCTTATGGCAGCTGCAATACAACCACTCTTCACAAATTTCTTGAGAAAAGGTTGCGCGAAGTAATTCCTTACACCAGAGAAATTAAAAAATTTTTTGCGAGCCAGCTGTGACAGTTGAGTACCCCTCTTGATTGCGCAGGGGGGGTAATTCAGACCGTGTGGTTGTATTTAATAATAATTACGACCGTTACATAACGTCCAAAGTTTTAATGCAAGCTAACTTTTTCATGGTTTGAAGTCTAACATGTTAGTTCATTCATCAATCAAACTATATTTTCAAAGGTCAAAGATCAGATAATCAACCGGGCTTTAATGAGTGGCCCAACCATGTCTCTCTGTAAAAAAATGAAATGGCTTTTGCTCAGCTTGGCAGGTGTGATGAGCATCTTGATGTGTTGGATGGTCTTGATTTCAATTCGTTGGGCTCCGAGAAGGTCTTCTCCTCAAATTGTGCAGTATAAACCGTATTCTCTGGTGAAGTGTCCTGTGGTTATTTCTGAAACGGAAAGAAGAGAATATGTGGAGTCATCAAGTAAGGAGATTCCAAAGATCATTTATCAGTCCTATATTCCCAATTCGGAAGAGGAATTATCGGACTCAATGAAACAAGCAATGAATTCATTCAAAGTTCTGAATCCTGATTATTCTCATAAATATTTCGGAGATGATGCTGCTTTGCAAATTCTAATTGACAATTTTGGAAATGATTCAGATGAAGTGTTTGCATTCAGAAATTTAATTCCAGGAGCTTTCAAAATTGATTTTTGGAGATATGCCATGTTGTGGTTATTTGGAGGATTTTATGCTGATGCAGACATGATGTTATTGGAACCATTTGAGAAATGGATTTCACCAAACTCAACTTTTGTCATTCCTTTGGAAAAGATTGGTTTTGGATTTCACAATGGTTTCATTGGAAGTGTTCCAAAACATCCAATTTTACGAATTGCCATGGACATGGTTATTTACAACGTCAAAACAAAATTCTTGCCTAGAGTGCCGAACAAGATAATTCCTGCAGTTCATGCTGACCTTGCTGTGAGTGGACCCATTTTACTTGGAAAAGTAATGAACAGGTACATCAACGAGCCGGATGAAGTGAAGCACAATATTCCCTTACTTCGTTCGAAGAACGTCCAGGTCATTGGATTTTGTGCCAATAACAAGAACGACGATGACACCTACTATACCGTATCACTGTCTCAAGAATGTACTGGCACAAAACTAGCCAAAGTGAAGTTCGAGCAATTTCAAAAAGAGCATGCCACAAAAACAGAATCGTATACCAAACTGTTCCAAGAGAGGAAGGTGTTCTTGTAACACGCAATTTTCAATGTTGTGATCTTTACAACCATGACTAGCAATAATATGACTAGTAATAGCTTGTTTCTTATGTCCACACAATGAATAGACAAGAATGAGGATATGAAAGGGACTTCAGATTCGATTAAGGAATGGCGCTCAATAATTTATTCGAACAGGTGTGGCCTTACAAAATTGTACATGCGTCAGCATTTCCTTGGTACTTGTTTACAATATTGTACTTGTTGAGGATGACGTTCTTTCCACCGACCCAAGTTTCGTACTCGGTTTGTGATGACAAGCTTTGCTCAGTTCCATCTTGTTTTGCTTCTCTTTCTGAGGATTCATAAAATCTACCAAGCATGTACTCATTAGTTCCTTTTTCAAAATAAATAAAATAGGACTCGTCGAAGAAGATTTCTTTCTGTGTGAAAATTTGTTCGTTGCACGAAGAAAGAGTTGGTAGAGCAAGCACTCGAACCAATTTTCCAGCATCACGACCACAAATGCTCCAAATTCTAATCACAGATTCGTTGATACAAGCCGTAGCGACCATGCTTCCAGCTGCAATGATCTTGACACAAGATACTGGGCCAGGATGGAGTAAAGTCATGAGACAATTACCAGTGTGCAAACTCCATACTTTTACAGTCTTGTCTGCTGATCCTGAAACCAAAACATTACATAAATCAATGAGCTCAGTATTTAGGGAAAGTGACGTGATGGTGGATTGATGAGTGTCGAGTGTATGCAACAATCTCCAGTTATTGACGGAGCTGGAATGGCTAACATCGTAAACATATATTGTTCTATCTACAGCACATGCAATAATTTGTTGGGTCAATTCCCAAAATTTGATTTCTTTGGAGTCAGTTGGTAACTCTTTCAATTCAAATGTTTTTGTAAGTTTTTTCAGCGTAATGTCATAAATATGAACACAATATTGGACTGGAACACGAGCCATTTTCACTACGACCATACAAGTTTTGTTGCTCAATAATTTCACAGCAACAATGTAATCTTTAGAATATGTGACTTCCAAAAAAACTTCATCCTTTAACAATTCTGTTCCTCCAATGACAACAAGTGTTGAATTGATGTGATAATAACTAGATTCGGTATAAACAAAGCACAGCACTCCAAATTGATAGTCAAAAGGTGAATGAGAAAGATATGAATATGGGAAGTGCAAAATTTCCTTATTGAGGCTAATGGTGTCTTTTTTGGTTTGCAATTGTTGACGAGCAAGTACAGGCAATCTATCCTTATAATACAAATATCCTCTAACGAGAATTCCATCAACTTCTGTCCATCCTGAAGGAGATTTTCTTAAATCAAAATCAATTCGAATTCGATTCGTGGCATAGTCTCGAGTGAAAAGTTTTGGAGCAAAAACTCTGGCACGCTCCATCATTCGACAGTTGGTGTCATAGGGCTTTCCAAGCCATACAGTGTCCCAACACTGGTTCGTTCGGTCCCAGAGCGATATTTTGAAAACTCCTCCTGGACAAAATGTTTCGAAAATTCTAATTTCAGTAATGTGCATGTCTTCTTCAATCTCAAACTCTAAAAATTCTAACGAGCCAAATCCAAATGAACGATTGGAAGGGGACCAAGCAGTTCCGAACGATCCATATTTTGGATATGTGTTCACAACACCCATAAGATTTAAAACAGAGAAGGGTGGATAGTCAGCACGTGAGTGAGCTGTTGACAAATTGTTGTCAGCAGTTGTGGCTGCTGCTCCGCTTTCAGATCTTGTTGATAGGTTATAAAAATGTTTTCAACATTATGAACGGATTAAAAAAATTATATAAATAAATTGTCATATGATTTTGATTGGAGTTCATTCATTGATATCATAAATTAGTAATTCTCTTTAACATTCACAAACAAACTTACCTATTTCTAGAAATATATTCACTACTACAGTTAATGACACGTGCAACCCATTGTTCATAAATAAAATCATCTGTTTCAGAAAGTAGAGTCTCATGAAGCTCCCTCATAGACGATATTGGAAGATCATCCTCAAACATGTTATTCAAAATTTGTTTTCTCTGGCCTGTAAGTCTATTTGCAACATGTGAATCTTTGGCACTATAGAGAGAATATGTGAGTAAATCATATGAAAAGTGATGTTTGAATGGCTTGGTAGTGTGTCTAAAGTTTTTACGAGTATTAAGGATTACTCTTCCGTCCAATAAGCGAACATCCATAAGATGAAAACCATTACTCTTCCAGTCTCCAGTATTGGTTGATGAATAATTCATAATTCCTCCAAATTCATCAACAAGTCGTTCTCGTTCCTTTTCAAGTTTTTCTTTTTCTTTGCGCACCTCTTCTTCGTCGCTGACATAAACAGTACGTTTTCCTAGAGTAGGTCTTACTGATGTGTTTAAAATGGTGACCTTGGTTGATTCTGTGTCGTCCAAAGGTGATTGATCTAACTTTTGTGATGAAGCAGATGAAATATTGTCATTGTTTGAATTGTCAATGTCGATCCAACCTTTACCCTTGATAGCTTCCTTCAAGCTGGAAGAGCTCAACGTTAAAATTTTGAGATCTGGTTGTGTGTAAACTTTCATGAGATGTACTTGTCCGTTGCGATACAATCGCTGCATTTGCTCACGATATTTGACAGCATTCCTCCAATTACATCGTGGTCGTTTGTAATATTCTCGTTCCTCTTTTTGAATAAGCGTAGGTGACAAGATACAAGTAGTAGTACTACTTCCATCATTATTACTCAAGGGTGATCCCTGTGGTTGTTCCAAATTATTATTGTTTGGCATTACAGGTGGCAACAAGGTAGAAAATGAAGAAAAGGAAAGAGTGGGAGTGAGCGGATGCACCATGGATGATGAAGAGGGAGATGAAGAGAGTGGAGGATTGTTGGGTTGTACTCCCGAAGAGCCATTCTCAAAATTACCAGTCATACGAGGAGAGAGTGGAAGTAGTGTTGGCGAAGAACCTGTTCCCAGTAACGGAGGAGTTCCCGTTGCCATATTCTTGCTGTTGTTATTGGTCGTAGTAGTATTCTGAGTGCTTCCAATAGGTGTGGTTGGAGTGGCTGTTGTACCCACAGCTTGGGGTTGGTTGGTACTTGCTGATTGTTGTTGTTGTTGTTGGGCACTCAAAGGGGGTACTATCACTCGATTGTAGTCATGATAAAAAGTAGTGTAGGGATCATACTTGTTGATAAAGTACTCTAAGAATTTACTCTCATCCGTAGCAACATTTTGAAAGATATGACTCGCTTTGCAACAACTTTCAATATCAATTCCGTCCATAAACGAGAAAATTAAAAAGATGATGGATTCATTGAGTGGGAGTTTTCGTTTGTTTCTGGTTCGGATGGATATCAGCCGTTGTTTTTGTTTTTTGGTGTAGATGGGATTGATGAGATGAGCAGGTTGTTGTGGTAGTTGTTGTTGGAATGTTGTGTTGCTACTTGGTTGGGAAGTACTGCCGGTGGATGGTGTTGTTGCGGCTTGAGACATTTTTTGTGTTCTGATTTTCGACTTTGGTTTTGACAAGTTTCGAAATAAGTTTCATGCGAAACTTGAGTAACCACTGAACGACCGAAAACACAACATGTTGTTGAGATTAATTCTTGTACACTTTCTTTAGTCGATATAGTGTTGTGAACGGTAACCCTCCTTGAGGTCGATCATTGAAATAGCCTTCATATCGAAATTGAGCTACCTTGTCTCCCTTGCAAATAGTAATGTTCTCTGGGAAGGGAATAGTGGTGAAAAATTGATCGACATTCCTTGTGGATGTCTTGCAAAATCCAAGAAATTGAAAGTTCAATTGTTGTGCTAAGGCAAGGTTATGTGGGACCTCTTCGGGTTCATTCATAAATCTGTTGAATGCCTTGCCCATCAAGACAGAACCGGTCACTGCGAACACTGAGAGTATCCAATTTCTTTTCTCTAACCTTCTGGGCACACTTGGATAGTATTTGTTTTTAACGTTGTAGATAATCAAGTCCATAGCAATGCGTAGTAAAGGGTGACGAGGAACACTCCCAATTAATGCCACATTTAATCCAAACAAGGGCTGTGCAAGCTCAACAGGTATTACAAAGGTTGCATTGGCATGAACCCATTGGTCGAACGGTTCCATCAAAATCAAGTCTGCGTCTGCATAAAAACCACCATAGAGCCACAACACGGCATATCTCCAAAAATCCATCTTAAAGGCTGCTGGCATTAAATTCTCAAAGGCAAAGACTTCATCCGAATCTGCTCCAAAGTAATCCGTTAATATTCGTAGGGCAGCCTTATTTCCATAATATCGATGTTCATAGTTTCTATTCAAGTTTTTCATTGTTTGCATGGCCTTCCTCATTTCCGTAGCTAGCTCTTCCTCGCTTTCTGGTTTAAAGGTTTGATGAATAATTTTGGGAATGGAATTGAAATTCAAAAACGGAATTAATCCATCTCCACAATCCAGTAACACATCTTCTTCGTCTTGAGGAAAGAGTTGGAAATTGACATGCCCTATCGGAATTGTTATTATTATTGAGATGTACAAAATGGTATATATGGAGAAGGCTATCACAAGGCCAAACGTTCCGGCCCTAATGACTTTCCTTTTCGTCGTCATGAAACACATGCTCAAAAGTTGCAAGGGGAAGAATGGCATGATAATTTTTTTGGTGTTGCATTGGGCAAGGCTTTCTCATGTAAAGTCATTCTTTGGGTCATCAAGAAACAACAGAATGCTGGTAAAACCTCTGTATAATGTTTAAGGATAAAAACATATTTGAACCTGTTGTCTCACTCCAGAAAAACCCTCTTTTCAACAAATAATCTACCGTAGGATCGTTGTGTCGACGATGATTTGTGTTCTTCAACGAAATCTGGATATTTCACTTGGGCTAGTTTGGTGAAATTTGTTCCATCGCATGCTTCAAATGAGTTGGTGTAATATGCTTGTTCTTCATTGTTATCCTGTAAACAATATCCAATGAGCTGAACGTGCTGTGATAGAAGTTTGGGAATGTTGTGAGGAACCTCCTCTGGTTCGTTAACGAAGCGATTGATGACCTTTCCCAACAGAATGGGTCCACTCACAGCAAGGTCCATGTGTCCTGTCTGAACTATTTTGTGTGGAACACTGGGATAAAACTTGTTCTTGACATTGTAAATAACCATATCCATGGCAATTCGTAAAATTGGATGTTTTGGAACACTTCCAATGAAACCATTGTGAAATCCAAAACCAATCTTTTCCAAAGGAATGACAAAAGTTGAATTTGGTGAAATCCATTTCTCAAATGGTTCCAACAACATCATGTCTGCATCAGCATAAAATCCTCCAAATAACCACAACATGGCATATCTCCAAAAATCAATTTTGAATGCTCCTGGAATTAAATTTCTGAATGCAAACACTTCATCTGAATCATTTCCAAAATTGTCAATTAGAATTTGCAATGCTTCATAATCACCAAAATATTTGTGAGTATAATTTGCGTTTAAGGTTTTGAAAGAGTTCATTGCTTTTCTCATGGCCGTCGGCAACAAATCCTCTGACGAAGGAATATATGTCTGATAAATGATCTTTGGAATTTCCGAATGATTCTTTTTTAATGCTGCGGATTCACCACACCGAACAATACGAGTCCGTATCAGTCGTTTGACATGCTCAGTTATTGGAGCTCGATGATTCCTTAATGAAAGTCGATACCAAGAGAACCATAGGATGGACGTTGAAAATAAGCACACAACCACCAAAGAGGCCCACAAAATTTGTCGTGTCGACATTTTTTTTTAAGGAACGACAACAATAAGCCTTTGAGCTCAGGAACGTTCTTTCGGAATATTTACATGTTGAACGAGATGTTCAGGATTTAGTGAGCCTTTTCTTCCTTCGTCGTGTTGGATAGAAATGCAGTTCGTTCTGCTATTTGAGGATCTCCAATAGCAGATTCTTCATCGTCATCGTCATCTTGAACATCTCGTGATGGAAGAGCTGAACTTGTTGTTGATGATGAAGTGAGAGAATTCGAGGTTCGACTACTGCTCGATGAGGAGCGATTCATGGATGGTAAATTAATTTCTCGTTGTTCTCTCCAATAACATGAAAACTCTCCCACTAAAGTCATGATAATACTGTGCAAAATCACACACACATACCACTCCCAATACACTGGGAATGCCTTGTAAATGATGCATAATAAGAGATGAATGACGTGAAAAGTGATGGTGAAATCCATGCACTTTTTGCTTCTCCTCACAATCATGAATAAAAGAAAACCTCTGCATGAAACAATTTGTCGTTTCAATTTTTAAAAAACACAAATGTTTCAATTTTCATGTTTACGCGTGATTCAACCGATCGTGATGATGCAAAGTTATTCAAAATTCATAATAATATACAAACCCAATAAAACCGTCCAACAACCAAATTACAATATTAATCCATCCAAACAAACTGAACACTGAAATAGCCTTATATGAAAACAACTGCTCCAATGTTGGTACAAAGCCGAAAGGCAAACAAAACGCTACACATAACAAAATTAAAAGAAAATAATTAACGGATTGAATCAAAACAATCTGCAAAATAATTAACCAAGCATCGGTTATCGATCTACCCAATGAAACCTGAAACATTTTCTGATAGTGATGATGAAAATTTTCATAATTATTCAAACCGATGATGATAGGATCATCCAATCAAGCACTCGAATATTCCGAATGAATGAATTCTGATGTTAGAAGTGGTAGTAGCGAATTTATAATTCTTCTCTACCTTCCGATATGTTGTTCTGTTGATGGTTATAAATATTTTCAATTTCAAGCACTGCTGATGCTTATAATTGAATTCAATTTTTTAAAAATAAAAATTGACTGTATTAAGAGGAATCATCACACCAAGTTGTTTGTCGAACCATGCACCTAGTCTTTCATAGCGAGACATACCCGTTTCAGTGTCTCGTCCAAAGAATTATACATCTTCTTTACAAATCTAAATGCATCATTGTCAGCACTGCCGCTGTCACTTGTTGCTGCTTGTAAACACAAGTCGCTAAAATATGAAATATATTTCAACGAATATTCATCAAATAAGCCACATCTCTTTTCGTAGAGTTGAACAAATAGTTTCATACAGAGTGGATTTGCTGCAAGAGCTTGTGAACGACATGAAGTTTCTTCATCATCTCTTTGTGCTTGCATCCATAAACGTCGATTTCTAAACTTGTCAAGTGGATACAGGTCTGACAAGTGTTGGAAAATTCGATCAGTCTTTTTCATAGATTGTCTATACTCTTCAATTAAGGTAAGAAGATGTAATTTTTCAGAGAGTGAGGCTGTGGAAGAGGAGCTCATTAAGCTTCGAAGTTTTCTTTGTAAATAATCTTCGTAGACTTTACGAGAATCCATAGGTTGACGAGAAATTCCAAATGTCTGTTGTGTTTTCTGCTGAGGAGTTGCTTGAGACGTCATCTTGATGGAATTATTTCCTTGGAAATTAATCAATGGTTCCTTCTCAATTACAAAATCTCCATATCGACACACTCTTGAAGTAGTGGTATCCTTTCTCACTTTTTCAAACTGAATTCCAACAGTTTCCACGCGAATGTCAGAAATGTCACTGTCATTCATCCAATTGATGGAATAACAGTCATTAAGGTAAGCTGCAAATTCATTACTATAATCACAGGCATAGGAGGATTCAAATGGAGTGGATGCTGTTTCTGCATAAATATTCAAACTAGACGATAAAATTTGATTGAACATGCTGCCACTTTCACATGCTTCAACATAGAAAACTAATTGACTGTATCTCTTATTTTGATACATGAATTGAAGAGCTTCATATAAATCACTGGAGTGTAACAGTGAAAATCCAGGGAATGCTAAAACATTGGTAGCTCCATGGTCCTATTTCATTTCATCACAAAAAATTGATAAGAAGAGAATGAATTTTAAAAACATACCGAAAAGTAAATGAAAATCTTATCGTTGGGTCCAGATTTAAGTGTCTTTCCACTTCCAACAGACATTGGTTCTCCTCTCAACACTGAAAGGAAATTCTGTGGTGTGACATCATTGCCACGATAATCAATGGCTTCTTTTCCGATGTAGACATTGGTTCCGTTGTATTCATTAATTATTACTCCAGGATGAGGATTCTCCTTATTGTATGCAATGTCATCATACATGAAGGTGATAATGTTGGATTTTGGAATTTTTCCCTTCTCTGTGACAATTTTGTAAGCATGACAAATCTATTTGGATGCATTTGCAAAACATTTCGGAAATGTTAAGACAATGACCATTATTGTTATGATTATTTAACAAAACTTACATCGGCTTGATGTCTATAATTGTAGTAACCATTGGAACCTGCTACAAGTATCACCCAGTTTTCAGAGGGTCGTTCCAAATTCAATCTTGAAAGTAAGTTTAAAGATGCATGGGCAAGGACCATGCTGCTCCAAAGGTCCATCATCGCGATGATGACGGTGCCGAGTACAACCACCAAGGTGGTCCATAGAGATTTCTTCATCGTTTGATCAACTATTAATCGTTTGGTTATGTTACGAGAATATATTTACAAATATCACTGCAAGATATAATTGTCAATGCACTATGCTTGCTTGAATGTGACGACAATTTGTTGTTGTATTTGAATGTATTTGAAAAATCAGAGTGGCTGAATTTTCTCAATGTAACCTCAGCATCAATCACAACCAATTCTAAAAATGTATTGTCTTGCTGATCTAATTGTGGTATTATTCCATTTGCGGACGAATTAGAATGTCAACAGTGAGAATTTGAAAAAGGGTCATCTAATACTCTGTCCAATCGGTAAGTTCATATTATGGTCGCGAAGGATCCCAATAGAGTCTATTCATCAAGCTCCAATACAAAATTTCTCTTATTATTAGAATGTTTTTCCTGGAACCAACGCTTCTCTCCACAAAATCAGTCGTGGTTCATTGGTACAAGCGACTACAAAGTTTGCATTGGCAATGGTTGAGATATCAAGAGATATGACAGGGAACGGGTGGCCATGATCATCTGAGGTGTCCATCTCAGTTCTAGATAAATTACCTTCTTGTAGTTGTGAATTCTGATGGTCATTGTTGTTTGTGGTCTGAGTGCTTAATGCATTACTGCTTGTATCATGCCCAGTGTTGCAATTTAGCTTGGTGACAATATTTCCAGACTGAATGTCCCAAATATATACAAACCCATCCTCACTACAGGAAACTACAAGGTTCAGTTTTGGATGAAACGTAATGTTGGAAGAAAATCGATCATTCACATGACCTCGAAATGTACGAATGTTTTTTGCTATGGGATCCGGCCGTAATTGCCATAGTCTTAACGCTGCTTGTGGATATTCATGAGTCGACATGCAACTGATGAGTAAGTAATTTCCAAAAGGTGACAATTTGGCACAGGACAATGGAGGAGGCGCCTGAGTATCTACAAGTATAGTTTTTAAACATTGACCTGTCGTGGTATCCCACACACGACAAAATCCATCATAACTAGAAGTAATTAAAAGCGACCCATCTCTAGAAAAACTCACAGAAGAAACAGGATCTGAATGAGCTGGCAACGTTCTTAAACAATTTCCTGTCCTTACATCCCACATACGAACGGTCTCATCAAAACTTCCACTAGCAATAACATTTCCACGTGGGCTAAAAGCCACGCAGTAAGCAAATTGATTATGACCTTGAAGCGTTTTCAATAATTCGCCGTCCTCTGCTGACCAAATTCTAATTGTTTTGTCATCGCTCGCAGAGCACAAATATTGAGAATCTGGACTCCAACACACGTCATTGACCCCTAGTAAATGACCAGAGCATGTCGTTCGTTTGCTTAGACTCAATTCTTGATTGTTTCCAGAAATTGAAGAAGATCCATTATTTGTGTCAGATGTATTTCGATCTTGCATTTGATTTGTTTCCTCTCCGTTTCCTTGTGGAAGGTTTTCTATTAAATTCCAAATCGTTATGGTACCATCGGCAGATGCCACTGCCAACGAGGAACCATCGGGAGAAAATTTAACACAGCTTATCGGCTTGGAGTGAAACTCAGCAATCATGCTCGGAGAAAATTCATAAATTAATGTATATTCTGGTAGAATGGGTGCTATATTTTTCTTCTTGGTTTTACCACTACTAGTAGTAGTCGTAATTGATTTTTGTTTCATGGCAACAACCTCTCGTATTGATGATGACGATGAGGCTCCTCGTTCCGTTTGTTCCATCTTCTCCGAGCTCCAATCATTTTCATCATCATCCGTAATCACCTTTGATCTTCTATTTGGTAATGGTGGCGATGAAGTTGCCGATAATGAAGAGGAGGAAGAATGGCTTCTCATCATGATGGATGGTTGAGTGAGGCTAGAAGAGCCTTTTTTCATTTTTTTTGATATCAATGAATTGACAATTCACTCACGATTGTCAATGAATATGCTCTGTGATCATTGATACCAATCAAGAAGGGCAAAGATGAAGGCAATTCGAATCACACGACTCGAAGATGTTGACAGCCAATTTTGGCGCCATTTTCAAATTTTTAAACGTTGCACACTCAAAAAAAATTAAATTTTCACTTTACATGAAATTTCTTTCCGAAGAATCCTTGCTAGACGCCTATTCAAGTGTTCATCAAAATCCTTGCTCAGCTACATTGGCCAACCTGACCCAATTTACCACTCCATCTTCTCTCGTTTCCATGATTACAGGTGAATTCTCTTCTTCTTCGTCCGAAAATCCAAAACACAATTCTCCATCATCACGATATGATCATATCTTCCGTCCATCCCTCACGAGTACAACAACAACAACTATAGATCCAACTAATAATCATCCATTGATGATTGAACCACAATATGGACTTTCAACAACAACACTTCATCAAAAAGAAAGCTTAAAGAAAGATCTTTCAGTACGGAACGATGATGATGAATCTTTTCTCTTGGGATCCTCCTCTTGTTCATTAAAGTCCAATAACAATGATCAACCGTTCAGTGGTAGTAACAGTACACTTCTTACCAGAAATGATAAAGACGCTGAACAATATACAAATAAGGAAAATTTCAAACATTCCAATACGAGCAAGATGAACACAACAACCAACAAATTGTTAGTATCACCAAAAGATAATGTACTGAGGAGGAATGCACCAAGAACACCTCATAAATCATTATCATCATTATCATCACCATTACTTTCAACAACACCAAAATCTTCCAAAGCTTTCATTCAATCTCCTCAAAGTCATGACTCATTTTCATCACCACAACCAGAACGATCGCCATTGTTGGATTCCAATCAAAAACGTCGCAGACCTCGTCAATCTTCTCTTTCCTCTCCAATGGCCAAACTTGATTTAAAAACACCACCTTCTTCCATTCGAAATCAATCTTCTCTAAAGACTTGTTCTTTGACCCTTGCATGCTCATCACCATGTATGTCATCAGAATCATCTAAGAAACGAAAGAATATACCAACAGCATCCACGAGTAGTGGTTTCAATTTTAATGACATTTTCACACCACCTGCAGTGAAAAAAAAGAAAATTCCAGATGAACAATTGGTAAATGTTTTGGTTGGAGAAGAAGAGCAAGTCGAAGATCATTTAGAAACATCCATGTTCATGCTAGATTTATTTAAAACACCACCACCTGTGACTACTAGGAACAAATCTAAAGCGACGGAATTATTTGAAGAGTCTGATGGCATTTTGAAATGTGTCGTGTCCAATCTGACAAGTGGCACTTTGGAAAGTTGTGAAAATGCTCCATCGATTTTTGAAAAAGAGGATGGCGAAGTGGTTACCACATTCCTATCCACACGAAACAAGATGAAATCATCCATTCCAGTTGAAGAAGTAGATTCCACAGATGGAGAGTCTTGTCGATAAATTTCTTTTTGAATGAGTTGAAACAGCGCTTCAGAAGACATGATGAAAAATTTCTCGTGTCCAATTGTGATTCAGAATGTGCATTTCGTAACTCTCGGTGTGTTAAACTCCGAGAAAGACTTTGTAATTTATCAAAAAAATGGCGTCACACGACTCGGAAGCATTGATTATGCACAATTCTCACATCGATTCAGGTCAGAGGACAAGTGGTGACCTCCGTTTGGATGATACCTTTTTAGAAGTCGAAGGTACCACAACCACGTATTATCATGATGATCTTCCAACACACAGTAATCGAGTGAACAATCATAATTCCAATCATTTGAAGAAATTCTCAAGCACTCCGATGAAACAATTCATGACCTATTTATTCATTGGATTTTCTACTTTAATTGTTCTTGCTTTATTGAGTGCTTTGATCATTATTGTGATTTATAATGTGGCAAATCCAATGAAACCACCCATTCATGAAACTCCTCTCAATTCTACAGTGATTCTTGTATCCATTGATGGATTCCGAGCACAATATTTGACACAATGTATGGCACAACAGTATTGTGAAAATTTGAAATTATTAGTGCAGAGTGGAGCGACAAGCTCGAAAGGATTTCAACCCGTGTTTCCGTCCAAGACGTTTCCAAATCATTATTCGATCGTGACAGGATTGTATGCAGAGTCACACGGAATTGTTTCAAATTCGTAAGTGTGTGAAATGGTTGTTATCCTTTTCAAATCATTTTCAACAATTTTCAACAATTTTTTCGAAATAATTCTTCATTTCGCGTTCATTGAATTCATGAACTAAATATCTTGAATTTCAACAAGCTTCTACGATCCTTCTTTCAATGCAGTTTTCAAATTAGGAAGCGATGAATCTCTCAAACCCAGATGGTGGTTAGGAGAACCCATATGGAACACTGCAGAAAAACAACGAGTCATTTCTGGGTCGTTCTTTTGGCCTGGATCCGATGTGGCCATTCAGGGACGATATCCTACTTATTATAAAGTATATGACGGATCTGTTCCATATTCGACAAGAATTCACACATTATTGAAATGGTTGGATGAGAAGGAAAAGGTTCCACAATTGTTATTAACCTACTTTGATGGAGTGGATTCGAATGGACATTCGTAAGTGTATGAATACGTGTGAAATTGAAAGGATTTGAATTTTCAAAAAAAAAATTATTGATTCATTGTGAAATTTCACAAATTTATTGATCAAATTTCAAAACTACATCATCATCATGTTAGATATGGACCCAATTCGAATAATGTGATTAATGCCATTCGTGAAGTCGATGAAAGTATTGGATTATTAATGACTGGTCTCGAACAACGAAATATTTCACAACAAGTCAATCTCCTCATTGTGAGTGATCATGGTATGGCAGAAACGCCCTCTTCGAAAATTATTCGAGTTTCTGACATTTTAGGACGAGACATTGTGGATGGATCGAAAGTGAAGAATTTCAATAATGGACCATTTTTTGATTTTTATTTTCAAGACGAGTCACAAATTGATATTATTTATGGAGAGTTGACGGCTTCGATTGTGAATAGTGCCACATTTTCAGAGGGAATTCAAGGAGTGTATACAAGGAAAAATATGCCTGCACGGTTTCATTATACCAATTCGAATCGAATTGCTGATATTGTTATTTTAGGCAAAGTTGGATATTCTATTTTGAGATCTTCAACGAGTTCCTTGTATGGAAATGGAAATCATGGCTATGACAATGAAGCACAAGATATGATGGGTCTATTCATTGCCAAAGGTCCACTTTTTAAATCTGGCTTTACCTCTCCAGATGTGATTCACAATATTGACGTGTATCCTTTAGTATGTGAAATTTTGAAGATTAAACCAGCACCCAACAATGGAACTCTCTCAACCATTTCACAATTTTTAAAGCAAATACCAAAGAAATAAAAGTGGTGGTTCCAGAACAGTAAGAAATGTTTTTTTTAATTTTTCTTTTCAATATTTCGGAAATAGATATAACGCAATATGTTATTAGAATGGAAACAACACATTAAGGCAATGGAACAGCCCTCACATAGGCAATATCACTTCGTATAATATATTTACATCCCTCAATGACAGGAGAACCTTCATGTCGATGATTCAAAGGCCCATTCTGATAAAACACACTCACCATTCCAGCACGAGGAACAATTCGATATTCTTTCACTACACTATTGGGTTCATCCATTTGCGTTCGTTTACCTCCTGGAAAGAAGGTCGTTTCTCCTCCACTAAAATTATCATTCAAATAAAAGATGATGGTCAATAAGGTCATTTCATTCTTATTCTTCTTGTAACCAGCGTCGAAATGAGGACCAAATTTCTTAGTTGGAGTGTACTTGTTGAAACGAATACGTTCATTAATGGGAGTCCCTTTTCGAAGTAGCCATAAATCTGAATATTCATTATTGCGTTCCTTTTCAATGATTTCTTCTTGTTTACCATTTTTAGATAAAAATGTCCATTCCCCACTATGTAATTGGATCGTTTGTGGTAAATATTTTTCAATCCTTTCATTCAACACTCGAATCACCTCTTGAGGCATATCTGTCAACACTCTCTCAGAATCTCTCACTTGTTTCGTACTCTGATTATATTCACTCGTATTAAACTGACCACTCAAAATCGAAAGTGGCGATGGTTGATATCCCATTTGTTCCGAAATTTGAATTAATGTTTCACATTCGAGACGAGTCAACACGTTATGGAGGAGAAAACATCCAGTGACAGCATGTTCCAAAGATTCGAATTGAATGGAGGATTGAATGTCATGCTCTCGATCGATTTGTAAAATTTCATGAACGGGAATGGAAGGAAATGGAATGAGGAGATCATTGATGTGATAGGTTTTATCGGTTCCATTGGAAGAAGAGGAGGATGTTATTTTGGAAGTTGGCTCAGAATCTGCTTTTTGTGTTGTTGTTGTTGTTATGGTTTTGGAAGAAGTTTCCGATGTGTCATGATGATGATGATGATGATGAGAGAAAGATGGAAGAGAGTTCCAAATGTTTAAGAGAACAGATGGGATCATTTGGTTGTTTTCTTTTTTTGTTTCACTGTCTATCGGCATTGTTTTTTGAGTGAAAATTGGGAGAGTTCATTTTTCCAAGTTCACAGTTCACTTCGGTTTAAAATTTTCTCTTTTGGTGATGATGAATTGACATGCTGATTTCTTTGCGCTCGTTCAGTCTTAAATTCCAAATCTTTAAAATTGGCCTTAAATATATCACTTCCTTTCTCCAATATTTCCCATACACTCCTTGAAATCTTATCTATTGCAAAGACCATTCTTAAAAAGTTTAACATTTGACGTGCCTTATTTTCCATTTTAGGACTTTTGAATGGGAAAGAGTCTAATTTCAAATAAATATGAGAGTCCTTTACATCCACTACCGTTCATTCAACGAATAGTATCAAAAAAGAATACAAGAAATTCAACTTGTGTGCATTCCGTGTGTGTGTGTTGAGAATATACCATTACTGAAACTATTTTGTGAATTTTTGTGTCCGAAATGATCACCCTATTGAGAGGTTCTGTAACATTGAACCTATCCTACCTATTGGTCCTTATTTCCACACTGCTTTTTGTCAGCGTCGCTGTTCAAGGTCAATCTCTTGTAATTATTCAAAACACACTTTCTCTCTACAATGGAGACAATATTACCTTAACCAATGCAAATCTTGTTTCAACTCTCAACTCTGTCAATGCTCCTCCTCGTATCATCTACTCAGTCGTGCCAGGAACTCTTAGTAATGGTCAATTTTTCCTTTTCAGTAATGTGACTGGTTTATATGCTCCAACCACTTCATTCTCTCAACAAGATTTAGCAAATGGATATGTTCGTTTTTCTCATCCAGGAAATCAACAAATGCCAACCTATACTTTGAGAGCAGTTGATCCCTTGTTGAATGTCGCTTCTCAAAATTCTACTGCTTCGATTATTTTCACAGCTTTTAGAAGAGGAACTATTGGTGCTCCAAGACCAATATTTGAAGCCAGTGTGGATCCAAATACGTTGATTGTTACATTGAGAATTACCATGTTTAAGAGAGTGTTTGATACTCCTGAGGCCAATTTCAATTTGGGTCTTTCTTCATTGATGGCCTGTCAACAATCCGATTTGATTAGAGATGGTTTTACATTGGTTGCCAGTACCAATTGGTATAACACTTATCAATTCACAGCTCCACTTTCAAGTTACCTCACAAATCCAAATATTCAACAAGTAAGCAATGGAGGTGTGATTGATCTCGTTGCAACCATGTTTGCAGATTACATGATTACTCGTTTGATTCCATCTAATTCTAACGGTGGTGATATCTATGTCATTCCTTCTCAATCAGGAACTTGTTACCAAGTCATTTACACCCAGAAATATATTTTGACTTTGACATTAGCTATCACTCGTGTCAACTTTAACAATACCAATCCTAATAGCTTCTTGCAACCTAAAAAGATTTTCATCAACGATTTGGGAAGATTGGAAATTCGTTTGATTGTCTACACAACAGTCACTGAAACCATTACTTCATGGAGAGTGACTGGTCCTTATGCTTTCAACGTTACAGATGCTGTTTTCACAGGTTCTTCGAATGGTTTCAATTATTACTCAGTGGTCTTGCAGTCGTTTGTCATTAGCTCTGAAGTTGACTTTTATGGAGATTACGTGCTCTCCTTCACTACCATCTCAAATCAAGTCCATTCCATTCCTTATTCACTGCAATATCTGGTTCCTTATCCTCCTATTGAACAAGTCTTATTATTTGACACTCAAGCTCAAACCTTTGCCAATGCAGCTCTCACTACTCCAAGAACTCAATTCTCTCCAACGGATACCGTGTATGTGAGAGTGGATGCCAATAATGCACCAGTTCTTTCAGCTTTCCAACTTGCTCCATACGATGTGATTTTGTGTTGCTTCCAGAGCTTTGCATCCATACCTGCTGATGTGGACTGTAGAAATGCAAGTCGTGCTGGTGATTTCAGTGCCAATATTTTCATTGATGGTGCGGCTGTGAGAGCAGATCCAAGTGTGAATCCAGGAGTGTTGCCTCCTCCAAATACTCAAAGTTTTGGATTCAATTTCAACTTCCCAATTGCTATTAGAAATGACGTCGATCGAAGATGTTTCTTGACCATTGAAACTGCTTACCTTCCTCGTAATACTTCAACAAGATCCATGATGGAGTCGTACAGCACTGAAGCTGTGGCTGCAAATACACCAGTTCCAAATACTGTAGCTTCTGTCACGTACAGAGTGTTCGATGTCATTCCAAACAACAAGAATGGAAATGGCAATGGTGGTGTGAGTAGTGCAGCCAAGCAAGGTGGTTCTTCATCAATGATGACATTGGTTGCTCTCATGATTGCTGTGTTCATTTCCGTTGTGTTAGGATGTTAATAGATACTTATGAAAGAGTGTGTGATAATATCGGCAGTATTGCTGAACAATGACTCTGTCAAAACACGCTACAGCACAACCGTCAACGGATGATGTAAATATTAAGAAAGGTTGCACTTTTGTCCTTCTGTATTGATCTTATTCCATAGTAGTAGTATTTATATTTCCTTTGTTTTTCCCCAATTTTCTCTATTCAGTTATTTCAATAAATATTCGTATCCATTTCTATTTGTTTTGAAGCTTGTTTTGATGGTTCGTGGCCATGAAATATTGCTCTTCAAGTTTCATCTTTTCCATGAGATTCAAGAAAAACCTTTGTTTTGAATCTTTTTTCACATAGCGTTTTGAAATGACATTCTCAAAGAAATGCCTCATTGAGTTGAAAGCGTTGCATTGTAAATAGGCACACATCATGGATGAATCAGCTACAAAATTAGGATTAGAAATTTTGCGGTAGAAATATTCCACTCGTCTAATCATTCCACGTTTTGTATAGAATTTCATCATACATGTGTAAACGTGCTCGTTCTTGTATTGTCTGGGTATTGCTGCATAAAAAGTTTCCACTTTGGTGAAATGTCCATTTTCTGTGTATCCATGGAGAAGAGTGACAAATGTATGAGAGTCTGGTTCTGGGATTCTATCAAAGATATATTCTGCTCTCTCTATTTTACCATATTCCACATATCCCCTCAGAAGAATATTGTAGCTAGCAATGTCTTTTTTGTATATTTTGTTAAAAACTTTGTGAGCCTGTAATAATTTCCCCATTTTCACATAGGCGTCCATCATGTTGTTGCAAAGTGTCACGTCAGGCTTTTTCACACTTTGGAAAATCTGCTCTGCTTGCTCAAATTTTCCTAATACCGTGTAACATTTAATCATGATGGCATGAGAATGCATTGATTGGAATTGAGGAAACTGGTAGTACAGTCGTTGGGCGTGTACATATGCTTTTGCAGAAACTAGAGCCGACATGATGATGGAATAAGTTTTGTCGTTTTTGAGTTGGGAAGGAATTTTGTGAAAGAACGAAAGAGATTTGTGAATATCTGCATATTTGGTAATTCCATAAAGTATCGAGTTATAAATCACGCTGTTGCATTCTACAGGCCCGTTCTTACAATATTTGTCGAAAATTTCCAAGGCGTCATTGAGTAAACGTTGTTTCAGTTTAGCATTAATGGCAATTCCAACACTATAACAATCCCTTTGCTCCATGGATGTGAAAATTCTGTGCACAGAATTCAAATCGTTTGCATTATTATAGACGTCCATAAGCTCATTAGTGAGTCGTATCTTATGAGCTGAATTTGGAAGCGATTGAAGCAAGTCTTCGGCTTGAACGTCTAACCCAACTTGCAGGAAGAGAGCAATAACTAATCGTAGGTGTTCTGGAACAGGTTTTGAAATACGACTGAAAACACTTAGTGCTTTTGTAAATTTTCGAGCAATACAATATCCATACAACAGAATGGAAAATGTGTATGCATTCTTAACTTCAATTTTCTCAAATAACTCTTCCATTTCCTTAAGCATACCAAATTTTGCATAGCCATGAAGTAAGCTGTGCTGAATTTTTGTGTTTGGTGTCGGTATTTGTGAATATATTTTCTTAATCTCCTCAATATGGAAATTTTTTTCTGGGCTGTTGGAAGCCGAGAGATTCGTGATGGAAGACATCATTTGATTTACAATCTTTTGAGGAGGGTCAATACCTTCTTCTTCTTTCACAGATTCATAGATTTCTCTAATTGCTCCTAAATGCTTGAATTGTGGTTGCATGAAAACAAACATGAACAAAGTTTTGCAATCAATTCTGAAATTTCGGATTACTTCGCGTTCACTCTCTGTGGAGTTAAAAATTTTAAAAGTATCATAAAACGCTGTCAAATCTTCAATAGTAATAGGACAACTTTGCGACAGTTTGTTTGTTGGAACTCGAGAAGAATGATGTGATCTTAATTTTTCAAGGGCTTGTTCTCTTTTCTCTGGAAAAACAAATATAATATTTAACAATAAATCTTTTAAAAAGTTCAACTCATTCATATTTCTGTGGGCACCTCGCACGACTCGTGTCCAATCGCTCAATTTATGAGCTGACTTGCCATAATAAAAAAGTATATGCTGAGGTATTTCATATTTCACAGTTGTACTTGGCGCTCCTATCGATGGAGTAGATGTGTTCAGCTCCAAGTCATCATTTCTAGGAAAATGTTGAACGTAGAGCTGATGTAAAACTCTCGTGTGGTCGTAGGCTGTACCCAAAATTGCTGATTGGTTCAATACAGCATGATTGATGGATTCGAGTGAATGCTCATCCTTGATGATGGTTGAAAATGCATGGCTTGGAATTTCAAGAGGCTTTTCTTCATCGGAATGATTGCAAAGCAATTCATTCTTCATGATGAGAATTTCCTCATTGTCTTGAATATTGTTGTTATGAATTGGATCAACAACCACAATGTCATATTGTTGGTGTGGTTGATACGTGTTCCGAAGTGGCTGAGTGATGAGATGATGAAAATAAATACTTTGGTCATGATGATGAGCACGAATCGTGCTACATAATTGTTTGGAACGGCTCTCGTGAATAGTGCCTGATTTTATCCATGTGGACGCTATTGCACCCGGGGTGAGGGATTGATGCGTGTCCCACCGCAGCAAAAACTTTTTTGAAAATAATAATTTGGATCCACCCTGATGAAGATTGGCAGTTTTCATTTTTTAATGGATGAAAATTTGATTTTCAAGTGAAGATGAAAAAGCTTACTGAGTGTCTTTTTGAATTGTTACAACCGTTCATTACGGAAAAGAAGAAGTAATGTTTTCTTTCATGGATCTCATTCCAAGTATTAAAAAATCACAAAAAGATCTTTCTCGGAGTTCAACAACTCGAAAAAAAATGCCTGGCTTTCATAACGAGTCTTCCACTCGCTCATCCATGCTTCCGTTCAAACCCTTCTCAACGAAATTATTACAAGAAATTAAATTGACCTTTACAGCGCAAGTGTGGGCTCTCATCTTTTCATATTTACCTCATGAAGATATTTATTTTGGAATTGGTTGTGTGTGTCGGAAGTGGAAAGCACAATTTATGGATCCATTGATTTTGAGTGGGATACTCCAAACAGAGCCTGCTGCTGACTCATCATCCATGATAATTACCAATGAAAACAAGAAAAAGAATCAATCATCTACGGAGTGGAATCAACAACCATTTTTACGGAAACGCCAATTTATTGAACGTTTCAAATTATTGATACGAAATTACATGTTGAGTGATTTGGCACAATTGCTACGATACTCTTCGGAGCATGCAGCATTTGAAGTTTTGAGTGGCGAGAGTGAGAATGAGGAAATTTCGTTAGCCATGACGACCCAAAGTTTGAAACAACGAACTTTGGACATTCAAAATTTGGATGTTCTCTCGTCTAAAGTGAGAAGCAGTCTCATTAAATCAGTTGGAGACGATCGATCGAACTCGGACGCATTTGGGGGTGTGACTGTGAAACCTGTCACCACCTCAACAAGCTTCACCTTGGCAATTGATGAAACCAATGGAAATGAAAAGACAAGCTTGTTACATTCGTACAAGAAGGTTCGGGTGTCAAACTTTGAAATTCAAGAGCCAGCCGTGAACGACTTGCTAAAGACTCGATGGAATCATTACTTTTCAAGATTTTCGTGGAATCACATCAACCCAATCTCTCACATTACTGACGTTCATGATGACATGGCACAAAGCCAAACCAATTCAAGTGGATTTGGTAAAATTATTCAATCTATTATGAACATGTTCGGATGCAGTATGGAAAATGATCTAGCTTTGAGTGCGCATTCCTCTCTCATGCAATCCTCACTCGACAGCAGCCATCAAGATAAAAACTTTACCACATTGAAAATTTCCTTATTTATTAATGGGGAATTTGCAAACTTTATTGCTGAAGGTTATAATGAAGTGGTAAGTTGGAGATAGTGTTCAATTGTTGTTGTCATGTTGACATCCAATGGATCATTTGAATGAATTATCATTTGTGGATGGTGTGTAGGGTTTCGATTTCATGGAGAGAAGCTTCAAGCTTGGAAACATGAAGTATTTATGCAAACTGAATTTATGTGGTGAGTATTTGAAACACTTAATGGCAAATCCTTGTTATAACATTGTTATTGATACTGTGAATGAATATTCTGAAATGGATTGTTATTCATGATTTCTCAACATGATGTGAAAGGCGGAGGCAAGCGTTTTTTAAGTGGTGGTTTAGCACAAACTAAGAATTCAGATTTTATCATTTTGTGCTGCTCCAACCCTGAAAAAGATTTGGAAATGTATCAAGAGTACTTTGACACTTATGGAACTAATATCACGTGTGAATATTTGATGGTCCATTTGAAACAACCTTCAACCAGTACTAATACCAATGCCTTGAAAAAGTTGGCTCAATACGCCAACCATACTCTCATGTCACCATGCATTTCACTGGAGAGGCAAACTTTTACATCGAACATTGCAATTCTTTATTGTCTATTTTTGCATTATTGCCTCAAAAATCATACGTTTTGTAAGGAAAAGCGACATTAAGATGTTGTGTATATATCGCGTTGAGTGTCTATTCGTCACAGTTTTAGTGCACGTTGAGATGTATCCTCGAGGACCAAAAGTAACCCATTGAATAATGATCACCATACTAACGAAAAACGATCATTGTAATTTTTCTACATCAAAAGTAGGATGATGGAAACATTCACTCTTGCTTTTGATTGGATTTCTTGAAAAGCCATGCCATGGCAAGACCCAACACCACTCCACCTCCCAGCAACGAATAGCCAATACCTGTCGCTCGTGCAAATTGAGTCCGAGCAGCATGTAGAGTTTTCGGATTTGACAAGGTTTCCTTCAACACATTTTGAATTTTAAGCTCCTCTGGATTGATTTCTTTTCCTTCGTGTTGCAAGCGATTGTATTGCTTGAGAAATTCTGTACTCAATTCTTCATTATTAGCAAGTGGTGGTTGTTGTGTTGTTTCCTCTTGACTTGGAGGAGTTGTCGATGATGACGATGATGATGATACGGTCGATCGATCCGATGATGTTTCCGAACCAGTTGTTTGTGCTGGTGATGGTTTTTTCATTTGCTGAGTTGAAAACGTTTTTTTTGTTCAAACCACAACACTCGACCACCCTCGAGCCAAACTCACCTTCTCAATGCGCCCGTACATTCCCCTCAAGCCAAGCTCAGGTCTTAAGATCACTCTGTCCCCTCTTCTTTCCGGAGAGATGTCGTTACGATAGAGTTATTGAGTCATAACTGGGCCAAACGAACCAGTGCTTGGTTGCTGTGGGGTTCTCCTGTGGCGACTGGGTCTGAGCGTTGAAGAGAGTGTTGGAGTGGGTCATCATGCTTGCTTCAACCTTTCCGGATGAGTGTGTGGTAGGGTGTGGAAATGACTGCTCGTCGGTCGTGGATTCAGAAAACACCATGCAGGGCTCATCCGAAGCGCTTACACCAATTCCTTTTTGGGGGTCGATTATGTTCTTGTGAAAGAAGAACAGATGTTGCAATTAGAAGGAGCAGCAGCAGAAGGGATTTATTATTGGAAGCAAAACAATTAAAAAAATATTATTAACTTCTTGTATCGGATCATCATCATTGCCAACGTAACACCAAAACACGATCCATTGTGAACTACAATTGACTCAATCACGATCCACCGTTCGTTAATTATTCCATACCAAACTCTCTTATTCTTCTAATTATAAAAACAACATAACACCCACAACAAAATGCCTTCCATGGATGATTTAGTTTTCAATCTCAAATTTACATCAAAACAATTCCAACGAGCAAGTAAGAAATCGGAAAAGGAAGAAAAGAAGGAAAAAGACAAGGTGAAAATGGCCATGGAAAAGGGCAATTTAGAAGGAGCTCGTATTCACGCACAAACTGCTATCCGTAAAAAGAATGAAGCCATTAACTTTTTGAGACTTTCTTCAAGAATTGATGCTGTTGCTTCAAGACTTGACACTGCGATCAAGATGAATCGAGTTACAAGTACAATGGGAGGAATTGTGAAAGGAATGGATAAAGTATTGGGTGCCATGGATGCAAGCAAAATTGGAGCAATTTTGGATAAATTTGAACAACAATTTGAAGATCTCGATGTCACTTCCGAATATATGCAAACTTCCATGCAACAAACGACAGCACTTTCAACACCTGAAGATGAAGTGAATCAATTAATGGCAGAAGTTGCTGATGAACATGGTTTGAACGTTTCCGAAAAGTTGGGTAATGTCAAAACAAACAAGGATGATATTACGAGTGTGCAAGTCGATGAACTTTCAGAACGATTGGCCAAGCTTAAATCTCAAAAGTTGTAGATTTTTACTGAATTTACAAAATAATAACCTCTGTATATATACATAAATTACTACTTTGATAACCATCACATTCTGTGTGTATTCTAATATATAAAGAAATCTTTTTGATCAATAATTCATTCATTTTGTAACACTCTCAATAAATTGTTAAAAAATGCTCAGCGATGTTCATGCCATCTTTGGCTACTTAATTTCTCGATACATGTATCATCGAAACTTTGTATCGGATCATGGCAAGAGAAATTTAATGATTCCAGAGAGTGATCTGGTCAAACATAGTGAACATTTTAAACACATCTCGGAACAGTATTTTATGATCGGAAAGACACTACTCGATGGATCATCATCATACATGTCTGGGTAGGTGTTGTCATGAGGATGAACTTGGTTTCAAAACTTCTCTTGAATATTGATCCATGATGAATAATGTTTAACAATGAATATTTCCATGATTGAATTATTTTAATTGAATCATTATTATTATTACAACCGATGATGATGATGATTGAAAATATCAACCCCAAATGAAGAGCATCAAAATTACTCGGAAAGGATAAAATTCATCTACTTCGGAAAACATCATTCCGACAATTCTTTAAAATTCTGAGTACCAACATGTTTAAATTCATACGAAGAATTCGAAGATTCTTTTCTAATCTAACATTTGAGCAGAAATATTATGTCATTGGAATGATCTTGGCAAATTTACCCGATATAGATATCATTACGTTCATCATTTCATTTGGATTTTCGTTTTTTAAAGGATTTTCAAAAATGATTGATCGATTTCACCGATTATGGGAGCTCTTTATTTCTCTAACAAATAAGAAGCAAGACAATGAGACAGTGCCTTCCTCCTCTGGCTCTACATCAGGACTAAGTTCTTCATTAAGTAGCTCCTCTTTGGCAGCTGCCAATAGTGGAGGAAATTTATCTCAATACGACTCTGATTCTGAAGATATTACAATGGGATCATCCGTTCGAAGTGCCAGAAATTTGAAATTATTAGAACGAAGAAATAAGAATAGTCTCACATGGAGACGATTAACTTCTCATTCCATTATTGTAAATTTAGTCATGTCACCCTTTATTGGATATGCCACTCAAAAGGTGTTGGGTCTTCATGGATTCAATAGTTTCACTCATTGTACAAGTCTTGCAATTATGTGTTTGTCTTCTCATTTACTGTTAGATTTTTTAACAAACTTTGGAACAGCCTTATTCTATCCACTCTCCAATGAGCTTTATTCATTTGGAATTGTCACAAGTTGGGATTTCACACTAATTGTATTTTTCTATTCATGGCTCACTGTAAGTCGATGGAACAAGTGGAAACCAGCAAGAGTCTTTTGGATTGGTTTAATTTGTTTATTTTGCATTGCCATTTGGAAGAGAGCCATGATGTGTGAGGTATATTCTCGATACTTCTTTTTCATGGAATCACAAAAGAGGAAGAGCTCTAAAAGTATTCAAAATGCTCCAGCCATTTGGTTACAACCAAGTAATTTTTTCAGTGGACAGTTTTCAGTCATGAAATATGAACCTAAACAAGGAGATTTAGTGACCGAACTAAAAACTGTTCAGGCAACCAAGTATATCTCGCTCATTAATTGGATCTTGACAGCATTTGGATTTCGAGTGAGTGATGTTCGACAAATTCAAATTTCACATCAGTTGGGTGTGTTCAGAGGTCAGGTGGCTCCTCGAGAATTTCTCATGGTTCTTTATTCGAATTTGAAAAATAGAAAAGTCTTGTATGAAATGATTAAGAGTAGTTTACCCTCTGCGTTGTTCATGTTCATGTATATGGTGTATTTGGTACGATCGGATGAGTAAAGTGATTGTAAATATTTCAAGCCTCAAATTGCAATTGGTAACCAGCATTGCACCAAAACCTTTATTCGAGTTGAGAAAATTCAATACCCATTAAATCAATTTCTGGTTCTGCTTCTTGCTCTGAAATGAGTCCGCGATCCAACAAGGAACGTAAAATAGAAATGGCTTCTGTAGAGTTGTGTGACGATAAGTATTCTGTTCCATCCACGTACGCAATTTTCCTCAGTATTGAAACAAGTTTGCAAAATTTAGCTTGATACCACTCTGCATTAATCCATGTCGACATGGCATTCTCTTCTTCAGGATGATTCAACTGTGTCTGAATGGCTTGTACTAGAGTTGAATTGGACAAGGTCAACTTGAAAATGGCAACTACCAAAATTCCGTACACATTCATTCGAACGTTTTGTGGATGGATTTCATCGAGACTTTTTTTTGAAGAATGAATAGAATCAAATAATTGCAACATTATTGATGATGTGAAATCTGTCGACTGAGCATTCTCAAAGAGATTATAAATTTTCTCAAACAAATCCAAATAAAAATTCCCATTCAAAGCTATCATCTTGTTCATTACTTGTTCCATCAATTTCAAATAAATGGAATTCTCTCCGTTCGATAATTGAAAAGCGTGTTGAGTAGGATAAAATATTGGTGTGACACTTTTCTCGTTCCACAAACTATTATTCATAACCAAACTTGAATAAGTCACAAATAAACACTGAAAGAATTGGATCATAAATGCTTTCGAATATTCTTCATGAGCTGAAGCAAGAGCTGTCAACTGTTGGCACGTCAAATTAACCACTTGTTGTTGTTGTTGTGACGTGTTTGTTTGTTCCAATGGATGACTTTCGATTTGTAAAGTAGTAGAACATTTCATCATCATGACCGTTTTCATATATTTTAGCATTTCCACTGTATGAGAACAGGATAAATGTTTTTCTTCTTTCTGATTAAATAACGAATGTATCAACTCATGATACGGCTCTCCATCATGGGTACTACCTCGATAAGCATGTAAAATAATTTCAGTGAGTTGACAAGCCAAGAACTTTTGGCCATCAGGATGGTTCTGCGTTTGTAACAAACAGTTGAGTAGAATTTCTTCAGAACCTGGAGCTTCACTGAGGAATGTTTGAGCGAATTGAATGCCACCAGTTAAGAGTTCTTCTCCAAAACATTGTGCATAAAATTCTTGCATTTTCGAATTGTGACTGAAATGAGATAGAATGAAACTTTCAATCAATGTCGAATAAAAGCTCAAATTTCTCGACAAATTCAATCGAAGTATAAAATTCGTACTCCAAAAGTTTTCAAATAGTTTCGATAAGGTTGTTGTGCTCGAAGAAAATTCTTCTTCTTGTTGAGAATCTTCACATGCAGTAAAACATAATAAAGCTAGGAATAGCAATCCCTCTAAAATTTTGGATGTGAATTCTGTTGGCCATGGATGAATGGAATTCATTGGATTTAGAATTTTCATCGTCAATGTCGTTAATGCTTCTTCAAGCCATTCTGTTAATGCGTTGGTGTTGTTGATCTTACTTGTATTATTACGATCACGTGCAGTTCTGGTTATGACTGAATTAGGAATGGAATAACTTCCAATGATAAATATAATTGGATCTACATGTTGAAGTAGTGTTGTGAAATCTCTCACAACACTTCTCTTATGCTTTGATTGAGCGTGTTGAAGTAAATTCAAAAGAATTTCAAGTAGCCATAAGGAGGATAAAGAGTCTTCATTGTGGTTCTCATCGTGATCACGATGGCTATTCGAAACAAGGAAAAATTTTGGTATTAAACTTGAGACAGCATTCATCATGCATGTGTTAATCATAGCTCTTGTAGATGAAGGCGACGGCGTTAAAACTATCTCTTGTGTAATGATGGAAATAAATTGAGAGAGAACGAATGGTTTCGAACGGTGTGGACTTTGAGAGCATGTTTGCGATAAATAGCTCAATAAATGTTGCTTATAGTAGAGGTCAAGAGAGAGTTTGTCTTCACAGGTCATTAATAATTCAAGTCGAAGCCATTGTTCAAATGTCAATTCTGGTGTTTTCTCAAAAAACATTGAAACCATAGTATTGCTGGAAAGTGCTTGAATCATTGCGTTCATTTGATCCAATAGAATGTCTTCTTGTTTTGTTTGTTGTTCGTGGCTTGATGTTCGGTTACAACTAGTTGAACGTTTTGGATTTGATGTCAAAAGCTGTGAAACGAGTTCTGCAGAAAATGAAACTCTCAGTGGTCGTTCACTACTCTCAACAATGAAAAATAATTGATAATATCTAGAGACAATCCAAACAAATAATTGTACAATACTTGACGGAAATAAGCAATAAAAACGATTCTCTTTCGACAAGATGGTTTCTAAATGATTTGTTACTAACACCTTGAATGTTTCTTCTAAAATATGAACGTCTAAAACTTCAAACACATTATGTGCTACTCCAAATCCTGAATTGTACTTTTCAAAAATAGAGATTGCTTCCAAAATAGCCAAAACAAGTTGACCAATTTGAATGGCATCAGAAAAGTTTGAAGGAATTAAATCAATTTCAAAACACATGCGAAGTAATTGGTATCTCTTCTGTAGAGCTTCTTGGAGTGAAAAGGCATATGGTCGATGCTTTTCATTGTTGCATAGTGTTTCAATAAATTCTCGAATAATGGTGACTTCATTTGTGGAAATGATGCACAGAGAGGCCACGAGCGTCGAAAGCATGTAGCACATATCTGTGTTGGATTTTTGTGAATCAGATGTGGATATTGTTGAGGAGAGGTAAATTTTCAAACACTCAACAATACTTTGTTTGAATATTGATGAGAAATGAGCGAGCGGAATGAGAATTCCAACCTTGAAAAGAACAATCCAATCCAGATGAGTTTGTTTGGTATCTTCTGAAAGTGTAGCCACACTTTGAGTATCAGAATTAGATCCACTTGTTAATGTGCAACAATCGTAAAAGGTTTGCAATGCCATTTGAATGATGTTTTTAGCAATTGCCAATTGTCGATTCGTGTCTTCTTTTTCACAATCTTTGAGCACTTCTAAAATGAGAATATGAGCTTCATAGAAAATTCCACAAATGGTTTCCATTTTCATTAGGCCCGAATGTTTTCTCATTTGGTGCTCAATTTCTACAGTGACACGTGAGAGACATCCTTCAAGATGTGTCATCTTTTCTTGGATGCTACAATTAAGAGATTCCTTTCCTGAAATTTCAGCGTTGACGTCTTCTTTAGCAGCGATCGTCGTGTCTTCAGGAATCATTTTTCGATTTCGCAATGATGAAAGTAATGCAAATTTCAGCTTGTCATATTTTCTTTTAGCCTTTTCGAATTCAACATCATCTCGTCCTTCTTTTCGAAAAGTAAATGCTAACAGCTCTGGTACAATGACATTACACCATCGATTCTTTTTCATGAGTGGATAGTAAACGAGAGGTGGAGCTGATGAATTTCCTTTTTTTTGGGCACTCTTGTTAAATATTTCATCTCCAAGTTTCTCATACTCTTCAAGAATGTTTTTCACTTCAAAATAGGCACCATTCTCATTATTAGGGTTCGACATGTCCGTCATGTTGGTGTTGTCGTCTGACATCTCAGTAAGCTGTTTTTTCAACTTGTTGGTCAATTGAGACACTAGTTCATGACGTGAATTTGTAATTCCATTTAACACTCGTTGATACATTTGCAAAAATGTTACGCTCTCCAAAGGTATGATGGTATCAATTAATTTACACACAAACGAGGCGCTTTTTGCATTTCTTTCAAGAGAAATTCCTCCAGCCATGATTGTGTTCGATCCAGTTGATAAATACATGAATAAATGGTCCTTCATCCATTGGTCAATGGTTGATAAGTGTTGATTGTTCACTAGGGTTGGTTTGTTAGCATAGGAGGAGCTTGTCTTGATATATTTTGGAATGGAATAAATATTACGTGCAACAATTAAGCACGTAAGAGCAAGTGAGATGTCCTCGGATTCAATGGCCCTACAGAGACTTTCATCGATCAGAGTGAGAATGTGATTTTCATGCGTTCGAATCAATTTGGCCATTAGTGGAATAATTGTTGGTAAATGTACATGTGGGGAAATGAGAGCTTCTCGAATACAAGAAATAATAGTCTCTGAGCTAGCCGTGGTTTCCTGGAGTCGATCTACGAACCATTCAAACACTTCATTTTGAGCTTGTTCAAAAGTTGGATCGTCACTTTTAGAGAGAGGTTCTCTGAGTTGAATAAAGTCTTGTGTCGCAGTTATAGTGGTGGAGTTGGAAGGATTAATGGTACTTGTTGTATCTTTTCGTAGTAAATTACCAAGTTCGTTAAGGATGAATGATTGTGCCAGAGATGGTTCAATAATTTTTCGACTCACATTGATCATCCTTATATAGGATTTGATGTATACCATTCTCTTCTCCTGCTGGTCCATAGAATTTTTTGCAAATTCATTCCACACAATTAATGCTTTAAGTGCATTGTCATTTGAAATTTCCTTGTTTTTCCATAATCGAAATGTTGAAAGAAATTTCAATATTTTAGATGTATCTTTTTTCTTGTCAAAAAATGTTGAATGCCACAAGCATTCATATTGTACCGATTCTAATTGGCTTGTTAATTTTGGATCGACTTGTCCGTCCTTATTGTTGGATGACAAAAACTGATATTCAAATATTGATCGTTCTGCCAATAATTGAATGACATTTTCAGTCGGTAATGAAAGAATATAGTCTGGTATGGAGTATATTTGTGATTGGTGTAGATGTAGCAATGTTGAATAATTTAAAATAATTTTGGGTTGATTTGGAAAGGAGAGATGAAATAACTTTTCAAGTTTCTGAAGTAGTGAGCTTTCAAACAGCGTCGTTGGACGTGCTAATAAATTTAAAAAAGTGATTCGATCAAAATTTGTACAGAGTGAAGAAGGAGGCATGGAAATGTTATGAACAAGTTCTGAAGATACGAAATTCAGTAGAAATTTCATATAAAAATCAAAAGTAGAGGTCTGTTCTGTCGTTGTGTGAGTTGTTGATGATGAAATTTTGATCTTTCTCGGAAGGGTTGTTAAGAGTGACAAATCACCCACGAAAATGTTATCAAAATTCTCAAACTTTACAAAACAGAGAGCAATTTCTTGAATGAAATAAATATGAAAAGCTAGAAACCATGACAAGACGCTTGTAATATGCTTTTTGAGTGAATACTCATATTGAAACATGAATACGTTCGTGACATCTCTTTCCAAAACGTGAACAACTTTTGATCGAATTTCCATCGGTGAAAGTTGAGAATTATGATGTGTTGAATGCTCCTTAATAACCATATGAAACAAAGAGATGGATATTGTTGAGAAGTGGTCCATGAGCTTTTCCATCAAATCATGTTTTTGGTTATCGTGTGATGATTGGTTCAAGAGTAATAATGGCTCTTCGTCTTCTTCTCGTAAAATATTATGTAGTAATTTATGTGTAGCGTTAGGAGTTGGTCCAGTTGGACCAGTACCATCCATAATCATACTACCATTATGATTGTCATCTTGCTGATGATGATGGGTGGAATTAGAATTCATAAATCCATCAAATGGATCGGAAACACTCATTTTGAGTCTTTTCCTTCTTTCTTTTTGATTTCCGATCAATTTTGCAAGTGATGATATTGATGAAGAACTTTGATGTTTGCCATTGTTCGTTCCTCCATGATTATTCAATTCCGACAATGATGATGTGATTGGAGGCTTATTCAACGATTTCATTTTTTTTATGATAAAAAATTCAAGTGAAAACAAGAACGAATTTCGATACTGTTTGCCCATCCCTTCTTTATGAAAAAGAATTTGCACTCATTGACATGGTTGTTTAATTATTGCATGATAACCCCCTCACTCGTTTAGAATTCAATCAATATGTCAAAAGATGATTATCTCATCACAACCAATCAAAAAAAGCATTTTAAAAAAATGAAAAGATCATCACTCGGAATCGATCCTGTGAAGAAGATCATGATTTCTCTATGGAGAGGTCAACAGCAATATAGGAAAGAGGCAGTGATGAGGAGATTCTATTGTAGTAATATTTCTACTACTACTCGTGTCATTCCTGAATGTAAAATGGATTCGTATAATACATTGAGAGATCAATGCTCTTCATCAATTTTCAAATATCCTAATTCTTCGTCCATGATGATGATGACCAAACACACCCATGAACAACAGCTCAGAAGAAATTATTCCATAACGACGAGGTTTACTCGTTTGGAATCTAAATCTCTTCAGCAAGAAGAACAACAACAACTCAAACAAACTCATCGGGATGAATCATCTTCGAACCAACAAGAAGAAGAAAATTCCTCCTCCTCCGATGATGGCTCTTCACTGATCTTGTACAATTCCAAATATCCCCATTTCATTCATCGCTTTCTCATTCAACCTTACCAAAGAAATAAGACTCATATTTATAATTCACTAATTACTTCTGGATTATTCTATACCATCTATGAATATGATATTGATGTGAATTGGTTTTTGACCTTGTTGTGGTTGATGGGAAGTAGCTATTTGAGTTACTCTTCACATGTACATAATATCAATCACATTCCACTCGTATTAACAAAATTAGAGTATGATTCCAAGAATAAGGTGTTATTTTTGTACGACGACAGGGGACAACTCATTGACAAGATTACAGATTTTCGTAATTTAATTCTTGACAATGCTATGGAATTTAAAGTACACATGCCACTTGCTGGCTTCTTCTGGAAGAGCTTTTTATTGAATCGAATGGACATGACACAACGTTATGCATTGAAATTTCTACATTTCAATCCAAATCAAGCAAAAAAACGAGCAGTGGCAGGAGATTTTGGAATTCAACACAACATTTCTGAACGAATGAAACAAGACAAGATTACCTCCATTGATCCAGAAACAGGTGTCATGAGACAATATGTCTATATGGTTGTCAATTCCAATCCACAAGTCATCCAAGAATTGAGAGAGGATCTTGTTGAATTGAGACAAGAACATGTGAAATCCTCAAAATGGACCAAGTGGTAAATTCAGAGCAGTTTGAGTGGTTCAATCCATTATTCGCAATCATCATTGAATTATTTAATTCCTTTTGACCTCATCATCATCGATTATTAATAATTATTTAATTCGAAAAACCACAATTCCGAATAAAATGAATTTTGTTCGCCACCTGACGATTTCACCACTGTATCCAATTTATAGTTTAATGATGATTTAAAGTGTCCATAATTCACACAAGTTGATGACGAATTCAAAATTTAAGTTTCGGTCACTGAACATATAACAACAAGAACACGAACTGTGGGGTTAAGAGTTCAACCACACAATTTTAAAAAATATTTTTTAAAATGAAAACCACAACACGTCGGTTCAAGCAGGACACTCGTTTGTGTTTTTCCTATTTTAAAGTGTCGTTGAATGGAAATGAAGAAAGTTTTTACAAGATCGCCTAGGTCACAATCGTCAAGTGGAACTCAAGGCTGTAAAGCTGCGGGGGAAACTTGGCATTTGGCTTAATTAGCATGACTACATTCACCTCTACAGATCCATATAACATATTATGAATGGTTTAAGGAGACTTATTTTTGTTCATTATTAATTTCCTTATTAATTTTTTTAAATTATTACTATTATAATACAAGTATTATTTGACCAATATGAATAACCATGTGAAATAGTTATTCATCTCCTTGCCATTTAATATCTTGTAAACTCTTAATAGATTCCTTCGAATCATCTCCACACAAATGCAAATAAGGAAGAACAATAAATTTCTCTCCAGTATTTGGGTTGACCACTACTTTTGGATTGGATCGATTGAAATGACGTTCTTGATCTTGTTCATTGGAAAATAATGGAACGAAATGAACTTTGGCAATACATTGTACAAGCATTTGAGTCGTTGTTTCTCCATGTTCAATATTCGTTGTTGGTGCAAAGTCCTCTCCATGTTCTTGTCCTAATTTGGTAATTGTTGAATTTTTCTTTTCTGACTTACAAATACAAAGTAATTCCTGAGTTCCAATTGAAGGACCGACTGGACAAATTATTCTTCCATTTGGTTTGAGCAGTTCATAAAGATGTTTTGGAATCGAAGGGCACGCAGCTCCCACATGAATAATATCAAACAATGGTTCGGAATGATTTGGAGTTTCAAATTCTGAATGGCGAAAGGAATCGTTAAAAAGTGTTCGAATGAGTTGTGAATCGTAGCCATTTCCTTTTTTGAAAATTAATTGAATGTCCCTTGTTGAAGAAGAACGAGTAGAGGTTTGCAAAAATTTGTTAGAATTCTCATCGTGTTGGACATTGTTGAAACCCAAATCGACCAATTCTTGAATATGATCGATGGCTAAAATTTTGGCATTCAAGTCAAAATATTCTGACAAGTGACACAACGCAGCACTCACAAAACCACTTCCACTTCCTACATCTAAGCATGAAAAATTCGATGTTGTTGACAATGCAGAGGGATCATGTTTGTTTTGACTTGCTTGCTCAAAAACATCAATGAATGCATTTAGACAAGTGACATGAATATGAGGAGCAGAAATTGTGGCATTGCATCGAAGAGGCATAGCAGCATCAGCATAGGGTCGAACCACTTCTAAATCTTTGGAATTTTCTAATTCAACATCGACGGCATATTTTCCTCGATCAGTTTGTGTGAAAATTTTTTCCAAAATCGGAGAAAGATGTGTCGAATTTTTTAAATGTTGAATTAATTCTTCATTGGAGGAAAAGGAATGATGATTTCGAGGTTGGGAGGATGTTTCGTGAGTTTTGTCGACGGAAGTGGACGGTTTGGAATTTGTGAAATATTTCCAAAAGAGGAAGGCAGTAGAAGCAATTCCAAAAGAGCTGAGAAGGATCGAAGTTGATCGATCGGAAAGAATTGAAAAGAACTTCTTGAAAGCAGTGAGTACAGGATCGGTGGATGGTTGTTGAGACATTTTTTTGATTACTGACACATGTTCAACGGAACAATGAACTGTTGTCGTTGTCGACTTTACAAAGTTGTTGGTGTTTTGATTGCGTCTCGCCCCTTGTGTGTGACTCTTAATTTCGTAAAGACTTGAAGGACAAAGAAAACATCGATGGTGGTCTAACTGCAGCTCTTTCTAAAACAGTCTTTCCCTCATCTCAATTACAAACTTTTAAAAACATAAAAAGGTTATTTCCAAAAGTAACAATCCATAATTGGGAAAAAAACAAAAATTTTCAACAGGGCCAAATGCTGTCCTCCCAACAACACAAGACCTCCATAAACACACACACTCAACCTCTCTTTAAATAATTTCTTTTTCCATCACAAAAAAACAAATCTTCCTTTGTGAATTTTCACTCTTCAAATTTTCTTCAAATCACTTTGCAATTGTTAGATCCTCTTTGATTACTACCATGGTCGATCTCTATCGTCATCTCAATCAACCAAAAATCGGAGCCAACAATCATCTCCGTTATGAACATTCACACACTGAAAAATACATTCCAACCAAAGAGGGAGGAATCGCAAGTGGAAATTTACATCACATTCATTCATTGGCCGATCGAATCTTACTCAAAGTGGTCGAGTTGTGGAGTGAATTAGAATCAATGGTTCAACATTTCAATGTTGCTGTCGAAGAAAATGTTCATCATCGAAAGCGAGAAGAAAAAATCGTCTTGAAATGTGAATACTTGTTGCAAGTCATTGAAGATGTCTTGCAATGTGTCTTGACGAGTGAGGAAAGAAAGACCTATCGTGTGGTGTCTGGGCATTATAGTTTTAACAGAATTAAGGAATTGGTTGAGGAATTGAATGGAATGGATATCAAGCAGCTGAAACATTTGGTAGATAAGAATTTGGGAGGAGTTGGTGTAGCCGCGGGAAAGACTGAGTTGAAGAGTCAGGAAGTGGAAACCACTCCTTCTCAAAATGTGACAGAGGCAAAAACTGCAATGGAAAATCAAGTGCCAACATCTACGAACTTTGAGAATATTGAAAAGACGAATGAGAGTGGTGTGAATAAGGGTTATGAATTTGTAGACAAGTTGCAACATGAATTGTCCATTTTCAATACTGTGTTGTAACAAGGTGAAAAGAAGGATACTTGTTTCTGCTTGTGAAAGTCCTTTCATCGCTGTCCACTCATGCACAATGCAGATAGAATTAAGATAATAAATTACTTCTTGTGTCGTTTGTGATAGATTTTCGTGGCTGTTCACATTCAATGAAACTTAGAAATTTACTGAACGGAGAGACAACATGACATCGACTGACTGGTTAAATTATTGGGATGTGAGTTCTTGCAAGACATATTGGAATACTTGGTTAGCAATGGTAGTATCTGCAGCCTTGACGGTCAATCTGAATGCTTGTCTTTGAGCATTGTATTCGAGACGTAACAACACGTTGACTTTACCCACAGGATCATAGAAGAAGGAAGCAGCAGCGACCACATTGCTTGGATTATCAATACCTTGTAAAATAGCAAAATTGAATCCCTCCGACAACACCTTAGCACATGAAGTAGAGTCAGAATATCTGGGTGTGCATGGGAAGATCTTTTGTTGTTCTTGTGGAGTGTCCTTTGGAATTTGATGCCATTGTCTAAAGAAGGAATCAGCATCAGCAATTGTATAAGGTTCCATGAACTTGTGAGGAACAATTGGTAACTTGATGTTAAATCTGTAATATCTACGATTAGCCTCAAAGTATAAATCCAGATCAGTCAATTCGCTGAATGGAGCCTTAGCAACAATGTCAACATATTGTTGAACTTGTGTCTTTGGAGAAATCATTGGTGGAGGCTTAGAAATTTGTGCTTCCAATTCCTTTGGAACAAGAATGTGAACTCGGAATTGAGTCAATGGGTTGGTGGTCTTGTTACCATAGAGAAGAATAATTCTTCCTTTACAACCGTGATACTCAGTCTTAATCTTGACTTGCAAGTGTTCATCTTCAATTGCAACACCTTCAGCTGACTTTAACAATTGTTGATGTTTAACAGCAGCGTCTTGGTGAACTTGTTCATTTTGTTCGAGGGCATTATCCTTGTTAGCCATGACCACATCATCAAAGTTGAATCCGGTTTGATCTCGTTGTTCCTTCTTTTGCTTACCAAGATTTGCAGCTTGAGCAGCAATATTGACTCCTCCAAAAAGATCACCTCCAGTGCTGACTGGTGGTTGTGTTGTGGTAGATGTTGGTCCAAATCCTCCCAAAATATCGTCAATACTGTGTGTTTGTTGTGGTGGTTGAGAAACGTTTCCAGTACCAAAGCCTGAAAGAATATCATTCATGTCATAACCAGTGTTACCTGTGGTGGTGGAACCTCCCATGTCAAGCATGTCTAACAAATCATCAGATTGTTTAGTTGGAACAGGTTTTGTTTCTTGAATCTCTTCCTCTTCTTCCTCTTCTCCATTCTCACCCTTTTGTCCAGAACCAGCACCACGTTTCTTGGCTGCTTCCTTTTCCATCAATCTCTTAATGACTTGAGAGTCACGTTCTGGATACATTGGCATATTTTCCATGACTGCTTGGATAAGATTTTCGTCTCCAGTGTTAATGAGAGCAAGATATTCAGCAGCACGTTGTTGCAATTCAGCATCAAATGAATTGGTATGCTTCTCGAAAACATCCTTAATTTGATCACGGAGAGTTTGGTTGTCTGGGTACAAGTTGTACAATTTCATGAAAGCGTTAAAAAGATGGCACTTTGTGACTGTTGAGCACAAGTTAAACTTGGACAACAACAATTCATATTGAGCATTGGAATCAGTTTGTGGATTCTCATCAATCAAGTCACCAAATTCACCAAAAATGTATCCAGAAACCTTGACGCATGTTTCGTGAGCTGCAGGTGATGAAACTGCACTGAATACTGTTTGAGCAGTATATTTTTGCAATTCCTCTCCCTTGTTGGTCACAATTTGGATGACTCTGTGCCAAATGTCATCAGCAACAAAGTCTCCAGCTTGAGAAATCAAGTTGAGAACAACATCGACATACCAAGTAAGGTCAACAGAGAACTTTTCAGCCAAGATGGCAATCTTCAAAACTAATTCTTCTCTGATAGCATAATCAGAAAGTGGTAAATAGTTTAACAATTCACCAACAATTTCTCCAGCATTGTCTCTGTTACACATGCTGTATAGCAAGTCAAGAGCTCTTCTTCTAATACTGATATCAGGATCCTTCAAAGCAAGCAAAATTGTATCTTGTTCCTTTCTGATTGTAGCCAAAACTTCATCAAATTGAGAATAAGCCATACGAGAGAGAGTATCAAGAGCCAAATAACGTAAATTGGTCTCTCTATCCTTCAAATATTTTGTTAACATTCCACATGATGTAACCAAAATTGTTTTTGCGGAATCGTAGTGAATAGCAACATTCAAAGCTTCAAAGAGAACACTGTGTGCTGCATTGATTTGACTCACGCTCTTGGATGCTGTTTCCTTTGATTTCTTTGCAATTTGAACAACTTTTTCGATTGCTTGAATAATTGAATCGTAAATAGCCTTATCCTCTGGTGCTGGATAATATTGAAGCAATTGGAATGCCTTGACTTGCAACCATGGAGCTGCAATCTTGTAGTACAAATATGAAGTAGAATACTCTCTATTTAACACCAATTTCATCAAGAGACGAGCAGTCTTTGAGACGGCATCATGATAGGCTTCTGGATTCTTTTCAGCAAGACCCAAAATCAAACTCATGACACTTGTAATCACACCGAGATCTCTTCCATTGATGAGAGCAATGACCTTCTCGGACCATGTGTCTGGTGGTAAACTTTCTGGATATTTTCTGTACAAGTTCAAGAGAGTGAGAGCAGCCTTCTTTCTCACAGTAAGTTTAGTTTCATTGGAGATGAGCAATTTTTGTACATCATGAGCGAGAGCTTCTGCTTGCTCTTTACCACCAATGTTGGCAATGGCAGTGAGAGCCAAACATTGATCATTTGGATTCTTGCTATTCAAATCGTTTTTCATACATTGTGTGATGAGTGTTACCATTTCATGGTTCTCATTCAACAACAATGAACAAGCAAGATATCCCATATGTTTCTCAGAGTAATTTGGTGAAGCCAACAAGTTCACTGCTTCAATGTGACCGAACTCAATTTCATAGCCAAGCATGTAAATATAGAGCAATTTACAGATATATTTCTTACGATCGTATCCTTTGAGAGAAGCTCCATTCTTGAATTTACCTCTGATCTTGGCCAATTCTTTTTCAACTTTGGATTGTTCTTCTTCCTTTGTAGTTGCTGTTAGGTTGTTGTTGTTGTGATTCAAGAAGTGAGTTGTATGGTGTTATGATGATGGATTTGTTTTCAACAATATTGTTGTTGTATCATTGTACCGAGTTGTTGGGCATGTTATCGTGGGTTTTAGGATGGATATAAGAATCGTACAATTAGGGTAGATATTGTAGAGCAAAAACCGATTGATGAGCAAGAGATGATGACGATGACAATACATTTGTTATTCCAACAAAAGTCAGAGCAAAAAAAAGAACAACATTTTGTTAATTAATATTTCAAAATCCAAGAATACAAACATTTTCTAATGTCGGAAATAAACACAGACAATCCACGCATATCCATTTTCGACTAGTTTCAGAGAGAGTGGTGAGTGTAAAAACACAAGATCGAAAAACCGGTAGGAGCGGCTGGATTGAAAAAAATGAAAATTTTTTTGGTGTGCAAAAACGTTACAACAGCCTTTCCAGCAAGGCAACGATGCCATTTATGGTGAGTGGTTGTCATGTACATGTTGCTTGAGCGAAGGATTTGCAATTTTATTAAGGTTCCGTGTAGCAGAGAGTCAACACTTAATGCTTTTGAGAGGCATTGAAAATTTGGTTGGCACGTGTGGATGACGGCACATGTCCCGAATACGAAGCAGCATGATGGTGATTCTCTTTTCGTGTCCTCATGGGTGATACGAATTTTGAAAAACTTTTCGTGGAGGGAGCAACTCTAAACGATGTTTCTTGTTTGGAATGTTGTGGTTGTCTTGAGATGAAGGTATGGGTCGGCTCGTTGTCTGGAAGGTTTGTGAATGATGTTTCCGACACATTCAAAGATCGCTTGTTGTTATTTAAGGAAGGTAAAGAGAGAGACCCATTCAATCCTCCACCTAGGGTGTTTGCATGAAACTCGAACGAGTTCAGTAGTTTTTCTTCGAATTTGCTCGAGAAAGGACTGGCACCAATAACGTCGTGCGTTCCAGGGATGTGACCTTGATAGTTTGGAATTTTCCGAGGAACATCTGAGACTGTTCTCCTTTTAGGTAATTGGGATGATGCTGTGTTGAGTACTCTGTTAGTGGATGAGTTTGTTGTCAAATACTTGTGGTCGGCAACTTCGGAAGGAGCTCCATGCACCTTACTGGTACTTGGTGCCAAACGATAGTGAGTTTCCCTTAAACTCGAAGAATCCTTGACCTTCTTATCGAGTCTATCCCACATTTCATTATGTCGTATTTGTTGTTGATCACCATGAATTTGACGAACAATTTTGCCATAGGCTCCATATCTCTCATGAGGACCTAGAAAGATGAAACCATCCCGTCCATTTCCGTCCGATAGATAGACCATTCTTCAGTGGAGCTCTTGTAGAATTAAATAGACACAAGGTAGTTAAAGATGATGATGGAATTGAGGACTTGGGTATGCCCTGAGGTTGTTGTTGTTTTCGTTACTGTGGTTATGCACCAATGAACAAGTATGATGAAGTGATTCAAAGCCTTTCTCAATCAATGAAGGTCCAACCCACACACTCGAGTGATTGAGGCTTGATGGTTTTGTTGAATTTTTTTTACAGTATTAGCAAATTTGCAATTTCCAAAGCGTAACGGAATTGTTTCCAAATATTGAAATCTCTCTTTCCAAACTTTGATTTTTTGATTACCTTCTTGAAGTATAAATATTAATTTTACGCATCATGATGCACTGAGAGAAATGGACTATGTAGTCCATTAAACAGATGAGTTTGTCTACCATGAACGAATGGGCATGTTTCTCCAATTACCATGGTATTATATGTTAATAAAATTTCGTTTTTTCCATAGCTGGAGCCTAAAGCTAGCGGCGTTCAAGTCTTTAAAGACTTGATCTTGCAACAACGCTTTCGGGTTGTTTCATTCTATTTCATCCTTGTCTAATTATTTAACATCGATTTACATTGCTTGCAAATTTTTTTTTTTAAATTCTGCAAAAAATGAGCATCAAATCCTTGTCCTTTGCTTCTTCATCGTTGCGTAAAGCTTCATCATCATCACTGCAACAAATTTCTTCCATCAAAACAAATACCATCACGAAGAGATTTGGTAGACAAAAAGTAGATTCATTCAGACAGGCTGCTGGTATTAATCCTCATACAAATTATCCTGTTGCTACTGTGTTCGGATGTACTGGATTTGTGGGTAGATATATTGTGGCCGCTTTAGCGGATGCCGGTTATCAGGTGATTACTCCTTTCAGAAGAAGTGAGTTTGAAGTGATGAATCATAGAGTCATGGGTGATGTTGGTCAAGTGGTTGCAATGAGATTTGACCTGAAGAGATATGACTCAATTCTTGATATTTGTGCACGTTCAAACGTTGTTGTTAATTGTATCGGACGTGATCATAAGAGAATTTTCGACAATGTAACCATGTACAACTCCAATGTTGAATCAGCAGAAATTATTTCTAAAGCCTGTAAAGAAACTAATGTTGACAGGTTCATTCAAATGTCTTTTTTGAACGCTGATAAAAACTCAGAGTCTGAATATTGGAAACAAAAGGCACTTGCTGAGGAGGCTGCCAAGTCAAACTTTGAACAAACAACAATTGTTCGTTCGGCAAATGCCTACGGAACTGAAGATGGTTTCTTGAATTTGATTGCCAAACAAATTAGAATTTTCCCAATGGTTCCTCTCACACAGAAAGGTCTCGCCAAAGTTCAACCTGTATTTGTTGGAGATATTGCTCACGCTGTTGCTAGAGCAGTGTTAAATAGTAGAACTATTGGAAAGGTTGTTGAATTGGCCGGTCCAAGACAATACACTTACTCGGAACTTGTTGACATTATTGCCAAGATTATTGATGAAGAACCAGGTGGTAAGCTCATGATTCCAGAATTTATTGGTAGTATTGTTGGTAAAATCAATGAATATACATGGACTCCTGGATGGACATCTGATTATCCAATCAGAATGAGTTTCGATCATGTTCTTCCAAAAGAGAAGGCTGAAAATGTCATTAGATTTGAAGACTTGGGAATGACACCAGTATTCTTACATGATGCTGCATTAGAACCACTTTTGAGATGGCGTAGAAAGGCTGATTATTTCATGGATGTCAACTACAAGAAGCTTTAATTTCTAGATGTAACAAAAATCCTTCCCTTTCATAACACCACGACTACCATATCAAATCTCTCAATCACCATATTATTAAATCTCAACCTAATTCAAGGGTCTTTTATATCAAAATTATGTCTCGCTGACATACCAGTTTCATTCAGCCAAGAATGTGGCCCGTTTGTCACAACCAGACTTATCTTAATCAAGCAACCATTATCCTATTGTCAATTACAAAATGTCTTGATTTAAAATATCATCCTCATCGTCGTCGGTGGTGGTTGTTGTATTTCTTCGTGCAGTAGCAACGAACGGCGACAATTTATCAACCACACTAAATTGCCTGTCATGTGTATGGGCAATGGTTGACAAATGTGCTCCCAAAGCAAGAGTTGATGACCATTCATAGTATTCCTTGAGACCTTGAACAGGGCCTTCCCTCTTAATGAAGAATTTCTTTTGGTCTGCTTCCGATTTTGACTGCAATTCATTGTGTTCTTTTTGTAAAATACGTTCCTCTTCTTCTTCCTGTTTTTTTCTTTCGGTCCGCTCTTTAACACACGAGGTTAATCTGGAGATGTCTGTTGTATCATGGTTTTCATGGTTAATAAGAATGTTTCTGAGTCTATACATTAATCTGTTGATAGTTTTGAAATCTTTATCTTCCTGTTCAATGTTAAAAGTATTGTCATCTCTTGATTTTTCTTTTCGGACAACCCTAGCAGCAATGATCAATTTCTGATTTTTTAAATGATTTTGCCAATCCTTAATGACTTTGAGATCAGGTGCTTTCACGTAAATATTTAGCTCATTATATTTTTCTTCAATGCATTTCACTACCTTCTCAAAATCCTCAATTGTTGAAAATTTGTATGGAAAATAGGTGTGAATTTTGTTTTTAGAGAATTCTACCACTGGAGGAGTGATTATTTCTCCAATGGTCAATTTGTTATCAGCATTTTCATTGAATTCTTCATCGTCTGAACTATGAATACTGGCTGGAGAGAGGTTGATCAAATCACTCTGGTGTTTCGTGGAGAAAGACGAGGCAGATTTTGGTGTTTTATCTTTACTGCTCGATGATTTCCCATGATGATGAGAACTGCTTGATGGAGTTGCTTTGGAGAGCGTGCTGCTTGCTGCATTGCTTGTGACGTTCTTGTGTGTGGTCGGTGTTTTCGGAGTACTTGTTGCGGATTTGGATCCACTTGGTGAAGAAGAAGGCTTAGTTTTCGTTACGGATGAAGATTTTGAATTGTTGTTGATGGTCGTCTGTGATTTTGAAGAAGGAGTAGTTCTTTTTTCTTTATAACCGCTAGATTGAAGAACTAACGAAGAAGAAGAAGAAGAAGGTGTTGATGAACTGTTGTGATGATTGATTTTTGTTTTCTTTGAATCACGTGCATACGGAGTAGTAATAACAACGGTGCTTGTTTCATTCTCGGAGTTATCATCCTTACTCAATTCTCCATTCGACAAGTCGTTGGATGAAACGGAAATGGTATCACCCTCCTCTTCTGCTTCTTCATCATGAATGATTTTGCGTTTACTCATTTTTTTGTTGGGATTAAATAGAGGAATTTGTAACGATTTTGTTTGCACGAAACAGAGAAACATTTCATTAATCAAGAGGCAGTGTTGTTCATTTGGAATGGTCCAGTGTGCTGAATTGTTTTACATTTTAAAAAAGGAATGATTGAAATTCAAATAAAAATTTGATGTTAGAAAAAAATGAACAAAAACACTTCTTCTTCGTCTGGCAGCACTCACAAAAGGCAAAATTCATCATCATCGGGTTCAAGATTCAGAAATAACTCATCCAAGCCATCATCGTCATCACAAAAACAACATCAATCTGGTAAAAATAACAACACAGGAAGGAATAAGGACAACAACAAGAAGAAGAATGAGGCTGTAAAACGTTTACACTCTGAACGAGAAGATGCAAAAACAACCACGAATCCGTATGGAATGTCGGGAAGTGGTGGAATTGCTGAATATAAAAAAAGAAAAAACAAGGAAGATAGTAATGTAATGGCAAAGAGAGCACTGGATGAATTTCTCAAGTTGGGTAAAAAGAAGAGAAAGCAAAAAACTGACATTCTTGAAGAGGTACTCCATCATCTTCAAGGAAGTATCAGTAGTGTTTCATTGCGTTCGGATATGAGTCGTTTATTGCAAGCCATTCTCAAGTATGGTACCGACTCACAACGGAAATTGGTAGTGAATGAAATTAAGAACGATCTTCGTGTCTTGTCAGCCAATATTTATGGACACCAATTGGTCAAGAAGGTAATGAAATATCACGCTCTCAAGATTAAGGACGACAAGGAAAGATTAGAATTCTACAAGGAAGTATTCTTTGGAAATATGAAGACCATGATTCAACAACGATTCTCGGGTGAAGTTCTTGACTATTGTTATACTCGATTATGGAATTATACTGAAAAGAGATTTTTCGTACAGGAATTTTATGGATCAGAATTTTTGTGGACCACCGAAGAAAGTAAGATGAACGACTCACTGAAGGATTCAATTTCTTCAAATAAGGAAGGAGCAAAATCACTCATTGTTTCAGAGTTGAACGCCATTGTGCAAACAGCAATTCAAAAGAGATTAATCGATTTGACAATTGTCCAAAAACTCATAATTGACATTTTTGAATGTGGTGAAAATTCCCATGTCAAATTCACACTCTACGACTTGATTGAGTGTAACGCCATTCCTCTCATTCTTCACACATTGTTAGGTTGTAAAATCTCTCTTCTCTGTATTTCGTATGCTAATGAAAAGGAAAGAAAGATGATTGTGAGAGCATTGTCACGATCCAAAGTCGATGTTGCATCGGCAGAGGAAGCCAATGCTGCAGGAGAGGGTGAAAACGCCACCGAAGACAAAACCAAGGAGGACGATCTCATCAACAATGATCCTCACAATTCATTGGCCGTTTTAGCTGCTCAGGACAACTTTGGATCTGTGGTCATCTCATACTTGTTTAAATGCATTGATGATACTGTTTTACTGAACCAGAAAATTCTGAAACATTTCAGAAAAATTTTATCTGAGTTATTTGTTCATGCTCAAGCCAGTCGACCAATTCTTTACCTCCTGACTGGAAATTCCAAGTGCCTTTGTAACAGTGAAGGCATTAAATTATTTGATCATTTGGAGCTCAGAAAGGAGTTATTGAAGGATGGAGCTCTCAGTAAGAAGGGACAAGATAAGATTCGACATGAATTATTACTTTCTTTTGGACCTTCTCTTGCAACAGCCATTTGTGAAAACATGAATGAATTATTGACCAACCAGCATGGACATGGCATCTTGAAGGAGGCTGCCACTCTCTATCCACAGAATAAGGACTTTGAAAATGTTGCCAAAAAATTGAAAGATCTCATGCAAAATCAAAAGGAAGGCAGCATTGATTTCTCACATGCACTCACCAAGACTACTCTCTCGTATGCAATCATGGAGAGCAAGGAGGGAGGATTTTGTGACATGGCCTTTGAAGTTGTGAAGGGTAAATGCAAGCAATACATTTTCGAAAAGAAAGCACCTTATATTGTGTCTGCCTTACTGAAAACACGCCATGGACGATCCGTGTACGATGAAATTGTAAACTTGAAGACAAAAATCGAAGAAGAAAAAACAGACAAGAATTTCATGTTTTTAGCCAAGGTTTTAGCCACAAAGAAGGAAGAATATGAAGGCAAATAAATGGTAGTATTCTCAAGAATTGCCACCATTTGTTGTTAAGATCGTGCCACAATTCGATTTGACTTTGGTTTTGTTTCATAGGCATCACCAATCATTATTTTTTCAAACCAGGTTGATTGACAATCAAGCACTTGACCAATCACTTGCTGCAAGTTGTCAACTCCATCACACTTCAAACATTGTCTTTATTTGGGCCTGTTGAATTGGTGTCGTCATCACTGGTTAGTGAAGACTCAAAACCTCGAGTCAAAACCTCACAGGTTGTATTCACTCTGTCAATCATTCTTCACACGGCTTAAGATCAAAAAAAAACTCATCACATCTCTCTCATCTCACAGTTCTACTGCTCTGATCAACAACAAAATGTCTGAACACCAACACGTTCCACAAGCTGTCCTTGATGAAGTCTTGAAGAAGGAAAAGGAATTTGAACAAACTCAAGAAGCCAAGAAGGAAACCAAAGAAAAGATGCAAGGTACTGTATTCGACGAATTGAAAGAGAAAGAAAAGGAGTTTGAAAAGACCCAAGAAGCCAAGAAGGAAACCAAGGAAAAGATGCAAGGTACTGTATTCGATGAATTGAAGGAAAAGGAGAAGGAATTTGAAAAGACTCAAGAAGCCAAGAAGGAACAAAAGGAAAAGATGCAAGGCTCCGTATTTGACGAATTGAAAGAGAAGGAGAAGGAATTTGAAAAGCTCCAAGAAGCCAAGAAGGAAACTGGTGAAAAGAAGAAGAGTTTGCAAAACGAATTGTTGCATTCCAATGTTCAACTCAAGCACGTTGAAACCAAGGAGACTCATGAGCCTCCAGTGAAGGAACAATAAGCCATTATTGAATGTACAGTATCAAAAAATGTGATGATCGGAATCATCAATGATCAACGTTTTGATTATTTGATCATGATCAAATAATATTTATTTATCATTAAATTGATGATGATCGGAATCAACATTAACATTTTAGTTTTACACGCACTCTCATTTGTGAGCTCTACCACAGCATCAAGGGAACTCCATCGCTCCAGAGCCGTCTCGATCTCACGTTTATTCTCTGTGATCTTGGTGATGATTTCACAGACGTGCTTGAGGATCCATCTCTTTCTCTCTTTGTGATTGACAAGAGAGAAAGACAGGGTGATGAATTCCACAAATAGAAACAGACAGAAAGCCGCGAATGAATGGCTCCAATATTGAAAGAAAAGGATTTTGCAAGTTAGATCTATACGCACATTATTAGCGGACAACTCTTTCTAAAACACAAGGAGAGCGAGTTCAGAGTTTCTGCTCTCAAACCCTGAGATGATCCCAAAAGCACGCTTTTTCATGCCATTGCCTTTTCTTCCATCTTTACATTTTTAGAACACTGCATTCTAAAAACAAACCTAGGTGCCGTTCATGACAGTTCTTTGGATCCCAAAAAGTTTCAACTTCAACACTTTGCAAAGACTATAATGATACTGCTACCTGTCATGTGTGGATCTACAAATGATTTGAATTTCGCGACAAGTGACTTTTTCACGAATAAGAGTTATGTATTAGTCAGAACTGATGTCCATACCAACATCATCAACACCATTTTAAAAAACAATCACAACGACTATTGGTTGCTTCTATCCTCATCCACTCTACTTGTAACTACCAACTGATCTCTATTACTGAACTCTCTCTAAACCACTGGTCTTCAACATCATTCACTTTTTCGATTATTCTTACTGAACTACCAAATTCAGAACGACACATCAGACCTTAAGCTCTAGAGTCACTCATTTGATCTTCCTGTATTTTGAAAATGAGAAAGAGTACTTCTTCTTCAACTTCTAAAAAAACAACTTCCTCGCCAAGAAACTCCCCAACGAACTCATCGACCTCAAATTCCTCTTCGTCGGCCATTTCTGTGGTTTGTTTGCCAGTAACCATTCTCCTCAATCCGAAAATTCATATTCTTGCTGGAAACTCCTCCATTGCCAATACGTTGTATTTTCATCCGTCGAGTGCTGGTTCAAGCACTGGAAAACATACTTCCTTTAATAATCACGGCTCCCCTCAATCCACCAGTGGTTCGAATCATCTTGGGAATAACAACAACAATAACCACTATTTAAATGTGACTTCTCCTGGCTCACATTATTCCATGACTGCCCAAGATCGAGAGTACTTTTGTAATGCCTTTTATCAATGGAACTTGACGAATGCGAATGGATATTGCGAGTGCTTGAGTGAGTGTTCGGAAACCATGACTCTCAATGGATCTAGCACTGCCTTAATGTATGATTCATCGTTGGGAGGAATGTTTCCATCGGAGAGAAGTTCAACTGCAAGTGCTACTGGAGCCAATGATGTTTGGACTGGCTCTTCATCATCCTTCTCAACGTCGACTTTATCCATGAATACAACAAGTACCACCACGACAGATAAGACTTCTTATTGCTCCACTCCAACGACAGGTTATGGAAAGAGTAGCGATGATCTTAAATCGACCTCTCAAATAAGCGAAGAAATGGAACTTCAATGGATTGATTATATGAAAACTCGTTTCCTGACCTTTGCTGAAGACACTGCAAAATTGGGAAGTGAAATGGAAATCAAAATGATGTTTGTCGAGTTGTTCTACGATCCAGTTCTTGAAAAAGTACCTCCCAGAGTTTTTAAGTCGGTAGAAGATGTCTACACTCGCCTCGATGTCTTTTGTCGAGCATTGGTCCATTTGAAATTGCCTTTTGAAATTGTAGAGTTTGAAAAGTTACGAAATGAAGCGTTACAAAAACATGGCAATTCCTATCAATGGTTCTATTTGAAATATTTACCATCCTTATTGAAAAAGCAACGACTTTTCAAGCATGAATATTTAAAAGACTTTTTAGAGGAACAAATGATTAAGTGTGAACAACCTAGATCAATCTTGTTGAATAGCGATGACATTGCAGCCTCTAATGTGAGCTCTCCCAGAACATTGCAAGCCTCTTCTCAACTTGGATGTCAACAAGTGGGTTTGTTAGATGAAATCAAACTATTATGCAACATGTTCTTGATTGAACTCGGGGACTGGTTTTCTCTCTTTGAATACAAACAACGCAAGAAGATGAAGAAATGGTTTGAAAGAGGTATTAAGAATCATTGCATTCCAAAATATGTGTTGGAAATTTATAAACGAAAGAAGGATAAGAATGAGAGGGCATTCCGAGAATACAAATTTAAGGATGAAGATTTGAATATTAAGCATGTAATTGACTCTGATTGGACGTTTACGAACTGGATGTGTCATGAGCATACCAACGATTGGTATGTGACGTATTCGAATATGCCAAATGTCATTCAGTGGAATTCTGATGAAGACCATTCGGTAGGAAATTTACAATTGAGAAATTCGAAAATTATTGGCTACATTGATCATCCATTAGGACAAGTTGTTAAATCCACCCACTATGATACCCATCTCGAATATTGTTTCAAAAATGTAGAATGGCATTACTACACTCCAATCAATGCATCAAGCAGTACTCAAAAATATCCAGGTGCCTTAATGACAGCGAAATTCGACTTTGATCCCATGTTTTCTTTGAGAGGTGTACAGTTTGTGTTTTCAAGCAAATCTCAATTTTTAGGGGACAGAATGGTTGAAAATGCCTTTCTGTTCAAGTCGAGCGATTTTGTGAAAACGGAAGAAATCAAAGACTTGATCAAGTGTCCATTTGTGGGTAGTAGAATTTCAACCATGGTCGATAAGAACCGAACTCGATACGTAGAAGCTCGAACCTCTAATTTAGGTGGTTTTTTAAACAAGAAGATTATCTTTACAAATCCACTTTCAGCCAAGAAGTTGTGTCTTGATAATTATAATGGAATTTTGAAAGCCATTCATGAAGCGAAAGAGAGAGGTTATGCCATGCCTTCGTTTGGGAATAATTTTTTAGCCAAAATTTTGTATGACTATTGCAAGTATTATTGTGGAGTGGATTTACAAGTAGATCAGCACGTGCTGAATTGAACAACAACGTCATGACAGTTTGGTGATTCTTTCCAACATTTCTTTGGCCAGTTTTGATGTTGTTTTGTTTTTCTAAGAGTTTAGAATGTTTGTAAAGCATCATGATAAAATTCATTGTGTAATATATCCTCTCAAATTCATGATTTTTAGAAAAACGTTGGGGTGAAATACTAAATAATTTAATGTTGTTATTGACCCGAGTAAAGAACTTCCGAAAAACACTGTTCAAAGTTGCTTGATCCTGGTGTTAATACAGTGTCACAACTCTTTAATTTGTACAACGCAATTGGTTCTGCCACAGTCGATTCACACCCGTTACTCAAGATGAGTGAGCATGCCCCTGGTTCGATGTTTGGTATTTGCAGGTATACGTAATCACCTTGGCTATGCACTGACTCCTTCTTAATATTGATGCCAGTAACAAACTCTGCTTTGTCAAATAAAACTCCTGAATTATTTCTAAAGATCAAAATATCTCCTTCAGTGATGTAGATTCCGCTTGCAGGAGGTGATGGTAGCCAAAAGAGATGTCCTTCATCTGTCGAACTTCTCCAAATGTTAACAAGACCAAGTACAACTCGTTGGAATGGATTGGACAATACTTTTTCGTATAGAGTCATGTTATTCTGAGGGTTTCTTCTCTGCTTTTGTGTAATTGTATTAGGTTAGTCAAGATGAAAAAATGTTGAATGGTTGGACAACATACCATGCCAATTCTTGTTTCTCTTAATTTGAACACGATGATTCCCAAGTTTGACTCGTTCAAATCCCTTGCAGAGACAATGTTGTAACGACAAGTGAACAGACAAACAACTTTCTCAACAGAAGAGACGTCCATTTCCAATCGGATCACGTAAAAATTGAGATGCGCATTGTCAGATTTTGGTTGAGAGCATTGTATTTCTTGAGAGTTGTGTGTGATAACCATTTCTTCAATTTTGGGAAACACTAATTCAGAATTGTCTTCTTCCCATCCAAGGTCTTGATAATGTTGCAAATTGAGAGTTTTCAAATATTTCAACGGGTCAGAGTTTGTGTCACTGATTCGGTTGATGATTTTGTCCGTCTTTGTTTTAACTTCTTGACTTGGGATCCGTTTGCTTGTAGGTTGAATATTAATGGACTTTTGTGATCTCATTGTAAGTCCACTTGTAAACGTAATGTTTGCTGTGGGGAGGTTTAAATGGACTTGCAGTTTCTGGTGACTCATTTTTCTTGTGTGTGGGAATACGAAAAGACTTGGTAAACTCTGACGCAGCGTGCAAATAAAATGATTGGAAAGACCATTTTAGACTTTCATTGTTGATTGACGTGCAGCAGCATGCAGCATCACGATGCAGCAAGACGCACCCAAACATCTATAAATCTGCAACGCCATCACGCTTGTTGTCTCTCAAAACAACAAAAAAAATTCACAACATGTTGAGCAAAGTTACTCAATCCATTTCAAGAATGTTTGCTGGTGGCGATTCACCCACCAACGACAACAATACAGAAGAGGAGAGACCTGTGGTCAATGAAGCTAAAAAACGAAAGGTATCTGTAGCATATGGAAAAGATCTCAATGTCAAAAAGTTAGTCGATGGTTTAGCTTATTCACACGACCAAGCAAAGAGTATGAAAGACAAAAAGCTTGTTTTACTCTTGGGTGATACTGGTGTTGGAAAATCCACCTTCTGTTGTGCGTTGATCTCCAGACAAGTTCAATTTAGATATTCAGGAGTACATGTCCAACCTTCAGTGCCTGCAGGTACCAGTAGTGCTGATTTTCCAAAAGTTGGAATGACAGGTAGTTCTGAAACCTTGTTTTGTCAAGCGTATGAAATTGACGGTTTTCCCATGCTTTATGTTTGTGACTGTCCTGGTTCATTCGATAACAGACCAATTGAAGAATGTATTACTTCAAAAATTAGCTTTAAACAAACAATTCTCGAATCTCAAGGAATTGCTGCCATTGTTGTGATGTTCAATGCGAACGAATTCTTTACAAAAGGAGCTGGAATTCAAACCAATTTGGCTATTGTTTCGAATGTACTGAGAGATTTCGATGATGAAGCATTCAAGTCAGTCATTTTCTTATTTAACAGATTACATCATCATGCCGGTCTGATCCACTGTACTCCCGAAGAAAAGAAGGAATTTTTGATGCAAGAAATTTTAAAGCAACAGAAAGTGTATGAACGAGATAGTGAGATTTGTCGATTGTTAAAGGTCATGATGGACAATCAGGATAACGTTGTCATTATGAATGAAGAAAATGTCCAAGAAACAAGAAGAGCAGTTCTTGACAAAATTGATGTACAAAACCTTATTGATAAGTCTCAATTCCAATTTGAATTCAAGAATGATGAAAAGTATCGTAGGGCAGTGAAATCATTGCAAGAACATACTATTCAACTCAAGGATGAAGGAGAAGCTTATAACGACCACTTTAAGAAGGTACTAATGGTCAAGTACGAAAAGGAGGAAGTGGAAAAGGAAATCTCTAATTTAGAAAGTTCTTTACAAAAAGATACTGTTGACTTTTCTCGAAGAAAGAAAGCGTACGAAACTGCTCTCAAAGCTCTAACCAAAGACAAAGAAAAGGAAATGGCGACCTATCAATCCAGAATGGAGGAGATAGATGGAGAAATTTCTCTTCTAAAAAGCGAGTTGAATTTGTTGGATACTTCAGAAAAAGTTGTGGTTGGACATTTAAGCTACAGAGATTGGAATTATTTACTACGAATGATTTCTGTCAATTATGATCTCAGATTTGACACTTTTTCTGAAAATCCTGTTGAAGCTGTCGAACACTTCCAAAATGGAGTTTTTAAACCAAAAGAAAAGCACAATCCAAGCAAGGGCGTCTATCATAAGAATTATTCTATTACATGGAGCCAGAAGGCAGATTTTGACGTGGAATTAAGACAACAAAAACGACACGTCTTGGAAAACAGTATGAGAATCCAAGAAATTTTGAAAAAACTGATCCCCAAAAAGCTAAACGAAAAAGAAGGATATGAACAACTGTTTAACTCCGCAAAGGCAGCAAGGGACGCTTATGTTCAAAAGATGACAAGCGATATTAAGACTGTCGAGGAGTTAGAGCAAGCCATCAAAGCAAATGAAACAAGACTTCGAGAGACCATTGAAAAGCGAAATGATCTTGTTGAAAAGCTCAAAAATTTATTGAGAGAAAGAATTGTTGCATTTTGGCTCAAAAAGAAGAACGAAAGGTTAGAATTGTTTAATCAGATGGAACTTGTTATTACCTACTTTGGACCAGATTTCAACTTCACCAGCAGGAACGCCTTTAAAGGTGATTTCATTGCAACCTTGACATATCTTAGAACCGTTGATTTTGAATCTTTGAGAAGGGAGGTATTTGGTGATGGTATTGTTCAAGAAATCCTTGAATTGCCCTCAGAAACTGTGTTCCTCTCCGAAACAGTAAAATCAACCAAGAATGATCATACACAAGAAGAAGAATTGATGAATGTGGATGTTCAAAACTTGGATCGTAAAGGCTTGGTTAGTTTTCTTGAAAAATGTAAGCTGGAGGTCACTGATGATGAGAGAAACCGGTTGATCGATTATGTAAGGGAGCAAGAATTTGATGGTTTTGGTTTTCTTAAAATTGGAATGGAAGAGTTAAGTGAAGCAGGTATCAAAAAAGGGCCTGGTTTTAGAATCATGAGCTTCATTGAAGGGTTTCATGTTAAATGTGAAAAAGAACTGTAAAATGGATCATTAAAGAAGTGTCAACAATACGAGGAAATGTGGGCATTTATCATTGTCCTAATTGCCATCCCAAATTAATTCCTACTGTTTCATTCTTGAGGTTGTTCATCACTCCAGTATGGTTGAGTTGAGATGTTCTGTACTTGCTTGCATTTCTTCCTTTGAATATTTCAACAAACATCCATGCATTTTTACATCGCAAACATGTTTCTTTTCTGACACTCCTCGACAAAATGACTAACAGTGAATTGTATAATTTTGTTGGGTTAGATTACAAATTCCTTGTACACACACAATTTCGAGCAAAAGGAACATCGGTTATAGAAAAACAAGTTGGTCCTCCAGAACCCCCTGCTTATGGAAGCAACTGATTCAAAACAGACAACAATTCTGGCCTTGTAATTGGTTTAAACAAAACTTTGTCCACTCCTGCTCTTTCGAGTTCTTCTACTTCGTGTTGTAATGAGTTACCTGTCAAGGCAATAATGGGAGTTTTCAAGCCTTTTTCACATTGGGTTTGGATTCCTCTCAGTAGGATTTTTAAAAAGATTCAATATAACAATATATAACTTGTTTTTAATATCAATTAGTCCCACGCAGAGAGGAAGGAGATATTAAGCGAAAGATTTCTTGTTGTTATAGTGGATATCGAGATAACCCCAATTTTTGTACTAAAAAATCAGGTCCTGTGGTGGTTGACCATCCTCAAAAATTATCGTTGAATGATCAAAACTTGAATATTTCCATCAATTAAGATATAAGGAAGTAAGGCGCTGCTGTTTCGTTCGAGTTGAATGTGAAAATAGTTAAATATTTTGTGCGTCCAAGTAGGTGATATGTTACTCTTGAAGTTGGTCATAATTTAAACTTGGGTTTGGGTTTGGTTTATTCTGCCAACATTTTGCCCGATTATTGGGTTCAAAAAATTAAAGTAATCTTTATTCAAGTCTTCTGCACATTCCAACTCTCTTGTAGGAAAAATGCGTCGGCACTCAAAAAAATTTCCAAATCGCTCTTGAAAAGAAGTGGAGCCTCACTCAAGGACAGCAACCAATTCAGCATTTTTGGTAACTCTGAGTGGATACCTAGTGATGACTCGTGAATGAAGGATCATTTCAAACTCTCTTGGGTGGGTGATGCTGTGAGAGCTTCCAACTGACACTTGTTATGATGAGGATGATGACGGTTGCATTTGATGTTGAGGTATTTTTTTCAGAGAAATTTTTAAAAAATCTTGGTCAACCAAAGTGTGTGTTTTACAATGAGAGCCGTTCGCACCACATTCCTTACGTTGGATTGCAAGATGCCGAAGGCAGCTGCAATTCAATGAATTGATTCCAACGTCCTTTTTACGAATTGCAAGATGCCGAAGGCATCTGCACCCTCTCAAATTGATGATTATTCCTTTTGACGAATTGCAAGATGTCGAAGACATCTGCACTCTCTCGCAGTGACAATTTTGCGTGGTCCATTCAATTGCTAGATGGTGATGTTGAATTTTATCCAAACACCTCGTTTTATTGGAAGATTATGACGTTGGAGTGCATCTCTCGTTCATGGTCTTGTTCTGATTTGCTTGTTGCAGTGAAGTAGTGGGTGGATGTTTGAAGGTAGATGATTTCATCAAAAAATGCCTCGTTCTCACTTCTCTACAACTATCATCATCAATGATTGATTCATGCGTCTTTCAATTTCATACCTCGGAATTGAATACACTCCATCCACAGATCATCATCCATGAATTGTATTCATCATCAAGTGTTTGGAATGGATGTTTCTTGAAATTGAAACTGAATGACCAATTTTTGAGTGCTGATCAAGTCCGAACTCGACATTCACTTGACAAGAGTATCACTCCAACGAGTTGAGGTGATCATACCGTCCACAATAACAACAATGATCATGATTGGAGTCATTGATGGAGTCAATTCATTGAATGGGAGTTGTTCCGAAGGTGATCCCTAAGGTGATACGGTCAAGTGAGATCGGCATACCTACTTGACAGATTCTTCTACAACTTGATAGGATTATTGTGCTCGATGAGTATGATACATTCATACTAGTTGTGCTCACTGAATCATCATGTTTGCACAGTAGTCTCCCACCGATGCAATGAAATTTTCTTTTTCACATCACTGTTCAACAGAGAGTGACACTTTCCTGATTTCAACAACATTTTATGATAGTGCATGGTATGATGATGATATACTGTAATTTGTGGGAATTAATGATTTGAGTGGATTTTACTGTCAACCACCTGATAATAAGAAGAATAATTTTATTAATAATTTTTATATTATTTATGGAAGAGTGAAATTAACGGTATTTTATGATAGAAGACATCACGAGGAGTATATTGATATGAATTTTATGGATTGAATATGAAAGAGTTGAGCATGGTTGAGCACCTGAGATGACATTGTTGGTGAGGACAATTCGGAGAAGATCTCTCTCATTTCATGTGCATGTACAGTGTTTTTTCAATAAATATACATGTATTTATGATGATGATCATGTTTTTGTAGTTTGTTTGAGGAATGATTCAATATTCATGGAGTATGACCCTCATGGAGGAGATCTTTGTCAATTTTCTTCGACAATGCTGTGAAAAATGAAAATCAATAGAAAAGTCCAGCGAAAATGAGAAATATGTTTCGTTCACAACCAATGTACAATATTAAAGAATGAATTTGTCAGAATTTAAGTTTTTCAGTCAATTGTATCTAATTATTATGTTGAACCGTGTTGTACAATGTTGGATGACTCGATCATTTTGAATGTGAATATTCTTCTGTACAGTGCGTTCATGAAGAAGAACACCATTTCATCCATTGCTTGACTTTGAATTGATCATGTGTTGTTCGTGGTGAGTGTTGGTGTTTGTTCGTTGTGGAGTACGGCCTGTTGAAAGACTGTTCATTTTTCTTTGACAAGTAGTTGTGAAGTTGATCATGTGTGTCCGTGAGGGTGATGCTGCTTGGCATGATATTCTCCTGATACTTAAACGTAGAGTGTAAGTGTGTATGAGATCTTTGAAGAGTATTTGTATTGTTTGTGGCATGAACAGTGATGTACCCGTTGAATGAATCAGCTCCAGTGTTGGAGCGTTGGTTTATTCGCTGGAGGAGGAATATTTTTAACAAATTTCCAAGTTCAAAACGATAGTAAATTCAAGCCAAAACTTGAAGTGAGGCTCTATTTCGATAAATACTGATTGATATCATCTCTAATTTGAATATGTTGTATAACTTACTGTGTAAAATATTGTTATTAGATTTAAATTGATGAGAATGACTTGTGAAAGAACCATGATTAGAGTGGAAGCAGTGAACATGACAATGTGTGTTATAGTGAAGAGTACAACCATGAATTTGCTTAAAAAGCAATACTATGTGATGTCGAAGATGTCTACATGATGATGAATCGAGTATGTGAGTTGTTCTGTAATATTTGAAAGACGAAAGCGCTGTACCTATCACCTACTCAAAATCACGAAGAAATTTTTCAAGGGTGAAACGAACATTTGGAGATATCTCCATGAATAGTTGCTATCAATGAATGAAATCAGGAATACCCTTGTTTTTGATGTTGTAGAGCTGAACTAACAAGTTAATTTTTGTTGTTGACGTCAAAGATTACATGAGTTGTTGGATATTGTGAGATTTTTCTGAGGACGAAGACAACAAACGATTACGTTGAAGAACACCACAACGTGAAAATGATATGAATGTATCTACATGGTGAGGAGTAGTAAATGAAGAAAATTCTCGAACTGAAGTGATGGATCCATGAAACTGGAGGAGTGCTATCATTCTGAGAAAAATGTTATTGCAATACATGAAAATTTGAAAGTGCTTATTTTTGAGTTCTTCTTCACTATTATGTCATCTGGTGTGATTCTATGAGTGTATGAACAAGATTGACACAATTTACATGTTTCATTCATGAGGCTATTCCTCTTCGACTTGTTCAAAGAAGAACCCTACACATGGTGAGAAACATTCTATGTGAATCTTGTCACCATGTTCAACCTATTATGAGTTGGTACATTTTGGCGACTGGCGACTGGCGATTTTCGCCAACCCCATATTTTATCATGAGATGGAGCTGACTCTGTCATTGTTACCTTAGTTGAGTAGGACATGACATGAGTTGTGAGTGATGATCAATATCATCTCTCAGTTGGGTTTGGCTCCACCTACTCTTTTTTTTGAGCCATTTTAACGACTTTACTATCAAAAAAAAATTTTGTTTTCAATAAGTCCTGTCCACGGTCCGAAGTTAACTGGTGAGGACGAGATATACTCAAATCCTAGGCTAATTTTCATTTGCTTTCTAATGGTGTTGAAATTTCTAAGAGATGTGAAGTGGTTGTTGAGTTATTTCACTCTGAATTTTGAAGGTAAATTGGCCCAAAAAAAAGTTTAATGTTGTAAATGAAGAGAGGATGATTATTTATTATCGGACTGGTATTTCAAACTGTAAAACCAGAGAGAAGCAATGAAATTGGAACACAAGGTTTTTGAGGACTTGGAAATTTTTTTTAAAAATATTTTGGACTCAAATTCCAAGTTCAAAATGATAGAGAGGTCCAGCGAAAATATGAAATATAGCTCTTTTTCAATAAATACTGATCAGCTGTATCTCAAATTGATATATGAAGTGTTACTCACCATGTAGAACACTAATATTATGGTTGTGTGCTGATGACTGACTCCTGACGCGGAAATGTGGTACTCCTAGCCGCTGAATATGTCCGTGAGGGTGATGTTGCTTGACATGATATTCTCCTGATAATTAAACGAAGAGTGTAGTGTGTATTAGAGCTTTGTAGAGTGTTTGTATTGTTTGTGACATGAACAGTGATGTGGGTTTGGCTCCACCTACTCTTTTTTTTGAGCCATTTTAACGACTTTACTATCAAAAAAAAATTTTGTTTTCAATAAGTCCTGTCCACGGTCCGAAATTAACTGGGGGTTGGATTCCTCTCAGTAGGATTT